GCGGCCAAAACACAGAAGGGCACAAAAATTCCGCAAACTGTGGCGAGGTAATGAGTGCCCAAACGCACTACACCGCAGACTAAAATAAAGAAGCTCCGTTCAAAGGTCGGGATACGACTTACTGCGTAGTTTCTGCGGATAAGGACAATAAGTCTCAAAATATTGATCCGCGTTCATCTATGGTGAGTGATCGTGAATATCAGCGAATCTGCGGATCTTCTTGACACCACTGGCTGTCGGGAATCATGTGCCATAAGTCCCGTGTTTTAGTAGCTCTCCCAGCTCCCTCCCAGCTTCTAGATATCTTTCCTTCTTCCAATCCTCAGTGTGGCAGTCAATCTACTCGATCTCGTTTGCCCTGGACAAGCCTGTAGCTTCTGCAACACCAACGCCTTCGCAAGCCAACATGGCAGTGCAACCTGTTTGTCAAGCAGCTGGAGGTGGAGCCACTGGGCATAACGATACACTCACAGCTCTTTGATTTGGTGGAGAAAACGGGTAAACCTGTTGTCGACCAGATCCCCTTGTGCGTTTTGGACTATAAGCCCCCCGAGACTAGCGCGACCACTAAGACGAGCACATAGGTGATGCGAGATGTGTGGGATTAGTATCTGGTTAGACGAAAGTAACCCTGGGGTTGGTATGTACAATCAATGAATTTTAGTCACATCTCATCCGTGAGAACCATTTCGTCTGTGAATATTATGTCAAACACAATTCCAGCATGAACGCCCAGATCTGCGAGCCGTTGCCTCATTGGAGGCTCCCAGTCATACTCGTCAGTCTCCCATCTGACTAGTCCCAGAGTAACCCTCTGAAGATTCGGCGTGAAAGTCTTTCGGTCCTCGAGCCATGATTTTAGCACATCTAGAATGTGGTGATCTGCCCACCCAAACTGAGGCCAATCTGGTTCCTCGTTCTCCTCATTTTGTAGACACAAATCCCAGGTGATGGTGAGATGTTCAAGATATTTTGGGAGTACATCTTGCAGGCGCTTTGCCGTGTCTAGTGCAAATCCCACCAGGAATGCCCAAGGGACTTGAAGTGTTTTCAGATTGTCCATCACGACCATTGCACTCAATGATCCCTCTGTCTTGATAGCAGGGAGATGGATATCGCCGTGTCCTCCCAGATAAACTTCGGCTAGTATCTTCAGGTCACTCAAAGTGTCCTTAAGACAAGATACCGCATCACCAATCCGATCAAGGTCAACGATTGGTGAATTGACTGCATCGAGAAGACCGCTGTCGTACCAGAACTTCCACTGCAATGATTTCAAGTGCGGCGTAATTGAAAGTAGATCCCTGAGATAGTTCTCCCGAACCGTGTACAAAACGAGCGATGTGAGGCTTGGTGGGATAGGCAATTTTGGCTTTGGCCACGTTATCGCGAGAGGACTATCGACGGCGAGCGAGAGACTTTTGACATGTGATAGATAGAAGAAGGGCAGAAGATCAGCGGTGTTTTTGACCGCGTGGTCGCGCGCGTAGTCACGTCCTATTTTGAGGAGGTATGTCACATGCTGAATATGCCGAAAGTCTGGTAACCCGTAGTCTACGTGCTTGAAGATGGCGGAACGAAGAACCATCCCGATAATTTCACTTCGCTGTGTGAAAGCAGGCTCCAAGCGGAGACACTGGAGATTCGGCATTTGTGCTAGGAGGAGTGCGACAGCCGCATCGAGTCCGCCTTGCTTTAATTCTTGTATCCAAAGGTCGCTATACGGGACCCCAGTTTTTTGAATGAAGGATATTGACTCGCTCAGCTCAGTAGGAGAGATGGGCACGAGAGGGATGGTTGTCCTGAGTGAGGCGCAGTCGCTTGGTTTGCCGGCGAGCTGAAAGTTTCTGATGTGAGTAGCCAAATGAGGCCTGGCCACCAGAGTTCGCGAAAGTTTAGTGACTGGGGGAGGATCAGGATGATTCTCTCGCTCCCAGGTCATTTGAATATTCTCGTAGAGAAATTTTGCGGCTACCCCGCGAATGTTGGTATGAACGAGACATAGTGCATAAAATTCAGTCGGTGACAACAACTCAAATATTGAGTATAAGATGTCTCTCGGACAGCTGGTCAAGCCCGGTGGGTCTCGATGAATCTACCCAAATTAGTCGGAATCATGAGAAGGTCAACCACGATGACTTACAGGTGACATTGTTGATGCTCTTGTTTGGATTCGGCCCGAAGACTTGTGTTAGTTGGGCTGGGGGGAAAAATGAAGAACAAGCAGGGCTGCCATTTAAAAGCCTGCTACGGAGTACTGCGAGTGAAAACTGAAAGAGTGCTAGCTGTTAGCCCCCATGGTCTAGAACTTAGCTAATCATATTGAAGTATGTACTAGAGCCCTCTGGAGATTCCCTTTGGTGTTTTAGACCATACCGTATACGGTGCGTTCGCCACTAGAAAGACGCTACGAAGATGTCCCCGGGTGGGTTCCGATGAGGTGCCTCAGGTTACGGCAGTATGATAGCGCCAGAGGGCCCTTTGGTTTTCTGCCAGGTGCCACAGAGGGATTATGTCAGCACAGTGATTTTTACCATATCGTACAATACACACAGGGCAATATTGAACTTGCTTAGTTTCACCATAAAGGCTACTGATCCTGAGCACCACGTAAAGGTGCAAGTTCCTTGCTCAGGTGCTATATACAGCCCATATAGCAAAGTAATACTCAAAGATACTGCGAAGATCTGCATTGTTTATGAAAAGGCCGAATCTTAGCATGTTTGTACTGATGTTTGGGCCCTGACCCTGGGCCTAAAACCGGACACTGGGCTCGAGGGCCGGGCCCGGGTTGGGTCTGGGCTTTCTGGGCTAGTGCGGAAATCTAGTTGAGGCCGAGGAACTGGATGATTATCGGGGTATTCCCGTCAATTCCTACCCTGTTAATTATTACTTTATTTACATCTTCCTTTCCCATCTTAATATACTCTCTATCATCCGGGGTTATATACATAGGCCAACCAAATTTAAAGCCAGCTCATACAGAACCCTGACAATATTCAATCAACTATTACATCTATGGATATAAGGTAGTAGCCCACCTAATAGAATGAGGGGGTGTTTCGTACGGAGGAGTATTCCAGATAATACATGAGGGCGGTGTGCTTAGCGGTATGGCCTTAACTACTGTGCTGATATAATCCTTCTGCGGCAGAAAACCAAAGGGCCCTCTGGCGCTACTGTACTGCCGCACTTAGGTGTCTACCCCGTCTTGATTGGACATCCGCAAAGCCCGTTGTTTGCATAAAACCAGTCTTGGCGTCTATAAAATTGCTGATGAATACATGTATTCTACACATCCATAGATGCCGTAGGAAGTTTTCTACTGAGACCAGATAATCTAAAGGTGAGGGGAGGAATCATAACTAGTAGATGATGTGAAAGTGAAGTGAGCACCTGGTGGAATACAACTTCATCACCTCTGTGATTTTATTGGTTAAAGCCTTTCACCATCAGTTCTCTAATAGTACTGATTCGATTTATTACTATTTGAGGACCTCACCTATAGCCTTGTGATCCTTTACCAGCTCCAGAACCTAATCTGTTTCTTGTGATGAAAATCACCTGATACCTGTTCGGTCTAGGTATATATAAAGTCCATGGACTAGCTTTCTCTCTCTCTCTCTCTCTTCCAATCCCCTCTCTCTTCTCAACACAGTGAGCAAACTTCGCAAGCCCCCTCTTACGGTAGGACCTTACACTTTCTCCTCTCTAAAACCATACATGACTTTCCTAATCATTCTACAGTCCACGGATCCATGTGTGGACATTACATTTGATCACAAATCCGAGAGTTGATCAACTAGACGGAGGCAGAAGAAGACCCAGGCATACGCGGCCGATGCGGACATGAGGAAAATAGCCTGCCCTCTTCTCCTGTCCTATGCAGGGCGACTCCAAATCAAACCTATCTGATGTTTACCCGCGGCTGCCATCCGGCCCATGGATGGAGGTTCCACTACAGGACTCGATGGGACAACGCAGGCACAAAGGATTACTCTGTGTGGATCAGTTCCCAAGTGCTTGATTTCAGGGCCTTGAGTGACCAACACAATGGCTACACCCAAGAAAGGGCGCTGTGAAGCTTTGTACAGGAAACATGGAAGGGAGACTTTGGATGATCGACTACAAGCAAGGACGGTCGTTGCTATCTGACAGACCGTCCTTGTTTGGACCAAGCTGTCGGGAGTCATCTGCCTGGGACCATGATCCTATGTTTTTGCTAGCTCGATCAGTTTCCTCTCAGTCCAATATGTGCATCAACCTGCTCCATATCAACCCCCACCTCGGGTTGATGAGGTGAGGCAGTTTGGACAGCTGTACAAAATTGACTGGGATTCGCACAAGCGAGACTCTTCAGATCCTACTATGGGTAGGAAGGAAAAGATCTCTTCAAATTGGTTGATTAGAGGGAAGAGAAAGAAAACGAGCAGCTTGTCGATCAATGAGACTTCATGTCGAGAACCCAGGCGCCCTGGCTTTGGCATCAAATTCAGCCTTCCATTCGAGGATAAAACATATGGCCATTCGGTATCACAGCATAAGAGACCTGATTCGGAACGCTCAAATCCTATTGCAACAGACACCATCAGTGGATATGAAGGCTGACGGTTCGACAAAACCACTTGGAAGAGTGAAATTTGCTGACTGGATGACACTGCTGGGATTGACTAAAGCGGAAACTGTGTCAGATTCATGAAAACTTGCTAAATTGAAGAATGGGGGGTAGTTTTTGCTAGCAAAGACCTAGGGATCTATGCATGGGGGGTGTTAGGAAAGATCATCTGATGTTTCCTATTCCTGTACATAGATCTGTGTTTTTGCTTTCTTTTCTCTCTCTCTTTCTCTGTGCAATGAAAAACCTTGCTTCTTGTGCCAACCTTTTTCCTTTGCTTAGTTCTATGACTTCTGGCTTTGAGCCTGCTTCTTTCTTGCGAGTAGCTCTTAGATAGGGACTTCCCAAGATATCTGAAGTTTTACTGCAATTTCCGAGGCTAAGCCTACACCTGAAAGTCTACGCCCATTGAGCTATCTACCTTTTCCATTCCATGTCCCTGAAACATGTTGTATGTCGACTTGATGTCTCGGAAAAGCTCCATTGGGTTGAACAACGCGAGCCAAGCATGAATCCCCAAGGTACCACCCTGATAGAACTTTGCGCGGGGAGTGCCGCTCTCGCTTTCAATGGCAAAAAGATACTGCAGGTTGCTAGCATCATTGAAACCTGTTGTTGTGTATGGCTTGATGGAGTAGGCGTAGTAGAATAAGAATGCGAACGGAACCACTTGTAGACAAATAATCATCGTGGGCAAGCCGATAATGGTGTCTGCATAGCTCATGGTTGAAGAGGGCTCAAGGGCGCCAGTGGAGTCAAGAATCATGAATATTATCTAATATGCGTTACGGATTCGCCGCTTGTGGAATAACACGTGTTGAATGGATAGATATAGCTGACCTGTTCTAAGAACTCAAGACCGACAATCATCTTGAATGCCAAGAGCTTTATCATAGGCTTGTGTTGTTTCATGTGGGATTGGAGATTGCCGTGAAACCGGAGGATATTGACCATTGCAAAGGCAAGTGATATCACCGCAATAGCGGTAAGCTAGACAGAGTGTTAATCACCATTCTCAACTTGAATTTACCAAATATACTAACCCATAAGTGAGCAAAATAAGCCTCCTTCCCCTTGAGGCAGAACATTCCCTGTGCTTGCGTAATGCTTTGAACAATCGCAAGAATAAATGTGACAATGGGATATTGTAAAACAAAGAGCCAGGTCGACTGCGAAGAGGAGTCAGCTCAATGTCGCAGTATGGAGCAAGTATGAAACAACCAACCTTTAAGCGTGATAGTCCATCTGTTGTGTTGGTTTTGCTATACCGCTTGAGCACCCTCGTGGATGCAAAGAATTCAGCTCTGTGTGAGTCATTGGGAACAAAAAAATCGCAAAGCAACATGAGAAACCAATAGAGGGCAACTCCTTGGAAAACCTTTGTCCATCCAACCAGATAGACATATGCGTTAGGAAAGCACACCGAAAGAAATGAGTAGATCGTATACAATGGGAACAACGTGGCGATTCTCATGATTCTTCATACGAAATTTGTCAGTGCCTGTGTATTTTTTCTGGTCCTGGATAAAGCTTGTTTCAAGTTGGACTTACTTTAGCTGTTGATTTGGATCGCTTAAATGCGTGGCATGTCGAGCCATAGTCGTAAAGATAATCAAACAAGTGACTCCAGTACACACCCCACAAAGTATCATGTTGAAGTGGTGGAATGTAAAGTTACCGACAAAGTTTTCAGATGCATCTAGTCCACAGCAACAAATTAGTCTATTGGCTTCGACAAAACACCATTGAAATTGAAATGCGCACCAGGGATCAGATGCTCTGGCATAGGGCATGTAGCGGCTTTCCCGCCAGCACGACGATACAAAAAATTTGCAGTGTCCATTCTGACTCGCAAAAATCTGCTGAAATGGGCCTCTGGGGAGGATTCTTCGATGGTGAGCACTACCCTCGGAGCCAATATCTTAGTGAAATCGCCCTGAATAAGGATTATTCGAAGAGGAGGCTTTCCAAAAGCTTTGGAATGAGTAGTAGACAGATAGCACATGGAAATTGCCCATGTTTATATACATACCTAGGTACTTCATCATCTGCGAAATTCAGCCCCGTTTAGTCTCAGCCTTGCTGTTAATTTTAGGATATGATGTACTCCCGATACTCAACGGAGAACTGTCAACTGCATCTAGACGTCATGATGTCGAGATAAGGAAAAGGATCTGGGGGAAGCTCCCAAAATTCACCGATTTTGTTGAAGATATACGCCGTGCATCGATGGGGGCGTTTTGGGGCAGACAATGCGGCTACATGGCGCTCGTTCTCATTGGTCGAACGTCGCAGTTACCAAAAGGGGCTTAATGTGGCGTCGGGAGCGGGTGCACGGCCCCTCGAGCTAAATCTTATTTCGCCAATCACATTCCTGACCCTTTCAGCTCCATACGTGGCTATGATCAATCGAATAGCATCTGGCTCCTTTTTTCGGTAAGTGATGCAGATCATTCTACTAGCTACATACAGCCAGTGATTTTTTCTCCCACTGCTACGTGGACACAGCATATCGGTGGGGACGATTGGTGCCACGATCATGTTCTTCCGATCGTCGGATCAGTCAAGCCCACAGATGGTGATCCCCACGGATCTGCACTCTCGATTGGTTCTGGACCTCGGAAGCTTGTACATTCTTTGCTCAGTTTACAGCACAATATCCGGGAGCCCAAAAGCGTCCACGGTTGTGTTTAACTGCCATCCTCGGCCATTCCGAGCACGCCCGGCGGTGAACTTATACCGCGACAAAGGTTGATGATCAACTACCTAGGTATCAAGTCATGCTCCCGAGTTATTGGGCTTGTATCTGATTATTTGATAGACCGCGACTCGGACGCACGATAAGTATTACCTAGGTACTTTTGATATCTTTGCATGAGTGCTTCGTGTATCAACCGATACCTAGGTAGCACCTCGCCGCTTGTATTTTGTTCAATGGCTCATCATACCTACCTAGTAAGTACCAATAGTCACCAAAAAGTCAAGTTGCTCAACCCTAGCAGCCCTGTAGAGCTCATGTTGTACTAGACACTGTTTTGGCATCAAAATATATAGCTGTAATGGGGTCATTCGCAGTGCTTTGGCTACATCCCTCCGTGCCAAAAAAGCCCGTTGATCATCATTCTCGATGAAAAAGCTAGAAGAATGAGGGGAATATGGTAGACGGCGACTGCGGGTTGTACCAGTAGGAAGTTGAGGTGACATCGATCGCTTGGCTGAGAGGGCTAGAAAGCAAGAGAACTGAGCAAAGGGGAAGAAGAAGAGATCAGCAACCATGTGCCTCATCTCGAACACCCCCCATGAGCTGTGCTCAGATCTAACCAAATCACTTGGGAGATGGCAAGAACGTGCAGCGAAACAGGGGGAAAACGGTCTCGAATTCCCGGCAAATAACACCCGAGACACCACCTAAAAAGCCCGAGAATTGCAAGGAATGTGTGGAACGATAATCAAACTCGCCCCCTAAGGAACACACGCGAGGGCTAGAAAATGTAGAGCATTGACGAAAAAATCGATGTGTTGGGCAGTTGAAATCGCAAACGCTGCTGTGTTGTTGAATATTTCGTGTTACTAGCTCATGCCGCAGTTGGGGCTGCGGGTGTAGTCGATATTGCTGTAACAGGTTGATGCAGTCGACCGGCACAGATGCAGTCTATGACGCAGCTCGTGCTGCGGGTTGATGAAAAGGTTTGGCGTTTACCAGGTCATCGGTAACACTTTTGTACTCTAACATGATCCCTGCTATCAGACCAGAGTTTGATCATATGACACTTAAGTGCTGAGCTAAGGCTTTCTTCAGAATGATCTTCCTAGATCACTGGTTGCAGTAGGTTTGGGGGTGAGCTCGGGGCTCTGGATAGCGTATGATGACTCCGGGTTAACCACAGATGGGGTGAGGTGTCAGGGAATGTGCGATGACCTAAACGATGCCTGTGAGGTTTTCGTGATATTGGAGATGCTCTGTATAATGTTGTGAGACCTAACCGATGAGGCTCAAGATGAGGCTCTGCTGGCGGGTCTCGAGCGGGGCAAGTGAGGTTGTTGACTAGTTAAAAAAAAAGAGGCTGATTGGGTTTCGGTAAAGATCCCAATCAAGCGAAGGGCTCATGACCTGATAGATGGCAGTTGAGAAGAGATCAATTGATTGAGAAAGCTAGAGAGCAAGCAAGAGAACCTTGGAACTGAGCAAAGGGGAAGAAGAGATCAGGAGCCATGTGACCTAATCTCCAACAAAAAGGCACCTGGGCACCTACATCCATCGATGTTGAAGTTGAGGCCGTGAGGTAAATATTTGAGCTTGGCGACAAGTTGCGGACCCAGTGGAGAAAGCCACACGGAATTCTATGCCAGATTGTAATTTATAAGTACCTCAGGCTAACCGAGCCGTGGCTGAGGCTGAGGCTGAGGCAGTGTTAACTCGAGGACCGACGGAATGATTGCGCTTTTTGTTGTACAGTTGAATCTGAATCTTTCGCCCTTTGAATCTGGTTGTAAACGCTGTCGATGTCTATGAATTGGGGATTTGACATGCGTACCTAGGTAATTATGAAACCAGGGTGAACTATACTTGAGATGAAGGTTGAATCTGATTGGGTCTACGAGGTACCGGTAGAATCCGATTGTGGTTAGTACACGCAGGGTCTAACCGTGAGCTATGCAGTACCGATATGAAATATGCCCGGAATAGTTTGCCAAGGGCGCTTGTTATATTTGAGAAGCATAAGCCGCATATATGACGGCCCAAGTGGTTTACGAGACCCACTATTTTTGTAGCTGATCCTTCCGTTGTTCTGTTACGGCTTGTAAAATACAGAAGGGGCTCAACTCAGGTGGGGCATTGCCCTATGCACGGTGGCTTTGTCCAAATCAGATTCCCTTTACCCAGGAAGAAAGCGTTTGTTCGTAACATTTTTGAGGCTTTCAATGGTCCCAAAGTACTGACATTCTACTTTCGGCAGCATTTCAAAGTTTTAGTTTTCAATGCAGGGTCTATTTACAAGGTAGAAAATCCACATACGCCAACACACCTATGCCAAGGCTAATGCCCGGGCCGTCCCTGGAATTAATACCCACGCGCCGATGTAACATTGGAAGACTATAGTGTAAAGTTCATCTCTTCACGCAAGACCCCTAATTTTACCCACTTTCCACTTCTGTTTTCTTCTCCTCTAAAGAGATCATACTGTTCTTGTCCTTCAGTAACCTTTCGTCAATACAAGCCGCCCTCATCTATTCTTTTGAAGTTTTCTTTAATTTCTGTCTTCTTGCTTATCATGTCTAAGGATCCGTCACGTCCGCCGTACGGATACGCCGTACGCAGAGAGAAAACCTGCCTCGCAGGAGAAGGCCTGACTGAAGCATCGTATGGTTTCGTCCGATGCTGCCCCAGCGGCTCGATCGCAAAAAACAGTAACACAGGCAGGTGTTGTCCGACTGAAAAAGATTGCAAAGACGAAATCAACAACCCACCACACTGCGCTGACGATAGCTGGGATCTTTACAAAAGCCTTGATGGTGGACTTTTCTGTTGTGAACAGGATGTAGTCGGGTTCAAGTTCGCCAATGATAATGCAGTTGGGTGTGCCGAACGAGACTCAGTTTCAGATGCGGTGTGGTTTGATGTATTCACACGTAAGATTCAGATCTTACTTACTCGACATGAGCTCCTATTGATATAATTAGCTTCGAACTCGACATCTAGCACCTCCCAAACATCGAGCACCTCCCAAACATCGAGCACCTCCCAAACATCGAGCACTTCCCCAACATCGAGCACCGCCCCAACATCGAGCACCGCCCCAACATCGAGCGACTCCCCAACTTCGACCAGCTCCCCGACGTCCAGTGGCTCTTCTAGCTCAAATGCTGGCGCTATCGCAGGTGGCGTGGTTGGTGGTGTGGCCGGGTTAGCAATAATCTTGGCCTTCCTTTGGTATTGCATGCGTCGTCGCCGACAGAAGCAACCAGATCAAGATCTCACACCCGTCACCGAAGCATCGATGGGCCAATACCGAGATGTCCAGGCCTCGCAAAATCCGAGCGAGCCAGGCAGCTCTGCGACCAAACCAAGCGAGTTAGACGGTCAGGGTTATGTGTCAGAGCTACCTGGCTACAAGGATAATACTCCCTCTCCCCAGGAGTTGCCAGGAAACCTAAGGACTTGATGACCCTCGTTTGAACACTCTAAGATACCCTTCTTCGGTCACCTCTGTGTATAATCATTTTCACCTATCTGGTGTCTTCTTCTTGCCTTCAAGTTTATTCATCCAAGTTTATTAGCCAAAGACGTGCCCTCTAGCAAAACTGTTTCAACTGATATGGTTTGATCGTCAATTTCAAAAGAGTCAAAATGAGGCTACTTCATGTTAAAAAGCGTCTAGTACTGCTTTTGGACAAACTACAAAGTTGACTCATTTGTCTTTCTCAGCCTCCGATGTTTTCGAATTGTGCACAATACCCAGTTTAGAAGTTTTCTTATGCTCCGCAATTGTGACCGGGGGCCGGGCCATGCTTCAAAGGTGCCAGAATCCTAACTGCATTGATACAAGTGGGATGGAGTGGACGGAAGCTCATTGTTGATCTATCCCTTTGGTCGGATACTACGTCCGCCAAGCCAAAAGTCTCACGACACCGAAGTACAAGGCTGATTCACGCATACACGCTGAGCGTGGTAGAGAATAGAGAGAACGCTTGGTCATTTTCGCAAACGTTTCAACTACATTAGTTCGATTTTGGCCCCATTATCAAGACCCCCGGGGGCCGACATAGCGGATAAGGGGACCCACAGGGGGCAGCTGGGTCGATTAGAGCCTAGCCCGAGCCCTGCCCCATTACCGCATCCCGGGGTCTAGTCCTCCGAAATAGCAAGCCTGGGACGTCTACCTTTCTGATGTGATAGGAACTGTATTTAGGTATTAACGCTCGATGCTCTCGTTTATGAATCCTGACTACCTAGGTACAACATGACCGGTTTTTTCAGGGTTGCAGACAAGATATTAATCATCATTCAAGGATATGTATTACATCAATCAAGCTCCAACAAAACTTGGAAGTTAACGAAAATAAAATGAACAGTAACATCTTCTTGCTTGTAAGCCCCTTCCAAAGTTCAAGGCTGTTGTGCACGGCGTGGAATCCGATCCGTATATTCAATGCAACTCACCCTTCGAATCTCCAGACGAAGAGCTTGGGCGAAAGTCGCCTCTTTGGCCCCCATATTTACCTTTTTTGCCCCTCCCGACAGATCCTTCGTTGTCTGAGCTTAGTTGTTCAGGGGGCGTTTGAGGTCGACGACGCTTTAAAGCCCCCGGTCGTATTCGATCTATCGAACATTGCTGCTGTGTCTGCATCTGCTGCCGTGCTTCAGCACATGAAAGAAAATCGCAAAGCTGCTTCGATGTGATGAGAATCTCGCGATGAAGACCCACTTGGCCACGTGAAAGATCCTCTGTCGCGAAGTCCCTGAGCCTTAGTCGTAGCGCTGTGCCTTCGGTTGCAAGTCCAGAGTTTGTTCGAAAAGGCTGTTCAACAATTAGAACGCAATCACCAGATGTGTTTTCCCATAATGGACCGTACCTGTGCTTCTATCGCCACGGCGGCCCGAAATTCCTCCACACCATTTACCGTTGCATATTCTGGTCGCCATGTAGTAATTGTGGCTTCTCTAGAGCCCTGGTAATCGATATACAAAGCAATCACCACGTTCACACTCCCGTCAGTGTTTAAAATATAATCATCGGCCAGGTAGGAAATCCGCTTGCTCTTTCGTGAATAGCATACCTCCAGGATTACACCGGGGTAAAGGGCCTGCCAATGCCCAAATGAGGCATCCGGTTCCCGTTTCGAGAATGTGTGTTTACCATCGTGCGTGTCTTCGGGTATCAAAATTCGGGATGTAGCAAAATGCTGGATCTGCTTGGCGAAATTGGCGGTAAGTCCGTCAGTTTCCTGGAGTTGGCTCAGTTGTTTGAGTATTTCATCCGCTATCCTTGCGCAAAATGTATCATGGACAGGACTTGGCATCCGGATTGTCAGACAGCAGCGACGGGGATCGTAATCGTATCTGTAATGATTAGACACATCTGCTTCTTCATACCGCAGTACCTACCGTATTTTGTCTTCCACATAGCCGCGAAGGTTTTCATCAGCATCAAGGACACCCAAAACTTCTAGATAGCCGTCTGGTTTGAGCCGGATTTCCCACCAAGAGCTTGGCCGGTGATTGGCACGATGGAGCCGCAAATAAGTGACCACGCTTTGGGCACTTCTCGATAGAGGCTTGTGTTCCGTCGGCGGTGGTGTAAAAGGGGGCTCGAGAACATTTCTTGATGGGGTGATGCCAGATGCCATGGACGTGCGCCAAGCTGTTAGTACTGGGGGATTCGGAGTGGTTTGTTTGTCCCGCACCCAGAGGATCCCCCCGGGAGTCACGTGAGGTGACCAAGTTGCCCCGGGGCCTGGGTGGACCTGACCCCGGAGTAGGTGCCCACAGGTGGACGCCCGGGCGTGGGCCCACCTGGGTACTGTAGGTGTACGGGAGCGACACGCGACGGTCACGTGCTACGAGCTCCAGGGCTGGACTTGGGCTGTCTCGTCGCGGCTCTGCTTGCCCAAGTGGCACAGCCCTCTGATCTTCGCTGCCTCCCCGCTTGAACGGCACAGTAAGGACTCGGCTTCATGACATTCGACATTTGAATTCTTCAAAACTCAGCAAGAGATTCAAGTTGGCGACAAAAGATATTTTTGGATACTCAATGAATGTTGGAAGTAGCATTTCATGCAAATTTCACGATCTGAGATCGCTGACCCCTAGTTGCCTCCCCAGGCTGGGATTGTCGTGGACGGCAGTAATTGGTTGGCAGCATGCACAAACCCCACTGTCGGCGCTTCAAGTGAGCTCGACGCAGAACACCCTCAAGATGGCGGGGGCTGGGTGTGTTTGTCCTCTTTTTGTATTCCACAACTCCAGCTGCTTGAAAGTCTTTCCTACACCACAGAATGACGGTCGAAATATGTCATGCAAAACGACCTACCCACACGAGCGACTTGATCGCATGTCTGAATCAGCCAAACATCGGAGAAAAGGAACACGCTGCACTCAATGAGATCAAGGCACGATGGTGCAAGAGTTCACCAACGACTCTAAGTCCCTATTCTATTGGAACGAAGCTTGCATGCTTTCGGAAGTGGTCACTGAACGGGAATTCGAAGAGCTGGTCTACGCTTTTTCATATGCGATCACCGAAGGTGCGGCCGACGGGCGACCAGTCAACCACGACTTGTTGAGATGCTTTGCAAGGTGTTTGCGTCAGAGCAAACACAAGATTCCTTGCGAGAGGGCGCGTTTCGGATCTGTGTTGACTGGTCTCAACACACACCTCACCGTGACAGTACGCGCGAATGACCCGCAGACGATATATTTCTTGCTTTGCGCCGTCAGCATACTGCTTGACACCATGGTAGATATCAAGTTCTCTGATCTTGAACGGGAGTCGCTCCATTCGCCCCTCAAAAAGACGCTCGAAGACTTGGCCGACAGCAAAGAGCCCCGAGTCGCCCAGGCAGCCCAATATGCCTCTCAAGCCTTGAGCCGTGTGCCAGATAATGAAGGGCCATGGGAAGAGTTCTTTCGCGTCAGCGGTGACGCCATCCAGGCTGCTGCGACAATCAGTGGCGGAGTAGCCAAGCTTGACCCCTCGCAGGTCATTGATGCCGGTCCTGATCTGATCAAACTTCTCACTTTCTTTTCCAGTGTTGTCAAGGGAGGCAAAGAGATCTGGGAGACCCGCGAGGATCTGAAGCAAATGGCCAAGGCCATGCGGGATGTTTCCGAGCGAAAGGGCTGGTACGATGCTCTGCGTCAGACAGATATCTTGATTCGCGCAGGTGCCTATGCTGGCCTGAAGATGGTCCTGCCGAGCTTGAAATGTCTGGGCAAACACCCGTTCTGGTGCGGACTATATTCGCAACTAGAACAACACTGGATCTCAGGGCAGAGACACAGAGAAGACATCGAACAATTCGTCAAGTGGACTCTAGACGAGAAAGCTCTAACAGACCACTGGGCCAAAAGTGAGTCTGTGCGGCACTGGATTGGCTTCATTGCCGACTCGCTTCATCATCCAGAGTGGAAAGATCTTGTCCCGAAAAGGAAAAGTCGCTTGCCCTCAAGGCTTACCCGCCGTACTGTTTCCAAGCCACTGCTGAGAACGATTCCGCAGGAGGGTCATACAGAGGGGGTTTGGAAGGCCTCTCGGCTTTTTGATAAGGCATTTGTATCCTGCAGAAAGGCACGTCTATTCTATGCGGGTACTGTGCTTGCTCAGCATTACACTGATGATAACCACAGCTTGCTTCACCTCAAACGTCTCTCGGGTGAGGATGTGCCGATGAGTCGCTGCTATGTCAATCTGTCCCTCATTAAGCATGGAACTAGGAATGATAAGGATTATCAGCCGATGGTCTCACTCCAGAAAAGGCTCCAAGCCGAGTCTCCACAACCAGCGACAAAAGTATCTTTGGCAGACCTGTTCACTCCCAAGTTACTACGAAGCAAGTCTTATGGGAAACCTCAACGCATTCTGATTCGTGGCCGTGCTGGAGTGGGAAAGACTACTTTATGCAAGAAGATCATCTACGACTTCCTTCATCATGATCTGTGGGCATCTGAGTACGAACAGATTGTTTGGATTCCGTTGAGAAAGCTGAAGAATCACAAATCACTCGAAAGCTTTCTAACGGATGAAGTTTTCAAAAAGGTTTCATACGGCGGCGATTTGCTGGAAACACTCCAAGAGTCATTGAATGACCCGCACAGCACCGGAACGTTGTTCATTCTCGATGGCCTTGATGAGATAGTTGGCTACCAGCTACCAGGCTGCAGCCTCATTGAACTTTTTCAGGATCTCTTGAACCGCAAGGACGTGATAATCACATCACGGCCACATGCAGCGTTTCCTTCCGGTCTTGATGCATATGATGTCGAAATCGAGACTGTGGGCTTCAAGGATTCTGAAATCACTTCCTACGTGGATCATTTCATTCCCCAGGATGGCCAAAGAGTCGAGATCATGAAGTTCATCAATCAGAATTGGGCTTTGAAAGGATTGATGCGGATTCCTATCCAGCTCGATGCGCTTTGTTTCACTTGGAACGAAGCGTCTGCTCAGCATGGATCTTTGGCTACAATGAGCGCACTTTATTTGAGAATTGAGACCAAGTTGTGGTGCAAGGACATGGTTCGAATGGGAATCACAGTTAATGGCCAGCCATTGACTGATCACACGGCCGCTCGTTACAAGACCCATGGACAAGCATACAAAGTCATGAAAACACCAATCGATCTTGTTAGATTCATGGCTTTCTTCGGAATGTACCACGGCATCACTGAGTTTACATCGGAGGTTCGCACCCGCATCCACGATATGGTGGGAGGAACAACCGACAACGACCTGGATCACATTTCCTTCCTCCGCAGCTCAGACAGATCACTGGCCCATCGAGATCGAGATTACTACTTCCTTCACCTGACCTTTCAAGAATATTTTGCAGCGCAGCACTTTGTACAATCCTGGAAACAAGCTGGCTGTATACAAACCTTGAGCCGGGACTCTGCCAAAGTTATCGAAATACCAGCGAGTGAATTCCTTGACCAAAAAAAGTACGACGGACGCTATAACATCATGTGGCGGTTCGTCACTGGAATCCTGAAAGTTACGGACCACCAAGAGGAAGAAGAGTTCTTGTTCAAATTCCTGGGCCATATAGCAGCAGAGCAAGTCGGCCCATTTGGGCCTCATCTGAGGCTTCTCGCGCATTGCTTCAGTGAGACTAGCGAAGAAGAAGCTAGCCCTAAGTTAATGGGGCTCTGGCAAAAGACAAACGATCAGCTTTTCCGACTCTTCTTGTATATGTTGTCTTTCGGTGAACTCGGACTCGATGAAGATGAAGCTGAGTTCCAGCTTCCCGATAGCATTCTCCTGTCAATTCTCAAGAACGGAAACTCCGAGTACCAAGAAAAGATCATGAGGTTGATCATACTACGTCAAACCTTGACACCCAAAGTTTGCAGCGCAGTGATTGATATTTTCAGATCTTCCAAAACCTCGTCATTGGCCCGACTGACCCAGAGAATTATCGGTCGATGCCCCGACTTCTTGGACGCAACTCTGATTGCAATCATCAAAAGTGGAGGAGATTTGGCCTATTTCTTTGCGAGTCTCACGTCTCGGTCAGCTATTTCGAATGAAGTGTTGGAAGCGGCGTTCTCATTTGGCTACCCCGCTGCGTCATATCTGCTTGGGGAGCAACGTCATCTTCCTGAAAGAGTTCTTCAGGGATTGACCACTAAACTCTCCAATGAGTCGGCTGATGACCGCGCGGACGCTATTCGTGCTTTGAAAAACTCATCGTGCAAAAAGGAAATCCTCAATTGTATCATTGGTGAGTTGGATGGTCCTTGGACTAAAGCGAAAGAACAAAGCTTGAATTTCCTCCGCGCTCAGCCAACGGTTTCCCCTGAAGTGCTTCTCAAAGCTACCCAAGATATAGAAAATATGGATTGGATCGAAGAGCGGACTGTAATACATCTGTTGGCAGCTCATCAGCCTCTGTCAGGAGATATAATCGACCGAGTTTGGAGTTCTTTGAGCTGTGCAAGGACTCCCGTCGACATGATCTCCCAAACAGAATCTGTTAAGATTTTGTTTCACCACGGCTCCTTCTCTGAGGCTGAATCTCTGACACGATTTCTCAACTGCCAATGTAAAGACACATTCGCGGTTCATGTGGCAATTGGTTGCGGCCAGCGTTGTTTTCCGCCAGATTTCGTTATCGACCATGTTCTTTCTGTTTTGAGTAGACTGATGTCACTCCACGGCCGAGAAATTTCCGAACGTGACTCTTATTTGCGCAAGTGCATTCTACATGTCTTCCGACAAAATCCTCTGCCAGATAAGGCTCGGGAATTTTTGGAACGAAATTACGCAACTTGCCCGGAACTAGCCATTAAAGCTCTGTCACATCAGACATCGCTGCCAAAAAATATCCTGGATGATCTTATATCCAGGATTCACGCCAAGAAAGAGCTAGATGCAAATGACATCCATCTCTTTCGACCCCTATCACACCTGGTGTCTCTGCCAAATTCCACTTTGGAGAAAGCTGCCCACTTGCTTCGATTGAGGCTGGACCCAACTTTACTGGAGCTTTTCCTCAATCAGAGTACTCTTTCGTCAAATATTTTGACCTCTCTTCTGGCCAGCTCCCTACCTTCGGATGAAGATTCCTACAACGGTCAGTTCGCCAGACAGCTGATCGAATTTATTTTGGTGAAGCATCCCGGCATTGACATCTTCCTTACCTCATCAAGCCCAGATGAATGGGTAAACTTCTTCGGATTCCTCCTTAGCGCAAGCTTCCGAGGATATGTCTGTTTCATCCATCAAAATCATCTTCACATCAAAATTAAGGAGCGCTCGGTGCATATTAACATCGAAGGAGACGAGCAGCGTCGGAAATTACAGATTGCGCTTGATTCTGTGCAACAAATGATCCAAGACGAAGTAGATGCTTACAGCAAACAATTTGGCTCCTTGCCGAGTCTTGTTTGATGCATCTTCTTCACTACGAATACGCTGGGGTATAGTGGACAGGGGGCGGATGTAATTGAAATTACACAATCTAGGCCTAATTGGGACTAGTGCCGAATTTGTCAGGTGGCAGAAAAATTAGATACCAGTATTAGCCCGTACGACAGATCGGGCAATTGGATGCCTCAGGCAGCAAAAGTTAGCAAACGATGCAAACATGCCATTCCATACGTCATACCTTCACCTCCCCCCGCATTTGCTCTTCTCTTTCTACACCGCTCCCTACACTTTCGCTGCCCGTGCTGCTCGCCGCCCCCGAGGTAAGTCCGCTGCCGCTGCCGCTGTCACCGCCGCCGAGTCTGACTGATGCGATTGCAGCCACAGGCAGTGAGGTCAGGCTCAGCGCCAGGAATCTAGTAGTTGCGGGCATTTGTAGGGGGGCGAATAGCCTCAGCTCGGAGGGGGGAGGGGGCTCAGGCGGCAAAGTAAGCTCAACGCCTGGAATCTGGTGATCCCGGGCATTTGTATGGGGACGAATAGCTTCATAAATTTGGAACCATTTACCATACACTGTATAGGGCGGTGAATACTGTAATTTACACTCTTCCAAATCAGGCCTCAAACCCGTAATTCTAATTACATCCGCCCCCTGTCCATTATACCCCAGCGTACTACGAAGCTTCAAGTTGCTCATTGGTTCTTCGCTCATCGATTATGACCAATTCAAGAACAGACTTTGATTTTAGACACAGTCAAAGATTTTCAAGTCAAAGCTCGAGTCTTAGTCGATGCCTAAAAGCAGTCCGTCGCGACTGATGTAAAAGCAGCTTGGAACGACTGATGTAAAAGCAGCTTGGAACGACTGATGTAAAAGCAGCTTGGAACGACCAACTAGAAGGGGGAGAAGATGTTGGCCGAAGTCGGCTCTCGTGGCCTCTTGACTGGAAAGACAGATATAAACCTTGGAATAGGCCTACAACCAGGAGAATGGCTATGACATGCACGAATGAATGAATTAAGAACATTCTGTACAATGGCCGGAGACACTTGGCGCATGGGGCTGCTCATTCAAATTCACAACGACGCAAATTGAGATTTGATTGCAGCAACGCCATTTGCTTCAAGGTTGAGAATGATTGCTTTCGACTTCGCGAGGTACATCTACCAAGAGAGATTAGGGGCACTTGCAGCGATCGACTGAGGTTCGGACGATTCGGACGGCTCGGACAACCCTAACTTCGGACGTCGGAAGTGGTTGGAATCCGAGAAGCAAAACACGTATAAAAAATAGATGCGATCTCACAAAGCTCGGTTTTCATTCAATTCTCTTTGACAATATCCATTTCGCAGCAATATGTCCGAAAAAGCGTCAGCCAAAGATGACCAAGAACAATATCCATCGCCACTCAAACTGGCCGTGATCGTCACTGCTCTCTGTCTGGCAATATTCTGCATGGCGCTGGTAAATCTAACTCTACTTCTAAAACCCTCGATTCAATACTGATTCCCCGTTCTCTGCAGGATAATACCATCATCGCGACAGCCATTCCTCACATCACGGGTCAATTCCATGCGCTCGATGACGTGGGTTGGTATGGTAGCGCCTATTTCCTTACCACTTGCTCGATGCAGCTGGTCTTCGGAAAGCTCTACACCTTTTGCTCGATCAAATGGGTTTTCCTCTCAGCATTGGCCATTTTCGAAGTCGGATCTCTGGTTTGCGGTGTAACTCCCAACTCATTGGGACTCATAATTGGTCGGGCGGTGGCCGGGATCGGGGCAGCTGGTCTCTTTTCCGGTGCCATCCTCATCATTGCGACCTCGGTTCCATTGGAGAAAAGACCTTTGTACACGGGGATAGTTGGGGGTATGTATGGGATTGCGAGTGTAGCAGGGCCTTTGTATGTGAATCGACTTTGCATTCGTTCTCGCAGGAGCTAATATGGCATACTAGAATGGGCGGAGCTTTCACAGATCATGTTTCGTGGCGTTGGTGCTTCTTTATCAACCTCCCAATCGGCGCTGTGACATTTATCTTCTTACTCTGTTTCTTGCATTCGCCCCCCAAGGCACGGTCAAGTTTGTCCCTCTGGGAGCAGATCCAACAGTTTGATATCATTGGCACAATCTTCTTCATTCCTTCTATCATATGCTTGCTCTTAGCATTGCAATGGGGTGGGTCTGCTTATGAGTGGGGTGATGGAAGAATCATTGCTTTGTTCGTCGTTTTCGGGGTTCTCATGATTGTCTTCGTCGGTGTGCAACTCTGGCGACAAGAGAATGCCACACTTCCGCCCCGCATCTTTGCAAACCGGAATGTATGGGGAAGCTCTTCCTTCACTTTCTGCCTTGGAGCATCTTTTTTCGCCCTGGTGTATTATGTGAGTGTTTCAACATCATCTTTCCTGATCAGAGACTAAGGAAAGATAGCTCCCTATCTGGTTCCAAGCAATCAAAGGTGCATCAGCGGTGAAGTCAGGCATCATGAACCTCCCAATGCTTCTGGCTCAGGTGATCTTGTCTATTGTGGCAGGGGCTTGTGTGACGCAATTCGGCTATTATACCCCTTTCATGGTCATTTCATCTGTGCTCATGGCAGTCGGGGCAGGCCTTTTGTCAACCTTTCAGCCTGACACCGGCAGTGGGAAATGGATCGGCTATCAAATTATCTTTGGTGCTGGAGTGGGTACGGGCATGCAGCAAGCACTGATCGCCGTTCAAAGGGCCCTTCCACCCGCCGATGTGCCTATTGCAACAGCTACAGTCATGTTTTCGCAGACCCTTGGTGGGGCTGTTTTCGTTTCCGTGGCACAGAATGTTTTTACGAACGCCCTTTTGCAGAGTCTCTCCGGTATAGCAACTCTTGACCCACGGCAGGTCGTCAACATTGGTGCTACAGCCTTAAACGATCTTATCCCGGCAGACGTGTTACCACATGTCACTTCCGCCTACAATGACGGTCTTGTGGCTGCCTTTTATGTGTCGACTACTATGGGAGTATTGTCCTTGTTTGGGACATTGTTTGTGCAGTGGAAATCTGTGAAGAGTTGAGAGGCCCCTCTTCCCCAAATTACTATGGCTATGCTGTGGTCTACAACCATCACTCAACGGGATTTGATGAGGGAGTGGATGACTACTTCCAGTTTCTCATCTATCTGTTTGTGTGTCCTTCATTCATTTTTCATTTTTCTTTCTTCTAGATTTGTATTATTAAAGAGCGACTAGAGCAAGATATAATTAAAAATCGAGGGTTTAAATCCCATCTTGACGAGACATCTACTGATGGAAGGGAGAGGCCAGAGAGAAGTGATGGAAAATCCACTCAGATAGATGGTGAAGAAGGGAACAGCAAAGAAATGGCTGTTGAATATACTAGGTATCTGCTCAGTGGTATCGATTGCATCCGCGGAATCAATGCCTCAGTGAAGAGAAGAATCATCACCCCGAGCACACAAGGACAACTTAGAAACTGTCACGCATAAGGGATACATCAAACCAATCCAATGATGGCCGAGAGGTAAACAATTCCCATATCAGACTCTCTTCTGTACTGTTTGCATTTTCTCTGTTTGTACCATCGTCTAGTAAGACTTCCGTTTCAGGTCCTGCCGTATCTTGCGGAACAGTCTGCCCCATTAACGGATCACACAAGACGAGGAAATCGCTAAAGAGACTGTACACTCTGTGAATCCACTCGTTCGCATGAATAAACCGAGACATGCTTCTTGTAACGTGACGCATCAGGTCGAAGTCGGGTCTGTGTGAGGATGCAACTACGTTGCAAAATAGCACAAAGTATGGAGTGAGTGGATAAAGCAAGACGGTCCTGGGTTGTTTAGCAGATATTTGTAACGCGAGGGTTCCTGGCTTACCAAGTTAAAAAGGATGGATATTGATCTTCTGTATCCGGTTGTGTATCTTCGCGGTCCAGCATGGCAGCCAGAACAGTAAGTGCTTTCCGAGCTTTCTCAAGGCACCTGTCGTGATAGACACTACTCCACCGTGAGCATTTGAAGATATTAGCTGAAACTGCCGCTTGTGCGAATTCAGCCGCATCGAAGTCAAGTTGGAATCTTGACGGCACTGAAGCCCGAGTCTTCAAAGGTAAGTTGGCCTCACGAGTTTGGAAGGGGGAAGGCAAACTTACCTCTTTGATGAGAGTCAAGAGAGAATCAGCAGAGAATATAATTGCATCGATCTGAGATTTGTCTGCGACAGCATCTTGATTGAGCTGCATTTCAAGCACCACTTCCTGTATTTTCGCCATTTCCACCATTATTTTTACTGTTGTTTGGAGGGGATTGGCAGAGTGGACAGGGATCATAGAAACGGGATCAATGCGCAATTTTGGAAGAGATGGTTGCCGGACCAGAAGACAGCTCAAGACCTTGTCAAGGTAATAACACCAATAGAGACTGGCCTGGGTGTCATCGTCAAGCTCATCGGTTCTCTCCACTGCATGCAGATTAAGGGCAACCAGCATACGGGATGCAAATGCGGTGAGATTCCAACTATACGACATGTTCCCCAAGTATTGCATCAACATCGCCTGTTAAGTTAGCATTTTCTGACAAGAAGCAGGTAATGGTACATACGCCAGACAGAAGCGCTTGAATAAGTGATAGACTTGGAGATGACAGAAAGGGCAAACGACCCAGGGAAGCTAGTGCCACAAGCTTGTATTCACGTTCAGACTGTTTCAGTCTTTCACAAACTGCTTTGCTATAATGGTGTTGAGGAGACTTTATGAGAAAGAAGAATGCTTTCGTGTATACGCATATGCGGTAGTGAAGGGTTATTTGATCGTTTCCTTCGTTCTCGATCAAATAAAGAAGCATTCTCTCAAGAGTTGATCCTGTGATGTGATCGGGCCAATGGAACGTTTTAGCATCGGTTTCAGGTGCATCAAGGGTACCTGATTCTGTGGTTAGTGTGCAATGACTCGGCTCTGCGTCAGTCAATGCTTACTTGGAAGCATCATGTAGAGCAATTCAGGGGCAGTGGAAATAGACGGTAGATCCATTCCTGTGTCTGGTATATCCGGCATGGGCTGTGAACCAAGTGAAGAGTTAGAAATCTGGGAAACAAAATCCAAAGCCGACTTGAGCACATTTTGTCGATCCTTGGGCATGCGCTCATTGTGCTGGAGTTCGGTTTCGATGAATCGATGAGCTTCTGCAGTCCGATGTGAAGACTCGTGAGGTGTGTTAACCAGCGAAGGTGTGTTGACAAGCGATGAGAAACTCGATATCTCTTTGGACTTGCTCCGCTGGTTTGCCACATCCATCCGGGACAATGTTTCAGTTGGCTCTGTGGAATCTCTCGAGCGATCACTTCTGCTCGAAATCAATGATCCTGACCATGCGTTCTGTGATCTCTTGACAGACGTACTCGAAAGGATGCTGGGAACTCTTTTCAAGATTTTTCAATCTTGCCCCAAGGGCATCAATTCTTCTCCATCGTGAGATATTTGTCTTTCTGCCCAGGTCCTTCGATTACATACCTGGAAACGCGCGCGCGAAGCAGTCTTTGAGGACGGGTCCGACGGCATTCGGCATGGGCCTGTTTGCAGTTTTTGCAGTTTTCTGCACGGTCACATTTGACCTAACCGTCATACAATATTGTTGGCGGTCTTTCTCGAAGCATAGTCTAGAGTGAGAGACCGACCTTTCGTGCGTGGCACAAGTCACACTTTCGATGGTGACATCAGCGACGTGCAACACCTGGGCATTTTCAGGGCTGGATACTTACTGCTGGCCTAGTAAGAGGCCTTGGTTGACGTTCCATGATATTTGAGGATGTTTGGAAATCCTGCGGAGTACACGATCTGGAAAGGGAGGGTCTTTCGGGCTTCGGAAGTTCGGGATTTCGGATCAAAAAGTGGTGGATCTCCGGCCTAACTACTATCTTAAGTGAACCTTGGAAGTGAGGTGTCTGTTTGGTCACATGATCTTCTATCGTATGTCATGTGCTGTCATGTGCTGTCATGTGATTTGCTATTAAGGAATTGATTGGTTGAACCTTGGAATTGAATGGTGGATCCTGCTTGTTGTAGATATCTCCAGGAATCCAGGATTCCTTTACCATCTTCCTTCCTCATCTTTACCTACCTACCTAGGTAGGTAGATAGTTTTCATTGAATGTACACTCTGAATCTTCCAACCGAGATCCTCAGACCTGGCCACTCATGACAATATCTATGTAGTACTTGGATCTGAATTTAATCTATATTTAATACACTTTGTTCCTAATCAGAATGCTTTATCATCAACCTCAGCACTATTTTTAGCTCTCTTCTGGCTACCACCAGACTTTCAGATGCAAAATCCACTATAAATTGGCACGCCAAAGAGGTACTCCAAAAATTTTTCGTAAAGCATCTCAGCCTTACTACCTTCTTTACGCAATTAAGTCTAGATTAATAGATGAATTTCTCCAGATTCCTCTTTGGCGTAAGCTTCCGAGGATATATCCTCTATTTCTTCAATCAAAATCATCTTTATATTCAAATCAGAGAGTGATCAGTGTAAATTAACATCAAAGAGGATGAGCAACATCGAAAGATGAAGATTACGCTTGATTCTGCGCAACAAATAATCCAAGACAGAGTAGACGCTTACAGCAAAAAATCTGGCTCCCTGCCGAGTCTTGTTTGATGCATCTGCTTCGCTACAAATCTTCAACTTGGTCATTAGCTTTTAGGTAATCACTCAATCTTGGTGATGCCTGGTATTTCTTCCGAATTGTATACTTTCAATATTCAATTTGGACTTTCTTGGGCATATTGAACCCTACTAGGTAGTACCTATGCCAAGTATTACATGTCAGAATGGCATTCACCCCAGGAGGACATTACATCAACCTTAGTAGCCTTTTGACCAAAAGTAAATAGCTCTGTTATACACCAGGGTTCACGAATCACGATTCTTCAAAACCTTTCAGGTATACATCCGCCTCTTCTGCAGCTCGCAAAATTGTTTCCACATGGACATTACTTCGAGGCTTGAACTCAACTTTGTAAGGCAGTGGATGCTGTATGAGACCGTCCTCGTATGCGTCCAAATCCAAAGGCACGTTTTCGCCTGTCGTAGAGTGTTTCATGGGAAGAACTTCGAAGGCCCACAGCAATACTGCTGTGATTTGCCACTGAATATGTTCTGCCAGATGAATCCCAGGGCAAAGACGTTTACCAACACCATAGGCGTAGTGATCTACTAGGATTTAGATGAATTGTTTCAATAACGGGCACCACGATCTTACCTCGGTTCATGAAATTTGCATTGCCAACATATGCTGAGGCGAGTTTCTGGTGGTTGAGGAAACGATCAGGATTGTAAGTCTCTGGATCCTCATATCCACAGCCTTCGGAGTGCTGGATCGTCCAGGCCGGAATGAGGATAAGCGAATCTTTTGGAATCAGCATATTCTGATACCAATTGTCTTCTCTAGCACGATGTGGGAAGATAACAGGCACTCTAAGAGAAACGGTCAGTTTTTCACGTCAACTTGAAGGGCTGTAACTAACATAGGCTGGATTCTCATCCCTTCTTTGAGAATGCAATTGACGTAAGGGATGTTTTCATGGTCTGACCAAACTGGCAGTCTGGCGACAAGATTAGCAACAGCCCCCGTACACACGTCTAGCCACCATACCTGTGAGCGCCACAAGCGATGTCGATTTCGGCTTGTGCTTTCTGCTGTATAAGAGGATGAGCAGCAAGGTACCGAATAGATGTTAGGATACTTCCAGATGTTGTGTCTGATCCAGTACCAGTTAGAAACCCTAAAAAGTCGTTCAACTGCCGATCTGTTAGAGGAACATCGATAGGCTGGATCCCATCTAACAAAGCATCCGCTATGGAGACTCGCGTGTTGCCTTTTGCACGCCTTTCCTCAAGGCGTTGCCTGGCCTCTGCCCAGAAAGAGTCGACTTTTGCCTTCAGGCTCTTGGCGCGAGTCCTCCAGGGGCTCAAGCTATCAGGGAGGTATTTCAAAAAGGGAAACTGGTCGACAGGTGGATATGCGCCCGGTGTTATACCAGCGAAGAATTCATCAGATACTTCACACACACCGGAAGCCCACCAGCTGTCAAACGTGGGGGCCCTGAATCCCCAGGTAACTATGTCAAGAATAGAGGTCGTTGTGCGCTTTACGTGTTTGAAAAGCGCATCGGGGGTTGTGGCTAAGTCACGAAGCAGCACAGCGACCTCGGCTTCTTGGGTCTGGCGGAGGTTCCCTTCCACTTGGGCTGGTGAAAGACATGAGAATGTCACCTTCCGCTGTGATCTGCTATGAATGTTCGTGTCCCAAAGGGAAAAGCCGCCACAATCAATGATTGATATGACATGATCTTTTGGCCGATCAGAATATATAGAGCTCTTCTTCTCCAGCAGCTCATGGATTGCTTTTCGGTCGAGTAGGATGATGGTTGTTCCTGACCCAAATTTCAAAGAAAAAATGTTTCCATATTCCTGTGCCCATGCCTGAATTCTGCACAAGAGACTTGGTCAATGTTGGGGCTAGGTTCGGAATTTCGTGGGCTTACTTTTTATGGAACCCTGTCAAAGGTATCTGATGGAGATTGCCGAGTATGGGGACAGTTGGTGGACCTGGCGGTAGATACTTGGCGCGAGATCCTGCCCTCAGAAGCTTAGATATGACACAGAAAGAGAAAAGTATAAGCAAGTATGCCACCAAAGACGACATGATGTAGGTTGAAGTTTACCGGAAGGCAGACTGCAAACCTTCATCTGCGGGGTGTGTGAGGCACCTTTATAAAATGACCTTGGAAAGCACGTAATGAAATTGCTTCAGACCTCAAAATGATATCATTTCAGGACTTGGACTCTTTGGAAATTTTGGAAAAGTTGTTGCCGTGCGAAAGTGGTGATCGTCAATGCGCCCAAGAAGGAATATTAGACCCAAAGACGGACGCCCATAACCTTCAAGGTTGAACCTTGGAAATGCGAAGATCGATGCGTATTATCTTGGCCGTTCCAAAGTCGCCTGCAGTTCATGCGACCAATGTGAATGCAGTATGTATGCTATGGACTGCGTAATATGTGATATGTGACCTGGAACGCGCACCCACCAACGCACCCACCCACACACATACATACTATACTCCATATATGATTTTGTTTTACGTGCTGCCAGGTGGTACGTGTGTGATATTCCTCGGCGAAACCTGTACAGCTACCCGGGTGGACCACCACCTGGGCGTCCCATCTCACAGCCCTGTCATGAATCGCTGCGGACGACAGAGCTTTACAGTATTTTCCAAGGATATTACAAGAAACTAAATTATCAATGATCACCCGCTCATATTTCCATATCATTCCAAGTTGTTCACAGTGTCATAATGGCTTTGATACACCCCAACGATCGGTTAAGCCGCCAAGAGTTGATCACTCACAACTGTGTGGTATACCTGGGTATGGTATTAAACCAATGAAGGGATTTGGAGCAGATCAAATTACGGTCTGCTGATTCAATGGTTATGTTATTATGTTACTCTGGTAAAATACCGCATCTCCGTTCGGCATTATTAAAATACCAGTTCGCATCCCGAGCTCATCCTGCGTTGATAATGAGTCGTACTGTATGGCTCTTGGATCCATTTTGGGTCTCGGGCTCTCGTGAAAACACTTCATCAGACCTTCGACGCAGAACCTGTTCCATTAAAGGCAAGAGAATATCATATACGCGATAGATCAAATCCGAGATGCAACATCTATGCGATCACATCACCGTTGGGCCAACAGCCTCCAATTTCCGAAATCAAGTTAAGCCAGTTGGAGGATGTATTCCCAGCAATGGAGTATCCCACACCCAGATATTCCAAGGTTGAAGCAGGAGCTTCCTCATATCTCGATCTCTATGTACACGCTAGACCATTCTACCTGCAAATATATTACCTGGGCATCTCGAAACTTCCATGGTTCCATCTGTCTCTATTCCCAGCAACAGCCCTGGAGATTTCACGGCCAAAGAAAATTTATCTTGACATGTAGACAGCATATCCTAAACTCAGTAGGCCGAGTTATTCATAGCTAAGTTCTAAGAGGATACACAACTTCGGAAAATTTATGAATAGCGATCGAGATCTACCACGTGCGAGTTCACAATGCATCTAGCATTTCGTCATCATTCATTTTTGCCCAGGCGCCCAGCTGTGCTTATAAGGTGCACACCAATGGGGGCTTCCGAAAATTACATCGCGTAGCTGAGGTACTGCAAAATTACAAAGAGTTTCCAAACATGACCGTAAGGAGTATATTCAACCGAGAGAGACACCTTTCACTAACTTGGAATTTAGCGCCAGTTAATACAATACTATCATTCCAAGGTTGAGAAGATTGGTTCACGAGTCTTCGTCATATGCCGGCAGATAACCCTCGTCATCAAACAGCTCTACAAGGTGGTACCGGCGATGGGCAGTACACAACATGATCCACCCAGTGATAAATGTCCGCACTGGCTCAAGGAGATCATGATTAAGTTCCAAAGTTCGGTATGCGGAATCCATAACCTGTAATTTCTTTTAGCATGCTTGTACCATCTTCGCGGCATCCATTCCAAAATATGGGTTCTGATAAATGGGGGTAAGAAGAAGATACCTTAGGAGCATAGCCAACTAGATGTCTTAGAACATCCAAGTGGGACATGTCGTGTGTTTCAGCAAAGTTGGCCACAAAATTGCCCCTTTCCTGTCTGATAACAAACTCTTTGTAGTATGACAGGATGTCATTTGTAAAATCAATGAAGAGGACAAGCTCTTGTATAGCTGGGAAATACTGCATAAGGTAGGCTTCTTCCGGAAATATAGCTTTCGGCCACATCATGGACACCAGAATCTCAGCAGCGCCGACTTTCGTGCGTAAAAACATAGGCATAAGTCTTGCGGTGGAAGGAAAGTGGAAGTCTGATCGCTCCATTTCATGCTCGATGATGCGACCGTTCACGTAGTCAAAAAGTGACTTCATAATGGTTGAATGACAATATGGTCCATAGTAACGTGAGAGATAGCGGAGGTGCGTATCGAAGTTGGCAAGCAATGGGTGGTTATGACCATTGTTAAGGATAAAGCTGCAGTACTCAGTTAGCAGAGGCCTGGTTTTTAGGCATTTGCTGGCACTCACTTCTGACAAAAGCACCGTAGGTCATCTATAAAATCTTCGGCGATGTCGTCTACCAGGAACATGTAGAGTATCTGTACAGCGCACAGCACTTTGTTCTCGAAGGGCAGATTGGTGTATGCCTGATGCGTCAGGGTAACGGATAATTTGAGTGCTTTCTGAACCGGTTCTTCGATTTTTGCGCCCATGTTCAAACTCTTGAAATACGTCCACACGGCGGATTCGAGCTCAAGGTCTTTGGTAAATGGAAGGCTGCGGTCGAATTTGACAGAGTCAAGGAATTCCCTGATCAGTGACTTCACGACCTCAGCATGTGCGATGCCGTTGATCTCAAGACCATGGTACGCAAATGTGCTTTCCGGCTCGACAGAAACAGAGTCCATTTTGGTGTTGCTTCAGTTGAAAATTCGTCGTCTCACTAGGTATTTGAGTCTATAGCTTTATAAAAAAAGCTTTGGACCCACCTTGAAAGCTGCATGAACATAGATGATGTATCCATGGACTTGGGTACGAAGCTGCAAACGAGATTTCTGTCAAGATATGCAATATCATACGTAGGTGTTTCCTGCATCTGCCGTCACTACTAGGTATGTAATATCGGAAAGGTCGTTCCAAATCCTTGTTTATGTTACATGCGTGATGCCATCTTGCAATTTCGCATACTAGGGTACACACTGTTCAGGATCTACTTATGCAAAATAATTAGATTTTTGATCTTGAGCTATGCATAGCTGTCCAAGTGGCGATGCATAACCACCTTGGCAGTTTTCCTATACAAAAGCCGCTCTACTTACGCTGCCCAAGCCGTCGCCACTTATCTCATGATCATCGCATCTATATCTCCATGCAGGACTTTATTGTAGGTAGGCCACGAATATATCGTCATGCACCCACAAGCGCCGGATCACAAACACTGTGAGCTCCTATGGTGGCCCACCGAGGACCGCAGCCCAAATCCACCACAATCGAGAAATGGATTGGGCTTTTCGTTCTGGTCCTCGGACCCATAACACGGCTGAAGGCTTGATACTTCTACTTTAAGGGCTAGATGGGTGTTACTTGGGCTACAAAGAATATCCAATTGCCAATTGGAAGCATTTTTCGGGGCTGTTCAGTTACGTTCTGTTCAATTTTGGTCTCAAGGCTTATCCGTACATACTAGGTATTCAATGTTACTGTAATGCGATATTTCATAAGCGAATGTAGCTCAGAATAATCATTTTCTGCTTGAAGAATCACTCAAGCAGAATGCATTTTGATCACGGGTTTCGAAAAGTTTCAGCAGTGATAGAATTTCGCTCAAAAATGGCGGTTCTAGATATGGATCCCGTATCAACATGTTTATGATCCCATTGTCTAAGATATCTTATAATCCCGATGTCATTGATCTAGATCATTCATTTCCAACATTGAAACCAAGGCTTTTACTTCTCACCCGATAATGATTGAAACTTTATTGTACAAACACCTAGTCCGCAATGGGAAGTTGTGATACAAACCGGATTTTTATGATTGCTGGGTTACACTGCTTTCGATTTCCTTGCATTGCATCAAACCAAGTGTGATTGCACTTTGATCGACACGACGCCGCAGTGGAATGTTTTCCCGCGAAATGCGACCTCCGGACGGGATGATGACATGTCATCATGGATCTACCACGTGGATCAACTATACATTCGATTCAGAGTTTGTTCTTTCTTACCAGCGATCTGCCTCAAGATCTTGCAGGTTAATAACAAAATTTCCACCCGCTTGTTATTCTGTTCACTCCCTCCTCCAAGGTCAACATGGAATCTCTTCAAGGAGATGAACAATTCGACTACATTGTGATTGGTGCAGGGATTGGAGGCTCAGTGGTCGCATCTAGGCTCAGTGAGGATCCCACTCAAAGTGTCCTTCTGATCGAGGCCGGTCCTGACTGTGCGGACGACCCACGAGTCGAGATCCCAGCCCTGGTGACAACCCTGTATGGCGATGCCAAGCTAGACTGGGGATTCATGAGTGAGCCTCAAGAGCACGTCAATGGGCGACGAATTCCACAACCGCGCGGTCGAATGGTAGGCGGTTCATCGGCTTTGAATCTATCTCTCATCATGTATCCCTCTGACAATGACTTCCAAAACTGGAAAGATTTGGGGAATGAAGCATGGAGTCCAAAGATCATGGCTCCATACCTGCGAAGATTTCACAGATATATTGCGCCTGAGCGAGATGTCGTCGAACAACTGGGACTAGATGAGTATGTGAATCCTAGCAATCAAGGTTCCAGTGGGCCGTTGCCGGTTTCGTTCCCATCTTCATATGGCATCTTCAACCGCGCATGGAACGAGACATTTGCAAAGCTTGGCTGGCAAAATTCAGATGACCCTATTCTGGGAACAAAAATGGGCGGTTTCACCTGCCCTTTGTCCGTCGACCCTGAGACTTCAACTCGAGGGTCGGCAAATGCATATCGCCCAAAGCGATCGAATCTTGTTTTGCTCGCCGAGACTCGGGTTGAAAGAATTTTACTCACCTCGGAGTCTACGCCAGACGGATTGATCAACGCAACAGGCGTCCAGATAAACTGCCAAGGCGAACCGAAAGTGATCACTGCGAGGAAAGAGGTGATTCTCAGCGCGGGCAGCTTACAGTCTCCCCAGTTGCTTGAGCTTTCTGGTGTTGGGAATCCAGTAATTCTGCGCAGACATGGTATCCCAGTAATCCTTGATCTCCCTGGAGTTGGTGAAAACCTGCAAGATCATTATATTTCAATGATCAGCTACAAGGTTTCCAATGACCAAGTTTCAGGGGACATCATGAGGAATGCGCGCGTTGCACAAGATTCCATGGAACTATATCAGAAAACAAAAACGGGTCCCATGGTCGGAATGCCTGTGAGTGTGGCGTATCTTCCCCTTGTGGACCGCTGCAAACGCGCATCCCTGGAAGATCGCCGTCACATTATCAATGAATATCGAAATGCAACTACACCAGATGATAGCATATCTCGAGGTCTGGAAGCTCAGAATGAGATTCTTTCTCGTGTCCTCTGCGACGACGAAGAGGTTGCAGCTGAGTATATTTTCCTCCCGCTGCAACTGCACACAAACCCTGGCACCACGAGCATGGCCGAGTTATTTGAAAAGAAGGCGGACGGGAACTATATCAGCATTTTAGCCATGCTGTCACATCCATTCTCCAGGGGGGTCGTTCATATCAAATCACCAATGATTGACGATAAACCGAGTTTTGATCCAGGATACCTCAGCCATCCGTTGGACTTGGAGATACTGGCACGCCAGACGCAATTCGTGGAGCAGATTGTGCGGACGGAGCCGTTTCGATCCCTCATCCAGCCCGATGTCCGCATCCCGGATATAAGCACGAGTCCAGATCTATCATCAGATCTAGAGGTAGCCAAGGGTGTCGTCAAAGATCGGCTGCTTTCTTGCTTTCACCCCGCGGGTACCTGTTCGATGATGCCTGCTGAATTAGGTGGGGTGGTGGACGATCACCTGAGAGTGCATGGCACGACAAACCTCCGGGTTGTTGATGCTAGTATTTTTCCACTGGAGCCGACTGGTAATATTCAGGCAACTGTGTACGCAGTCGCTGAAAGAGCGGTGGATTTGATTCTGGGGAAATGAGATATGCGGATCACGGCAGTCTGTTGGGATCGAGTGGCTCCGAGGGCCTTGCCTTTCAGATCAAGTGGGATCCCATGGGGGGTCGTGGTAGGAGGGAAAGGGTACGCAAGTCTCAATTTGAGACTCTCAACTGATGCCTGAGGCGAAATCGCCCAGGTCCACGGGTGGATGTCTGTCTTTCCTCACCCACTCTGCATGCATGGGTTAATGCCTGTCTTTGTTTTGATTTCTCCACATCGTTTCCCGACACGCTTAGCCCAGTCCAATAGCCTATTTGGTCATACACATCAGTACAATTCAACCCCCTTCCAATTCGTGACTCGGCCAACATGGCTTATCTTCGTATGATATTCAGTCGGAATGAAACTAACTGTTCAAGTGGACGAGAAACAACATATGCATGTAAGAGAGAAAGAGACATGCAATAGATTTCGGTTCTGAATTCCTGACGACTAAAACGTTACGGATACCATCATCGCCGAATCCGGAACGCAAAGCACCTGGCAATGGACAAATGATCAAAAACTCTTGATTATCGCTATCTTCTTGGAAATTGAACTATCCGAAAGGTATCCCGCGATGAAAGTGAAGAAAAAATGTAACCAATCTTTCGGGAAGCCATTATTGATGAGATTATTGGCGTTCATCCGCAAATCGCCGAGTATATATGAAGCGGCATCAATAGCATCAAATTTATCGACATCAAATATTATCCTCACGTCGACCTTATTAGGTTTGGCACAGCAAATGAAGCGCTTGATATATATTCATAATAATTTTGTGGGTGATTTAGATGATTGAAAGTGAACAAAAGTGAATACAAGTGAGTGAACGTGAGTGAAAGTGAATAAGAGTGAGTAAGGTAGATCTCTTCGATGGAATGAAGATATCCTCTTACGAGTTTCTGTCTATTGAACAAATTGGTGAATATGAGCTCAGTTTGCTAGACGCGGAGTCATCATGAGAGAACAGGTGCCCAGGTAGCTTTCGAAGCTTCCAGAATCCCGGTTGGTACCCTCAAAACTGACGATCTGGTTGCCGACCGAGAGTTTGCGAATCTAGCCACAGTCCCTGATGATCGGCTGCTGGCATTCCGGAGAATCGTGATGTGCGCCAAAGACCGCAGGGGAGATGCCAAATGGACTCTGATCGATACCTAGGTATGAATACGGCTGGTAACACCCCAGTGTCACCCAAGGAGAACCGAGGACCCCGGCAAAGAAGGTCAGCTTCGACAAGGGAAGGAACATTGACTTTTTCAGCGAATTCATTGAAACTGTTGGGGTCTGAATCCCGTTCCTTCTTAGTTTGGCACTACTTCCCTTGGCTGTGCTTTCTACTCTGTGCTCCTCAACTTCCTCACTCAAACCTCTATCTCTTTCGAAACCCGTGCTCGTCCCATCTATGGGGCTCATCGATGCAGCATCCTTCGTGAGACATTACGGGGAGGATTCGTCTTCAAAGAACGGCCGGGAAGATCCTGTGTGCGCGGATAAACCCAAACAAAAAGGCCGAAACCCTCGAGCAACACATCAACCGTATGGAAATTAACCGTATGGTCGATGGGATGTTCCCGTCGGGCAGTTGTTGGTTCAGAGCGTTGAGCATCTCAGCACTGAAGTCAACTCTCGCTTTTTTTATCCCCCACACGAGTGGGAGTAACACGGACAACGAGTTCGGACCAGGGCTTTATACAACTGAAAGCCTTTTATACAGTCTACGATACCTCCGAGGCGGACTTGGAGTAACCATGGTATTCAAAGACCAGTACTTTCACGAGCTTCTGATAAAGCTACGGAGGGATCTTCCACGCGAAGAAAAGGCTGGTTCACAACCGAGAGAGAGCCACGAATCAAACGAGGGAAGAGCAAACTGGGAAAGAGAGCAAGCCATCTTGGGAGCAGCCAGGGTCAGCTGACTGGGTGTGCAACGGCTTCAGTTTGGCATCCCAGCCATCCGGAATGGGAGTTCTGAATGACAAAATGACTGAGCCGGCTACCCAGCTAAATTCAGAAGAGAGCGACGACTCTGATCTCGAAGATGGTGATACGGTCTTGACCCGAGGTTGGCAAAGAAACCCAAAAAACCTGGTCAAGCATGGTTTTCGTCCGGTGTGGACCTCAGAGGCTGGTTACCCAGAGGCCATTATCCCCTCCGATACCACGGAGTATTTGAACGAGGATTGAACATGCCGTATGTTTCAAACTCCGTGCCTTGTACATACCATGCTAATATACAGCTCCAGGCGGTGCATGCTTTGTGGGACCCCTGAGGACTCAGGAGCCTAGCCTGGCTGGTCGGTCTGGACGAACTTGTGGAGGCCGTTGATAGCCCCGCATTCACCATCACCGATGGGATCGAAGTTGTGCCGTCTGGCGCTGACCTGATGTGGGCCGTTGAAGACCACATGAGAAAGGGTTTATTTCCGAGCGCATTGCCGACCGAGTCTTCGAAGACCGACCCTGTACCAACTACTTTGATCGGTCAGCCCCCGTGCGTGAGCGAGACCAATGCCCAGAGGGCATCGCTGACACACCAACATTGTTCTCCTTGCGAGATATTACGGGTGTAAGTCTGTCACGTGCTGGCTCCCACCCTACCTAGGTAGATAGGGCCGTCGCCAGCCGTCGTTACGAATGGTAGATCTTCTTCTCTCCGTTCTTCGTCTCTGTCTGTAGGCTTTGTTCGTAGACTGTATCAAAGTCGCTTTCAAAGGTCGACAGGCAAGATCCTGTGTGCGCGGATCAAGCCACATAAAAAGCCTGAAACCCTTGAACGACACATGAACCGTATGGTTGATGGAATGTTCCTGTTGGGCCGTTGTTGGTTCCGAGCTTTAAGCATCTCGGCACTCAAGTCGACTCTTGCCTTCTTCATCCCGAAGACAAGTGGGAGTGACGGTGACAAGTCCACGGGTGCTATTAGGCAGTATACTAGAGTGCAACCGTCTTCACTTCATGTTACCATAACCTTGGAAGGTGTGGAAAGCAGGGCTTCCGTTTCCTCGGCTGTACTTAACTCACACTCCGGCGAGTGTGTGGGTGTATAATGTGATACCTGATAAGCACCTGGGTAAGGGATATCGCTCTCGGGGTCTATATGGTCTACCCAAAAGACATCACAACTAGAACAGGAAAAGGGAGAGAGAAAAGAGAGGTGTGGAGAGGGTGGAGTCGATATCGATAATCGCCTGAGGCATCGGCATCCATGGATAGTCACACCCCGCAGGTGATCAACAAACCCTCCAGCCCCAGGCTTTTGTTGTATATTTCTGCTTTTTGGTTTTTCGCTATGGTGTTTCGCTACTTGAAACCTTTTTACCAAGCTAAGTTACCTACGCTAGATTGCCTAAGGTTATGCTCTTCTATTCTCTATTAATACCTAGTAGGGATGGCTGTGCAATAGGGCCACGGTGTGATCAGCGCCCAGCTGCGTTGTAGACGTACGTGGAAAGATCAGGCATGTCTCAAACTCCTTTTAACCCGGGTGCAAATATGTACGTCATAGACTAGCTTGGAGCTCTGCGCGGGACAAATCGCAGCACTGCCCTCGTCTCAACAATGTGAGCGTCCCTTGCATCTGAGGCTCAAATGCCTCTCCCAAATTTCATCAATTGGACAAATGTTTACTCCGTACTACCGAGCGCAAACATCTGGTTTGTTACATGCAACCTATTGTATTCACATTGGTCTGTCGGAAATACATAGTATTCCCCATCAAGTGGACCCAGGGGCTGACAAGAGATAGAAACTAACCTGAAATGAGTATAAAAAGCAAACATACGCCAAGAGAGGGTGAAACGCGAAATGCAATGCGAGATGCCGTTTTACCACTGTAATTATGCTGGTTACATGGATTAACTACATGGCAAATTGACCAAATATTTAACACATAGATACGCAATAAGCAGAGTATGCGTGCACGATGCACCAACAGATAAGCCAGAAAACCCGAAAATGCAAAGAAATGAAAGCGAAATGGAATGAGGGAGCTGTATGTGCATTCTGACCCGCTGTCATCATACGCATACACCTGGGCAATACGTGTACGTGATAAGTATGCTCCGATTTACAGAGACAATTTTGGCACTCAGCCACAATCCAGCACCTGCGTCGTGTTTCTCGTCTATATTCTTCTTCCCTGGCAGGTTCCGCTCAACATCATATGCAATACCGTGCCAAAGGCTCTATGAACATGACAGCCACAACAATTGCAGACCCACCCGCTGTTCTTGACGCTCCTCCGGTCAAGGAGTTCATGATTGGTTGGATATGCATCCTAAGAGCAGAGTATCGAGCAGCTCTGGCAATCCTAGACGAAAAATACGAGACCAAGAACGTTGTCCGAGGATCAGAAGACAAGAACCAGTACGTGCTTGGTCGCGTTGGATCTCACAATGTCATCATCAACCTCCCGCCGGTGGGCTTGAACGGACCAGTTCACGCGTTCAGCGTGGCCCGTGACATGAAAAGTACTTTTCCCAGAATGCGTTTTACTCTTCTGGTGGGAATCGCAGGCGGTGTGCCCTCTCTGGACTCGGACATGCGTCTTGGAGACGTTGTCATAGGACAAAAAGTTGTCCCTTACCGAACCGGCAAAGAGACGCAATATGGTTTCGAGCGAACTGGCATGGTGAAAGCACCACCAAGCGAGCTTCTCACGACAATTGGCTATTTGAATGATCGCATCGACATCGATGGCTTAGATCTCTCCTCGTCGATTGAGGAGGTCCGTACGAAAATCACCAAAAGTGGAGCTGCATTCCTTCGACCTACTTCAGATCGATGTTATAAGGTTGGCTTCGCTCATCAAGACTCTGGTTGTGATTGCGTTTTGCCAGAGTCACGATACCCGGAGCGATTAGTCCACCGCAGTGAGCGCGAGGATGACCCGGTTCGGTTATTCCTCGGAGCAATGGGATCAGACGCCGCTGTGATGAAGAATGCCCAAAGCCGAGATGCGATTGCTAAAAGGGAGAGCATCATGTGCTATGAGATGGAATCCTGGGCAGTAATGGATTTCATACCTTGTCTTCCTATCCGCGGGATTTCCGACTATGCAGACGAGCACAAGAACGATGCATGGCATTTATATGCCTCTTTGGCAGCGGCAACATGTGCAAGAGAGTACTTACTGGCGCTTCCTCAACCTGTGCTTCGAAATTTCCCAGTGACAATCCAGGGATACGAGATGGATCGGTATATGAAAGGCACCACGAGCAACCCAAATATGTTCTGCGGGAGTGGAATCGAGAAGCTACAGCACACTCGCGATCATTTGAGAGAACGTCGAGAACTATTCAAAGAGCTCATGCACGGAGAACACCAGGATTCAATCCCAAAAACCGATGATGATGAAGATCCAAGTCGAAGTCAGGATGAAATCCTCAAAGATTTGCGCAAAGGATTGAAACACCATCTCGAAGTGCTTGATCAAATCATCGATCAAGAAGACGAGCTGCGTCAGAGCGGAGAGCCAGCCGTGAGACAGAAGTACGCGGACTTGAAGCGCCAGATACGGGCAGAGAGAATGATAGTGAGAGATCTGGCCGACATTGCCCCTGAAGGTGTGGGCTATACTGGAGAATGGTTTGAGAGTGTGGGAAGTACCTTAGGAAATAAGTTCATGAAGACCAGTGGTCGTCTCATGACATCAACTGCTCACTACTTCCGAAATCTGGGGGTTTTGTTCAAATCGAAAAACATCACCCCAACCCGCATATGGCGAGGAATGCACCGAGCCTATCGCAGGATTTGCCCTGTTCAACAAGGAAGACTGGTTGAGATGCAGAATATGAAAGTGGTTTAGTTGGGCCCAGGGACATGCCTTCTAGCACAATGATTCAAAGAGTGAGAAGGCAGTTGAAAACCTCGTTAGGACCACAGCCAGAGAGCAGCGGCTCGTGAATGAATCATCTGTATTTCTTTTTACTTACTCTTCTTACAGCTTTCTGACCTTGGGAGTCTAATTCAATCATGTATGATCACAGGGCACTCCGTAGACCTGGCCAAAAAGACCCCGGGATGCTTGGCAACTCAGTTAATTGGTCCGCTCGCGCGAAGTGTGACGGAGCCAATCACGGCCTTCTGCACCGGAGTGGATGAAAGATGCCGGCCCTAAAGTCTGGGGATCACTACTGTATATGCCGTGTGGGTCTACACCAGCTGGGTCAATCTTCAGGGCATCAAATACCTCCAGGGTTCATTACTGTACAGTGGCAACGCCATCGCCAAACTGAGGCCCTTCGGTATTGGTGGGAGATAAAGCGAGATAAGGAATGCGGCGTTTCCAGACTAGTATGTATTGAAAGGCGAGGGATAGTTTCTGTAACCAAGAGTGACTGTCTTATTGAACAATAACCTGAATCGGCACCCGCAGACAAAGACTCGAGGTGAAAATCTGGGCATCGGACTGCTTGTACGATAGGCAAAAGTCGAGAAGATAAACCCTGGATATCAAACATGAGTGAAAAGACGGAACCAAATACGTGTCTTGGGGCGCTGTGATTGGTACCACGATGGATGCCGTGTGCTGGGTCTGGGTAATCGAAACCGACTCGCCATGAGATGCCAAGTGAGGAGGGGAAGATTGATCACAAGGGGAATAAGCAGGCTTCTCAATCCAACGCACAGACTCTACACACATCTTGGAGATAGGCATCACCTTCCAGTCCATGCCTCGACCATAGTCTGCAAAAGAGACATTTCCTACCAGCAAGTCCGGGTAGGATTCCCAAGGAGCTGAACCGTATAAGGTGATGGCAGTCAGCCGAGTCGTAAGCGAGCATAACTGAGGGGGCTTCTTGGTGCCTTCTTGATCAAAGTTCAAATCAAGAACCGCTGTTGTGCATGGGTTTCGTAGGTCTGCTGAGCTGGTATAGCTGGAGTTTAGAGGCTCCGGCTGTGACACGGATACGCCGAGTCGGCCGACTTCACGACTCCATAACCTATCTTTGAAGGTCCTCTCCTTGGATATGCAATATAGATGGGATCCGAATCCCTCGCGAGGGGGCTCTTGGTCAAAGGTAGGAAGAATTTGGATCGGCTTTATTTCGGAGGTCATAGGTGCATGGGAGGGCTTGTTCGTTAATGGGAGGAGAAACGCCTGTACGGTGTAGGCAATCTCAACGGAGTCGGAGAGCTTATCCCTGGGACTAGCAGGGTCAGATGGATCCAAATAGGCATTTCCCATAGTCGGGGGAATTCTCAAGTGAGCCTCATAGACAGCTAGGCTTTGAGTGCGGTGCTTGCATGCTTGAAGCGGTAACGTTGTTGGAATCTCAAAGGAAAATGGACAACGGTAATGGCGATGAATCTGACTCATTTCCGAATGAGCGTAGTGTGTTGGGTTGAATGTTCGGCTCAATCTGAGGAATGTTTGCTCGGTCTTTGATCGCGATGACACTTGCTGGCCTATTCCCGTGCTTGACGTTCCTTAAATCCACTCAGTGATTCTTCCTGTGCTTCTTGGGTCCTCAAATACCTTGAAACACCACAACCAATCTCCCAAGTGATACATCGCCAGTGCTAATTGACACGCAGCCTTCAATGCGGTCGCCTGGGGTGTAAGGTCTGCCACCGGATCCAGCTCCAGTGAGCTGTATGTCAAATTTCGAAAGGGGCCCTTTTGTAAAACGTAAAGCCGCGAGCATGTTTCAAAATAATGGGAAGATGTCGAAGAGAAATGATGCAGCATCGGGAAAGTACATGGCTGCTCTGCAAATAAGGCAGGATGCCCCAGGGTAAAAGTGGCTTTTACTCCGCGTTTCGTTAGCTGTATAGGAAATCGGTACATCCCCATTTGATACACCCCATACAAGCGTCACGAGTACTACTGCACTCCACACCGGGGCAGCTCACGCCCTACGCCGCGCGCCCTGTGGGCCCCGGAGAATGTGTCTTTGACCGAGACCTCTCGGCCCGGGATCTCGATACCGAACAAGGATATTTTCCAGCCTCACTTGTATTTCGAAAGATCAAGGAACCTTGCCTGTTGAGCTTTCTGTAGACCCCGAAGCCATAGATGTGCCATCCTATCGTAGCCAGCGTCACTGGGGTGAATGCCATCAACAAGGTCTTGGACATCAGGGCCTTCTTTAGTATGCATGTCGACCAGGACAATCCTCTTCTCCTCAGCCGCCTTTCTATTCGCCAGTGCGCGGATCTGTTCATTCAAAGCAACGACCGTTGAGTCCACCACTTGGTTCGGACTGCCAACCAGTGTAGAGAAGAGAACCGTGCATTGCGGGCAGCAAGTCCACAAATATTCAAGCATTTCACCGAGGCGATTTCCGGCATTTTGAATTTGAAATGTCTGGAGACAGTCGTTTGAGCCGGCATTAACCAAAAAGACATCGGGAGATAATCTGCCGACCGATTGTTTGGCCTTTTTCTCAATCTCGTCGATTCTGAAGCCGCGCCAGCCCTCGTGGTCATTATTGTCCATAGATCCGTCTTTTCGCGACCCGACCATCTGGGCATTGATATCATGGAGCTTGAGCAGATTCACCAGGGTTTTTCTATACCCTGTGCCATTGGAAGATCCAACGCCACGTGTAATTGATCCGCCTAGGGGCATCAGGCGCAATGTGTGGACCGAAGCCTCGGATGAACACACTGCAGCAACTTGGTCAGCGTTTGAACCGTGATCACTTGTGTTTCTGACTTATGTACCATATCCGCGTCTGAAAACACGACTAGATCTTGATTTCCATGATGCTGATCGAATCGCGTTGGGTAAAGATGAGTGATTGATTCCATGGTGTGGCAAGTGGACAAGGCGAGGTAGCGGCATGTGAGAAAGGATTCCTTGTTGGGACATAATCTTGGTCCCTTGGTGCATATTGTCACATTGATACCTAGGTATTCTGCTGAATGAAAAATACGAAAGAAGGGGGAACGGTGTCATAAGTGTGAAGGACCCGAATCCTGCGCCGAGAGCTCGGCGACATGAAATTCCGCCGACGCCCTTGGGCTTTTCTTGACGCGGGCAGAATCCTCACCCACCTGTGTCTTTCTAAGATATTTGGAATTTCAATTGACAATTTTTGTATTACCTAGTAGATATGGTAAGTTCACAGGTTGCAGTGATACCTATTCTAGCTCGTGAAAGGATCATCCGAGCGATATATTTCTTGTGAATATGTATCTCTGATGGCCTCCTCCAAGAACTGCATGTCCAGCTCTGGCTGACAGAGCAATTGATTCAAAGACGAATGAGACCACGGAGGAGCTGTCAGCGAAAGTTCCGGAATCTGGAATTCCGCCTGAACAGGAACAGTAGATGTATCAGGAACCTGCACGCGACCCAAGTCCAGCATTGGCCCAGCGTCGGCCAAAGTTATCTCAATCGCCTCAACATGGTGGCAGTATTCTTGCGCGGCAAAATTGCCCACATCTTTGAGCTCTGTCAGAAGCTGCGTGGCTTGCGCGAAATTGTCGCGGTCAACTTGGTTGTCAGCTCCTTCTAGCTTGATGGAGATTGCGAGGATGACGAGCGATGAGAACAAGTATTGGGTAAAGAAGCAATCGAATGTGATGAAAGACCCATCAATCCAGGATTGGGCTAGAAGTTGCACAGAATGACGCGCACATCGAACGCAGGCTTCTGAGAGCGCAATTGCGCTTGCAGAAGCCTGGGATGATGCGGAATCTCCTCTAGAGGCCGCGATTTGAAACCGAAGCACGTGTAGCAAGATCGGTCGAGTGGCAACTATGATTGACTAGACCACCGTGAGTCAAATGACATCCGAGGGGAATTGGGAATCAAGGCTTTTGATTTCGGGTACTTACCTGGTAGAAGCAGAGATTAAGCGATACAGCTCGCCAGTTCGTTGGTTCGTCAGGCGGGAGGTCAATTTTGAGATGATTTGGTAATTGATCGCCCCAAGCCTGTAAATCCTGCAAAGTCTGTTGTAATCGCGCAGAGAGTTGTGCATCTCCCCCCTGGCGGCGTATTAGGTAGACGGACCGAACGACATTGGCTTGGTGCCGCACCAGCTCAATCCATGCTGCGTAATATTGGCAGTCTAGGCTATCGCGAGAATCTCGCTCCGTTGCCGACGTGGTATTGACTGGGACGTGTGAAGGAAGCCTAACCTCGATCTCAACATCCTGAATTGCCAAAGGGTAGCCAAGGTTCGTCGCCCACAGTCGATCGAATATATATGCTGTCCAGAATAATCGTTTTCGGTGCTCTCTGGTGTATGGATCAGGGAGTTCCATGGGAGAGATATTGAAATGAAGACCCAAGACGATCGCAGTGCGCATTGCGGTACCAGACAGTATGTATGCACTGTAACGGCGATTCACGGCAAGAGAGTAAAGTGACTTTACGTGCGTGGTCAATGGCGGTATATAAGAGCGAAAAAGAGGAAAGGACATACCAGTAGAAGAAGCGTTTCCACAGTATCTGTTGCGGGACGTTCATTGAAGTATCCTAGCATCTTCGATGCTTGAGCGAAGTATGCCATTCCCGGGTAACTCTGTTTTACAGCAGCTCTAGAAGTGGTCAACTCCCCGATGGCGAAGAGAACCCAAAGTTTACAGCACAAAAAGGGATCACTGTGCATATCACTTAGAGAGGTATGGGTCAGACTCTCCCGGACCACACCAGGGGAAACGATATAGCAAGAACGAGCTATGTATTTCAGGGCAGCCTCAAGTAGAAACTTAGCACGTGTGTTATTGGGCCACGGTGTATTGGCCCCAGTCAAAGCCACCAGGGAATCGTCAGTAGCATAGTTGAGTCTAAGAAGATGGGTTGGTTCGGGGACTCTGGGGTCCGACATGACTTGACGGAAGCGAGTTGAGAAGACCGTATCGGCCGCCTCACTTATGAGTATTGGGGTTCGAAAGACGTTTCTGTTATCGAACCATGGTGCCTCATTTGGTGGCAGGAATCTTTGAAGGGTGTCACCTTCGGCGTTAGTTTTGGGCAGCGGACTGGGACCTCCAGATAGCTCTGCTGGCCTTGGCGGAGAAATCCGGGGAGAGGCATCTTCTGGTTGGTGATCAGGCCCTATACTATCTGCTCCTGTATTGTGAACTGCGGGGTGAAGCGTAGTTTGTTGTTCTTTTAAGCGGTCAATTTGCTCGTAAAGCCCATCAATGAACCTGTTACATTGTCAGCGAGGAAAGATCTCATTCCGTATGGGGTTGAAGCACTTCTGCGTGACCTTCAGCGTTCTGTTTCGCTCAGGATATAAGCAATTGCTTCCTTGCTCGGCTTGCAAGCAGTTTTGGCATGGCTTCCCGCCTGTACACTTGACTTTCTTCGCGTGACAGCGGTGGCAGCTGTACGGTTTTAGCTTAACTCCACAGGGTGGCATGCAAAGGTCTCACGCAATAACTTTATTTGACACCAGGCGCCGCCGAGAACGATCTTCAGCTACTGCTTGCGACTCCGGACTGCTCTGCATCATGGGGCGTGGCGACGGCGAAAGAGAAAAGAGCCGGATGGAGTTGCAGATGCCAGGTGTGGGGCGACGACGGAGCTCGGCAACATCGGTTCCCGCCGAGACTTAATGCCTGAGGTGTCAAGAATACACTATAGTACATGGGAAACCTAGATTTACAATGAAGTTCAAGCATCGATTCAAGCATCAGACTCGATTGAATGATATTTGTGACTAGGCCTTCACGGGAGGGAGAGACAGAGTCTGCGCAAGTATGAGCGAATACGTTTTCTAGGGGCGAACCAGGTCATTTCAACCTTAGAATTAGCCGCAACAAACAGTTGCCTCGTTAGCAACACTTGTTTTTTGATTGGCTCTGTGGATAGTATCACAAAATGTAAGAAGTCTTTCAAATGCAGCTAGCGGGGAGGGAAAACTTACTCCATGTTGATAGATTCCCACGTGAAAATGAACGAGCCGATATAGGCACCAATGAAGATGCAGATGATGAAATAGCCATTATAGTACATGGCAAGACTGAGTAGAATAAGAATCAGTGGATTTGTCGACAAAATGGGTACCCGAGAGACACTCACAGCATGACAAAGTAGGCAATAGCAAATTGGACCATATGCAAAAGGGCGCGAACCGACTGCTGAAGTATGGTGGGAGTGAATATTTGAGAGACATCTTTCGTACACAAAGCTTCCAAAGACCTTGAAGCCCCCGAGTCTGGTTGTTGAAGGCGTTGCTTATGGCTTCTCAGCAGGAACCTATCGTACTCTTTTCCAAGACGGCGGAGGAATTCAAGAGATATAACCAAGCAGATGACTCCGATGCAGGAGCCGGCGAACATTCCCTTCGAAGTAATATGCCATGACTTTGCAATAAAGCATGAGTCGACTGTGTTCCAGTTCCATAGCATCTGATAGCATCATTAGAATAATAACGGGGGCTTCTGATATAAATCAAATTACCGAGATCTTGCAGGAGTTCCCCATTCCCATGTCCATACTCTTAGCAGCGGTAGACGAAGCTGCCGTGGCTGAACCAGTCATGCTTGGCATAACGTTGCTTGCCGCCGTCGTGGTTCCCATTGACATGTCCATGGCTGTGATTAACAGTTCAATTTTTGGGGATAAAACGACCGAGGCCGATTACCGGGAACATGACTTTATATAGAAAATCAAATACAAGGAGCTGATTGCCAACATATTATCTTTGTTGTCAGAAATTCGCTATACCAAGACAAAGTTCGTGTTTTGAGCAGAATTGAGCATGAATGAAAGCCAATCAAATCGGCCGGCTGTACATGGTCCTCCACACCCCATGCACTTCAGGGTCGTTTGCACCATAAGCCACCTGGTAGTCGGAGCATCTAGTCCCAGGAGACTTGTATATTGAAACACCCACAGTTCATCCATGGATATCTAGATGGACCCCTTGACAAAGAAAAAATTGATGATACTACAAGCAAGGACCGAAACTTTGAGCAGAATTGAGCATGACTGAGAGCTACTCGTAGTTAGCAGTTAGCAACGGTACTTCAGACCATCTAGGTTTGCGGTATCTGGAGAGGTGATATATGGTGCCACCAATATCCCACGGCGGCAACTGACCATGGTCATATTTTTCTTAATAGAAAACAATCAGCAGATTCCAAGAGAATAGCTTTGCATGGGCAGTTTGAGCAGAAATGAGCATACTTGGAAGCCAATCATAGTCTACGGCAGTGCCCGGCCCTCCACTTCATCGGCGAACAGCCAAGTGGGACGAGTCAACCAATGTGAGAGTCCCTAGACCCCGGAACTTACTGGATGGGGACTGCTCACCAGATTCTTGACCTTGACCTTGTAGAGCTATATCTCTTGGAGGTCTATTAAATGGCAGCGCACTATGGAATTTCGGTCTCTGGCCTGACCGTCAATGCAGGTGGTTTATTCACGTTGGTCTTCTTGCCTATCACCGACCTCCAGAACTCCTCCAGAATCATGCATTCCCGATGACGACCTGATGGATCGCCATTTAAACAAAACATCACCAGGGTCATGAAACTATGTTAGTGCGGGGCCAAAGAAGAAAATACGTAGGGATTTTCATCCTGGATGCTATGGCGGGTACTGGCTGATACGGTGACGGTGCCTTTGACGGGGATAAGATCTAAGGCAAAGAGAGGCCTGTAGAGCGGGATATGGCTTTGAGACCAGAAGTGGAAACCAAGTGACCAACCTTACAAGGTTGAACCTGACTCTTTTGATTCAGAGGAAGTGAAGCGCCGTTTGTTGATACGGATACACCGCCCGGCAGTATCAAGCTCCATCTAAGCTGTTTTGGGATCAGATAGCGTCCCCGTTCAAAACAACGATCAACTGCACAGTCTCCGCTCCAACTGATACTTGGTATGTCGATTTGACCCTTCCCTGATGTATACTTCCCTCCTATGGATGCGCACTCTGACCCTTGCATGGCTTGCTCCGGGGTCACGCATCACTGGCATCTGGGGAGATCCTCCGCTCATTGGGCTTTAGCCGCGTTGAATTTCCAATCTTCGATTCCAGAACACTAACAGATACGTCAATTTAGAATTCCCGAATTAATTCCAACCCAATATATCCCATATATACACAATGGCCACCGAAGGTGCTTCCAATTCCGTACGTCGCAGCCCAAGACGATGCCTTTATGCGCCGCCATGTCAAAACAAAACAAGCGGCGCAGCAATACGTCCTTGTTAAATGATCCTAACAATCACCTAGCCCATTCCCATCGAGGATCTGACGAAGATCACTACCGAGGTACGCTACCCCATACCCCATGGGTGGAACCCCGCGCTAACACAGACAGGCCTGCGAGGAAGCACTCCAGACCAGCAAGGGTTACGAGCATGACAATGTCGGAAACTGGAACTCACAGATTATCGTGAGCACTACCATCGCCAGGCCATGAAGCCTCAGTAGAATACCCCGCTAATTCTCATCTAGAACACCGTCCTCAAGGCCCTGATCACCGCCACCGCACCTTCCGAAGCCTCCAAGCCCCCTCCCTTCCGTTTCACCGTGAACAGCACAATCGTCCAGCAGGGCGTGATTGACGAGTCCGCTGCCGCGGATGGCGCGCTCAGCAACGCCGGCAAGCGTGGTATGCACTCTGCCTCCGGTGCTTTCTGGGATGTGAACCGTGATGGCATGTGGACTTTCAAGTACACTGGTGCCGAGGAGCGGGGGCTGGACGTCGTTGTCTGCGTTACCTGGTTCGCTGTTGTTTAGAGAGGGTGTGATCAGTGGGCAAGATGAACAGAACCCTTGGCCTGGTCTAGGAGTTTGGTCCTATACTTGGATCGACAGCGGCATTTTTGCATTTCCTTTCGTGTAATGAACTTTTGGTTTTAGTTCCCGCAGCAGGGTCGACCCTGTTGTTTTTCTATTGTGGGATTCCATTCGAGTGCAACCCGAGCGTGGTGTTCTGTCCTGTTTCGGTTTTCAGACTTGAGTCAAAATGGCTTTGAGCAAATTTATTATCGTGTAGACCTGTACAAATATGCAAGGAGGTCTGCCGTTTCTGAGATGGGGACTTGGAGAAAACATATTAAGAAGATATCTGAATTTGCGAAATAGCATGTTCATGAGAGGAAGGAAAAGTTGGTATCAGTACAAACTAGTGGGAAAATTCTAGGTCAATGAGCTGAGTATTGGCACGTAATTCAGAAAACACATTGAAGCCAAGATCCCAAGTGCGCCATTCCATGCGTGAAGACTCCCAATATCAACGCCCCCAGAAAGCCGTAAACTCGTAAGATGGATTGCCGAGCCATTAAAGTGCTCGGGGCCTAGTCCCCGTCTAGCGAGGCTCAGAATAGTCGTTCAGCGCAACGCAGATGGCACCACGGTGATGACCACTGTACTGGCGAATCACAATTCCAGAGCTAAGCTCCCACAACCGCGCATAGTGGTCACTGGAAACGGTCACCAGGTAAGCAGAGTCGGCAGAAAAGGCGCAGTCCCAAACCCAGCGCTGGTGGGTGGCGAGAGTCGTCTCCAGGAACAAAGTGTGGTTCACCGGATCCATGGGAGGCCCATCAGGAGAAGATGTGAATGTTTGCTGGGGACTTTCTTGGCGGGGTGGGTTATCAGTAATGCGCAGAAGGTCGCGATCTTGCGCAGGAGTGCCGAAGATACGGAGTAGGTCACTGGACTTCGCTGGTGCCTCGGCTGGAGCGGCTGGCTCCTCTGTTGGTGTCACAACTGGGGGGTTCAGAATCTCCTGCTCCTTCCACTGCTTGAGAGCAGCCTTGGCCGGGGCATAATCAGCGTCGAGGTTCCACACCTTGGCAGTATGGTCCGCAGAGCAAGTGGCAAGGTGCTTCACGTCGGGGGACAGCAGGACACGGGTGAGATAGTTGTTATGAGCTTGGAAGGTACAGACGGGAATAATGCGGGTAGTGTCGTCAGTTTGAACCATGCGCCACAGATAAACGTTGCCCTAGTAGAAAATGAGTTGAGATAAAGCGGAAGGACAGACGAAAGTGCTCCATACCTTCTTATTACCAGCGCAGAGTAGAGAGCCATCGCTAGCCACACTAACACTGAGGACTGCAGTGTCTTCCTCTGGGATCAACTGGTGGGTACAGACGCTCTCGCCGAGGTCCCAAACACGAACCATGCCGGCGTGGTCTCCACTGATCAGCTCACCCTGGTTTGGATGAATGACAACATCATTGACTGGTGCCTTATGGACATAGTTGCGCTGCAGGCTACCGGTCCGAGTATCCCAGACCTTCACAGTTCCATCTTCGGAGCTGGTGACCATCCACTTGCCCTCGCAGTGGAATGCGACACCTGTAATGTTGTTTGTGTGGCCCTCAAAGGTAATAACGGGGCTAGGATTGGTCGACTTGATGTCAAAAAGCTTCACATTGTTGTGGCCAGCGGCTGCCAAGAATCTCTTATCCGGGGTGATGCAAAGTCGATTGACCTGAGAATCGGGGTGTTGGATAGTACGCGAGCAAATGCCGGAGAGCGCCTCCCAAAAGCTATAAAGGATACATCAGCATGGCTTTCAATGGAAGATACAGGTAAAGAAAAACAAGAGCAAGACAATAGTGTTTGTTAGGAGCTTCAACTTACCGAATGGTATGGTCATACCCCGCTGAAGTTCGCGAAGCGATTAGCTCGGTGCCGGGAATAATGCGGGGAGTTCGACTTACCTGTACACAAGATAACACTCATGGCTGGATATTCAGCAGTCCAACAGTGTGGATCAGGAGGTCCTACGGCCAAAGTCTGACTGGCTATTGGATCCGTTGAAGAGCCGGGCGCGAGCAAGACAGATGCGGATTGGCTTGACCCGTCATGGTTCAGATGGGGAGTTCCGATTTCTGCCATGATCACGTGTTGAAGCGGTCTGGGGCGGCTCCTGGATACGATAAGAGAGCGGTGTGACAGCCCATGCGATAAGAGTATTTTGGGCAGGCGGTCAGTGAGCAAGTGACTTGGGTAGCCCTGGGTGTATAATTCATATTAAAATTACAAATTAGGATGTCTCAGGATCAATAGCTTCAATATCTTTGTTCAAAGAAATGTGGCGCTATTGTCTCTTTTTTTCACCAATCAACAGGCGCATTTCACGCAGCTGCTCTGCGCACTGAGTGGCTCATTACGGGCGGTGTAGAGCTCATGCCCAGATTCGGATGCGGCGCAAAAATACCCGTCCGATGATTGGCCTCTTATTGATGCCTTCATCGGGCAAAAAATAATCAACGGGCAGAAAAAGAAAACACCGGGTTGGACGTTGATGAGCTCCCTCTCCATGCACTCGTCCCATTGGCCGAGTTAGAGGTACAAGGGCAATGTAGCTTTCTTTGTTCTCTTCTCTAGCTTTGTTACTTGCTGCTTGTTCCAGGCTGAAGCTTCTCTTCTCTCAACTTTGACTTTGTTCACTGTCTCATTCTCCACCTTTCATCCTTCTTTCCAATTGAGTTTCGTACAATCGTCTAAGCTTCGATTCAATCAATCAATATGGAGAGCTTTGATTCCGCTGGGTTCCCTGTGAACTTTGAAGAGATGTTCATGGACCTCATCGGCGATGACGCACCTGAGGATGCCTCGACCATGGGTCCCTCTGATGAGTTCCTCCGCGAGTTTGCCAATGGCCCTCGTTTTGAAGCCGACTTTTTCTCCTCAAACTCTGCTGAGATCCAAGATGTCAATGGCGTCGCTGGCTCAGTCCCTTCCGAGCTCCTGTACAACCAGCAGCTGCCTGTTGAGCTTCAGCTCGTCCCCCAGCAGACATCCTTTGATCTTCAGTCCGCCCAGCAGCTTCCTGTCCAGGCTCAGCTCCCTGAGCAGCCTCAGCTCCCTGAGAACCCTCAGCTCCCTGAGAACCCTCAGCTTCCTGTCCAGGCTCAACTTCCTGTGCAGCCTCAGCTCCCTGTGCAGCCTCAGCTCTCTGAGCAGCCTCAGCTCCCTGAGCAGCCTCAGCTTCCCATCCAAGCTCAGCTTCCTGTCCAAGCTCAGCTTCCCGTCCAAGCTCAGCTTCCTATTCGGGCTCACTACCCTGCCCAGCCTCAGGTCGCTCCCCAGCAGCCCTCTCCTCAGGTCCGTGATCGTGCGAGCTCCTTGGAGTCACTGTTCGATGGAAATGCGTCTTTCGATTCCGATTGTCAGATTATCGAAACTCCTTTTACCTCCCCTGAGGTCGGCACCGTGGTGATGTCGATCCCCCTCACTCCCGCGTCTGCAAAGAAGACCCCAGGAAAGCGTGCTCCCAGGCGGGCAAGCAAGGCCAAGGCCAGCCCCAACGCCAATGTTCAAGTAAGTCAGCCAGCGAGCATCGACCTACCCACTCCTTGAGAAAGTACTAACCTTGCCATCCAGGCCTTCAACAACAAATTGAAGCCTGTGCGCCTCCCTCGCGCTCTGGCGACTGCCCAGCAGTACGCGCAGCATGTCTCGCCATTTGCATCCATCGAGCCACCACAGCACCAGCCTCAGCCTGGAGCTAATCCCCAGTCGGAGTCCGCAACCCAAGTCGCCCTCATCCAAGCTCGCGACCGCATCAAGGTCTTGGGCAACGAGCGCAGCTACTACCAGCAAGCTCTCCGCCGAGCTACAAACGTTGATCCCAACACTGGCAAGACCACCCTGGAGTCCCTGGAGTCCCAGAATGCAAACCTCCGCCGCGTGAACACCACTCAGACCAACACCAACAAGAAGCTTAAGGCTGAGCTTGCCACTGAGCGCAAGAAGTACCTCGACCTTGCTAATCTGTACAACCGCATGCTTCTCGATTTCCACAAGTCTCAGGAGGAGAACGCACAAATGAAGGCTCAGCTCGGTCAGGCTTGATTGCATTCATTTTACGATCCATGCATAATGCATCTCGGCGTTCATGTTCATTTCGTCCTATCAGGATTTCAGCAAGCGAGGAGTCAGGTCAATGGGTCAATTGAGGATAATGGGGAATCTAATATGTAACGATGCTAGTGGTGGGATGCCAGCATAGCCAAGGAGTTCTATCTAATTCACGAATGAATATTCAATTTCCAATGGACATTTCCTGCAATGTAAACTTCAATCAATGTGCTTTCATTGCCCACATAGTCTCAATTCGACAGCGTTTCACTTGATGAACCCAGACTTCGGACCTGAATGACTACCTACATAGGTAGGCATGTATAGGAGGAGTCGCGGAAATTCGGGTGTCAATTAACCTCCCCATCCAACTCCAAACAACCTGTACATCACACCTATCAAGGCAGCAAATGATCACGGGTGCTTTCCTCGCGCTGCTCACGGCCATATCTTTGGCGTGGGTGCTCGACTGCAGGTTACTTCACTTCTGAGCAAATTGACGCTTATATAGGTAGGTATCGAATGACAGATACGTTGCCTGGCCTCGGAGCCACAGTAGATGACCCGTACCGATATTGAGCTTACTTCAATCCTCCGAACGATTGATTCTCGACCTTACTTGACGCGCATTGTGGCTAATGTCCCTATCCCACAGTGACCTTGCCAAAAGAAAATCCATGAATGTCCCATCCGCCGCATCAACACCGCCATACCCTCTTTGGCCGCCCTCGACGAAACGTTGCTTACGAATGCCATTTGAGCATGAGGCTCGACGAAATGACCCAAGGGCCTCTTCTATTGCACGGCATTCCTCCAAAGTGGATATTTGCCGATGAGCTACTCGGACGGTAAAGACGGGATGCGTCGGGCTCATGAGAGTCGAGACAAAGCGATGTCGTCAGTCTGAGCGACCAACACATCCCCACGGGCTGTGAATGCCGAAACCCCGTGGCGGCAGCAGCGGGCAAGTGAGGCATTTTTCCAATGCGCAATACTCCGTAGTACCCCAGGAAACACCGCCAATTCACGATGAACTGACCCACACTCGAACCATACGTCATAGGCGTTGCGCTACACATCCGAACTTCACTGCTCCATACGCGTATTCAGACCCGTTGTCCTACAGTACTAGTACAGTATATTCGCGCAGCACGATATTTACAGTGCTAACAGAGCGTGCTTTGGCTCCGTTTTGCTGATATGTACGTGAATTAACACTATCTTAGCGGACATCAACTGACACCCATGTTGTCCAAACACAGCGACAATGACAATGGGATTGTCCTCATAATACTTTACTGCACACGACTCAGTTCGGATCAAGCAAAGTGCGTTGGGAAGTGTTCCACGGTGCGGTGGAACCTCGGGCGCAAATGAACAAGAAATCAAGGCAGCGGCCAACGACATTCCAAGTTGGAAAATGCTCGGTGAAAACTGGAAACCATCATCGGAGCGGAATTAGGTGGAATTAAGCTCCACAAGTCCATCAGCAAGTGGATTCCAAACGCAAAGTGGATGTCCGTGGCGCCAAACAGCGTGCCCCATTTCCGACCGGGTTCCCGATGAGGAGGGTAACGGTGGTTCTCGGCATGCCGGATTCTTCGGTCTCGGCTTTCCTCCATACATATTCGGGACTTGGCGTTTTTTTTTCTACCTTTTTTTTTCCAGGGTTTTTCTGGCTCGGCTATCGAAGAATGGAATATATGGACCCCATGCTTGCTTCTTTTGTTTCTCCAGCTTTTTTCGATCGGCCCATTCCCTCTGCTACGACTCGTGTTCAACATGGCTGACGAGATTCGCGGAAACTCGGTCTATCAGACTGAGCCGGTTGAGACACCTTCTCCCGTTGAGAAGCCTCATGCTCCCATGCAGGAGAAGACTGGCTTGATGGCCAAGTAAGTATCAGCACTTCCCCAGATCCCGAACACGTGCAGAACAATCCAACTAACAACTATACAGGCTGGGACGCATGATCAACGGAGATGTCAGGGAGGAAATGCCCCCGTACAAGGATATCGAGATCCATACCTGGAATGGCCCCGATGACCCGGAGAACCCTTTCAACTGGGGAAACAAGTACAAATGGCTGCTGACCATCACCGTGTGTTTCATGTAAGTTCACCTGTACACCACCCCGGAACACAGATATACTAACTTGCATCCAGCTCTATCTTGACCGGTCTCCCGGCAGGAACCTACGGTTCTGGCAATGACTGGATGGAGAGCCAATTCAACGTCCAGAACTCCCCCTTCCCCAACCTCTACTGGGCCACCACCTCGTGGAACATGGGCGCCGCATTCTGGCCTCTGATCTTCGTCCCGCTCACCGAGTCCTCCGGCCGTATGCCCGGCTACTTCGTCGCGTACATCATCCTGGTCATCTCGCTGTTCCCCTCTGCGTTTGCCAACAACTTCGCCACCCTCGTCGTCACCCGCTTCTTCGGCGGTGGTGCCTCCTCCGTCTCGATCAACATCGTCGGTGGCAGTATCTCCGACATCTGGCTCGGCGAACATGCTCGCAGTCTACCAATGTCCATCTTCGGTTTCACCAGTGTTGCCGGTATCGCACTGGGTCCCTTCATCGGTTCCGCAATCGTTCAGATCCCGCGTACGGAGCCCTGGCGCTGGATCTTCTACGTACAGATCATCTACAATGCCGCCCTGATCCCCGTATTCTGGTTCATCCTCCGCGAAACCAGACCAGACGTCATCCTCAAGACTCGTGCCCGCAAGATTAGAAAGGAAACAGGTCGTCCTATCTACGCCGCTGCCGAGATCGACGCCCCAAGCAAACTGCGTCTGCTTCAGATCTCTTTCTCCCGTCCCACAAACATGCTGATGACTGAGCCCGTCGTCATCTTCTTCACTCTCTGGATCAGTTTCGCCTGGGGAATCCTCTACCTCTTCTTCTCTAGCGTTGTCCAAACCTACTCCACAAACTATAACTGGTCTACCCTGGCAACCGGTCTCGTCCAGCTGGCTATCACAGTCGGTGCAATCATCGGAACAATCATCAACCCCCTCCAGGACTGGTTCTACTTCCGCTCCTCGGGCCGCAATACCGAGAAGCCAGGCAAGCCCATCCCCGAAGCAAGACTCTACACTGCTATTCCGGGTAGTCTGCTCTTCGCAGCGAGTCTGTTCTGGTACGGATGGTCCAGCAAGCCGGATGTGCACTGGATCGTGCCTACGATCGGTATCACCTGTGCCGGCCTGGGTATTTACTCCATCTACATGGCTGTTGTGAACTACCTGACTGATGCGTATGAGCGATATGCCGCATCTGCGCTCTCGGCTGCTTCGCTGGGTCGTAACTCTTTCGGTGCTTTCTTGCCGCTTGCTTCGCCGCAGTTGTTCAGTAATCTTGGCTTCGGGTGGGCTGGCTCATTGCTTGGGTTCATTGCTATTGCGTTGTCGGTTGTGCCTGTTGTGCTGGTGCTTAAGGGACCGCAGATTCGGGCTCGCAGTACCTTTATGAGAGAGGCGATGTGGGAGCCTGAGGAGAAGGTTGAGGTTGATTCGTCTGGAAAGGCTGATTTGGGTCCTACCTCCGAGGGTATCGCATAAGGGGATTCTGTATTGATGGCATGGTTTTGCCATGGAATCTTGCATTTTGCATTGCATGATTGGAAAGTTGTGTTGTAATTTATAAGCATTGGGAGGTTGCTTCGTTTTACAAAGATATCTCGTCCTAGCACATGAATAGATTGTTTCTATAGTTTATGTCTCTCTATGGCTGTACTTCAAACCAATGCACGCCAGATAAAAGATGGCACGGAAGAACAAACCAATAACAGAACGACCCACGTACTGCTCAAGTGTGAGCCTAGAGAAGAATGGATGTAGGAGGGTATCGAGGCAAGGTCGGAGTCAAAAGGCCATTCACATTGATTTCGCTTTTTGGAAACGCTTTCGTTTTCGTATCTTCGACTAAAACAGGGCAAGTCCTTTACTCGCCGCGCATGTTGCGGAAGAAGTCCATAACACCGGTGAAGACGACGAGGAGGATACCACCTCCGGGACCGAGACGGAGAACCTTAGGAGTGAATCCCTTGTACAGGGCGGAGAATCCCTCCTCCTTCATCACGGTACCGAGACCAGGCCAGGCCCAGTTGTACTTGGGGGTCTGACCGGGGACCTTGGTGGTGTTCTGGATGCGAGACTTGACAACATCCATGGGAGTGTTGAGGACGGTACCGGTGATACCACCGATAGTACCAGCGATCAGGTCGTTACGGGTCTGCTGGTTCTTGTTGCCAGGCTCGGGGGTGGGCAGCTGGGCGCGGACCTGGAAGATACAGCCGAAGTAACCGGCGTTCCAGAGGACATGGCGCCACATAGTGGACTCGAGACCATTGTACATGGCGAGGGGACCCTCAGCAGCGACAATCTTCTTGACAACATCGAACATGCCGTTGTACTTGTGAGCCTGGGCCTTGTCCTGCAGACGAATCTTGACCAGCTCGAAGGGAACGACGACGAAAGCCTCGGTGGCACCGGCAGTGGCACCGGTCAGGGTAGCCAGACCCTGGGTCTGCTTCTCAGCGCCGAACAGGTTGCGGTAGAACGCACCCCAGCTGTCATTGGCGGCGAACTTGGTGGCACGCTTGGGCGCCTCCATCAGGATGGGGGCGGAGATACCACGGTATAGACGGGAAGCACTGGAGTCGCATATTAGACTGAGCCCAAACCACCTCGCCGGGTAAAGACATACCCCTCGTTCTTGACAATCTTGCGGAAGCAATCGAACATGCCATTGTAGTGGTCAACACCGGGGACAGCGGGTCCGGTCTGAAGCTGACTGCAAGTCCATCTGGTTAGCTCACAGTGGTCAATGCTTGCGACCGACAATTGCTTACATTCGAGTCTTGAGAACGTCCAGAGGGTACCTATGAGTCGCGCATTGTCAATTGAGTTCGTCTTTCACCACTGCAGCTATACCGCGTGTTTCGCTAATACAGAGAGTCATGCGATCGGGGAGGGGGCAGGAAGGTCGTACATGATCAGAATCTGCGCGTAGGTGGAAACCACATGTTAGCCACTGAAGCCCGGACTGTTCACTGATCTGAACTGCAACTTGATCCAACAAATTGAGTCCAAACCACGTTCCTGAGGGGTACATACCTCTGAGACACCAGCCACCGCACCGGCGGCGAACTGGTAGACGAAGGGGAGGGGCTTCTGGGGAGTTTCCGACATGATGAATGGCCTGGTATACGTAAATACGGTGCAATGCAAAGGCGCGAGGTCCGAAAGAGTCACCTACACAATCGACAGAGTTGGTGAAGAAGAAGGCAGAGAGAGAGAGAGGTTCGGCGAGATTCGGTGATCCGCTCCGACTGCGGGCTAAACGCAGCTCCCGATTACTAATGACCCCACGGGGTACGACACATTCCACGGAACTTCTTACTCTTTGCGGTTGACACTTCCCGGACAGTGGTCGTTACAACATCCATAAGCTACTGAATATGCTAACTAGCAGCAATTTACCAATTTCCAGCTGGAATCCGTCTCCGCTGGTCGGTTGTTCCTTGCTGACAGTGGTTTTGGACGCGGTGTCAGTTGCCGTGCAGCTCGCACCGCATGCGAATCCCTCAGGACAGCACCCGCCGCCTACGGTATCGGCGCAATGAAACCATCCCTTGGCACACCGGTTTCCTGTCGCCTCCGTCGCCTCCGTCGCCGATGCTACTGGTGCAACAATTGTCACCCCGTTGGATATGAAGGTGGTGGAAGATGTTGTTGGGCACGAAGTGGTATCACAATCCCGTCCGGTGCGGCAGCAACCTCCATGGTAAACCGCGGAGCAGGCGTAAAACCCTGTCGGACAGAGGTCGTCACCTCCAGTCATGCTTGTCGCGGTTGAAAGACTGGTCGGTCGGGCTGGTGGTATAAAACCATCATTCGTACTTGTAGTTCGAGGCGAAGTGGTGGGTGAACTGCTTGATTGTGGAGTCGTAGAGTAGGTGATTGTGGATAGCGACACAGTTGAATGAACAGTCACTGTGACGACTGAAATGTATGCGCCTGTATAATCGAGTCAATACATATCGAAGACAAGGAAAGCAAATCAAACTCACATCCCCCTTCCACACAATCGTATCCTGGGATACAGCATCCCCCTCCTAGAGCCTGCGAGCAAGCGGAATAGCCAGCGGCGCATGACCCAATCCTTCCATTGCACGTCTTTCCCTGAGCACAGCAGCCTACATCCCCGTGGCCGGTGTCTGCGACGATCTCACAGGTCTCTCCGGACCCACAACAGCGATCGGCTCGGCCGATGGACGTGCAGGCCCATGTGCCGACCGGGCATTTGAAATGCCGTGCTTGTAGACCCTCCCCAAATGCCGAGGGAGTGGATGACCCGAACGGAAATGACTGGTCCATAAATCTCGCTGGTGAGAAGCCATTGTCGACATCCGTGTCTGGTAACGTTTGGTTGAATCCTTCAGCGGGGTTTGAATCAGTGTCCAGCGAGCCCATGAAGTCCCAGTAGTCGAGGAAGAACTTTTCGCCCCCATCGTCGCTCATTTTCCGAACCCCCCTCGCTGGTCCTTCTGCTAGCTGTGATGCGATCTGGAGGTCGCGCCGGGAGATGGCATCGGCGGCGTGATTGTCATTGTTTATTTGCAGACTATTAGCCGTGTTGGTCGCGCCGGCAGCCAGTGTTTGGATGCCGCATAATGACAAAGTCGTTAGCGCAGCGCGGAACTGCATGTTTGATGAGAGCTCAGGCGTGGGAAGTTGTTGCGCTGATCAGGTCAAGACAGGTTCGGACGGTCGAGATGTCTCAACTGTTGTTTCACGATGATGATCTGGTTGGCATCGAAATAAATCCAGTAATTCCAGCGAGGCGATTGTACCTCAACGGGACACTCCGTGAGACATATATATTAGGCTGCGAAATGGAATGGCTGGGCATCGGTGGATCTCACCGTTCATACGGTGTGCTCGATCAAAACACCCAGAATCAGATGTATCGCGAGGCTCATCCCTGCCCGGGTGGACATTCATGTCTGTGTCTTCATCTGCCAGGGCGGATGAGTATCTGAGTCAAGTCTCGGCCTTTCTGGCCACTTCACCGCGATGCTCTTCCAAGGCTGCCAAGACCATCACCATGTCATCCAACACTCAAGCGCTGCAGAAGCCAGAATTTAAGATCCCATCTTAATTTTACAACCGTGGCCAACTTAATTTTCTGGGTTTCCTCAAGGGCGCCAACGGGAGATCACCCGAAGATCGACTTCAGGGGCCACCGGCTACAAATCGCAATTTTCTACGGCTTATTGCGATACCCACTTTACCGAAGGGACCAGCTGTTAACCTTGAAGATGCGGAACTCTTCAGATCCACTGCCATTTTACAGCTTATGAACAAGATGAAAGGAAAATCACATCGTCCGATCGGATGGAATACAGATTCCATGTGTGCGAATTGCCACGAGGTCACTGACTGATCTAGCAGACTGGGCTAGTGTTAATGGATGCCCAGGTGGTCGGTCAAGCTATCTATCTCCACTACAGCGAAGACGACGGATTATACCCATTCTTCGCACTGCTTTATTATTAATAGGCTGTTTCGGCGTCGGACCAGGCTAAATGAATGTTGAAAAATGTTTCATTCCAAGGTTGGGTTATTTGAGCTGCACAGACCCCTGGAAAGGCGTAGATGAGCTCTCCCAAGCCCCAATGACTGCCTGGGTTCTCTACATCAGTGATATACATCAGGAGACCACTCGCCACTGCGAGATCCCGATACCACTGCCGTGTTCGGACAGCTTTGGTGAAGTTCTCAAGTGCTTTCCGGTAGTCTTCCAGAGTAAGTTTGACCAAGCATGCTTTTTGATTGACACCCGTGCCCAGGGGGTCTCAGAGATATTCGCAGTGATGGGAGCTGGTCATCCCAGTCCTATCCTCGGCGAGTCGCTGCGCAATGTTGAAGGGCGATCTCCGCTGTCTGATTAGAACGCTCAGACTGGCCGTCTGTTTGCGGGTGGTAGGCCGTGGACCGGATACTGAATGAGCCAAGGGAGATGAAATACCTAGGTATTCGCATTTTGAAAAGACAGTGCGATAACTCTGGTTCCACTGAAAGTCTCAAAAGCTGGAGGAGCTTTCTAAGGTTTCTCGACCTGGACTTGCTGATACCATTCCGCTGTTGTGAAATATGGTTGGTTCTTGGAGTGCTGCACGCCACGGAAAAGCCGTTTTGTGAAGAAGACTCGAGGAGAACGTACTGCGTTCGACGGACCACAGGCTGCTGTAATGTGTATACTGGCAATGAAACCAGGATACCGAGCTGCCACTGCACGGCAGCAATCCAATATCACCAGAGCATCGACGGATGCTGCGTCCTTGAGATTTTCTGCAATTTTTGTGCGTGAAAGTCCTTTGCCATGAGTCCCGTGGTAGGTAGAACGCATTTCACGGTTTCTCACAAGGCCGTGTCCCGCGCAGTAGAAGCAGAACAATGACAGAAGAAATGATCTGAGACAACTGTCAGGCCTTGTACATGTCTTGCCATTCACTGTTCAGACGGGGGCTCTGTGACTGTTCTTGATGATGAGTGCGGTACGATCAAACTCAAGGTCCTTGGGCATGTTGTGTTGTGAACACCCAGTAGGGCAAGCCTGGCTGTTCCCTAGATACCTTGCTCTCACTTCTCTTTGCTATTCCCCCCTTTGTCTCTCTCTCGAGTCAATCTCATCTCTGGCTTCTCACTCCCCGCAGTAGTCAGATCATGCTGTTCGTCGTTTCAAGATCAGCCAGAGCACGAGCGCCACCCTGTTCCCGGCATATAAGAAGTCTGGCCCAATGCGGGTATGCTTTACTGCAGGTGGATGCGACTTAGGGTTCTGGCTTCTCAGGGATAGGCAGTTTGGTAACTGATGTGAGTACTGGTAGAAGCAAGAACCCAGAGAAGTAATTGAATCCTCATTCAGGCATCTGGAGAGACGAAGAAGGGAAGAGCAAAGAAAGGGAGAGAGCGCCCTTGGGGCTATCCAGGTACCTCATTCTTCACTTCCAACCTTGGAAGGCTATTCCGAGGCCTAGATAGTTTCACCTCACTTCACTTCTGTACTTCTTTACTTCTCCGGCTTCGCCACTTCCAAGGTTCTCTTCTTCACCTACTTAACTTACTTTGTTACTGCCCCTCTTCAACTCTTCTTACAATTTTATTTTCACTCCATAAACATCCTCATTCGATTCCATAAGCCGATAAGTTCCGCCAGCAGCTATTGAACAAGCTGGGCTCCCACGCCCAGCTCATCCTAAAAGATCAAGATTCAGCACCCATTCGAACCGAGTTTGACAGCACCATTCCCGATGACACAGATCCGGAATCACTGCTTTTTGTTCTACCAAATATTGAAGACGGTAAATGGGGCGCCCCCCAAGATGGGATCCGTCTCTCGGATCTACAAATTTACTACGCACTGAAGACCACAAGCAGAGGCGGGGAACGCTGAAGCAGACTTCATACATACTCCCTGGAAGCCAGTGGACATCGGGTACTTCGACCCCAGTTTGCCGTCAGGAGCAACAGATCTCAGATTATTGGGACAGCAACCTGCTACACTGATGTTGAGGTTTTTCTCAGCCGAATGAGACCTAGCTGCGCTGGAGTCCGCGGAGATAGTTCGTGCCAATATCCACGCCTGCCTCAAAGGCGCTGCTCTGCGATGGTACACTCATGAGCTAGCACGGGATTGCAAGTATCTGATGCAGTTACAATCCTTGGATCAAAGCTGATTATCTAGGCTTTCCTCCTCCCTGAGGTACTGCGACAGCTAGGAGAGACTCGCTACGCGTGGAAGAACGTTGGAGATGTCGAAAATCTGCTGTGAATACCCAGTCAGGCGATCCTGGCTGCTCCCTGCACGAGTTCCTTAACTGGTTCATCCGATTGTCTCCCTCCGGCCCTGGAGGGCTGGAGAGAACCATGATCACCTGAAAGGGTGTTCACAACAGCAGCTGACCCAACGCTGCTGACTTTGAACGAAACAGCGAGACCAGGGGTACGCGGAACGGGAATTCGTGTTGCAGGAAACTCATTCACGCCTGAGGAAGATGCAGGGCAGAAGAGATTCACCCCCACCCCAATGAAGGCAAGGACATTCCCCAACCCCCTGACAGCGTTCCAATCATTTCAAAGCGAAATGAGTTGGTGCCTCGGCTCAAGAGGGACATCAAAGATCCGGATGATCAAACTGTGCAGGAGAGACTCCGGACATTAACCAAGTCTCAACAACTGATCCTCAGCACGGTAGAACCCGAGGAGTACAATACGGTGAGAGACCCTCTTACGCAGTTCGGCAAGACGGACGTTAAAAGGCTAGCCTATGAAAACTATCCCTGATACCGATTCTGACAGAGAACCTATGCCAAATGCGCCTGACAACAAAATGACAACTCCGCCAATCTCGGCTGAAGAATTTTCTCCCCAGGCAAGCGCTCCCAACGTAATAATGTTGACGGTAACATTGCCGCCTCCGCCCGGTATCGACCTTAAAAACCCGTGGACACTCCTACGAAACGCAGGAGAACCACTCGACAAGCTCGCTCTACGAGCTGACGCAGAGTACTCTATAGCCTACGCGGCGATCTCTATGAAAAGGTACTATGAATGACACCAAGCATCAGCCAAAGGTGTTCCGACCCGGCGACTGGGTTTACCTGAAGTTGGGTGATGGTGATAATATTCTCTCCAACAAGCACCTGCCCACCAAGCTTCGCCAACGATACGTTGGACGCTTTCAAGTCATCAAACGTGTCGGACAACTTGCATACCAGCTCGACCTACCTGACACCTGGCTAAAGAGAGGCGTACATCCCGTCATCGGGCGGAGGTGGCAGGTTATTAATCCATGCCGCTCCCCGGGGCACTTGGCCATTCTCTCAAACCAGCCTGTTTTCTTCTTATTCCACCTGCATTATATTGTATCTGATACGGTCGAAGCTCTGTCGCTAGTGCAATTTGAATCTTCTAATGCAACATTTTCTTCACATTTTCTTCACCATTTTACTCTGCCTAGTCTGCGTTCCTTCCCCATCACCTCCGCATCTCAATTGCTCAGATGCCTCAGCAGAAGACATCCTCGCTCAAGACTTATTTTGATGAGCTAGAAGAGACCAATGGCGATGACGAATGCAAGGCCTGGTTAAGTAGGGCTTTTGACTCAAGGGCTGAACTGGTAGTTTTTGTCGCTGGGCGGCGGGAAGGAGGGGGTTAGGGGTTATGGCGGCAATACCGACTTCTTGTAGCCATTTACGGCAGCCGATTTACCGTCAATTAGCGTTGTGTCGTAGATGTCCCCGGCGATTGTGCTTGTAAGAAAAGAGATTGAAGGAAGCGTCACCACACACACAACCGGACAAAGGAAAAGCGAGGCGTGGTCGTCTCATGAGCAAAGGAAGGCGATTCTGACGGCAGTGAGAAGGGTTATATGACGATTTTAATATTATTTTATCATTATGATTGAATTAATCTGTTGTATAACAGGAAAGAGGCAGATCTCAAATAATTCCAATCAAATTCAATCACTGAAATGTGTCAGATAAACAGTCTCAACTTCACGAGCCATATCCATAACCCCGCCGTAGACTGTGTTCCCCGACATGAAAGCGCAAATGGATTTCACCCCATGTCTCAGCTCCTCGATGAAGCGTTCAGCAGCCTGGCGCTCGGTCCCGGGCTCAGTCCAGCCGAGTAAATGCCGGGAATCCGAAAAGTCATTCGAGTTCACCGATGTGCGAATCTTGCGGAGCAACATCATGAATACATAGCATGCTTGCATGCCACAACACGCGATGTACGGTAGTGAGCGTGGATATTGGATGCGGTATGGTGTGAGCGAAGATATGCTGACCATATCATCGGACTGCGAGACATTGGGCCACGATATTGCTCGTGTGACCCGGGATAGAACAAGGGCCGAGCGAAGACATACTTGCGTTGAGTCCTCTTCCGTGAAAGGGTGAAAAGATGCGACTTCGGATAGCCAGCCGGGAGAAGCAGGGACTGGAGATTCAGAGAAAAAGAGATTGTTGACGGAGCTGAGATCACAGAACTTGTCCAGGAAGACCGGGTGGTCTCCGAATGCACGGAAGCGATGCAGCTTAAGCCGAGCACTTCGTTTCCAGTTTGTCAATCTCGGCAAATCAACAGATCATTATGGGGGTACTAACGTGTGGGCCAAAAATCGTGCCAGAAGCCACAAGTTGCGAATTGCAGCTGCATCGGGTCCCTCGCAGGCTACCTTTTCTAACGGTTGGTCCAGGTCGACAGTGAGTGACAAGATAAGACGATCAAGGTCTCCAACTCTCTTCCGTATGGTGTCATGACTTCCTTGAACACTCCCTTCGGTCATCTCTTTTGCCACGATGCCTGTCTGAAGCAAGGCACCTTGCGCCCTCAGAAGAGTGGGCCATAGCTTTGGGACCAGCCAGTGTCAGCCTCGCAAGCCTGGTAGTCATGTAGAGAAGAGACACAACTTCAGCAACTTACCTCTGAGCAGTCACATATTTGGGGATACCTCGTGCTGATCCGCGGATCGTCAATGAGTACAATGGGAGACTGAGATAAAAGTCAGCTAGCTATCCGATAATGAAATCGACGAGTAACGAACAGATCTGGTAAAAATGGCTGATTGATATACCATGAACATCTAGTCCGAAGTCATCAGTTTCATTTCTTATTGTGGGATCTTGGGGTTGACAAACAGTAATCCACCATACGCGCTCTTTGATCGGGTCTTCCTGGGGCCTAATTGGGTCTCTCACGTGGAGTGATAGATCCATAGCCAGAACCAACGCATCATAGACCCGAGAGCGCATCTGACGCCTGTCCCCATTTTGACAAGACTCATAAGCACCGAGTAGCAGCAAAGCTAGGACAGGCTCAAGCGAAGAGGGAAGACCTGAATGCAATGCGCTTCGGGTGGCCTCGTCTAGCGTTGGTGTAGATATTGGATTTCGACGGCATTGTCCTTGGCCCGTCAAGCGATCTGAGATCCTTTGAAGTGCCGATTGAGCGAGTTTGTCTGAGTATGATTCCCTCACTTCAATTTGGGAAAGTTGCATTGGATTAGTGTCTTCTGGTTGTGGTATTAGGACCAGAAGAGCCATCATTGCCAGGCCAAGGGGTGACTCCGGCCAATAATGTAGAGATGATTCATCTGGTTGAAGGCTTGTCAAAACGATCCCTTGGGAATTGTCTGCAAACACAGAGGTCTCGGGGGGTGGTAATAGAGGCAGATATGGGTGGATGTATATGTAATATGCATTGACCCTGCAATTGTCTTGAATTAGAAAGTCTGCACAAGTTCGAATGACGTAGACTTTCCACGTACAGGCTTTGTGGATCCTGGTATGATCTTAATATCAGAGGATCCCGGATGGGAGGGACGCCATCGCTCGCGGCTTTACCGATGTCCCCACATATGTCGCTTTGCAGACTCGGTGTAATCGGCGAGGTATAAAATGACTGGCTCAGATCTGACAAACCATTGCCAAAGGAATCTACAGACAAACAGCGTCTTGGTCTCTTGTCACGATCACAAATCAAACTTACTGTTGGCTATCGGAGATGCAAGGGGTTCAACCGGGACCTCACCCCCGGCGCTGGCTTTTCTTTTGGCATTATGATACTTCTCACCTCTTCGGGCCCCACCACGGCGACTGGGGCGATATTGACATTCTTTTTTTCTCGCTGCACACTGCGAGGAATTAGCTCCGAACCATCGATGGGGCAGTTGGTATATTTACGTTGGAGCAGGGCTGCTGTCCGTCACAACGGGTCTTGAAGGATCGACTGGAGACAGTTAGAGGGCCCACAATATTTTATGTATACTCACCATGCTAGACAGGCGATTTTAATGTGTGAGGTTGGCATTGCGAAAGGTGAAGATTGCCATTTGGCGACGGACTTAGGTCATCCTCGATAGTGGGGCCGGTCTTTGATGGCCTTTGATCTCGGCCTTTGAACTCGACTGGAACACCTTCAACTGACACCTCCGATCTCAACTCTCGTTACGCAAAGTGGCATGATTCTATTCGGTATTTGATTGAACCTTGCTCTTACTGGACAGTCATCTCTCCGCCTTCGAGGTATATAATTCGAAACCACTGTTGCTAAACACGTATCCCACATCCGTGCTCGGTCGTTTGAGCGTGCTTCGTGTTTATATTTCGTCATGACTTGTGAATCAAATATCGCCGTGCCAGCCAGCGATAGATACTATGACCTGGGCGACTTCGGCCACGTCATCACCACTGCTAGCGCCGACGCTCAGATCTGGTTCAATCGAGGTCTGACTTGGGTATACGCTTTCAATCATGTGGAAGGCGCTTACTGCTTCGAGCAAGCCATCGCCCATGACCCCGCATGTGCAATGGCATATTGGGGTCTTGCATACGCCGTTGGCCCCAACTACAACAAGCCGTGGGAGAAATTCGACCTGGGCGATCTTCACACTTCAGTGAGGAGGGGCTACAATGCATCTCGGGAGGCCAAAAAACATGCATCTAACGCCACTCCGCTGGAACAAGCTCTCGTCGAGGCAATTCAATTCCGGTTCCTGAGCGACCAGCCCGCAAAAGACTACCCTGCTCTTAACAAGGGCTATGCCGAGGCCATGAAGGTCGCATACGACAAATTCGGCCAAGATCTGGACGTCGCGACACTGTACGCCGATGCATTGATGAATATGACACCGTGGGCCCTTTGGGATCTTTTCACGGGCAAACCGAATCCCAAGGCCCCGACCATGGAAACGGAAGCAGTTCTTGAGCGCGCACTAGCACAGGTCGAGGATGGTGCCTATCAGAATCCCGGATTGCTCCATCTGTACATCCACTTCATCGAGATGTCCCCCAACCCAGAGCTTGGAATCAATCCTGCAGACCAGCTGCGTGATCTTGTCCCTGATGCAGGCCACCTTCTCCATATGCCAACTCACCTGGACATCCTGATCGGTGACTGGCGACGGTCCATGTCATCAAACTACAAATCGACATTGGCCGATGACAAGTACTTCCGGAAGTCGGGTGCTAAAAACTTCTACACCTTCTACCGTATGCATGACTATCACTCCTTGATCTATGCGGCGATGTTTGCAGGCCAATCGAAAGCTGCGCTCGAGGCCGTCACCCGCATGGAGCTCACGGTGCCGGAGGAGGTTCTTCGAATCACGTCCCCGCCTATGATCGACTGGCTCGAGCAATTCCTGTCTGTCCGTGTGCACGTGTTGGTTCGGTTTGGGATGTGGGAAGAACTGAAGCAAATGCCCCTTCCCGAGGACAAGGTGCTCTATGCGGGTACGGTTGCTGCGATTCATTACGGCAAGGGAGTCGCATTTGCATCAACCAACGACGTGCCCTCCGCCAAGGAGGCGCAAAAGGACTTCCTTGAAGCCTGGTCGAAAGTTCCTGAAACGCGCCTAGCCTACAACGGCAAAATGGTTGATGTATTCAAAGTCGCGGACAAGATGCTGGAAGGAGAGATTGAATACCGCTGCGGCAACTTCGACCAGGCCTTCGAGGCTCTCCGCGTCGCTATTGACGTAGAAGATAGATTGCCCTACAGTGAGCCTTGGTCATGGATGCAGCCTGTACGTCATGCCTATGCGGCGCTGAACATGGAGCAAGGGAATCTTGAGGAGGCGGCTAGGTCTTACCGGGCCGACTTGGGTCTCGACAACTCTGTTATTCGCCCGCGGCGTCATCCCAACAATGTTTGGTCACTCCAGGGATACCATGAGTGTCTTACTCGACTTGGAAGGCTGGACGAAGCCGCCGTATTTGAGCCCGCGGCCAAGCTGGCTCTTGCTGTCGCTGATATTCCCATCAAATCGTCGTGCTTCTGCCGCCTCGATACATCCAGCGCGCCGCAGATCCTTGATCGTTCTTCACGTAAAAAGTGCTGCTGAATGGACCGATTCAAGCATCGTCCGCGACCAGAATGTTCCACTTTATATGAATGATGAATACATTTTCGGGATTTGAATGGTTGCAATATGTGAAGCAATTCCCTGTGAACTTGGATATGCGATTCCTGTATTCACTGCAGAGGCTAGGTATATAAAAGCCTGAGTTCATCGACATTCCATAACTATCTGAGTGAACCAGACTAGCATTCCTGATGATAAAAATTTCTAGCGAAATCCAGTCCGGATGACTCAAGGCTGAGAGATAAATATATGACCCGATCCCGGGAGATGCGTAATGATGCCCTAATTAGGACCTCAGGACCAGTTGACTAGCCTAACTTTAGCGGACCACTGCATAAACTAATCCTTACCAGGGCATCATTACGATACGATATCACAACACTTCCCAGGAATCTCCACCTCTACAGGCTTGGGCGATCTCGGGGATTCGGCTTCTGATCAGATCTATATCCCCACATCTCGGTTATTCAAGGTAAAAGAGTGAGCCCCGCTTATAAAGGAATGATGAATTCATTGCAAGTTGATTCAGGCTGACCATTTGCGATACTCATCGATATTAACACATCCCGAAAAGACCAACCACCATGGAGGAATCTAACGCGGCGGCTCTCTCGACTTTTTCTCAACGGGGGCAAGGGGCCGTAGAATCGGGCTCAAAGTTTATGACATGGGATATCATCAGCGACATGTGGCATCCCCAGACCAACCCTTCGGGAATTCTATCAGTTGGGATGGCTGAAAACACACTTCTCCATGACTTCCTTCTGGAGTTCATCCATGCCAATGTCAAGCTCACGGCGGCGCATCTCACATACAACAATGGCCCCACGGGATCAAATGCACTCAAAAGGGCATTATCTCACTTTCTGAACCGACACTTCAATCCATTCCGCCAAGTTGAACCAGCTCATGTGCTGGTGACCAATGGATGCTCCTCCGCAATTGAGCATCTCAGTTGGACCTTCTTGAATCCAGGAGAGGGAATGCTTCTGGGCATGCCGTACTACAGCACCTTCATCCCGGATATTGCCTTACGACCAGGCGCAGTGGTAGTCCCCGTGAAGATGGGCGATTTAGATCCTCTGAGCCCGGAAGCCGTACAAGCGTACGAGGACGCGGCCGTTGAATTCGAAGCCAGGACTGGAAAGCGTGTACGCGGAGTCATGCTTTGCAACCCGCATAACCCACTGAGTCGTTGTTACCCACGCGAGACAGTGACAGCATTGATGAAACTGTGTCAATCCCGCAAGATGCATCTAATCTCAGACGAGATCTATGCACTGTCGGTGTGGGAGAATAGGGTCGACGGTCCAGACTCTCATGTTCCATTCGAGTCTCTATTGTCCAGAGACACGACTGGTCTCATTGACCCGCAGCTCGTACACGTACTTTGGGGGATGAGCAAAGACTTCGGAGCCAATGGTCTGCGTGTGGGAGCTGTTATCACTCAATCCAGTCCGGAGTTTCATGTCGCTCAGAGATGCTTGTCCCTCTACAGTTATGTGTCTGCCATGTCAGACCAGACCACCGCGGCGATTCTTTCTAACGATGAATTCACGGATGCGTACATCGCAAAGAATCGTGAGCTCCTTTCGGTCTCGCATGCATTCATTGTCAACGAGCTAAAGAAATCCGGCATCGAATATTTGCCTGGCTGTCATGCGGCATTCTTTATCTGGGTCAATCTTGGCAAGAGATATTTGGAGCATCATCCTGAAGCAGCTGGGCTTGGAGGAGAGCTCACGGATGTTGTATACCAGAGGTTATTGGCAGAAAAGGTCTTCCTGGCTCATGGGATTTCCTTTGGGGCAGAAAAGCCGGGTTGGTTCCGTGTAGTGCTTGCACATCCGATTCCGTGGCTGGAGGAGGCAATGGCACGCATCGTACGAGCTATAGAATAGAGATGCAGCTATATCCCTAGTCAAATGATCCTGACCTACTCTATTGTACGTACCATGGTTTATTCTAGATCTAAACTGCTAATCGGCCTCTGTTTCCCGATTCGTCTGCCACACCGGCGTGCGCTGCTCTGCAGTCATTTGCGTCACCTGCGTCAACCAAGGGTGCTGAATCGTATTCCTGTCTGGTTCTGGGCTTTATCTTCGCTGGAGCATTTAATTATTTGTCTTTCTGGTGGGTTTTTGGCGCTTCCCAGCTCTGGGATCATCCTCATCTTTGTGATGGTCTCTTTGCTCGTGCTGACTTTGTTGCATCCCATGTCGATTCCTTCGAGGTCCTCTTTCCCTCTTTTCGAATCTATGGTTGGCTTTGCGCTTCTATGTGTATGCTGACTTCTTCGCTAACTCTTCTTGGCGCGAGGGCATAAGTTCTTCCGCGAAACTGAAGTGGTATACCCATTCGTGGAAGTTGTCGTTCTTTGGTGCCATAAACCGGTACGATTCGATCCTCACCGCCAGTAACACTCCTGCGCATAGCCGGCGACAATTCTCCGCGTCGCTCGGGGTTTCCCGCATACGCTGACATATACTCTTGGGATAGAGTGCGTATCGACGTACACTTTGTGACTGTTTTGCATCGCAGTAAACCACTCCCGGTCCGTCTCCATCTCTATCGTGAGCGAGCTTTTGTGTTCAAAACGTCTTGGGATTCCATCTCGGGGGTGTTCAATGACGCTTCTGACGTTGTTGTCGTCGCCGTCTACGAAATATCTGGGGTACTTTTGCCAGTGAGGTCGCTGTCTGGTCGCGAAGTGGTCCCCTTCGCGGGTGGACTCCCCAGCGAACCTTTTGATATCTTGGTCCATCTTGGGTGCGCTTTCGCCTTTCCTGCCAGCTGGTTCGGTCATCTGGCGGGGTTGGATCGCCGCCAACCGCAAAATAAGAGATTCGGGCATTTTAAGTGCTTCCAGTCGCGTTCTCTTTTTCCCATTGGCCCTTCGGTGCTCATCTTCTAGCACAATCTCCGCCTCTATCTTCCGGAGTTGTTGGCTTGCTAGCTCTTGTTGCTCGAACTGCTCGGTCCACCGTCGATACACTTTGGTCAGCCGTCTGAGAGCCTCGATATCTTGCTGTCGCATCTCGATATAGCTCTCTTCCGCGTCGTCGATGAGCTTTTCTTCTCTTCTGAGCTCTTCTCTTCTAAGCGCTTTTTCGCTAGTGTCGGAGTTTTGACTCCTTTCCTGCTGATATTGCAGGGGGTAACGCCTCCTGTTCCTGTTGATCCGGGTCTATAGGGATTGATTCTTTATCGCGCAGAGTTTCTGCGGGTTGAGATTCGGTACCTATTGGTTGTGGGTTGGGCAATTGGGCTTCTTCGCTTCTTTTTGCGGCGACCCGGATGCTGCTGCGTGTCCTTGCGGCCATGTCTGCGGGTAAATCAACGGTCCGGTTCTCGTATGAAGCGAGCGGAGTGTTGAAACCTGCTTCAGGCAGGTCCTAGGATGAAGTGTATGGACCAGAATGATAATATACAGCCACAAACGTGATAGACTAATTGCTAAGGAACCGAACCCTTGGCAGGATGGCTAGGTGCACGTGACCCGTAGGGTCTCCCCGGGCCAGGGCTGCCGTGGCATAAGAGACTCATTACCATTCCAAGGTGGTCTACGGAGTACGGAGTATAATCCGTGAAATATGACCGCGCGTACTGAATATGTAGAAATCTTGGAATGACCCTTCCGAGGTCGGGGACTCACAATGGAAGAAGAAAAAAAGAAAAAGAAATAAACGACACTTTCGGTGATTGAAACGCCCAAGTTGCCCCAGACCCACAACGTGGGGATATCATCGGCTTAGATATTTGGATTGAGGCTCAGGGGCCTTCTTCAATCTGACATACAACCTATCAGTATCCAAGGATAACTGCCTATGTATCAGTGCAGATGCCTCCAGGGACATCTTTCCGATGTCATGATGAGAACTTGCATCAAAATCCGAAAGATTCAACTCGGATCTACTCCGTATTCGCGTCCTCACTTTCATTCACCGGAACAAACGCCGAGCAGAAGAAAATTACCAAACGAAAACGCGACTAAGAGGGAAATTCCAGTATCGTACTTCAATGGCTCATATATGATTGTCTATATAGCCCAAGGCACATTGGCACGGAGCTCATAAGGAGATAACCAAAACCAATCACCCGGGCAAGCTTCAACGGCCACTAGCATCGAATTGACTACAAGACGATATTGATACTTCAATACCCTCTGAGGTCTCAATTTGCCCTCACCTTCACCACCGGGAATGGGAACATGGAGGCCGGCAAAACAGTGCGGCAAAGATCTGATTCCATCGCTTTGCCCAAACCCCAAATCAGCAGATGTCTCAAGCAATGAGACTGTGCCGCAGTTGACAGAACGATCAAACCATCCTAATGGGGAAGCTTCAGCATCCCCCGACTTGACAAACGAACCCCCAGATGGAGGATACGGTTGGATTTGCGTGATCGCCGCCGCCATCGTCAATGCCCATTCATGGGGCTTCAACTCGGCATATGGCGTTTTCCTCGCCTATTATCTCAGCCATGGAACGTTTCCCGGTGCTTCGCGATTAGAATATGCGTTCGTGGGCTCATTGAGCTTGACAACGATGTTCATCGTATCTCCAATCGCGACAATGGCCACGCTTAAATACGGCATTCGGAAAACAATGTTTGCAGGCGTCATCTTCGAAACAGCCAGTTTCATTTGCGCGAGCTTTGCTTCCCAAATTTGGCACCTCTTCATCACCCAAGGCATCATGTTCGGCCTTGGGATGGGTCTACTCTTCATTCCTGTTGCCTCTGTTGTGCCGCAGTGGTTTACTTCGAAGCGCTCGCTCGCTAGTGGAGTCTCTCTTTCTGGGGCTGGGCTCGGAGGTCTTGTTTATTCTTTGGTGGCTGAAGCGATGATCAGGAACATTGGTCTGAGTTGGGCTTTCAGGGTTATTGGTATTCTTGCATTCTGTGTTAATACCTGCTGTGTGCTCTTGATCAAAGATCGTGGGCAGATAAGCAAGTCTGGGAAGGTGGCTATGCGAATCGATTTCTTCAAAAGATTGGATTTCAACCTCCTTGTTGGATATGGAGTTTTCACGGTTCTGGGCTACTTCATCTTGATTTATAGTCTGGCCAACTATGGGGTGCAAATCGGCTTGACATCTTCACAGGCATCACTTGTCAGCGGCATCTTCAATCTGAGTCAAGCTGTCGGTCGACCACTGATTGGATATTTCAGTGACACGGTCGGTCGTATCAAAATGGCCGGTGTTACTTCATTTGCTGCAGGAGTTATCGCCCTGGCAGTGTGGGTCAACGCCCAGAGCTATGGGCTGTTGATGTTCTTTGCTGTGGCCGATGGCCTCTTTGCGGGAGGCTTCTGGGCTTTGATCGCGCCTTTGGTTGCCGAGATACTTGGGTTGGACCAGGTATCTCATGGCATGAATATTGTCTGGTTAAGCATTGTCATACCTGCCACATTCTCGGAACCAATTGCGTTGGCCATCACTAGCACAACAGGGAAGTATCTTGGTGCTCAACTATTTACGGGCTTCATGTATGTCGGAGCATCCGCTTTTCTTGGGGCGCTCTGGCTGGTATGTCGAAATAGACAGGAAAAATAGCTTGAATTGGACGCGATTTCTATCAAAATGAAAATGTCCTGTTTTCAACAGGAGGCGATCGCATTGATCAAACTGTATATATCTTGTTTTTCTCCCTCCTTTCTCCCCGTAGCGTATTTCGGGATCTTGGGCTACTGCCAAACTTCCAACAGGGAAGCTTGATATATCTACGAGATTTCTCTCGCCACGAGCTGCGCAGCCTCTTTCACTGGATCTGAAGGCCACGTGAATGCAAACATATTCTTGGGAAGCTCTGCGTCTGGAACGAATCGGCGGAGCTCATCCATCATTTCCCCCCGTCGCTCATCATTCGTTCTAGACATCATCATGACTGTGACCGAATGCGCGTACCGAGCTTCATTGTACAGACCAAGGCGCTGTGAAAGCTGATCCGGGGTAGTGTCCGCCGTTACTACTCCAGCGAGAGCAGCAGCATCTTCAAACGCTTGGGCTGCGCCTTGCCCTTGGTGAGGAAGCATGGGGTGAGCTGCATCGCCGATCATGGCAAGCTTGTCTTTGACAAATGTAGGTGCCGGCTCTCGAGACTCCAGGCTCCAAAGTTTCACATCCTCGGCCATCTTACACATCTCAAGGAGATCTTGAGCGAACCCGCTGAAGGTGGCAACCAGTTGACTCACGCTGCCTGCAGAATGCCATGAGGACTCTCCTTCTTCCTCTTCCTCTGGGCTCATGGAATAAATTCCGGCACAGTTGAGCAATTCGCCTCGACGGCAGGGGTAAATCACGAGGCGGCGGTCTTGAGTTGAGAAAACGTGAACACCGTTGACTCCGATTCTTTCCAGCAGGCCGGACGTGAGTTGGTTGCTGTTCATCGCTTCGATGGGCACCAGGAATCGGAAGCATTTTTGTCTAGTGTTGACGATACCTCTGTGTTCACCCATGATGGCTCTTACGGAGCGAGACTATATGGGTCAGTCACAGCCTTTGACAAGGTGATCCCAAAGATACTTACATGAACACCGTCGGCGCCGACAACCAAGTCAGCAGTGTACTTGGTTCCATCTTCCAGGAGGACCTCTCCCTTGGCAGCATCCTTGAATTTGACCTCTGGTTAGCCAACATAATTGACAGGAAGAGCTCTACATACCACGGACAAGACGGGTGAGGACAGTCGGATATCAACCTTGCGGCCGTCAATAACCTGAGCCGCCGTAGCACGCAGAGCATTGTGCAGATCCACCCGATGAGTGAGAATCCATTCATCGTGCACGTTCAATTTTTTGCGAACCTCTTCTGTGATCTGACAGTGTGAGAGTTTGGTTATATAACTTAGGGGGACAACAAACTTACGACAGGAGTCCACAAAAGTTTCCCGTTGGAATCCCAAACTTGCAGCTTCTCGCAGTGAACGGGATTCAGCCAGTCCAGGTTACAACCCCAGCTTTTCAAGATACGAGTCGCATTCGGGGCCACATGAATGGCAGCACCGACCTCGTTGAGGAAGCCAGACTTCTCAATTACCTGATCCTTGTTAGCTTATACAGTGCCTCGTTTTCTGTTTGAAGACTAACCGTGACGTTATGCCCTTGTCGGTTCAATGCGATTGCAGCACCCAGGCCACCGAGGCCTGCGCCGACGACAACAACATTCAGTCCCATTTTTAGTCTGACAGAGACTCAACAGCGAGATCCAAAAAAGGGTAAACGTAAGTTCCAAGGTTGACAGAATTCCCATGATCGGCGATGACGGTGCGACTTTATCATTTCTTCGCGGTAGGCTTATCTCCATTTGTCTTATTTCCGAGTGGATATGGTAGTCAATACCTCAAACCACTATGTGCAAGGCTTGAAAGTAGCTGCAGATCCTTATATTAGATCAATCTGCACCTCTAAAGCTTTAGAGCCAAGGTCGGGATACGGCACATAGGTGCCGATCTCAGTTATAGCAAAGTCTTGCCAGATGGGACGGCATTCGGCTTGGAAATTTCCGTGTGATCCAATGCGCCAATAATGACTACCGGTACGCTGCATGAAATTCTCAAGCTCCGATACTTCGACTTCAGGCGACTTGGCGTACCTTTCGCCTTTGAAGACCCTTGGTTTCGCCCATATTCAGGGCAATGGCACCATTAACCTTGGCACCAACCTTGGAAGCTCATTGGGTGTCCAAGGCTCACGGATCCACGGGACGGGGTTCGGCTCTTCCGACCTCATTAGTATCCGCTTAGATAAGCGGAACTTATGGCCCGGCCCACGTCAACTAGTGGGACGGGTCGATCGTGCCAAGATCCAGGGACTAAACGGAGCATACGAAAAAGTCTATATGGCCTCGGGGCCCAATCTGGAAATCATGGCTCGGACTTCGGTGTTTTCCAAGAGCCTTACGCCTTTATAAAACATGTTCGACCCAGGAATCATGAAGGACATACTCATTCCTTTCATTCACCCCCTTGGTTGATTCAACCATGTCTCTCAAACCATTCTTGATTGCCATCATTGGCTCAGCAGTCTCCCTACAACTGCTGATTCTTGCCAACATGAGCTACCTATACGGCTCTGCCTATCAAGATGGCTCGCGATTAAGCTCAGCGAAGGTGCTTTACGTGGACTACGACCAAGGGCCAATAGGCGGGTCCGTCCCGATAGCTTATGATGGAATGAAAGGTGGCTCAGTCCCCACCCTCATTCAACACACACAGCAAGACTATCCAACGCAACAACACATCCAAAAGGCCGTCTGCCGAGGCGATTACTGGGGTGCCATCTATTCCAACGCAAATGCCTCGTCCCAACTATCAACTGCTCTTTCAATACCGGGAGCAGCTGAGCAATACGACAGTTCCCAAGCGCTGGTGTACATTTGGAGCAGCACTCGCTATCCCGCCTACTCGCAAAGCATATATGCCGGCTTGGTTCAAATGACCGAAGCCGCAGCTGCTGTATACAAGCAGACAAATGGCACAGACGTCCTTCCCCATATCAACACATCGGACCAGTCCATTGCGCGAACAATACTCAACCCAGTCTCCGCCACTTCAATGGACCTCCACCCAATGCCGCAAGGTGTGCGCTTTTACCTCAATACGGTCTCCATGGTCATGCCAATCATCATTCAATTTTTCTTCATCATGGCGCTCACGGGAATTACGATGCAACACAACCTCTTCAAGACTCTGTCACCAAAACAAAACATTCTCCTCCGCTTCGGCATCTCAGTCATCTACACCTTCCTCGCATCACTCGTAATGGCAGGTTACATCTGGGCCTTCCGCGAAAATTGGCAGGTGACGGGTGGTCAATTCGCCCTGACATGGATGGCCATCTGGCTCACCATGCACGTTCATTTCCTGATCATCGACTTCGCGATATCAATAGTGCCTATGCCTTTTGCCCCTTTCTTTATCCTGAGTTGGGTCATTCTCAACGTGGCCAGTACGATTGGGCCATTTGAACAGTCTCCGGGTTTCTACCGGCTAGGATATGTTTTCCCCGCGCATCAGCTTTATGAGGTTCTGATGGATATTTGGACTCAGGGCTGTAATCCGCATTTATATCGTGCCCTGCCTATTCTCTTTTCGGAGTGGGTTGTCGGGATTTGTTTGTTCCCATTAGGGGTCCTGATTAGGATGGGTGTTAATTTGAAGGTACTGTTTGGCGGAGGTAGCCGAACTGGCGAGGGCAGGTCAACTTGGGAGAAAGTATGATGGGATGTATGCATTCGGGTATGGCTCATCTCATTTTTGGGCAGTCTGTTTTTCAATTTTTATTTTTCTTGGGTTTTTGGTTTCATCTTGATGTTTATAGACATGGCTGTGGAGTGTATATTTCGACTTGACTCCACCAGATCCTGCACCAGCATTAGCCACGGAGTCCACGGGTTATTAGGTACCATTTATTTGACATATAGCTACCTAGGTAATCAATTACATTTCATCACTTCAAACTTTGCCCGAACGCATTTAGCAGGTCCCTCTCCTGCTTGAAGCAATCCATGCATCCATAGTCGGGTCTTAATTCAAATACTCGCGACTAGTGGCTCCTAGGGCTGCGGCACCCTTATATCCTCCATGATTTTGTCAGTATATCATCTGTCAAATGAAATGAGTCGAGGTTTCGAGACCTCGCGTTGAAATGTTGACTAAATATTTCGTGACAAATTTAGGGTTGCCCACCCCGCAATTACATCTTCATACCCAATACCATCAATATATTACTATTTTATATGCGAGCAAATTACAATACATGTCCCACGTCGTTAAACTCACACCGCCTCCGACCTCGGCAGAGAGGGGCATTTTGACTCAGAAAACGTTCGCCGCCCGCATTCCTAAGTGTTGACAACACCATTCCTTGCTACTGTTGTGTGTTGTTAAAAAGCAAACATGGTCACTGATTCGCAACGCTACCGCTCTACCCGAGGTGGGGAGGAGAACCTCAGCTTCAGTGATGTCGTCCTGAAGGGTCTCGCCGCAGATGGGGGTCTGTTCCTCCCTCACGCCGTGCCTAAGGCCGATTGGGTATGCAGGATTGACATTGAGCATGAATTCATTCTAACAAATGTATAGCAAAACTGGAAGGACCTTTCCTACACCGAGTTGGCCTTTGAGATCTTCCGCCTTTACATCCCCGAGTCCGAGATCCCCTCCGCCGATCTGAAGGAGATCATCAATCGCAGCTACTCCACCTTCCGTTCTGAGGACGTCGTGCCTTTGGTTCCCCTTGCCCTGGATGGCAACATCAACTTGCTCGAGATCTTCCACGGCCCTTCATACTCCTTCAAGGATTGCGCCCTGCAGTTCCTCGGAAACCTGTTCGAGTACCTGCTCGCCCAGAAGAATGTCGGCAAGGAAGGAAAGGACCGATACCACCTCACTGTTGTCGGTGCCACCAGTGGTGATACCGGATCTGCTGCTATCTACGGACTCCGCGGAAAGAAGGATGTCTCCGTCACTATCCTCCATCCCAAGGGTCGTGTCAGTGCCATCCAAGAGGCACAGATGACCACTTGCACAGAGCAGAACGTTCACAACTTGGCCGTCACCGGTACATTCGATGACTGCCAGGATATTGTTAAGAAGCTTTTCGGTGACGATGACACCAACAAGGATGTCAAGCTGGGAGCTGTGTATGTTTTTGTCCTGTCCTGGCTGGTTTTTATGCATTGCTAACTCGACAAAGTAACTCCATCAACTGGTCCAGAATTCTGGCTCAGACCGTTTTCCACTTCTGGTCTTACTTCTCGCTCGCGAGACAATCCGATTCTTTCACCGTCGGTCAACCTATCCGCTCCGTCACTCCCACCGGAAACTTTGGAAACATCTTGTCTGCCTACTTCGCCACGAAGATGGGACTCCCCGCAGAGAAGCTCATCGGTATGTTCAATTCCCGTGCTCCGATGACACAATTTGCTAACGCTCGAGTTCACAGTCGCTACTAATGAGTAAGTCAACAATTAATTTTTCCAATCCCAACTTTCATATTTTGGCAATTTGCTAATACCGCGCAGAAATGACATCCTCCACCGATTCTGGACCACAGGTCGCTACGAGAAGCACCCAGCAGAGGAGAAGGACGCCGCCGATGTCTGCAAAGAGACACCCAGTCCCGCCATGGACATCCTCGTTTCCAGCAACTTCGAGAGACTCCTCTGGTTCCTGGCCAAGGAGCACGCCGAAGCCGCCGGGAAGGACTCCGACGCGGCCGCCAAGCAAGCCAGCCAAAACGTCGTGGAGTGGTACAACTCACTCAAGGCTACCGGTGGTTTCGGCCCTGTCCCCAACGACATCCTCGAGAACGGCCGTCGCACCTTCGAGAGTGACCGCGTGAGCAACGCGCAGACTCTCGAGACTATCAAGTCCGTCTACGAGAAGACCAAATATGTTCTCGACCCTCACACCGCTGTCGGTATTACCGTTTCCCAGCGTTCCGTCGCTCGCCCTGCCAACGCTGCTATCCCTCACATCTCCCTTTCCACTGCCCACCCTGCTAAGTTCGCGGATGTCGTGAAGGAGGCGCTTAAGGGCGAGGCTGGTTTCGATTTCGAGTCCCAGGTCTTGCCTGATGAGCTTAAGGCTCTTTCCTCTAAGGAGACTCGTGTCGTCAATGTTGAGAACTCTTGGGAGGCTGTTCGGGAGATTGTCAAGAGACAAACGCTCGAGGATCTCGAGGCCCAGGCTCATGCTAGCTCTTGATTTTGGTTCTAGCTAAGTCTTCTATGTGTAAAAATCTTCGATCTCGGAGGACCTGTACGTCGGACTTGTCATTTGTTGATACTGTTGTTTGCGCTTTACGATACTAAACACCAGCTGCATCGAGCTAGGTCATGAACTATACACCATAGTAATCAAAAAATATTGTGATTCAGAAGCAGTGCTCATTCTCTGATAATTAGAAACAGATGCTAGTTGCACACCACACAGTGTGGCAGGGTATCGTCAATAAATGACAGGTGGAAATTCAGAATCCAAAACAGGTTGCAAAGGGGAATTCGCATAGGAAACACGCCAGAGGTATCAACGAAAATGACATGGAACAGAAAAGAAGGGCCCCAATGCTATCCGATGTCCAATGCAAAAACGACGATGACAAAAAAGAAATAATCAGAGTGTATGTGAATCCAAGTTCACGGGCATCAATTCATAATTGATGAATTCATAAAAGGTTGTGGTCGAGGTGGAAGCCTGAGTGATATCACCAAAATGAGATGGTGGAACATTAACCAATGCTTAGATCAAGGCCTTTTCAGATTCGTCCGCGTCTTCGGGCGCTTTGGGGAGGGGTTTATCGTCGCTGGCGGGCGATTTAGGCTCCTCTGACCGGCCTTCGGTCTCCTCTGTTTCTTCAGGCTTCTCAGGTGCCTCCTCTGGCTCATCGGCCTCCTTTGGGCTGCTATCTTCTTCGTCCTCGGCCTTTTCCTCCCCCTCTGCTGCAGCGGCGGCAGCAGCAGCAGCCTCGGCCTCGGCCTTCTCCATCTCAGCATTTCGGGCTTGCTGTCTATCCCAGACCTCCTTGCGAATCCGGTCATCCTTGGCAGTGCGGAGGCGCTCAGTTTCTTCAAAGCCTCCGCTCTTCTTCAGCTTGCCCTCTTCAACAAAGGCGCCAAGCTCCTTTTGGAACAGGTTGTTTCGTCTGGTCTCAAGCTCCTTCTTGCGTGCCTTTTCGGCTCGCTCAATGGCTTCGATGCGACTTTCGTGATTAGGTTGCAATGCACGAACTTCGCCGAGAACACCATCCTTTGCCTTCATAGGGTCGATGGTGGGGTCGATACCAAGACTGCGGGATGTGGTGCGAACAGCGGTAGGACCGCCGGTAGTGTTGGTCATGACCTGTTCCTTGGTGGCTTGCTCGACAAGAGCGAAGGTTTGAGTCGCCTTCTCGAGATCGTCTTGCAAGTCAGCGGCAAGGTCTTCTTGCATGGTAAGCTGGTCACGTTCCTCGCAGACCAGCTGCAGCTCCTTCTCCCAGATCTTGGTCCAGATAGGCTTCTCGCGGCCGAGGAAGTCCTGCATTTTCTTAATTTCCTTCATGACGGTGCTGATATCGCGGCTAACACCCTCGAGTTGTCTGGGGAGGGGGCGGACACCGCGAGTGACGACATCCTTTCGAAGATCTTCGACCAAGTCTTGAAGATCGTCGACGCGAGCAACCAGCCGCTCTGACTCGCCTGCAAGTTCTTTCTTGCCGGTGTTGACACGAGCGCGGCCGGCATCGCCTTCATACGAAGGCGTGGCGACATCGTCAGCGGCAGTCTTGACCTTGCCTGCCTTGGCGCGGACTGCACTCATCGAGCCGTTGATATCGGCAGTGAAGTTGGAGTATGTTTGACGCAAAACAGCCAAGTCTCGACGAAGGCTCTGGATCTCCGCCAGCTGAGCTCCGTCCCCGGCAACCAATGTCTTGACGCCAGACCCGGAGGCAGCGGCGGTGACAGGGGGAGCAGCCGCCAAGCGAGCAATCTCCTTAGCAGCTTCAAGCTGACGGTCAGATACTCGCTGGATGGCGCTCCCTTGACCAGAAAGCACTTCCTTGACACCTTCAACCAGGAGGCGCACGCTCCCAAGGCCATCATCGAAATGCTTCTTGACCTCGTCGAGGTTGTCGACATTCAGTACCAAGACGGACCGATCCTTAACATCTGCAAGGTCTTCCAGTTCGTGGCGGATGCCCGAGATTGGGTCCTGGATATAAATTTCAGGCAAATCGACACCATTGTCGTGGGTGTTCCAAGCGAACTTCTCGATAAATGCCAACTGGAGGCGTCCAATGGTGAGGTCTGCGATGCCATCCGGCAGCACATACTTCTTAATCTTGCTCTTATATTGAAGGAACAGCGTGAGCTCCTTGCCCGGGGAGGGCTGCTCAGTGAACTGGGAGACAGACGGAGGGGTTGCGACCTGGGTAGTTGGGCTAAATGAGCTTGTTTTCGGGGTATGAGGTGCACCCTTCGCAGGGTCGAAGGCGTCCTCCAGAGCCGGCTTCTCTTGGGGCTGGGCGATGATGGGAGCGGGAGCGGCGGTTTCCTCGTGATTGGCTTTGTCGGCAGGTTCTGCTTCCCGGGTAACTTCCGGGGCTGGAGCGGGTTTGGCGGGCTGGGGGGTACGCTCCTCCTCGACCACGTTCGGGATGTTCGCAGCTGGGTGTGCCTGTGCAGTCTTGGAAGCTTCTTGTATGCGATTGGAGGACTTCTGTCTCGAGTGGTTATAGGATCCCCGAAGGCGAACTGCATTCAGAGACTCGCGGACATCACGGCCGCGATTGGGAATAGGAGAATTTTGGGTTGGTAGAACGGGAACACCGTTTGTGGAAGTGCCCAAGTGCTTTTGGATTTGGTAGGCAGAGAAACGTCGGGAGGCTCGTCGCTCGAGCTCTCCACTCCTCTGCAAAGCCCCCAGTGCATCATCCTCTTTGGGTGGTGGTGGAGGGGGCGGGGGCGCTGGAAACCCAGCAGGTGCATTATGTGTAGAAGGCGCAGTATTATTGGATGTATTGGCTCGGGGGGTTGCATCGTTATCCGAATTGGGCTGGGACAGTAATTGCTGTGCCTCTCGGCGAGATGTTTCTTTTTCGCTGTGGTTCGAGGATCGAGGATCGTTGGATGATGGTGCCGAGGAGGTCCGGGCAGCAGCCGGTTGATCCTCGAGAGATCCGTTGCTCCCAAATCTTCGGTTACTGGATCTCCGAGGGGACTGTGCGGTCGATGGCATCGTCGAGGCCGCGGCCTCATCATATAACTGGCCAATTGCCTGTCCACTGGCGAGGCTTCCAGCACTGGCGTTCCGTCCTGGCGCGGGGCGTCCATCCTCCCGTTGGTGTCGTGAGCGTAACCGGGCCTGCTTCTTCTTGAGCCCGTGGAGCAGATTTATGATTATGTCGCGAATTCGGGGGAGGTATCGGTCGAGGCTTGCGGCCGACGCATCTTGGCTCAGGGTGTCTTCGAGAATGGTGCGCAGCAGGTCTGGCACTGGACCCAGGTCCGAGGTATCGACTCCGATTGCACTGAAGGCGCGACAAGCGAGGTTAAATTCATAGCCCAGGCGTACATATACATCCGACACGTCGTTTTCCGTGGCCAGCTTGCGTGACCAGTGGGTGAGGGTCTCCAAGAGCTGTTTGGTTGCGACCAAGAGATGTGTCACACTCTTTTCGATTTGGGAGATCTGCTTATCAGGCTGCGTGGGGGAACATCGATCAGTCATCGCCGCAGGACTCTCACAACATGGGAACTCACCGGGTTCTTGCTTGACTGGGACCGGGACGAGGCAGATGAACTGCGACCAGATTGCTGGGAAGCCATGGATGTATCGGTACTACCAGACAGCGAGGGTCGGGGAGAGGTTTGATCCGACTCTCCGTAGGGGAATTTTGTTTTCTGTGAGGATTGCATATGACACGATCATGGAGGTTGGAAAGTGAGAATCGAGTCCACGAGAATGGGCATGTGTGGAAGATGATGCCCAGCCTCCGTCAAGCGCCTTACCGCGTCTCAGCCAGGATCGGCAGTGCCGATCACCACGATACCATATATTACCGTATTATTGTGTAATGTTGTATTAATCGAGCTATTCAATAGATCAATAGATCAATAGTATATTGTTTATTAAATTATTCACATCGAGTGTAACATCTAAATACAATCTCCTGACACCCACGGATGTGTCACTGCAGACATTCGGCAACACCCGCGCCTATCCACTTGGACTCTTCTGTTTAGTGCGGATGGACCTGGGTGGTGTCTGTATGCAGACTTATATATAGAATTTATACCAGTGGACTTATGTATATGTACATCTTTTTGTTTATTTCCAGTGGCTTCCAAGGTTTGATATTTCTTTATTGAGTCTCCGGCTCTATTACCTAGGTAGGTATTCGCAAGGCTTTGTTGGCCACCTAGTCGGAGGTCACAAGAGAAAAGCTACCCCGAGGTCATGCAATGAAAAGACCAAGCGAGAATGCATCGAAATATACTCAGGCAGTCTAGACCGGAAGTAATGAAGCTAGCCATTTCACCACGAGCCCTGGAGATAATGGAGTATAGAAGCAGAGGATGAGAGACTGCCCACGAGGGTGTATATTCCTGCTGATTCCCAGGATTTTGCATATGATAGTCGACGTTAGAACATATACGAGCCTGGCCATGCAGGTTTGCTTGTTTTCATTGGTCCTCATGCACAGCAGAATGCATTGTACAGGCCTCTACCATTGGGCTGTACCCTATATCCCACAAAGGATTATAGTCTCTAGTCCGTACGAGCATCATGGTACGGACATCAACCGGGAAGGGTCGAACTACCTCAGCCTGACCCAAACATGCCGTAATGTAGACAATTGGGAAAATAAAAAAATAAAGGATAGAGAGACTCAGACAGATATTGGTGACAGTGACAAAAGCAAAGGACAGAACAGAAGTGTAACACCAAATACAGTACCATACGCGTGACTTCTCTCAACTTGCGACAATTGGGCACTCCCTCTTCCCCATTTCACTTCAACTCCGTCTATCCCTTGTCGCTCTCCATTTCGTCTATCTCATCTTGGTGCCATTGGCACATCACGGTCCGCGTATATCCCACTTGCCCGTCCTGTTTGTGCAGGCGGTGTGTGTTGTGGCTTCGTGCCTCACCCTCGCGGCTTTCCGCCGGACCAAGTTCCACGACGCAAGCTTGTCCTGACTGACAAAGTCAAATGGCTTCCGCTCTGAACTCTGTGCCGGCTAGCAACGCGTCTGGCAATGCCAACGCGGGTGCGCAGAACCCCGGCCGCTCCACTCTGAGATCCAACAGTACCAAGGGGTCCGACAGTCGACGACAGTCGGGCAGCCCGGTTGACGGTGGACAACGGTACGTCCCCACCTTGCTCCCCAGTGATGAAATCTACGATACCCCATGTTATCGAACAAGTGGAATACTCTCCCTGGCCATTCTCCCCCCTCCAGCGATTGAGCCCATGCACGGGCCCTGGGGTGGGTGAGCTCTGGGAGACACTTGCATCAACTTGTGTACCAAAAACGGCCAATTGAAGACATCGGATTCAATGGCAGCAATTTCTCGATTTGCCTGTTTTCGTATCCATCGATTTGGCGATCATCGAACGCTAACGCAGACATGTTCTACTGCATAGGCGCACGAATTCCCACAAGGCCTGGACCCAAGGAACCAACCCCATCACCCAACGATCTTCATATGCCTCATCGAACGGTAACATGACCCAGCAGAGGCAGGCTGCCTCCCCGAGGCCAAACCAGAAAGAGTCAAACACCCCCGACAGCCACGCTCATGACCGCCTCGTATTCTTATTCGCCAGCTTCATTGTAAGCCTGGTCGCACTGCCTTTCACAATGCCGATGGATTCTGAACTATTATCTAGGGCCTGACAACCACGATTACTACCAAGTCCGGTGACAAGTACACCGGTATATTTTCCTCTTCGTCACTTGAGCCGAACGATGTCTCGTTCCTGCTGAAGATGGCGCAGCGCGCCTCACAAGACGGCCAGTTCCGTACAAACGGTGTCAGCGATGCTGCAACCCCGTTCTTGGGATCTGCGCCCGAGCATATCATGTCCTTTGAGATCAAGGATGTCATTGATATCGACGTGCCAAACGTAACTACCGCTGAGATCTCAGCCAAGGAACCGAACGGTAGGCCAACATGTACCCTATCATGTTATTTGCGCAGATGCTTATCTCAGCCACAGGTGCCTCGCAGGGTTTCCGAACCGACAGTGATATCTCCGGAAATCTGGGCATGCGCGAACGTACTTTGCAGCGCTGGGAGCCTGCCGAAACTGACGTGGACATGTCACTTGAGACGAGCAACAATGCGACTGGGTGGGACCAGTTCGAAGCCAACGAGCGTCTCTTCGGTGCTAAGACTAATTACGACGAGAACATCTATACTACTCGACTTGACCGCAACGACCCTGCTTTCAAGCAGAAGCAGGTAGAAGCCGCTCGGATCGCTCGTGAAATCGAGGGACAAGATGTGGAAAACTCCCACATGCGCGAGGAGCGCGGTCTCGCAGCGCAGGACGCTGGTGACCAGGACGAAGAAGACAAGTATAGCGGTGTACGACGTGAAGACAAGGCGTTCCCTCCTTTGCTTTCCGGCCAGCCAAACAAATATACGCCCCCTGGACGTCGCCAACCTACCCAGCCCATCCCGGCCAGCGTGCCTGCTAAACAGCCCGCAGCTCCACCAGCCCCAGCCATTCCCATCCCCATTCCTCCTCGGGCCCCGGAACAAGAAGCCGCCTCTTCAGACAAGCAATCCGAGCCGGCCGCTTCCCTGCAGCCCCCATCGGATCCTGAACAAAAGAGCATATCGGGCAAGGGTGTCTCGCCTGCTGTCTCTACTGCCTCTACGGTGTCCACCACCAAGCGTCCTGGGCCTGAAAATGCAACTGCAAATGTCGAAGCAGAGGTGCTCGGCCATTTCCGTCAGTTTGCGAAAGATGAAAAAGCCAAGCTTCAGGAGCGTCGCCGGAACCAAGCATCATATGATCGAACCAGCAAGCTCAATGAGCTGATGAAATTCTCCAAGAGCTTCAAGCTGTCGACTCCAGTTCCCAAAGACCTTGTTCCCATTCTCGCCAAGGATCGTATTAAGCAAGAGGCCATTATCTCGCGAGCCCAGCAACAGGTCGACGACAAGGGCGTACCAAAGGCGACCACGCCTCCAACCGAACCCAAGGCCCCCGCTCGGGGCACTGGGCCTACTGGAGCTGTGCCCCCGTCTGCGCCTTCAGACCGCCAGTACAACCGTCCGCGCCAGGGCTACCCACCGACTGGCCCGCTTGCCGCGAGTGCTAGTGCGCGATTCTCCCAGCAAGGCGTCCAGCCTTCACGTCCCGGTGTTGGTATGCTAAGCCATCGACTTGCTGATAACCTGCAGCAGCGAAAGGGCCCAGGTATGGGCCCTGTACCCAACCCACTGCCGATCCAAGATGCCCGTGCACCTCCTACTGGCCCTGCAAGCGAACAGCAGAGAGTCCTGAGCCCCGGCAAGCCACAGGCTGCCTCTGCTGCGACCAAGTTCAACGTCAAGGCTATGGAGTTCAAGCCCAACCCAGCTGCTAGTACGTTCACCCCTGGTGGAGCTGGCGGAGCCCCTGGTCCTGCTCCAAGTGCGCGGTCTTTCTCGCGCAATCGCTCCATCTCGCGGGCGACGACGCCAACCGCTTTCTTCGGTCCGAGAAAGCCCCAGCCCATCTCGGAACGACCCTCAATCAATGATCAATTCAACCCAATCAAGCGCATGAAGAAAGAAAATGCCGATCAGACCGAGAAGCCTTACTTGTTCAACGGAGGCATTCCCCCACCTTACAAGACTATCCCAACCTGGGAGGTTGCCGAGGGAAATATGGAGAAGACATACGGCCAGATGTTCAAGCAGCCCGTTGGCGCGCAATCGGTGTCGCCTCAGGCTCGCTCAACCTCGAACGCCAGTAACGTTACCCACCAGGGCAACATGCCTTTCCACTTCCAGCCAAACATGCCCCCAGTCTCCGGCCCACCAAACGGGCCCCACAACCTCCACCCCCAGGGCCCTCATGGACCGTCCCACGTGGATGATCATCATCGCATGCAGCTCTCGGCATCTAACTCTCAGGTCTTCCCCTCCCCACGTATGCAGCACGGGTACCCATCGCCAATGGCTCCCCACGCCCAGTTATCATTTGGACAGCCTGTTCCTCCGTTCTACAATGGCGGGGCCCAGCCCAATCACATGAGGCATTATCAGGGTGGCCCTCAGTTTGTGAACCCGCAGAACGGAATGGGCGCTCCTATGATGGCCCAGCAGCACTCCAATGGACCCTTCATGGCAGTTCCTCAAGGCATGACTCCGTATAACGCCCAGATGCCCATGTATTCCCCTTCTCCGGGCCACGCATATCCTCATGTGCCTGCACCCCAGCCACACAGTGGATACCCAAGTCCAAGCCGTGGTGCCCCAATGATGATGCACCAGAACTCGCAATCTGGTCAGCCTCCCATGTTCATGCCAGGCCAGAACGGCTACCCCCAGCAGTCCGGACACAGTGAGTTTGGCTTTGTCCCCGTTCGCCCTGTTTTAGTTTCTAATCCCATACAGTGCCGCCCAATCGTGGAAACTTCCAACAGCAGCCTCATTTTTCCTCAAGCCCGCATCAGTCGCACCATTTCCCACCTAACCAGCATCGGACCCCCAGCAACGGGTTCAATCAAATAGCTCAAATGCCGCCCCAGATGCCCGCCAATACCCCCAACTCCGGAGGATCTCACTCTGCTGAGCCCACGGATGAAGGAAAATGAACTAAACGAATCATGAAGCCTGCGGGCGGGACCTCTGGATGAAGCTGCATCATCTCCTACCCACCGCCGCCGACTTACCCGCATCCTACCCTGTCGGCGATCTCCGACTCGCATATACCCTGATTACTGTCGCCCGACCTCATCTGTTTTTTTACCGTCCCCCACGCGGTCCATAACATTTGAAACCTGCAGTGGTTTTCATATCACCTCAAGACATCTTCAGTGAGTGAATCTTGTCTATGTTGTAATCAACGCTGCTAACTCAACCTAGGCTTGGGTCAATCTACCAGCTCTGCCTATCTACCTTCTAGACCTCGGTCCCGCAGGTACATGGTGCCCAAAGTTGCAGGCGATGGAATGATCGAAACCAACTGCTCCTCAGCCGATCGCCGTCTGCTTCTTCCGCCCTTGGTGCAGAATTATTCCACGTGGTTGAATCGAAGTCTTAAGGATTTCCTCTTACTCTGAGATCGTCATTTTTTCTGGTCCTCTCTTATCTTGTGTTTCGTTTCGTTTACTTGCACCACTTCTTGTTCCATGGATTGGGGACATTGTGGGGACCCCTCAAGGGCCCACATAGTCTCCAGTCCATTTGGAGTGGAAGTGGGGTCTCTGACAGGTGTGTTGATGTGGAGACCATGGAGAGTGGTGATGTGGTTAGGGTTGGTGAGTTAAGGGGGAGGTGGAGGTGGACGGTTGAGCTTTACAATGGGATCCTCGCCCCGGAGCATAGCAATGAAATGGTTATATCATAGGAAATATTCTCTTCGCCGTAAAAACTGTATAAACGTGCAACAGTCGAGTATCACAGTCCCCTCCTCCATCGTCAAGATCCCTCCAAGGGTTCAAAAATCACACATGAAATATCATATATACTAGATGGAATGAATATTAGCAATGATTCACCAGGTAGAAAATGATTGAGCATATGAGCAAGACGTCTCCTCAGTAGTTGTTTCAAAACTGTCGTCAGCCAGGGACAGTCACATTGTCAACGCCTCGTCGCCGCGGTGCTTTCCACTTCAGCGTCACGCTTCAGCGTCGCCCTCCATCGTCGCCCTCCAGCAACCAATCGCCGCGGAAACCCAAGGAGCAACGCCGAGCACCACAACAACTGGCATTTCCAGCCCACATCAGACTCAACGCCTCTCATCCACTCCCAACTCCCAAGCCCCATGACCGTACCCCTGACTCACCCTGCACAGCAGATCAAAAGCGGACGTGACACGATGACACGAGCAGCCGGAAGCTTCCTCCCTGAGCAAACACAGAGAGGGCGTGGCTCCACGTATCCCCACCAGCGGTCAACCAAACCCGCCGGTGAGGATCCGCGAGAACCCCAACCCCTTCAGTGAAAACATCTCAGGTCGAACGGAATTTCCCTAAGTGGCCACACGAAACAACGTGTTTCAATCGCAAGCCATCAACCCTCTTCGCCACAGCCATTGGTCGCCAGCCGTCCTCATGGAAACGAAGCGGACAAGGCAACCCCAGATAGCGGCGACACCGGCCCGTTACCTGATCAAGCGAGCTCACAGTGACGAACATGTTGCAATCTAACACCCTCGGAACGATACCACGAGGGGGAGCTCAATGGTTTGATACCCCAGCGTCAAAGCTGAAGTAACGAGCCAGTGAGGTCTCAATTCCAATATGGACATGTCATGTGTACAGGCCAAACACCAGGTCGGACACCGATATAACTGTACACAGGCCACCCTGAACCCATGCCCACGCAATAATGCGAGGCAAAGCCATAGGTAAGACGTGGATTCTCACAGGCAACTTGCCCGCTGGGAGACCTTGTGTTCTGCTGTGCCGGGTGGTAGAGAATGCGGAGATGAGGCATGGTTGCCGAAAGTTTGTCGGAAGAAAGACATCAAGTTGATGCAGGCACGGTATGCAAGCATGCCGATCCAGGCTATGCAGAATGTTCTGGACAAAAATGACAGAGTCGAGTACCCAGCCATTACCCCTAAGATTCACTCGGGGCTCAGTCGTGGTGTTCGGGCGGGAGTTCGAAGTACCATCGGCTCAAGAGGTATGTTGACTGTGTCTTTGCCCTGATCGGACCTTTTACCAGTGTATGCATCATTGGAGAATGGTGCTTGCTGGGAGGGAATAGCTTACCGCGTTCAAGGTGAAGGTGCTATCCATGCAAGCCCTAATATCATGATTTGACAAGATAATATCAGTTTCCAGGTTCACAGTTGACCAAATCGAATGCAAGACGCCATTGAAGCATCCTGCGGCAGAAATCGACGCGTCGGGAAGAACGTGCAACAGGAGAAAGTGCATTCGGGGTATTTATTTTCGATTGTGGCCTCAGGCGCCTTATCGCGATAACGCGGGGCTCTGAAAGGGGACACCCACCTGGGCAGGAAGCTCCAGTCTCTCGATGCTTCATTCACACTCGTTCTGTTTTTCGTTCACTTGCTTCGCTGCTTGCCAGGTTACCAGCATCCTCACAAACCCCTAAACATTGTCCGTTCATCACCGCGAACCCACATATCGACAACTACCACACCGGCCACATCGGCCACATCGGCCTCATGGACTTCCTTAAATCCGCGATCGGCTCCGCCATTGCGAAAGGTGGTGGTCTTCCCTTCTCCCTGGGCGACAAAGTGGACATTGGCGACTCTGTTTGGAGCCTGCACAACGCCACCAAAAGGGTATGATATCTTCGTCCGTTCCAGTGCGGCAGCTCAAATGGCTAATGGGGCGCAACACTTAGGATGACGGCTCTGATTGTAGCGTCTTTGTCTTCCATATCGATGCCAACCGATCGCGACTGCCCCTAGCTAAAAATGCTATGCACAAGTCCCGGACTTTGCGCCACCCGGGTGTGATCAAGGTCTTGGATACTATCGAGGTAAGATCGCCTATACTTTGCGCCATCGAGCGCCCGCGATCCTGTATATCCGAATGATGCTAACATGCCTTACAGAATGAGCAATACCTGTACATCATCACGGAGCGACTTGTGCCTTTGAGCTGGCCGGTCAAGAGACGAAGCTTGAGCGAGGAAACAGCCAAATGGGGACTATACACCGTGGCGGTATGTTGCACCCGAGCTTTGTGATAGAATCCTGCTGACAGCCTCGGTTCTTAATAGAGCACCATCAATTTTATCAACGCCCACGCTTCTTCTGTCCATGGAGTTGTGCGTGCATCCTCGGTGTTTATCAGTCAGAGTGGTGAATGGAAGCTTGGAGGCTTCGACATCTTGAGCTCCATGAAGGAGGACGATGCAATTATTTACGTGAGTGATCAGTGCATGCTTGATTGGAGCGGAGGCGTTGGAGCTATCGGTAACTGAGACTGACTTGAGGCATAGACCTACGGTAGCATTGTGCCTGATGCCGCTCGCTACACCCCTCCAGAGGTCGTCAAAGGCGGCTGGGAGGTCATTAAACAAAACCCCCTGGCAGCTGTCGATGCTTATGGTTTGGCTATTCTCATATTTGAGGTATTCAACGGCAGCTTTTCAGGCGGCGATCAAGTCGGCAGGACGACAAACATTCCTACGAGCATGCACCAAAGCTACAAGCGACTTTGCACCGCAAACCCAAAGTTCAGATTGAGCCCTGGCCATTTCGTTGAACAGGGAAAGAAACATGGGGGTTTCTTCCAAACTCCACTCATTCGGATGACCGAGGATATTGATAAACTGGGGCTCATGGATGAAGCTGAGCGGGAAAATTTCATTAAGTATGGTTGGAGCGGCCCCTTCGAGATCTCGGTAGCTGACAGTGTACCTCCTACAGTGAACTTGATCAACTGCCAGAAGAGTTTCCAGAGGATTTCTTCAAGATGAGAGTCCTCCCAGAGCTGCTCAAGAGTGTCGAGTTCGGCGGTGGCGGCCCCAAAGTTCTGAGTGCAACTTTGAAGATTGGCGCGAAGCTCTCAGCAGAAGAGTTCAACGCGAAGATGACCCCCGTTATCGTGCGTCTGTTCGGCAACCCTGACCGTGCGTTGCGGGTCTGTCTCCTGGACAACTTGCCCTTGATGATCGATAGCCTTCCTAAGAAGATCGTCAGCGATAAAATCTTCCCTCAAATGGTAAGCGTTTTCTTACGCAGATATGTCAACACATACTAACGTGAAGTAGACTTCTGGTTTCACCGACCTCGCCCCGGTGGTGCGGGAGCAGACCGTGAAAGCCGTCGTTCCTATCATCACCAAACTGAGTGATAGGGTTATTAATGGAGAGCTGCTGAAACTTCTGGCGCGCACCGCTAGGGATGAACAACCTGGTATTCGGACCAATACCGCAATCTGCCTTGGTCGAATTGCCAAGAATCTAGGAGCAGGTGTAAGTTCAGCCAGTGTTCTTATTAACTTGACCATGTGGCTGACAGTTTGCAATAGGATCGCGCCAAGGTGCTCATCGCAGCCTTCACCAGATCCATGAAAGATCCATTTGAGCACGCCCGAGCTGCAGGACTCTTAGCGTTCTCTGCTACGATCGACATATACAAGGACGATGATTGCGCCCAAAGGATCCTACCAGCAATCTGTCCTTTGCTCATGGATACTGAAAAGTAAGATATCTTTGAAGTTCACGGTGATACTCAGCTAACGATTGGACAGGTTGATCCGTGACCAAGCCAATAAGACGTTTGATGTGTATCTCAGGCGCATTCGGAAGTCCGCTGCCACTATGCCGGACACCGTGATACCCCCCAGTGCACGGGCAGAAGCCCCCAGCCGACCCGAGCCTCGAGCCGGAGCAGCAGGCGAACACTCCTGGGCCGGATGGGCCATTTCCTCCTTCACCAACAAAATCGCAACCGCCAGTGGAGCCATTGAGCCCACGGCCACCAGCGCACAGCCGGCAGATGTCGAGACTGCCCGCCCTGCCTCAGCTCCTCGCCCCACCCAACCATCTACATCTACAACCACCGAGCTACACAAACAAGCTCTCAGCCCCACCGCCCAGCCCTTGAACCGGTCGCACTCGGATCGCCCCCCTCTGGTGCCTTACCACGACGATCCAGAGGAGGATGCCGACGACGTCTTTGAGGCCTGGGGTGCCATGGACGACGACGAGGCAGAGCCCGACCCGTTCACGGCAACAACCGCCTCCCCCGCTCTTTCATCGAGCAAAGCCGGGGCGGTGCCCTTCGACGACGGCGGCGAGCCGGACTTCGCAGGCTGGTTAGCCGCGAAGTCCGGCGCCGCGAAGAAACCCTTGCCAAAGGGGTTGAGCAAGGCCGCGTCTACCAACACGGTGGCCACGCGCTCGTCGGTGGCTTCGGCCAAGCCGCGGGCGGTTGTCGTTCCCAAGAAGATCGACACCAAGCCCAAGGAGGAGCCGGAGGACGACTGGGGTGACGCGTGGGACTAAATGAATAGCAATATTCATTTTTTTTTTTTTCTCTATTTCCTGAGCCCACCAAGCCGTAGAGCGTACCCTGTATGTGCTTGAGACCCTTGGCTCGGACGGAGTTTGATCTGGCGCCTGGTGCTGTGTATGACTACCTTTTCGAGGAGAGGAAAGCCTGGCTGTTCCTGATGTACGAGTAAATGAAACCAAAGCTTGAGGCTACATCCGTGGATGCGAACGAGCGAATTCGAAGTTGAGAACCGCATAGTTATTTTTCTTTAGCTCAGGGTGCTGCCCTTGCTATTATCTGAGAAATGCTACTTTCGTGCCCTACTTCTGTCCCTGTCTCTCGTTGACGCCGACAACCCCTTTATCAACTTCTCGTCACTTTTCAATCGCCTCGTATTCGGCGTATACTGCCTCCCAGCGCGATGCCGTAGCTCCTGCAAAGGCCTATTCTCCGAAAAATCGTAATTCGGATCTCTCGCTGCAACATGCAGCTCTACCCTTGGTACTGTGCAGGTGGCCTCCATGAGTCGCGTAATCGGCCTCGGGCGTGGGAGGGCCCTTGATAACTCTGGCTCCACTGGTCCTGATACGGCGCATTGTAATTGTTCACACTGCCGCGCCATTGACCTTGTTCGTGGTCTTGCCATTGGTGCACATCGTTCCACCACCAATTGCGCCTGTTCCTGTTCCTGCGGCGGCGGCGGCGACCGCCCTCGCTGTGGCTTTGGCCTTGGCTCCCGTCTCGGTTTCGGGGCCCTGTTGGAATCGGGGGCTATGCAAATTTTAGCTTGGGATTCATCGTCTAGATCATCGACCGTCCAACCATTTTACGTTGCTCACCTTCTAGAGCTGTCTTCTCTCTTGATTCTTCCGGCTTGGAATCCGGGATAGCGACCACTGGTTCCGTGTTTATATTTCTTGGTGGACGCAGCTCTCGAGAAACGACTTGATTGCTGCTCACCGGAGGGTCAGATCTGATCGTAGCGCTGGAATCGGGCTCATGATTTCGGTTGTCGGTTCGGAATGGCAGCATCATTGCTTTTTGGCGCATTTCCCCTTGAGCAAGCTTATACAGCATGTTGTATACTTTGCTGCGTTCCTGGTGCCTGTTCTCAAACTGTTCATGATCCTCATCCCATAGATCGGGGTCCACTTCTTCTTTGTGAAGCCGTAAAAGCTCTTCTGTTCTTGAGAAAAGCCGATCTTCATCAAGACACTCCTCAGGCGCGTCGATCGGCGGCTCGCTGGGCATGTTCATTGTGGATGGCGGAGCGTCGATTAGGCTGAGCGCGGAAGACTCACGATTCCCGGGAACCCTATATTGGGAATTGTTGGGACAGCTGGACTCTAGGGACGAGTATACCGAGCGCCTGTCGCTGGGGGTTGGTTCAGGTATATGCTCTCTCGGTGTCAATTCCAGTGCAAGAGCGCTGCTTGCCCTTCGTGATTGAACATGGGTAGCAGCAAAGCACCCTTGCGAGGTAAAGGGCGATGATCCTGGTCCGACACCGTCATCAGATAGGCACGCCATATTTTCGATTAACTCCCAGTCGAATTCCGGCCCTGAGGACACTGGCCTCATGGACACCGACTCCTGCTCGTGGGACCCATTGCTAAGTTGGGCCAAAGGTGAAGGCGAAAAGCAATGCGAGGATAGTCCTGAGAAAAGCATTTGGCTCGCCATCGAGCTGTATCTCGATTGCACATACGACGAAGTTCCATCCGAGTAGAATGTCTGTTCTGACGACCGGTCAAAGTCAGATTCTGGCCCTAGCGAAGACGAACTCGAAGATGGAGTCAGGGCAGGAAGCGGTGATCTTGTTTTCGTTGTGGAGGAGCGCCGTGGTCGCCGGGGTCTATAAATGTATTGGAAATCCACCGTCGGCTGTCGAACGGTTGGTGTGGGTGATCCGATGGCCATAGTAATGTCTTCAGATGTTGCTCGGGTAGACTGGTGCCGTCGCTTTTGATGGGCTTTTCTTGCAAGATGTGCGCGAGAGATGGCGATCCTTTCATCGTGCTCCGTAGATTCAATTATGATATCCGGTGTTGAGGCAATAGGCCGGAGTAAACTTGAGTTTCGTGTTGTCCGTTCCGAGGCTGTGGTTGGAAATGATGGTGCAAACCAAGGACTGTGTTCTCGCGAGGCTTGTTTCCCTGAAGCTTTTGTTTTTGTCGAGGTCGCTCGTGATGATGAGCCGACACGAGCGCTGCTGCTCATATTTTGCAGACTCAAGAGCCCGAACTCAAGGGGATGGAGCTGAAGTCATGTCTGGGGTCATCATTCTGCGGGGGCAACTAGGGAAAAGACCTTTATGGGCATGTCTCCCAGCCACCTATTTACATGGAATAGCTCAGTGAAAGTATGGACCTACGGAGTACATGCACCGGGGCGGCTGTGTCCACTGGGAAATGACAGGTGCCCAGGTGGGAGGGCCGATAGATCTGAAATTGGTTCTGGAAACTCGCCAGTATTACCCCGTAACCTGCACTGTTTGGAAGGATAGACTGCCTGGGTAGTATTATATCATGATTGACTTTTCTTGTGCCTATGTAATACTCTGTCCAGGGTCCTATATCCACCAATGCCCATTTTGATCTTGAGCAGACTGGGATTGATCCCGCCAATCCTTCAGTACTCCGTAGTTTGCAGGTTGACTGAGCTTTGAATGGCTTAATCCACTCTTGTGTGGGTCTTCTTGGCTCTCGATCTCTTGACTTTTTCTTTTGAGCCTTCATCCTGCAAGAGATGGCACCGATTGACGTGTAACTATCACCTTCTACAGAGTACAAGGCCTCGGTGGTGATAATTTTGCCAATGTCGTTAGCACACCCATGAATACTCACATAGATACTAGCAAATTCAAAACCTTTCATGAACACTAACGCTGGGTTGACAAAAAGCACTATTAAACTGTGCTTTTTATCAGTGGGGGTTAGGGTTGCGATCCGTTCCAAGGTTGGCGGGGCGACTACCGAATCGGCGTTAGACATGTCATGTTCAATCTCTCCAACATTTGAAATGTTACACTTGGAAGTGGAATGTGGCGATGGCTTTGAATTTCGAGAGCCATGACAACGGGAGTTCCGTCAGCACGTTTCAGTCGGTAGAGTTGGCCCGAAAGAAACTTGGAAGCAAGAAGTAAGGGAAGTGGGAAAGAGAACCTTGAAAAGGTGCCCAGGTGAGGCTCATTGGTAGTAAAAGCCCCCTGATCAAGGGGAAGTGATCTGGCCACAGCTTTACTAGGTAGAATTCCTGCTTTTGTTGCCGCAACCTGGGATGCGTTACCTAGGTACGGACAAATTGAAGTTGGTATAAAATATTCATCTAGCAGACAGTCCATCCAACAAAAGAACGTGGTTATATATTCATTCTTGACCGAGCAAAAAAAACCAGAAATTGCTCAAGATCTCTGCAGCAACCCGTTCCCCTGAGCTGATAGCTCCATCCATATAACCGATCCAACGGACAGCAGTTTCCGTGCCAGCGAAATGGATATTCCCCACTGGAGCGCGCAGGAAGGGTCCATATTGAGTCAAAACTCCAGGAGGCATAAATGCTCCTGGACCCCCCCTGGAAAATTGATCCGTATTCCACCGATGAACCAGGATTTGAGTCGCCGTATTCACCTGCGGCCCAAAAAGATTGACGAATGACTGTTTAGCCTGAAGTTGAATCTCGTCATCGCTGGCGTTGTCTAACTTGCGCATTTCATCCGCTTCAATAAAGCCCATCAATGCACCAAAAGACACATTCGGCGGGGAATTGTCGTAGGTTATACGAATGGCACCTGTTTCGCTTATACCAGCTCCATTTAGGCCTTGTCCACGCCACCAAGGCCTTGGAAAGATGGCAATTGCTTTTCCGATTGCCCCTATTGGCATGCGTTGATTTAATTGGTCTCGCCCCGCTGGCAAAGGGGGATCGAAGACGATGCGGCTCGTCAAAGGAGGCGAAATGGCAACGACTACATGTCTCGCGGAGACATTGAGTGTTGGGGAGGTGATGGTATACCAGGCATGTTCAAATTTCACTTTCCGAACTGGTGCTCTGAAAAAAATGTTTTCTCTGCCCAAGTTGTCGGCCAGCTTGTTTGCCAGCATCTGACTGCCTCCAATCACTCGGCTGTCTTGTGCGCCCTCATCGACAGCTATGACACGACCAATTGATCCTGGCAGCGTAGCGTTGCCTGATCCTGCAACCCCCCACAGTGCATATAGTAGCGACGGCTCCCTCATCTCGACTGAGAGGATGCCCGGAACTAAAATTCCGAGAAGCATGCGAGACTCAGCCGTAAAGATGCGGGAATTGATGAATGTTTCGAGTGTCATGGAGTCCAAAATGGTCGCATTTGGACTCTTCCACGGCTCTTCCAGGTTAATCGTGCTAGCCAGCGTATTGATTTCATTTATCAATCCTGCAAGTTCAAGTAGTGACCCTATTCCCACCGGAGGTATACCTCCAAAACGATCCAGGTAGCGTTGTAAAAAGCCGTTTCGGTAGTACATCGAATCCCCAGCGGTAAACGTCTTGTAGGTCTTCAATCCAAGCTCTGAAATTAAAGCCAGCACGCGATCCTGTGTTGGACCTACGTACTCGCCGCCGAGCTCTTCGGCGCCCTTCCCCGGGAAATTGGCGTTCAAGACCCGTCCGCCTACTCGGGTGCGGGCCTCGAGGATGGCAAATGACTTGTTGGCGATTGCTAGGTCTTTTGCTGCTGATAGACCTGCGAGCCCACCGCCGATGATAGCCACGTCAACTTCGAGTATGCATCGCACACAAAGGATCTGGTAGACTAGGAAGGTAATCAGCACTAATCGCATGATTCTGTGGACGTGCGTATGGACCTCGAAGCAGACTTCATGGCTTATAAGAGTGATAGGCCCCCGAGATCATGGTGTGAAGCGTGAGATGAGAGATCATTCATTTCGGCAGGTTTTGTTATCTCGGCGTGTAACCCCCCGGCGACCTCTAGGGCTCGGGGCTGCCCCGAAGGTAACTACAAGAGGCAACCTAGAGTTTACTGCGCTCTTTGCTTGCACCAAAGTATTGAAATGAACCTTGGAACACGATGGCTGGAACACGAGGACTCGCTCCCATTCGTCGAGGTTGGGATTTTTTTCGCTCTCTTTGGAAACCTTATGGGTCTCTTTGATCTCTTTTGCACCGTTGAATTCGTGTTGATGTTGAAATACATATGTGGCTAAAGAATGACAAAAAAACACAGAAGCAACGCTTGATGGGGATAGCTTTCGGGTTTCAAATCGAAATGGCGAGATACAAGGAAGGGCATTGACGGTACGGAGTACTCAATCCAGAACAGACGTACAGGTAAACAATACAGGACATAGGAAATGGAAATAGAGAAGATAAGAGAGAAGACAATGTAACACCGGAAGACAGCGGAAATAAAGAGAGTGTAGGCATTCTGTCAGTGTTGGTCAGTTTCCTTTGGCGAGTAGTAACCTGGACAAGATAATAATCGTTCCCATGACCAACACCTGTGCATGTCGACTCATACAGTCCGGCACGCTATAGTTGTTTTCTTTCAACGAAACCAGAGAGCCGTAATTGGACCTCAATTCATCCTGCAAGGTCTTGAAGCGCTTGTATCGTTCAACCCGCAGTCTCCCCCTCCAATTTGAGACAGACATCGGAGTCCTTGAACCGAGACTTCGATGCGGCAACTGACTTGGATCTGCCTCGTGAAGACCTTGACTTCTTAGTTGTGGGTTCTGATTCATTGGTGCCAGAAGTCTTTTTCTTCTTCCGCTTCTTGGTATTTTCCAATATTTGAATCTCCTTCGTCACGCCCTCCTTGAACTTGGTGGCCTCGGGAGACTTCCATCGTCTGGAGCTCGGAACCTGGCAGAACTCTCTTTTGAGTCGTCTCAATGTCTTGGACTGTCCACTAAGAATCTGACATATTTTGAGCATTTCTCCAAATATAGAGATAGTGACTTACCTTTCGGCATTCTTGGGGCCCATGGCGCTTGAGCGCGATGCATTCAGAGCAATCGGTCTCTCCTGGGTTATAGACGCAGCCTTCTTTCAAGGGGACCTTATCCTTCAAGGATTTTTCCCAGCTCCGAAGACAGCTAAGACAGACATTCCCGCGTACATCCTCTGTGTCCATTGCAGGTTCTTCATGGTTCGAAGAATCATGATTCTTCTCGTTCTTCAGATATTCTGTCATCGACGCAGAAATTTGAGCTTTCGCTTGCTCTTTTTTTTGGTAGTCTTGCACTGGTGAAGAATTAATAGGCGCAGTATTGTAGGCAAGCTCCCCCATAAGTTGCGCGTTGCTCAGCTGGGCGAGGTGATTCGATCCTATCGAACGTGGCTGTGTGGACGCGTAGCGACTAGACACACCACTGAGAACTGTATCGGCGTGCGATGGTGGGTCGCTGTTCACATTGACAGCATGACGCTTTGTCGTTTTGTGGGTATTGGGAAGCCTGCCGAGAGGCGATTCGGCTCGTGATGATGAACGGCGGTTTGAACTTGTCGGTTGAGATAGTACTGAGGTGTAGCCACTGTGGTGTCCACTGAAGAGTTGTTCATTCGGGATGTGATCACTGTTCATGCTCGGGGTCGGGGTTTGAGAATACGAGCTCTGTCGACTGCGCGCAAGATTTTGAAAGTGTTTATTGACAATTTCGTCGTTGGAATTATTTGCACGTATTGACTCCTGCCATGCTTTACAAGCACTGCTCATATCAGTCTCGGACTGCTGCAGCGTACGGAGTGTCTCTTTCATGCGATGGAAAGCTTCCGTTCCCTTGTGATGCGTTTCTTCGGCGGCACGAATGGCATCCTTGGCGGTTCGAATGGTCTCTGCGGTCTTGCGATGTGCCTCTTCGGCAAATTGAAGATCCCTCGCGATGTTGTGAATGTCCCTGAAGATGAGTTCGAGTGACTCGAACCAGAGCTTGGTGTTCTCTATCGTCATCGTTCAAATCGAGATCCGAGAGCAAGTGAGGAAGAGGAGGAATGAGAGGAAGAGGAGGAAGAGGAGGAAGATGAGCTTTCTGGGAGTACGGTGTACGGTTTTCTCATTCTTAGCCCCCATTAACCACTCGACCTCAAGTGAGCTGTATACGGCATACTGATACCTGTCACATTGCTAAGTCCGGCCCGTCTTGACTTGCGCCAGACTATCCGTATGTTGCTAGGCTACTTGATTGGCTCTGTCGATCCCGATCTGTTCTATTCAACTTCAAATCTTCGTTTTCGCTCAATTAGTACGGGGTAAATGCCATGCTCAGCAACCAAGTATCCCGTGGTCTCGAGATGGCCCTACCGCAAATTGGATGTTTCGCGCGCCCTCGACACTGGTATCATCCAGAACATCAGTCCCTTCTTTTTGTTTCTGCAGGGATATTTCGAGCCATTTGAAGTATTTTGCTGTCCGAAAGGTGAATAGACGACAATTCTCAAAGTGAAAGTGAAATGTGCACAATTGTTATGTCATCTATGCCGAGCCAACTTATGCAACTTCCCACCTCGGACTTCCACCTTCACCATGTCTGCGGAGAGGAAACGTCTCCGAGATCGTCGCTCGCAACAAACTCTCCGTGATAAGAAATTAAAGTACACGACCAAGCTTGAGGAGCAGGTAGCCTACTGTGAGCAACACCATACCGACCACGCAGTCCAGCGACTTCTCCAGGTGATTACTGGCCTTCGCAAAGAGAATGAATCTCTCCAACAACGACAGAGATCTTTGAAATCACTGGTGGAGTCATGGGAGACGAACCCGCAGATAGAAACAGGACATGCATTTCACGACGGGCCATCCCTGCGCAGAGGCCTGGACACCAATGGACCTGACTTTCCGCCTCAAACGGCCTTGAATGGCCCGACAGCTTCAAATGGAATCTTTGATCCTAGAAATGCATCAAAATCTCCAATCCAGATACAGTCATCATTAGAACTACCTTCGACTATGACCACGCCTCTCTGGTGTCAAATTCCACCTCACACGGATGATTTCTCCGACCCTTCCAAATTGATATCCTGTCCTTGGCTCTTATACCCAGAGCAAGTGACACCATGTCCAGATACTCCTAGCTCGCCACTGGACATCCTATACGGTACAAAAACAAACCTCCTCGCCGACATGATCCATACCTCCCTGCAGCGACGACCAATTCGAGACCCAGAGCGCCTGGCCCTTGGCATGTTGAGTTACCATATGTCAAGATGGTTTCTGAATCCCTGCCCGGCAACGTATGACCGTCTTCCTCTGTTCCTAAGGCCTGTCCAGGGTCAGATGGAGCTCCCCCATCCTCTCGTCTTGGATTTTCTGCCCTGGCCTAGAATGAGATTAAACATCATTCGTAGGTGGCATGTCTATTCGGAGAATCGGGACGATCTGTTCGGCATGTTTGCTTGTTGTGTGAAGATTCGCTGGCCTTGGGGTGAGGATATACTTGAGAGGGATGATCGGAATGAGTTGTGTATTAAACAGAGATTCTTTGATCTTTTCATGAGACAGGAAGGCTGGGGTCTTACTCCGGAATTTACTACGAAATATCCCGATTTGATGGAGGGGATGGATCTTCGTGAAATTCTATTCGAGCTTCTGTGATTATCGCGCAAGAATCATTTTTATTATGTATTATGCAAAGTCATGTATCTATATGCTGTGTTTCATGACGGGCCTGCTAGTATCAAACACAAAACCTGCCAGCGATCAGGTCATTATTTCTTGCCATCAAGATTCACAGGCCATTTTTCCCGAATCGACTTTCCATACTTGGTGAAAACGATTGGAACCGGGATGAAGGCTAGTGCCACGAATCCAAGTAAAGAGTTGCCCCAGCCAAGACCCAGGGCGTCGAACATCTTGGGACCGGCCAGAGGAAGCAGTGCACCGACCAATGACCGGGTGGCAGTCAGTGTGGCGTTTGCGGATGCTGCATAGGCGGGATAGCAGTCAATGACATAGGTTTGAATGGGCATGTACACGCCCATCATACCCAGTCCGAAGGGGAACATTCCAATGATTGGCACGATCCAGAAAACATGCTTGTCGGCTGTCCAGCCGTACCAGAAGAAGCTGATGGGAATGATACAGGAGAAGAATATCATCATCGGAAGACGCATTTCAGGCTCGAATTGTCCGTTGTTTTGTTTGGTGAGTCTCACGACAACCCGATCGCTGGTCAGAGCAATGAAGGCGAGCCCGGCCATGAATCCAAATCCGATGCCTAGGTATGCTAAGCCAGAGAGGCCGACTGAGAAGCCGTATTGGCTGGTAAAAACGTCTGAAATCGTTGTGAAGAAGAGATATAGCAGGCCGTAGACGAGAGACTAGAGCCATTGTTAGCGAAGATCAATCATTGGTATAAAATCGCAGCACTCACCATGTAAAGCGAAAGAAGTAGCACGATTGGCGATTTGCAAAAGAGCAGCAAGGGTCTCATAAGGCCTTGCGCAAGGACCTTTCGAGGAGACGCGGGCTCCTTGCCAACCTCGTAAGCGCTCTGCAAATCGCTCCGTCCAGTCTCCTTGGCCAATTTCTCTGTCTTCCATCGAATGAGAACAGCCGCATAAGTCTCTTGGTTGAGGATCTCCACACCAAACGCCATCACACCACCAGCAATGAGGAGAAGCCAGAACACCCATCGCCAGCCGGCCTCTTCACCGAGGAAACCGCCAGCAATGGGGCCAACAACTGGTCCCACGAGTGGTCCCATTGCCCAGATTGAGGTTGCCATACCACGCTGCTCACGTGGGAAAAGATCCGCAATCACGCCAGCACCGAGAGTGAGGCAGCCTGATCCACCGATACCTGCAAATAGACGACAGACGATGAGGGTTTCAATGTTTTTGGAGAGAGCACAGCCGATTTGCCAGACTACAAAGAACCAATTTGCGCCGCTGAGAACCACGCGACGGCCGTAGATTTCACTGAGAGGGGCGAGGAAGAGAGGGCCGAACTGTGCAGATGTCAGCTACATGGCAAAAGAATTGCTCCGATGGAGTATTTCACTTACAGTATATCCCAGTAGATAAATGCTGACACTGAAAGAGAGGATTGTCTCGTCGGTTTCTCCAAACTCAGCCGCCATGAAGGAGATAGCGGGCGAGAACATGCTAGATGCAAGAGGTGAGATTAAAGTCATTGCGCTGATCAAGCTGAGCAATGCCCATTTTTTGCTCGAGGAGAAATTCTGTGGATTCTTGGGATCATCTTGTCCATCCCAGCCAACGATCCCGCGGTCTAGATCTGTGACCGGGAATAGATCTTTTGCTGGGGCTGGTGAGGGGTTCTGGATCTCAATGTCGGTCTCCTTGCGTTCGGGTCCTGATTCTTCGTTTGAGGAGTGGCACGATTGTGCCACTTCCTTCTCTTGCGGATCCATGATTGAAAGATGTAGTCGGAATATAGGCGGAAGGTTCACGCTGAGACTGAGCCAAGATGTTTATAACGGGCCGAAGGGCTAGTTTAGAGATAGTTATCTGAAAAGAGAAAAGGAACGACAGAAGTTAACGGGATATGGATGCAATTAAGTAGATCGGGAAAAGGTCAGCAAGAATCAGATGTTTTATGCAATTTTGACTGCCGGTTTTTACTTGGGTACTACGAGGGTATCGGGGATAGGAGATAAGTATGTTCTTCATAAAGGGATTTATGCGTGAACGCCTGAGCGACAGCAGTGGATGTGGTGCTGTACTGCAGCCGATGATTCAGTGCCTCCACTATGCTTTGTGGGAGCCAATAATATTCGAGGATGAGCCTCAGCCTGACGGCGCTGAATCAGCGGTGCGGATAGTGGGGATCGGTTCCACGGTTCATTTCAACCTTATGTCCAACACGCGCATAACTCCATACATAAACGGCATGTTTCGACACATATCAATGCTCATCTCTTCTCGGTTTCCTCGCAGTATCCGAACACGGATTTTGTCACATCCTTGCACCATGTCATCATTGCCGATTCCGCTGACAGGTTCACAATTCGGCCGAGTTACGCGTTCTCATTGCCGACCTCAGAACATATCCATGGATGCGCTCACGAGCTTGAGATGGTGATGATGCTGATCACAGATTCATTGTCCATCGATTCATCATCCCTCAATTCATCCATCGCCTCATCATTCATCTGCTCATGCTGTGGCAGCTCTGGCTCCTCGCAATCCGACATGTCTGATTCCATCTCCTCAGAGCCCGACGACTCTGACCCACTCTCCTCCTCCTCCTCATCATCATCATCATCATCACCATCACCATCATCATCACCATCACCATCATCATCACCATCATCATCACCATCATCATCACCATCATCATCACCATCATCATCACCATCATCATCACCATCATCATCACCATCATCATCACCATCATCATCACCATCATCATCACCATCATCATCACCATCATCATCACCATCATCATCACCATCGTCGTCGTCTTCTTCGACTGGCCGGGCCTGGGGCTGGGGTGTAGGGTCAATCCGATTCAGAATATCACTGCACACCATAACGACCTCGGTAGTGCTGAGAAACCGGCCTCCATGTGGCATGTTCTCGACATCTCGGATCTTTGCTCGAATTATCGCCAGAAACTCATTTTTCAACTCATTGAACATGACTGTTAGTGGCAGAAACGGATGGAGAAGGAGATGGTATCGCTTGGAATCCCTGTACAAAAGGATCAATTCATGGATGAAGGCCGTTGCAGTGGGCCAATCGTCTCTCTTGCACTGTGTGACTTTGTTCAAGGCTGCCATCATCCTTCGCACGGGGGGACGCCGTCGAATTGGCATACAGCGTCGAACCTCATGGAAGGTCAACTGGATGCGATGCATAAACTCATCGGCATAGTCACTAGGTCCGTGGATGCGGTCTACCATTCCAACCAGGATGACGTGCATGTTCCAGGCAATCCAATAGCGAACTCCTCGGGAAGTTCTGTCCCATGCTGCGAACTCAGGCGAGTCTCGAGCGGGGCGGGGGATGGTTATGTCGATCAACAGGTCTAGGTTCCAGGTGGCGAGAATTCGACCGATATCGTTTACCCAGTATTCGAACTTGGTGAAGTGGGTCAACTGAATCTCTTCCAGGAGCAAGGGTGTATCTTCGATGTCGGGGAGCCCATGGGCTTGGGTTTCAATCTGACCCGTGTGGTCACTTACCCATGGCTCTTGCGGCAAGGGTCCGAGCCAATAAGCCATCTTGAGTACCTGGTTACTGGCTGGATGAAGAAAGGGTGGGATTCTGCTGTACAAAGGATGTTCCAGTCAGCTCATCAAATCCTGAATCTCGTGCTATCATTTTGGCTGAACTCACCGCGGTTGAGAACAAAGAGGGTTTCGGCCGGTCAGGGCAGTGGCTCAGTCTGATAGAAGCTGAACAACTTTTCCCTTAAAGCAGAGCTTCCAGGCGATCTCAGACAAAGTCCAGCAAGCGACAGTGACCGAACAGGATCACAGGTTTGCTGGATGAGATGAGGCGCTGAGGCTGAAGCCAAAGAAAGGCGTGGGAAAATGAGAAAGTGAAGCCGATCGAATTGGGCCCAGTATGCTTGATTCGCTCCTTCTTTCCCAGAGCCTCCCCCGAATTCTTTCAGATCTCAGTCAGTGAGGCCCCAATGGCGTCCCCGTGACCAGGCTGACCTTGCACTCACAGCTCTCTTGATCTAAGGGTGTTACTAGTGGTATTCTGCCTAGTCCTAGTATTTACTCATTCTCGTAGGGAATATCTGTAACCATTATCAGAAAAGGGATGTTTCTGCTGGGTAACCCCTATAAGTGGATCACAATGCAGTCTCCAGGGCTCTTCCCGAATGGTCGTTTGAGGATGATCATTTTGAGCGGTACAAGGTAAGAATTTGATTTTGATTTAGGACCCTGTATTCCGACGGCGGCATTCTTTTCAAATTTTAGCTCTTAGGGCTCTGATACTATGTAGTATTTCTGTAGACTCCAAAGGTCATCATTGATTCTGAGACATGAGCGCTTCTACTGCAGAAATGAGTGACATTAAAAGCACGACCTACCTGTTGACACCAGGCCGAATTTGATATGCATATATGTGACACGACACTCCAATTAACGCAATCACCTTATACTATATTTCGAGTCTATAGATCTCAATCCACTAGTAGTACTAGCATGTTATTCCCCGGAAAATGATCCGCGATAGGGCTGACCTTATCGCTTATCGACTTTCGCTCCGCCACTTTTTCCCTTCCTCATCACTTCACGGGCTTTCAGGAGACTACTGACCATTGCCGTAACACCTCTGTCGAGTTTCGAATATCCTCGACCTCTTGCGCCAAGTGTTTGCTCCTCGACAGTAATTCTGCTGCCTTCCCGCCCCCCTCCGGATCGTTATCTTATCACAGAATGGGGATTCAAGTCTGACAGGAACAACTGTAGCCGCTCCTAGGCCACTCAGTTCTTTGTGACGCCCCTCGTGCCCCCTGACCGACTAACTCCGACCGCCCCTCGCAAAATGGACCAGGAGGAGGCTCCACCGCCCCCCTACTCCGCCGTCGATCCGTTACTCACGCCCCCCAACAACCGAAACAACGACCCTTCCCCGACTTCCGCCCCGCCTGGAGGCAGTAGATCGTCTCAAGATGCCAGTAGCTCGCGGGCACCTGCCCAGCCAGCGGTCCTTCCGACACATTTCACCTCTGCTGCGACCTACTTCGAGCAGCGCCCCCCGTCAGTTGTGGACGAAAGCCGGAGTCTGCTACAACATCATATGACGGTCTACCCCAGAAGCCAGGCGAAGGATTTCCCACGTCGACCACGCTGCTGGGCTTCTAGATTTGATGAAACCACCCAGCAGGACTGGGATACATTCTTGCGCTATCTTTTCCCGCCGGAGCTAGGCCTCGCTGCCTCCTCGCAACACCTGCCGCGCCAATTGCGCGCGGAGATCCGACGAGATCGCAAGGATCGCCCACAAGAGACAGACGAGCAGCGCAGAGCTCGTATTGCTGCCGTCGTTGGAGAGTGGAATGAATGTTTCTTCCACTTCCGCGGTGCTCACATAGTGTTCATCTATGTGGGGGAGCCTGACTCCGCACCCCCCTCTGCTCTTTGCCCGCGATGTTATCCGGCTGCAACAGGATCTATAGAAAGCTCACCATCGCGTCAACCAAATATTTCACCGCCTGTTCCTGGCCAGCATACTCCTTCACCGGCCCCTTGGCCGGTACCTCCCTCTCCATACCACCACCCACAGGCCTTTGGGCCGCAATATCCGTACGGGGCGCCATATGGCGCTCCGGCCTACCCTTCTCCCGTATCGCCCAACCAGCCTCCTCAATACTACCCTCATCCACAGCCACAACGAGCCTGGCAATGGAACAACTGGGGGCAGGCTCCACAGCAACAGCCGTATCCCAACAACGGTAGCTCAAAAGGGGGATGGATTTCACAACTCGCATCGACCGCCCAGAAATATGGCGAGCGCTTCAGTGAGCAAGCCCAGATGTATGGAGATCAGATAAGTGCACAAGCGCAGCATTATGGGCGGCAGGTTGAGGAGCAGGCTCTCGCCCATGGCCGTTGGATTGAAGAGCAAGCAAGGCTCCATGGTCGAAAAGCACCGATGGCCAACCCATATCCATATAATCCTAATTATTACGGTCGACCGGCGTGGGATAACTCAGGCAGACCTGCACCGACGGCAGTTGCTCCAGGAACTCCTCTTCACACACCGAGCCCCGTCGCACCGACGCCTCAGACAACAACTCCCGTCGAAACAGCAAACAAGGACAACGCCAAAGCGAAAGAGCTGGTCGAGCAGCCCCCTTCAGAATTGGCCGCAGACAAACTTCCCCGGCGGCCATCAGTGAGCTCTGTCTCATCCGAATCATCCTTTAGCTCCATTGATTCAATATCCACGACATCAGATCTGGATGTCTCAGACCTTGCCACTGTACGAACACAATTGGAGCTTCTTGATGATCGCCATGATCGTACATTGTACGATGCCGTCGTGGGTCTTCGCCAGCAGCTCACTGTCTTACAAAAGACTCGCCGCGAAGCCAGATTTCTAGGCAAAGACAATTGGAAAGCCGGGTTTGGCCAAAGCCAACAAAACACCCAACAAGGTGCAAGCACTGATTGGGGCCGCTGGGACTCTCCCGAGCAGCAGCAACGAAACTCGGTCGACAGGCGTGCCATGAAGGATGAGATGCGTACGACTAAAAAGGCGTTCCGGGACGCCCTACGCCGCGCTCGTGAGGAGCAGCGCGAACGGCGTCGCGCAAATCGTCGCCAGGTCCGACAGGCCAGGGCAGGTGATGCACAGAAAACCAAGAAGCCTGATCAGGCCCTCGATCAGCAGCTCTCGAGCTTGCGGTTGGATGATCCATCCAATCCTGCTCCTGCATCACGACCATCTACTTCCATCCAGTCCAGCCCTGTTGATTTGCATAGCTCCAATGTTGGTTTTGGTTTTGCTTCCAAGCCGCCTTCTATCTCCCAAGCAAGCACCCATTCTGGCTCGGGCTCGACTAAGAAATCCAAGTCGGCTGAAACATCAAGCCGGCTCAAAGACATGCTCAAGCCGAAAAAGGCTAAGAAGCAAAAGGACGACGATGCGGAGAACAAATGAACCCTCAAGATAACCGGCTACGGCATGTTTCTTTCTTCCCAGGTTGCTGTTTAGCCCGATGCCATGCATTTTGGAAAATCCTATGTTTTACTTCTTCTCTTTGATCGCTGTATACTTTATCATATCCAGGCCCAGGCCCATGTTGATACTTCGTGACACCATGTCCAACATTATTACCAGTACATTAGACACAGGAACCAAATCCAGCCAAATGAATCTTTTTTCAATATCTCTATCGATACAAGCCAATGCGATCTATACAGGTCCTTAAGACCGCGCCTCATTTTTCTCCACAAGCTCACCAACACCGAGTCCTCTACCAACCTTGACCCGAATCTGCTTGTCCATGTCCTTCTTCCCCAGATCTCCAACCTCCTCTCCCTCATCCGCATCTTCATCACCCTCCTCCTTATTATTCTCCCGATCCTTCTTCTCAATCGCCTTCCAATCCAACCACATGTGGTCCAGCTTCAAATGCATAGCATACGCATCCTCACCATCAGCATAGTATCCGCTCTCGACCTTCTCAACCTCAAAGCCCAGGGTATCACGGTACAAACGCAGCGCAGCAGTATTCGACATACGCACATGAAGCGAAACAAAGTTGGCGCGGTGCGATTCCGCCATAGCGCGCTCTGCAAAATCACATTAGCCTCGAAAGTCCAGAATGATCCCCATGTGTCAAGAAAAAGGGTCCTTACGACTCATGCGCATCAATCGCTCCGCAATTCCAAGCCTCCGGTGCGTCCTCATCACACTCAAACTGGTAATATGTCCATGTTGCTTTCCGTCCGTGGGCTCCTCCTCCATCTTCGCAAGCACATATCCCACTACCTTGGGGTATTGGCCTGAGACATCACCTGCGGCACCGACGCCTGCTAAGCCATTGCCGGAACCGTGCTTGTAGCCATTGCGGGGGCGCACGATTGCGACGAAGCTCAGTTGCGGCCAGGTGAGGGCGTGGTACAGGTAGTATTTTAGGAAGTAGTTTTCGGGCAGGTTGGTGATGTTGCAGGTTTGGATTGAGGGGAGGAGGTCGATGTAGGAGGGGTAGCTGCTTAGGGGGACGATGTCGACCATTTTGGCGGTTTGGGGGGTTTGAAGCTTCCAACGGTTCGGGTTTGGAGAGGTGAGGGGTGTTGGTTTGCGGTGATATCACATGACCGCTCCACCGCACCGTGCTTCACTTCTGTACCCTAAGCCGGAGTCATAGTTTACCTACTGTCGATTTTGGATAGTATTGGGGGACTCTTGCAACTGTCTGGTTGCGTTCCAGAGTATCCAGAAGGTATAGAGCACGAGTGTTTTGATGGTCGGCCTTCGACATCGGAAGATCTGATATATATCGACCTCGGGAGTTATGCATCCTCATTATCCAGATGGATCCATGATAATTAGGTACCACGGTGGTTTGAAAATCTTCCAAGGTTGAAAAGACCTGCATGTATGCAGTGCTACCTATCCCAGAATGGAACCTTGCAATTATGCTCCGACCTACCTACAGTATACCTACCTAGGTAGGTGTCCTCATCCATGCATGTGCATACTAGGTAGCTGGCACGACCAATTTAGCAACCTTGAACAATCCGAAGCTTCCAACTTGGAAGATTATAATCAGCTGTCATGCATATATAGACCAGAGCCAGTGAGAACCTTGGAATCACGGATCGACGGATCAAAGTTGACTGGATCGGGTACCTAACAGAGGTTGTTCAAGGTAATTAAATCAATTTGTACATAGGCAAAGACTATTCAACGTCGAATATGTCAAAAGAATGAAAACGAGCCTAGCGCCGACGACCATTTCGGCCATGCCAAGATGTGAAAATATATCGTATAATTCATGGAAATCAGAATGCAGAGATCAACATCTGCGCCCCCATCGCCACCATAACCAGCGTCGACATACCAACGACCGAAGCACCGATTGGCGCGGCAGATGCCTTGCCGCAGCACTTGCGGTTGTACGTGACGTTGTTCATTTCGGCAGCGACCTCGAAGACGGATCCGTTGAAGTTACCGTAGTTGTAGTAGTCGACCAGCAGGAAGTTGGGGGGACGGCCCCAGGAGTCTGGTTTGGTTAGTTTATAGTTTTCAATTATTCGCATCTGAGACTTACCGGAGCATTTCTGGGCCATGGAGCCCAGGGTTCCATTGCTGTTGGTCTCGTTGGAGTTGGTCACGTTCAGGGAAGCAGTGTTGGGGATCAACAGGTTCAGGGAGCCGAAGTTCAGTTGCAGGTTCAGGTTGTGGTTGGCCATGTACATGCGATTCTTGGCGTCCTTCTTGGACAAGCCGGGTGGTCGCTGCTGGGTGCATGGGAAGTTGACGTCGGTGGGGGAGAAAGGAGTTTCCCACATCTGGGAGAACTCGTCCATGAGCCAGGGGTGGGCTGTTTGGTTGGCCTGGTAGTCCATGAAGAAGACGGCGCGCTTCTGGCGGAGGATCATCTCGGACAGGGTGGGCCAGTCGTTCAGGGCCATGGGGACCTTGCTAGGGGTGTAGATGAGATCCTTCAATCCGGAGTTGTAGATTGGGGTTGTGAAGTTCTCGGGAGAGACATAGTCGTAGTTGCCGATCATGAAGGTCACTACATCGTAGGGGTTCTTTCGCATCCACTTGTTGACTTGGGTCAGGTAATCCTCGAGGGTTCCGACGTCCAGCAATTGACAGGTTGTGTGGCAGAGGTACATGGTGCCGTTCTCGTAGTGGGTTTGGAATTGCACTGCGATCAGTCAGCGCGCGTTCCAAGGTTCGCCTGTTCGGGTCGGGAGGGGACTTACACATGCGAATTCCGTCGTTCAACTGCTGTGTCACGTCCAGGACCTGGTTGGCAGCGACGTTGTTCTTCCGCACGAACGGGCTGTTGTGCGCAGCGACCATGGTGATGTTGGAGTATTTCTTGGCGCAGAATTCGGGATAGTTGTTGCATGGCTGCTGGTTGACAATCGGGGAGGCTGTCGCAGTTCCCGAGGAGGTCATGGTGGCATTCATACTGCTGTTTCCGATGGTGGTGGTTCCTGCGCCTCCCACCAGCAGGGTCAAGGCATTGGAGGTGGTGGTGATCACCGTTCCATTGCCGGAGGTCGTCATGGTGCCATTGTGGTGTCCGGTAGCGGTGGTCGAGGTGAGGACTTCAGTGTCGCCGTCCGCCAGAGTTCGCGTCGTGCTGACCTGTTCGTAGGTACCTGATGGGATTGCCACAGGCGTTGTGATACTCACGACGGTGGGTCCATCGGTGGTGGTGCTTTTGTCGGAAGAATCGGTTGTATCAGTAGTGGTCGTGTCCTGGGCCAGAGCCAGGGCCACGAAGGCGAGGACAAAAGTCGGCCACCTCATGTCTGTACAATTTTCTACAGATGAAGATCTGATTGCGCCCTGGAGATCCAAGATCCCCCCCAAATTACCTAAGCCTTAGGGGGCCAGGCCGGTGGAGTCGTGACGTTGACGGCAAAGACAGGGCGACGATGGGCCAATGATGAAGGACAATAGCCGTACGAGTACGAGAGCAGAGTTCGTCTGGGATCCCCTAGGGAACGTGTTGAGGCAGCCAGAACGGTCTGTCTTACTAGTAGTGTTAGAGACTCCATCTTATAGTGCTGCCTGCACTGTTATTTTTAGCGTCCATCGTGGACCATTAGCCCCTTTCGACTCATTTTTGTATGTACGTGCAGTAGAGTACTTTAGCTGGGCTACTTTAGCTGGGCAGTACTCCGTACTGTAGTCCTTAACGTGCCCAGGTTAGCAAAGCCCCAACGGAGGAGCCTAATAGCCCAAGGATCGTCAGAACACGCCACTAGTGCCCAGCCACTGACGATCGCACGGGAAACGTGAAAATCCCCTTGAATCGAGATTTGAACAAATTGACTCTTTTGGACGACAGGGCAGTTCGATCGATGGATCTGACTTGCCAACGTCATCCCGTGGGAAACCCTAACTGCTTTCTTTTTTCTCCTTCACCTCTTCCCTTCGACACGATATAATCTGGATATATTCAATTCTCATGATGGAGGAGAAGCGGAAGCTTCCATTCTTTCGCTCCACTAACCCAATTGACCGCCGCCGCAAATCCACCGTCCACTGGCATCGCGGGCTCCGCTCATTCCTCTACCTCGTTGCTTGGATCTTCCTCGTCCTAGTCGTCATTGGCAACATCGCAGACAAGCCAGTGCTGCGAAACACCTATTTCCTATATCTCGATCTGTCCAACATCATCCCCGTCTCCATCCCCAATGCCGTCTTGATCAACTCCATCGCCCAGACCATTGGTCTGCACGACTTCTACCAGGTGGGCATGTGGAACTACTGTGAGGGGTACAATGCCGATGGAATCACCCACTGCTCCAAGCCAGAGACCCTCTACGCCTTCAACCCAGTCGACATCATCTTGAGCGAGCTCCTGTCCGGCGCAAGTAGTACGTGACCCGACCTTCAATGCCGCCCATGCGAACATTGAAGCTCCCTACAAGATAAGATAAGCTAAACGACCACAGTTGCCCTCCCCTCGGACATCGAAGAGCCACTCAACCTAGCCCGCGTCGCCTCCCACTGGATGTTCGGACTTCTCCTCGCCGCCGCCGTCCTGAACTTCGTCCTCATCTTCGTGGCTCCCCTCGCCGTCTCCGCCCGACACCCCCGCTACATCAAAGACTGGGCCGCCGGCCACAACAGCGAGAATGGCACGACTGCCGAACCACCACACCGTCGCCGAACCTTCTTCTGGCTCCGCGCTCTACCAATGCTCATCCTCACATTCTTCACAGCCCTCGTGACCATCGTGGGCTCCGCCGTCGCAACAGTCATGTTCGTCATCTTCGCGAACGTCTTCGCAAACGCAGACCCAAGCATCAACATCAAAGCCCACGTCGGCACCCAAATGATGGTCTTCATGTGGATTGCCTCTGCCTTCTCCTTGATCGCCTTCATTATCCAAATCGGCTCCTGCTGCGCCGCCTGCTGTCGGGGCCGCAAGGCCCGTAAGCAGCTGAAGTCTCAGGGCGTGAACCCGCGTGAGAAGGGCTCCGCCCATACCAGTGTTACTGATTCCCCGCTGCAGCCGACAGATCAGGCTGTGTCGTCCGGGAGAGATGTGCACTCGGTTAGTCCTGAGGAGCGGCGGCCGAGCTCGAGTGGTCATGCCTCCGCGAATGGGCATGAGCAGCACTTTGAGAGTGGGAATGGTTATGCGGAGCATAACGGTGCCTACCCTCAATATTCAACTGAGCCCCATGCTGTCTCGAAATGATCTGTGAGATTGTTTCGAGGTGTTTGGGGCTGATATATCCCTTCCTTGGTTTCTTTTCTATTTTGGTTTTTTGGTGGGATTTTTTTCTTTTCTTTTTAAAAATCCCTGTGCTATATCTCCCTTCTTTTGGATATTTCTGATTTTGTCTCTGTTGGGGCCACTATAGAATGCCCTGTCACTTCACGATTCTTTTTGCATGTAAACGGCGGACCTATGAATTACTGTATCCGGTTAATTTGTCACTATCGAGAATGGGAAGCTCAATACACATCCTCATTCGCCGGGATCATACACTGAGTCAACGATAGAGAATCGCCAGTCTGCATGATGGGCCATAGACTCCATATAAGCAGCAAAGAACATTTCATCCACCCCCTGAATCGTTCATCCACTTCCGGCCAAGCCTCAACAAGCTTCACAAAGTGATCCCGGTGTTTCTCGGGGCACGCCTCCTCCACAGGCGGCGCATTTAATAACGACTGGAAAGACTCCTCGTCAACCATGATGAACATCCGATAGCTAGGGAAACTATCTCGCATATCCCGTTCTTCAACCCAGGACTCAAAATGAGAACGGACTGTGTCGAGGGATGCACCATCAAATTGGGGGTCTTCGATGAGGCGCGGTTGGTACGCGCGCCACATTTCATCGAGAAGGGCCATGTCTGCCTGCTTTGGTCTTTTTCTCTGCACATCTGGGAATTGCTGGTAAAATCTTTCCTTGATGTATGTAGTGATTAGATCTACTATACGTGGAAATTCAGCATCAGATTGTGGAGTGTAGGTGGTCCGGTAGATGGTAAAGCCCCAGGTTGGTTCTGTGCGCTCGATGTGGGCGTAGAGAGAGCGCAAGTACGGTGGTAGCCATGAGTAATGTAACCCCATATTGAGGAGACTACAGTTGAGATATGGGAGGTGCAAGTGGGAAGTTGAAATGGGGATCCTTTTTTTTGGACTAACTAAGGCAGTCATCAAATACCACCAAGACCCTGCGGGGAAGGCTTCTGCGTCGGGGACCTACATAACTAGCGTTGTGGAGACAAGGGCGACTTCTCTGCCAGTATTATATAGTAGAACTAACAAGATCAAACGGTCGAGTCATAAGAATAGTTGTATAGTTTGCTAGCCAAAGTTCAAAGCTCAAAATTCAAATTGCAGATAAAGACAAAATCAACGACCGTTGAAGAACCGTCCAGGAGACAGGGACCCAACGTCAATTAAACAAAAGGAGATAGGAACGGAACGGAACAGGGTATCGATATGGAAAAGTAGAAGCCAAAGTAGCCGAAATAGACACAGGACCCAGCAGACATGATAAATAAAAAGAGGTAGCAGGAAAAGAAATTCACCAATCATACTGGTACTGGCATGAGCAGATGCAGTATGAACAAAGGGTCAAGCAAGAAGAAAAGAGCTAGGAAAAGAGGAAGAAAAGGAGAAAAGAAACCATGAGCCCGTGTCTTTCACTCCTGGTACGCCGACTGGTCGGTCCCCACACTAAGACGCCATGTATGCAAATTCAAAAAGAGATATGAAAATCCAAGGCAGAGCAATCTAAATCTCCATGCCATACTCATCCTCCTCCTTGAAGCTCATAGCAGGATGGCCGGCACTGTTCCAGTACTGAGGCTGGCCAGCACCGTTGGCACTGCTGGCACCACTGTGGAACGAAGGACTCAGGCTAGGCGGCGTCAAGCCAGACATGTCGCCGCCTTGCACGGCGTCGCCAGCGAAGTTGGTGTGCTTGGGAACGCGCAGACCACTGCCCGGTCCGCGGGTGTAGCTGAAGGAGCTGGGGTCGTTCTTCTCGAGGGCGTCGAGGATCTCGCTGCGCATGCGCTTCTCATCCTCTGTTGGCTCGAAGGGCCAGGTTCCGCCGAGGTTGGCGATTTGCTCGGCTAGTTCCGCTTCCTGCTGGTACTTGACGTGCAGGGCCCACATCAGATCCCGGGTCCAGCTGACAGCACCATTGAGGATGTCGCCCTTGTTGGGCCCCTTCTCCTTCTCTTCGATCGGGAGACCCATGGTAATGTTGCCGGGTGTGGCGCGGCGGCCGTTGCCACCGGCGAGGAGTGATGTGGCGGCGCTGCCACCGGCACCGGCCATGGAGAGAGCGCTGGTGTTCACAAGTTGCTTGCGGACCTTGTCATCTTCCAGTCGGTGCTGGGGGACCAGGTGGGACAGATCCTGGATCCGTTCGTTGATGTTATCGCGGCGGCGGCGCTCCACCAGGTTGTGCGATGCACGGCGGCGTCGACGCTTGGCTTCCTGGGATTCAAGATCTCCACTCCCGGGGAGATGGGAGTCGACCTTGGCGGGCAGTGAAGCATGCTTGCCGGATTTGATGATCTCAGAGATACCAGCGTGGTGGGATTGGTGGTTTGGAGGGGAGGAGATGGGAGATGATTCGACGTATGACTGAGCGCTACCCGGGGTTCCGTCCCACTGGTTTGACAGAGTCTTTTGGTGGCGTGCCTGCAGTCCGGTGCGAATGGGTTGGGATGGGAAGCTGCCCGACTCGGGGGTGCCCAGGGTCAAGGAGCCCAAGGCGGGTGTCTTGGGCGTCATGGGGCTGCGGCCGTCAGATGAAGGACGATCCATTCCCTGTAGGCTCTGGCGCTTGGTGCCGAGGTACTGCTGGTCGAAGGAGCTGGCATTTTGGATGTGCGGGTTCTGCTGGTTCATGCGATATTGATCAAAGTTGAAACCGCTTTGGACGAAAGGACTGGCCATGGGCGCATTGTCGGGAGTGTTGGAGTACATGTGCGACATCTGGCTCTGGTGACTCATAGCGATGCCACCGGCGGACTGGTCTTGGAGATAGTTCATATTATCACGCTGGTGGCCATTCTGGCCGGGGATTTCCAGATCCAGCAGCTCATCCGTGTCGATGCCAGAGTTGCCAAAGTTGAAACTGTTGGACATGTTCTGTTGTGATCCATAAGAGTACGGCATGAAGCCATTTTGCTGCTGCATGGTCAGGTCGGAGGGGTCCACTCCCTCGTTGGGGTGGTTGCCAAACTGGTTACCCATGGAGTAACCAGAGTGCGACATCATGAAAGGGTTGAGGTGGTCGTCGGATTCGTGTTTGATGAAGAGACTCGCTTCAGCCATAACCTGGGTGAAACAATGGTGGAAATCTGGGGAAACGCAGATCGGCGAGGGGTCAAGGGAGAAGTCGTAGTGCCGATCCTATTGACTCTCCGGATTTGTTGGCGAGGTCAGATAGGGTTAAAACACCCAATATTCTGGCTCGGTATGAGGCGGAGGTGGAGGAAGTAAGGTACGATCTGCGCATAGGAATGATGTTAGTCAACTCGACCCCGCCCGTGGGCGATTTGACGATGCCACGACCTCCGTGCGCAAGGCAACCCAACACATAAGCGGGCAAAACTTACCCTGGTGGAGACGGTCGAAAGATGATTGTGGGAAATCGAAAAATCCGGGGGGAATGGAGAGTCGGGATGAGTCGACAAGTGGAGAGTCCTCGGGGCACAAATGTCCGTGTGGATCGCAACAATAAAATTGATGGCAATGGATAGACGGGACGTTCTAACCGGGTAAGCGTTGGCCGGACTCACAATGAAAGAAGAGAAAGGGAAAAAGGCGAGAAAAAAGAAATGAAAAAGCGCCGAACGTGGGATGAGCAGGAAACACCAAGCCCGAAGCAGGCCCAGTTGACACACACGTTCACGCAGATGCAGTTGCAAAGGCGTGAAGAGGCGAGGGGAAGAAGCGGTGGATGGGCGGTGAGAGGGTTTCGCCTCTCAGCAACAGGGCGCATAGGGTTCTCGACTTACCAACTTGGAATCGGTCTGGGATGACTGTTTGATATGATTCTCGGTACTGGTCTCATCGATCTGAAAGATATCAATCTATCGGCAGTTAGCATGGGAACAGGTCAACATTAGCAACATGCAGGGACATATCAGCCACGTCAGAGCAGAGCCCCATGGACAGTCAACAGTCGATGCAGGAACATGTCTCCAAGGCCCGGTCCGGTTGCACTAAGTTGAGGATTTGACACGTACCTGGCTGTGGATGGAGGAAGCAATCGAAGCTTGGTCTCACAGGGTAAAGTCTGATGGAGACTGAAAGTCGTTGCGAATCAAGTTAGGGGGATGCAGTGACAACTCAGCAAAGGGGAAAAGCACTTGCAGGTTTCCCAGACGAGGGAATAGAGACTTTATGAACTCAAGCGGGCACTCTACTGCATCTCTCATTTGATATATTACAACATCGGTCATGCAGCCTGTCGATCGGTGGAAATCGATGAGATTCACCTACGCCATCGGACTGAGGTTCTTTTTTTAATGAATTTTGGATATTCGATTTTTGAAAGGTAAATCAGGGAAATCCCAGATCAGATTAAGAATAAATAAATATAAATAAATGGATAGAAGCAGAGATAAATGGGATTAATATTAAGTTCACTATAGGTCATCCAGGATAGGCATCAAGATCAGAAGCCAAGGTGTGTGGGTGAGGGGCAGCGTAAACCCCCGAGCCTCTTCGTGCTTTTGTCCTAAGTATAGTAAAATACCTATGCCTAATTAACGGGCAAAGGGGGGGTGATACAGCCGGATTGAGTAAAACGGTTATCCCATGATACTCGATACAAGATTTGTCACCTGTTGACATGACTCACGGCTGGAATGTATCAGATGAGAGGGTACACGCATACCAAAACACCACTATCTACGACAGTATACAGAATCAACGTCCGAAGTAGAAGCGGCGATGATATCCTCAAGTATGCCCCGGTGCCAGTCTGGATCCGCCGGAGTTGGTAGAGATCGACATGAGCGCAAGAAGCGTCCGGAGAATATAACGTCGGTACAGAGACCTTGGCGAGGTCAACGCCGTTCTTTTGACAGGGAAACGGCCCCGGAAAACGAGATACAGAAACAGATATACCACACAGTGACCCACAGACCGCAGCCTCCGTAAGCCCTATCAGCTTCGCGGGATCAGTGCGGCCTCTCTTCATGTGGGAGGTTGTGCAGAGGACATTTAGGACGATCACTATCAGGATCGCCCAGGGAGCTTGGACCTCCCGTCTTGCTCCGCTTGAGTCTCTTGTACAGTACGCAGGGGGCGAAAATGGGAACATGATTGATTTGGGTTATAGCGGCTACGGAAAATAATATACTTCTGATCTGAATCTGTAGAATGTTGACTCCGGCATTTGGAACCTCAAGTTGGCACGAGTTGGCACTGAAAGTTCAGAGTTCACCATTGATTCAGTGTCTCTAGAATGTGGCGGAGAGACACCATTGGAGGGGTTGGAATGTGTCTAAGACCATACGCCAATGAAGACTCCGACCTGACTGTACGAGCCACATCGCCAAAGTTTCTACTTCGACCGCATAGGGTGTGATCCCCGGAGGGGCAATGGATCTGACGTCCCGTCCCGTCAAGGTTCGGCGATACACGCCGAGTATCCACGCCGAGGACACGGTTGACGCAAGGGAGAGGCTTCACTCGAGAACAGCGGAGAAACTGGGACTGCTCGTGCACACCCTATGACGCCATGACGCTGCATGGTTAGGGTCGCACTTCATTCCGGATGTCACGGATAGGGCAACTCATGTGCGTCGGACATTCTAGTACAGACGTTAATGTAGGTGTCAAGAATACAGGCAAAAGAAAAAGCAAACAAAAGCCAACGTCAAAGTCAAAACGAGTAAGGGCAATGTCACCTACTGGAGATACCGTGCAGATGGGTCTCTGCCCAGGTGGCTATCGGACAATTCCCTGGGGTGGGACACGGGTAGCGACATCCACTCCTAAGGTTATTCCAATATGCAACATCGTGTATGTAGATACTCAGGATCCGGCAGATTCATCCGGACACTGGTAACAGTCACGATCGCTACAGGGTGCGCACCGGCCACGAGAGATCGACAGTGGGGAGCTAAGGATGCAGAGTGTGTTACTATGTCTCTCAAGGTCACCGCATTGAGTATAGATCCGAAGTCGACTATGAATACATTAATATGATCAGCCAGTGATCTCCCTGTCAAACATGTATTTTGATAGTCAAGTTCAAGGTCGATTCACATATTCCAGCGGATAGAGCGCGCAAGACACAAAATCAAAACCTAGACACTTACATAGTGAATAATATGAAATCGGACGAGCTGAGTGGTCTTTTGTATACTAGATGCGCTAGTCCGGATTGGGCTCTAGCCCCTTTCCCCAAACTCCCATCCCGCATGTCCGCGATACATCCCCATCAACCCATACTAGGCAGTGCTGTAGAGCTCGTCTTTGTCTCCTTGCTAGGATACCCTGGTCACCAATACTCCCCAAGGCTCGGTCCGAAATATCTCCATCATCTGACAACTTCACGCCGATCGGGCTGGTCGCATCGGTAGCTTCACGCCATCTCGTCATCGCCTTGATTTATTCTCCCTTTTCTCCCCCTCCTTTATCGATAGTGCAGCGCTTCTTGGTCCAATCAGCGTTCCTCGACCCATCGCCCTTCCCCCCCCCCCGTCTCGGATCGTGCCCGCAAGGTTGTACGCTTCCCACCTTTCCTCCGCTTGGTGGGTTCCCCTCGCCGCGTCCGTCAACGTCGTACCCCGATTACGATCTCCCTGCGCCGCGCCAGAAGACTTCTCGGCCACCCCGGCTACCATCCCCGACTCCGCAGAGCTGCAGATCCCGCTGCGGTGACGCCTACAGGCAGGCAACTTCCCCCGTCTGGGATATTGGTTTCGGTTTTTTTGGCTTTTGATTTCCTGAATATCTGACCCGCCCAACCCGCTATAAAGTTTTGGCTATCAGACCGCTCTAGTCAGAAACTCTGGATTTTGATCTTGACCGCATAGTCAGGTCGGCGAAGTTTCCTTGATAGTGACTGTTCGACACGAGGCACAGAGCGTCCCAGCACATCGGAAGCCGAATCCGCCTACGAGGCACTCGTCATCTGCCCTTCTGCTGGCTTGAACAGGGCTTCTTTTCCAGCCAATCCTTGACGATCGTCCATCACTGGCGCAGATCATCTGCACTCCATCTCGCATAGTCCCTGCAGACGTTTCTCTGGGTTTTGACTCCTCAGCACACGGGCCTTCTCTTCAGACGCACTCGTGCACGCTCCTCCGCCGCTACTTTCGGCTGCGATCGAAAAATCGACTAAAACTTAACTAACATTTGCCCCCCTCAAACATGGCGAATAACTCCTTCAGGGACTCCGTCAACTCGCTAGGGTGGTCGCGCAGAGAGCCGGATCTCCCCGTGCACACCGGATCGTCATCTAACACCCCGTTTTTATCTCGGCTCCAGTCGTACAACCCCTTCGGCGACGGCGGCTATGTTCAGCTACCCACCCATAACGAGGGCCCCGGGGCCCCTCTACCAGCACCCAATAGACGGGAGGAAGAAGAGGGTTTCTTTGCTTGTAAGTTGCGCGCCCTCTACCTTGTGATACCCTCCGATCCCCAGATCGTCCCGCACACCGTTGTATTTGATTCACCCTTCAGGTGATGAAAGCGCAGTTCCTGCGCCGGGAGGATTCAGTACCATGCTTGTTTATGTGGTTGCAAGCCGACAGGAGAAAAGAGGGGATCAAGAAAACAAAGCCACCCCACTGACACGGATTACGCCTAGTGAGTCGATGGGACCGCATGCTCATTTTCGGTGCATGCAACCTGGGCGCCGCCGTCTGTTTCATGATCTGTTTCTTCCTGTTCCCCGTCTTATCACTGAAGCCCCGAAAATTCGCCGTTCTGTAAGTTGCTTAGGACGTGGTCCGCATTTCCGTGGCTGGATATTCCTTGCCTTCCCCCTCTTGTTGCCCTTTTGCCCACCCATTTTTTTGTCCCTCTCAATATCTCTTTACTCCGATCCTCCACTCAAAGCTCGACCTGGTAGATCCTTGGTCATAGGTTGAGTGTGGCTAAGGCCATGTGCGCATTTGTACCTCGCATCGCGCCGTGATTGGCTCTACGTCCTACTCATATATGCGCCTCATGCCAAGAACTACATTCACTCTATCCTGGGATGTCTTTTACTAACAGGTTTCTTCAGATGGTCTGTCGGCTCAGTCCTGTTTTTGCTATCATGGGCGGTTCTCATGGGACCGTGGTCCTACGCTAAACATCTGATCTCGGGAGCACGTCTGCCATTCACGGCGGCCTATTTCGGATCGATCGCGCTCACGCTCTATTTCGCTATTGGGGTAAGTACATCGATCTATTCAGATTTCCTTCTGTCCCCCCAAAGGACGACCCGTTTGGGAAGTCTTCCATTTTGTGTCTTAGCGCGATACGCCTTACCTCGTTCCACGCCGACTATCCCTATATGCTACTTTCACTCCATTTCCTTGTTTGTCGCACCTTGCTATACCCCAATACGGAAAGTATGGTTGCACTGCACCACCGGGAACAGGGGAATCTTGCAGCCTTCACGTCCATCGCGCGGTACAACATGAGTCGATGGCTTGTCATGCCTGTCAATGGCGGCGGACCATCTGAGCTCCCTCGATTCATTCCATTATGTTCTCGGTCGGCACTTGTCTCCTCTCTGCTACGGTTGTACCACGTCGTACTACATCGCGGCATTGGATGCGCTTTTCCTTGCTTTCCGTTGTATGACTTTGTGCCGCGTCACAAAGTGCGGAGTCCAGAGCCATCGAGATCTATCTATGTCTCACCGTCCCTGGCATCTCGGTGACCCTGTTCTACCTGCATATCACAACTACACACCTTCCTTCTTCATCACCCACTGAGAGTACTCGACCGCATTCAGAACTCGTCGCTGACCTCCTTTTTTAGCTTCAAAATCTCTTCCTTACCCTTATTTCCTCCATCTTCCAGCTCGCCGCCCTGGTCTGGTACCTCGTGAGCTACTTCCCCATGGGCAGCACTGGGTTGCAGTACATGGGTCGCTTTGGTGCCTCGCGTGTCACCGCTTGGATGAGTGGTTGATTCGGGCAGTTTCTCGTGCCGTCGGGTCCCGCACTTCACCTCGGACTCGAAATGAAACTCGGACTCGATTTCGAATTTGGACGCCGTTCAGAGATCGCACAAGATGGTCTGTTTGGGAGACTGGACTCGACACTGCCCCTTCTCTGTATATGTTGCCGGTATGTTATGATATCTGGCGCCTTGTATCGACTTAGCATCTTTCACTCGCATGCCTGCATGGTCACGGAGACCTTACCACTTCCTGGGTAATACAGTATTGAATATTAATATCGTCAAAAGAAGATCCGGTGGCTACACGTTGTGATCCATATGGCCATAGTGAGCGAAATGTATTCAGCTGCTCATCGCAACGTACACATTTAGGTACTTGTAGGGATTCAAAGTACACGAGCAACCATGCATGGGCTGAAATAGGGAGTATGATATACTAAACTAGGGACTAAGAGCCCCGGTGACTCATAGCTTCCAAGACCATGTATAACCTTGGAAGCAATACAGATATCTTTTGACACTCAACACCTGCAATGGAATGCAAAAGCACCACGATCACGCAGCTACTCACAACTCCAAAACGATGGCAATCTCCAACATGCACGAATACCAGAAAACCAAAAGGAATCCAAAAACGACTCAGATGATCCATAACCAATGCATCAACTCAATTCTTCCCCCGACTCATAACCAACCCCACCACTCCATCCACAACCTTCACACCCTTGACTTCGGCCTCGAAAATACCCGTGTCACCACCCGACCCGACCTCAACCCACCGACGCAGCAGATCATTACTCTCCTTAGGCTTGACATCAGGCGCAGCAGTACCGACAGTAATATGCGGAATCGCATTAGCACTCTGCCACTCCGAAGCGGCATCGGAGGCACCTTCGGCTGGAAGGATGCGCGCAACGAAGGCCATGATCCGCTTGTCCCAGACTAGGCGCTCGAGACGGACGCGGGCAGAACCGAGGGCTGGTGGGTTGTGCAGGGGGTCTGGGACGGGATTGTTGGTTTGAGCCTCGATGTAGCGGGTTGTTAGGCGGTCCCAGATTTCGGGGCTGTCTTTTTTGGAGGCGCGGTGGATGAGAGTTACGTGGAAGGAGGCTTGGAGGCGGCGGGAGTTGACGAGTTGGTGGTAGAGTTGAGCTGTGTGGGCTGGGGTGGAGGGTGGGAAGAGGGAGTGGAGGACTGAGGTGATTTCGGTGGTGGGCAGGGAGATGTTGAAGTATTCGATCTTCTTGGCGAGGGCGTTGGGTGTTGGTGGGGAGTTGGTGGGTTGGGGAACAATGGGACCAGTGTCTGGTGACTTGTTCTTGTTCTTTTGTTTCTGGGGTTGGCCGTAGCTGTAGCTGAGATCTTTCTCGACTAGATAGTCGTCTAGGGAAGAGGCGATGGCAGCGTCGAGCTCGGCTGCTGTTGGCATCGTGGGGATGATCTTGGGGTATGCGGTGTGTAGGGCTTTGACGACTGTCTCGAGGTTCTCGCGAGACGAGGCACAGACATCCAGATCAATGACATTGTCAAAGGCCATATCGGGAGACCGGCTGGTATCGACACCCTCAAAGCGACCTAGGAATCCTTCCATAATTCCGATGATTTCGCCCTGAGCATTGGTTCCAGCTCGGATGGTTTGGTGATTATCGCCACGGTCCAGGACACGCTTGCGAGTCACCTCTTTGATCTGTGGAAGAAGCTGTCCCTTGGGCTCGTGGACATAATGGAGTGCCACGAACTGCACATCTGGAATCACAGGGTGGATGTCCTCGACGAGCTGCTTGCGTTCGCGCCGTTGGTGATTGTTACGATCAGCGATGACAACGTTGTGGTCCGCGAGAGACTGGCTGATTTCATTCGCAAATCTCTTAGGCTTGCCTTTGGCTTTGGGGAGGTTGTCGTTCTGGATATGTCCCCAGCCGAAAAGACGCACCAGTGCCAGAGCAACTGTTGTCTTTCCACAGCCAAGGGTGGCAACTGGCACAAGAATGACATTCTGGGTGACTTCTTTGGCTTCGAGTTGTTTCTGAGCCTCCAGGGCGATGATCTCGGATCCCTTCAATCCGCGTTCCTGAAGGAATGCTTCACGCAAAGCGATGATACCATGATTGTGTAGATACTCATTGGCCATCTTGGGATTCTTTCCCAAGGCCCTGCGAGCAAAAAGAAGATACTCTTCCGTTACCTGCTGATGCTTGCGGATCCTAGGAGTTTTCCCCCCGATCACGGCCTTGGTGCATTCACGCCATTGACGGTACATCAGATAAGGCTCTTCAAACTTGTACTTGAAGAACCAGTGTCGGTAGGGCTCGGTGGGGCTATTCCTCAACTGGCATCTCACCACGAAGCCTTCAGTTTCACGGCCATCCCATGTTCCCGTTTCGGCGCAGCTCTCGAGGAAGCTCTGTACTCGGTAGATGTCGTCGAAGACCTCAAACTTGGTTGTTTTGAAGCCCCAGTCCTTGGCAAACTGATTGACTTCGTCGCAGGACATTGTAGCAAATTCAGGCTGATTGAAATTGAGGCCGTGCAAGTAAATTCCCGAGGCAGTTTCATCATATGCCAGAACATGCTCTTCGAAGTTATCGTCGCATAGTTCTCCCACTGCAGTGACGTTCATCGCACGTAGTGTTCGCGCAAGATCCTTGACAGATCGGTTCACGGATGTGACATGGCGTTCGGTCCATTGTTCGCCTGCCTGTGCGTGGCTTAGGTTGGAATCCTCTCGGACACCTGTAGAGTGCTTGCTGCATACAAGCAGCGTATCATCCTCTAGACCTGAAATAAAGATAATGCAACCGTTCTCCTTCACACTCAGTTCATATGGGCCGCGCGTGTTCTGCTCAATGTTGCGCCATTCGGTGTTCCTTGTCTCGCCGACATTGAAGAACTTATCATATCCGCGGGTGACAATTTCAGGGATGTGACCTTTGCTGCGGGATGTGAAGAGACCACGGGCATATGTTGGCAGTCCAGAGCGCTTGTAGTCCCAATCCATGAACTTCCACGAGTCCACGGTGACATTTTTGGTATTGGCGACGGCGAAAGTATTCTTTTTGCAAGTGAAGGGTTGCTTTTTGCCGCCCTTTTGCCTCGCTGCATCCTCCAGCGCTTTGACCAGCTGGGCGATCTCATGAGGATCCTGAGTCGCCATGTTGTGAGGGTATAGCTGTGGCTGCGTATATCCGATGCGATTTGATGCGGGGCAGGCGCAGAGAGAGGCGGGGAGAACAATTGTAGCGCAACGACTTCGCTCGAATGAGAGTGGTTTATTCCTTGAGCTAGTGCTGGAGTATTTATCGGATGTCGCAGTTCTTTCGGTGAGTCCAGACACGAAAGAGTCAGAAGTTGTGTCACCGCGGGGAGCGAAAGAGGAAAAGCGGGCATGCGGTTTTTTTTCCTCTGCAACTATTTGAGGATCAACCACCTCCACATTCTCCTTTGTTCTGGCTCTTTGAACTTCTGAAACTGCCCAGGTGCTCTGACTCATACCATGGCCCAACCAAACCCTTACCTTCTGGCCTGCGACAACCCCGCCGCCCTTCTGGATCTGCTGCGGGCCAATCCCTCCGTCGCATCCTCCCAAGATGAGTCTGGTTATTCGCTACTACATGCTGCGGCATCCTACGGACACGAAGATCTCCTCCGCGCACTCGTAAAAGAATTCAACGTCAACGTCAACCTGCTCGACGAAGATGGCGAGACCTGTCTCTTCGTCACCGAGCAACCCAATATCGCGCGATGCTTGATTGAAGAGCTGGGTGTGGACTACAATAAGAAAAACGCAGAGGATATGACTGCGGTTGAAAAGATGGAGGCCGATGATGAGAACCCCCAGGTTGTTGCCTACCTCCGGGAAGTGGTCGGCGGTGCGCCTAGCTCGACCGCAGCCTCTGCGGGCGATGTTTTCAACCCCCCAGGACCTATCCCCAACAGCGACATGAAGGTCAACATGAGCACAATGACCGAGGAGGAGGCCACGGCCGGCGAGAGCGAACCGGATCCCGAGTTCAAGAGGCGCATTGAGGAGCTTGCAACTCGCGAGGATTATTACAGCGAGGAGGTGCAAAATGAAGTTCGCGAGCTGGTCAAGGATGCGATGGCTGGAACTAATATTCAGGCCATGGAGCGGGAGATCCGGAGACGGACAGATTAAGCTGAAGCTTACGGCTCGTCATTCAACCACCTCCCCGCCCCTGCGTCTGGGCAACCACCCTCGTGCTGAAATATGCCAGAGAGGATTCTGCTTGCAAACTCGGTCGATCGATCGAGTCACTGCGAGCGCAGTCGTGATCAACCCCTTCCCTAGGGATATCTCCGATCAGCAGTGGAAGCTCAGCGTCGAGACTCACGCAGAGCCTTCCACGCAGCTTATATTCCTCTGGAATTTTTGTAATTAAAACGATCTCACGAACATACGCCTGGAATCAACCAGGGCACTACCCCAAAGACTTCTTATCGAATTCCTGTTAGCGCTGTAGATCCATTTCTAGTAGTCCGCGCCAAGAGCTCATCCCGCCCAGCTTCAACGAACTACACACCACTCCTCGTACAACGTACTATGTCTCAACTATCCCCTCTCCCGCAGTCTCCCTTCTATTCCCCGAGCATGAATCCAGTCAACCCGGACACCCCTCCTCCACCTCCTCCAAAACCGAGCAGCCAGAACAGCCGGATAGGCACCCCGCAAAACATGTCCGCAGCGGAGCCGAATCAACCACACATGGCCAATCCCCAACAGCCTTACATGCCCAATCCTCCTACAATTGAAGAAGGCTGGCTACCAGACCAGGTGAAAGACAAATCGTATGCCGCCTGCTCCACCACCGTTGTGTGTCTCTAACGTGGACCAACAGCACCATCGACCTCCAAGCAATACTCAAAGACCCAGCCCTGATCTCCGCGCTATCAAATCAACACCCCTCCCACACCTCCCGTCAGCAGCACCTCGAGTCAATCATCCACTCAAACAAGGACCTCGCAACCCGAGTGCTCGACACGCAGGCTCACCTCGCTGAACTACGCGCCTCCACGGAAACAATGCTTATCACCCACCAGTCCCTCGAGGTATCCTGGCGCAAGAAGCAAGCGGAAATGGATGCTGCCCTTGCGCCATGGTCGCCTAAAGCTTTATACCAGCGATACAGCGCGGCGATCACCGAGCAGGAAGCCGTGTGCCATGCCGTCGAGGAGAGCTTCCTCGATGAAGATCACCATGGTCGCGCGACGGAGAAGGAGATCGCAGACTGGGTTAGGCGGGTGAGAGGGGAAGCATCGAAGCTTGCTGCTCGGAAAGAAGCTAAGGCGAGGTGGGACGAGGGCCGAGTCGGGGGTTGGCGATAAGCTATATTCGGCCTGATCCTCTCGATGACGACATGATGCCTCCGATTCACGAACATTTGCAATTAGAATAAAGCCGATATGTGGTTTTAAGGCAGCGGTTGACCGCACCTGGAGACTCCAAGGCATTTTGGACTTGCACCGACACTTCCCAGTATCCAATCCCTGGTCTGCACACTAATTGAGCTTCCTCTGGACTCGCTGAGGCACTTGGTCTCAGGGACAGTCGGGACAGAATCAGTTTCATGGTCTTGCTGCCGGCTCTTCAAGAATATCGTGCCTGCGAGTAGCCACAGTCCACCGAGGTGGACATGGACGCGCTCGGCTATGCTTTTTGGATATTGAGACGCGGTATCACTCCAGTCACCACAGTTAGACTCAAGGAAATGAGTTGCATGAGTTGCTGTCTGGACTCAGGATAGACAGGCGGCTCGAATTCATCCAAGGATGGCAGTACGAACACCGGCGTACTTTTAGTCGGCCATTCTCCGCTGCTTTTTTCGAATGACGGGGCCATCGAGATCATCGGAAGGCATGGTTCCTCTTAAGTAAACATTATGCACCTGTACGCCAAATGTGACGGTGCCATTCACGCCTGGAGTTAGCCCCTTCATAGATCCGCTGTTTGTATCCATAGTTCTATTACCGCAACTACTGACGAGAGCAACATCATAGTATCATCTCCAATAGTACTAGACTCGCCAACCCAACCACATTGAATACCTAAACATCATAATGTCTTAGCTCTGCCCATGTTCTACCTCGTACATCAGAAGGAAACCTTGGGACTGGATTAGTATAGGGACTCTTAAGAGCCTTGTTAGATGAGCCTCTCGGTAACCTAAACAAGAGGCTATAAATTGCTTCTTGAGAAACTGAACATCATGCTCTTTTGGAGTTTACTTGCTTCAAAATGCATTCAGTCTTCATTTCTTATGCAAACCGGATTTCATCGGCTTTCAGTTCTTGCTCAGTTGGGATTTTCTGGTCATTACTTCGGAGTTATAATGGTGAAATCATGGTCTGATTACTATTCTGGTAGCCACTGCAACACATCATTTATGGCTTGCACATGCGAGTCATATCCCATCAAGTCCTGGAGTATTCCAATGTTTCCTTCGGAGTCAAACAGGTCCACGATTTGAATTTGGTGCATAGGCGCAATTCGTGCCCGCAATAAAGCATTGAAATTTGCGCGTTCTTCATCTTCCATTTGTCTGGCTAGGAGTAAAGATGCGAGAGAGTTGCGTTGTATTGATGTGCGGAGCATCTCGAGACGCGTGCACGCTTCGTTGATGTCCGGATACTCTGGTCTCCCATTCGTCGTGAATGTTAAACGACGAATGAATTCCGTGTATCCCGCTGAGAGATCAGTTATATCGACGCTGGCTCGTGGCAAGGCAATGTGCAATGAATGATCAGCTATTGACACAAGGGTGGTTTCAGGCGTTGAATGATTCGCTGATGTGCCGCAGGTTCAACTGATGAGACATCTACTGATGGAAGGGAGACCAGAAAGAAGTGATGGAAATCTCCAGTAGATGGATGCAGAAGGGAAAAGCAAAGAGAGAGAGAGAGAGAGAGAGAGAGAGAGTGAGCTATAGATCTGGGAAAACATGCTCACCTGACAAGGTGTTTCACAACAGTACCTAACTGTAGGTGGTGCCTGTATCTCTTCTTCATAAACCTGAGCACGGCTAGGCTCCTCCTCGTGGATCATTGGCAAATTCTCAGACTCGTTGGTTGCCTCCATGGCATCTCCTGCGTCATTCTTCTTAGATCTATGATCGGAAGGAAGGGGGTCTCTTCAGCTGAGGTTTATTGGTTGAAGAAGAGAAGAAGGAGAGAAGAGGAAATACTACTAGCTAGAAACTGAGAGGGCAGACCCACTTCTCCGAACAATTCTTACTTCTACAGTCTCATATTTCTTGAACCAAATCAATCGGGTTATATTATTGAAAAGAGACCTCATCCTTCAATGCTTCTTTGTTTCTGTACCATGCCGAAGACATCACATCCCTCATTGATATCGCTACCTAACCTCTCTTCCTCCAATCTCCCAATCATCTCCTCGGACTTCTTTGTTTTCTCTATCTACTGCTTCAACTCTGCTACCTCCTTGGCAAAGCCCAATTATCATCCGCCTCAACATTTCAGCTTCTGTTTATCATTGATGAGAGTCAACATGACTACATACCTAGGTACTTCGTCACTGGATTCGTTGTGCGTATGCCGATCATCCTTGTCGACTCTTCTTCAACTGTCTCCTTGTGATTGATGAGAATGATCTTTACCAGCAGCCTCCGGCTTCCTAAGGTTCATTCGATTGCTTGAGAATAACCGGGCTAGTTTTTACAAGTGCAAGCGGATCCGATACATCTCAAATTTCCATCAAATGATAGCTTCGGGCGTCCACGACAAAAACCTAGTCGCTTTGAGTCCAGGTGATCTGAGCTGGGATCAACCAACTCCCAGAGCATCGAATCCATAACAGGGATACTCGGCGGGTTATATGCTGTTATCAGTGAGAGGAACACGACCATGAAAGAGTCGCCCGGGCTTGATATGGTGGTCATGCAATACTGTCTCGGCCGTACTTCTTGAGTTACTCCCACAACACGCAGGGGCTACAGTTGACGAGCCGGTACTGGGTCTGAGTCGTCATGACCTTTCAGCGGGCCCCTCACATGTGGCAGAACCCTAAGTCCGGTAACTCAATGGGCTTCTACTTGACACGCCCTTTGATCCCGAGGTCTAAAGCGATTAAGACATACCAATCCAGTTCACATGTCCTGGAAGGACCTCGGGAGCTACATCATCTCTGAGGGGCGTGGGAAAGCCCGACATCTGGAGGAGATGCCCAAAATGAACAGGGGCTGCCAGGGAAGGAATGTTTCTGCTAAAATTCCTCGACCAAACGGGCCATGCCCCGGCCCAAAAGCCGTCCCATCATCATCGATTTCGACGGCGATAACGCATTGGCTACATTCAACAGAGATTCTTCTGTCGGAAGTGCGATCAATGGCAGGAGTGCCAACGGACGCACGACGACCCGACTCCGAGTTGGCTTCACGTCTCCTAGACACAACTACGGCTCTAGACAAGGGCCGAGAGGTAATGGCGGGAGGATCAACGCAAGAAGGCGTTCAACGATGAAATGACCTGTGATTTACCTCCAGGGTATGACCCATCTATCACCTGGCCTAAGATGCGCATTCACGGTGTTACTTTCTATCCAGGGTGAGAGTTTCGCTGTTCGGGCTATATAACAAAGCTGTCGATGAAGGATAGGTCCCAATGCGTTTTCCTTTCCTAGGGCTTCCCCGGGGCCATCATATACCCAGCATATTTTTGATACTGGATTTGTCAACATCAGGCGCGGCAAAATCATCGAATGAGGACGAAGCCACTGGGATGATATGTGACTTGATGAAGTCAGGCCCTTCCTTAGCGCAAACCATCTTGTCCTTGAACGCACACTCGGATTCCAATACTGCCCACCCTTCATATCCATACCGTGTGAATCGCGTGAATATAGACTTGAAATCAACCTGACCATCCCCCAGCGCCCTGAAGCGGCCAGCTCGGGATTGCCAATCGGAAAATCCACCGTAGACGCCTTGGCGGCCGTCTGGAAGGAACTCTGCATCTTTCACATGGAAACACTTGATGCGAGAATGATAATGGTCAATGAAAGATAGATAATTCAAGCCCTGGAGCACGAAATGACTAGGATCATAGAGGATGCAGGCCCGTGGGTGCTGATCGACAGCGGCCAGAAATCGCTCGAATGAGACACCATCGTGGAGGTCTTCTCCCGGATGGATCTCAAAGCAAACATCGATACCGTTTTTATCGAAAGAATCCAGGATCGGGCGCCAACGAGCAGCAAGCTCAGCGAAGGCTGTCTCGACCAGTTGCTCCGGGCGCTGAGGCCATGGATATACATAAGGCCATGCGAGTGCCCCGGAGAATGTGACATGCGTCTTGAGGCCCAGATTGTGGGATGCAGCAGCAGCTAAATGCATAACTTCAACTGCCCAACGCTGCCTCTGTTCTGGATTTCCTCGAACTTCGATAGGCGCAAATGCGTCAAACAGGGAATCATATGCAGGATGCACCGCCACCAACTGGCCTTGCAAATGAGAGGAAAGCTCCGTCAGTTCGATTCCATGCTTTTGGAAGACTTCTTTGATTGATTTGCAATATTCCAAGTCGGTTGCTGCCTTTTTGATATCGATCATTTGCGGGTTTATGGGCAGCTGGATACCACGATAGCCTAAGCTCGCTGCCCATTCACAGATACCGTCCAGGGAATTGAATGGAGCTTCATCGGCGATGTACTGCGCAACGAAGATTGCGGGACCTTTGATTTCTTTGACTGGCATGGTGTTGAGTCTAACACGATGGCGAATGGTGTGCAGGGAAGAGCTTGAAATGATAAGAGTGCTGCAGCGTTACAAGAGGGGCCCAGGTGGGGTTCGAGTGGGCAGTTCCAATGTTGGAAGGTTAATTCCTGTCTGGACGGATTTCCTTGGTAAGATTTGGGGATCTCAGAATGCACAGGTGGCGCAAAGACTAAGTCGGTCTTACCAACTCAGATGTAATGGATCTCTCTGAAATATTACTCCCGTTGATGCCCTGCGCCGGATATAAATTGCGGATATAGAACACCCCCAATGACATCACTGTTCAGAGCTCGATACGGAATACCTAGTGTTTATTTGAAATCATGACTCCCACAACCTAAGATCAAAGAATGTTTCCAGGGTTTCAGTCGTCAAGATATTCCTCTCGCATAGACTTCCGAACTATGCGGCCCACAAAGCCCGGAGACCTGGAGTCTACCCTTCCACAACAGCAAAGCAGACGTCTACTGAGATTTTACACATTATGCAAGTTTATTCTTAGCAGTTCATTCACGGGATATGTAGACCTTCCTCGGTCTATGTAAAGCTAAAGCTAATGAGACCACTTCTTTAAGCTAAAAGTAAGACCTTATCAATCTGATTCTAACTTGAATCTATGGTTGTGACTTTCTATTTGGTTCAGTTTAGGTCCAGTTTTCTAAGGTTGGAAGTATATAATGATCATATTTGCTAAGGTTCTTTCTCACACTAACTGACTGGCTTCACTTCTTTAAGCCAAAAGTAGGACCTTATGATCTAATTCTGACTCACATCTTCATTCAAGCCTCGAGCCTGGACCCTCCGCGCTTTCAGGCTTTGGGTGACCATATGGCGCCCGCTGCATGCCCGGCGCGTTCTCCACGTCCATAGGCCCCGTTGCATCGCGCGCATCAAACGCCCAGCCGTCCGTGCCAACCGAGCTTGGGAATCCGACACCCCGGATAAAGGCGCGCCCACGACTCCGTGCACCCCAAGCCCAACCAGCTCCTCGCCTGATCGGCATGTGATACATGTTGAAGCCTATGTACGCGAAGAAAATGCCAATTGCAGACCCAAAGAGAATGTCGAACCCGTGATGTCTATAGTTGAACCAGCGAGACGCGGCAATGAATGTTGCTGTTGCTGTTGGGAAGAATGCAAGGATCATGAGATAAGTTGGCGGCGCAGCACCACGGGTCCGCACTGAAGACTGGTCGTTACCATAGCTCTGATCCTCGACAGGGAATTGAGGCAGATAGGGGAATCCGACGGAGAATTTCGAGCACAGCCAGAGACTGAGGTAAAGCAGACCAGCGAAGGAGACTGTGAGGCATTAGCAAACTCTCGACAAACCACGATACATGTGAGAAACATACAAGATGAATGACCACTAGGGAAACTCGAGAACCCATCAATGCGCAACGAATTCGACTGGTCACGACATATCTCCCACGAGACCAATGTCGCCGCTCCACGCACTTGATCCCCCAACCCGCCAACCGTGAACTCGGCAATACGCGAAAGATCCGGATTGCACCGCGCCAGTAGATCCGGCCTCGGTTTCCCGACAAGCACCTTCAACCCCTGTGTGGCAGTCCAGGCGCTCGCCACCGCCAGCGCAAGTCCCATCCATCCGGCGTTCCAGTCCCAGAACTTTCGACGAATATATTGCACAGGTGATCTGGATCCCGCGCCGTGCAAAGTCGCGTTCGCTGGGACGATGATCCAGGAGATCAGGAAGATCAGGACGGCCGGGGCGAACAGTCCCACCAGGATGAGGGTCGTGGTTGTGACGGTCTCTTCATGCTGGGGGAAGCTGATTGTCGGGTCTGTCAGGCTAAAGGCGTGTTGGTTGGGGCCTTGTCTGTAGAAGCCATAGCCGATCAAGGCGATTCCACTGGGCTGGGTTAGGTTGGCTTGCAGGCTGGGGTTGGGTGTGCATACATTATAAACACCCAGTCGATGATGTAGGATAGCACTAGGAGCTTTGAGGGGGCGAAGCGCGCCACCGTCTCTTTAATTGGAAGTGGCATGATATGACCAGGGTTCCATGCGATATAGCTCAGGGTACGGAGTGCGGAGGATGTACCGAGAGGAATTAGCAAGTCGACGCTAGGGGGTTCGGGCTAGGGATGAGCTTAAGAATAAGAAAAAGAAACAAGGAACTGAAGACCCCGATTCGAAGGAGCCTGGGCAGTGGCGCAGCGCTAAAGTCTAACCGTTGATCGACGTCTAGTTGAGCTGCTTACTCCATGCGGACTGCTTACTGCTTGCCGTGAGTCAGACTAAGCATTTTAGGAGATATAATGCGCTGGCTATCACATACTATACAGCGTACTGTACAGAGCGTATAGAGCATTAAATAGCAAGAAAAGAGATGAAATATCCATGACCTCATGTCCATATCGGTCCTTATCGGCATGTGATATCAGAAGTGGGCCACCTCCGCAAAATCTCGAGCTCTTCAACCTCACCCACCAGCCTCATCTCAATGGCCTCTCCAGCCCCCAAAGCGCACATTGCGCACACCCTCCTCTCCCGCGCCCACTCCCCCGACAGCGCAACCCAACAATTCACCGAGCGCATCAAGCAAAAACCACTCTTCCTCCGCGCCACCTCGCCCTCAGCCTCCGACAACCGCTCGCGTCGACGCCTCGAACGTCTCCGCAAGAAAGAATACTTCATCCGCCACCAAAAGCCGCGACCGCTATCTGCGCGCGAGAAGCGCAAATCCGGCCTCTATGACCTGCCAAAGGAAGAATGTAAATACGCCATCTTTAACGGCCTGCACGATCTGTGGGTCGGGTACATGCAGGATGTGCTTGACTTGAAGCCCACGCATGCGTCGCATGTTACGCCGACCTCGCATGGCAGTAAGTTGGCCAGTGCGGATTACCATGGGGCTGAAGTGGAGGTTGTGAGGAGTCGGTGTGCTGGGCGGGTGGGTGTGAAGGGGATTGTGGTGCGGGATACGAAGTTCACATTTGTTGTTGTGACTCCGCGGGATGAAATGAAGAGTAAGTGGTTTCGAGGCCTTTGGGGCTATATGGTGGTAGGCTCATTATACTGATTATTCTTGGTATAGCCGTACCGAAGGAGCACACCGTGTTTCGATTCACGGTTCCTCTGCCCAAGCCCTCGGCGAGCGCGGACCAGCAGAAAGAATCAGCGGAAGAGTCAAAACCTTTGATATTCGAGCTTCATGGAAGCCAGTTTGAGAATAAGCCTGTGGACAGGGCTAATAAGAAGTTCAAATGGAGGAACATCGATTATGTCTGAGATACCCGGTGCATATTGAGTTGAATGGAAAGATAAGCGGCCTGTTTATTAGCGTATTTGAAGCGATCATGTATACCAATCAAGTCCTGCAGCCCTTTGTGCAAACTTTGAATGGCATTTTCCACCTGGGCAAGGTTGGGTCTGTACAGTCTCGAATGTATATATCATCAACAGCCTTCGGGGTTGGAGATATGGCCAGGTGCGCACTCCACACCTTGAAGTTCGCCACAGCCTTCCAACTTGCCCAGGTGGAAGGTTAGAACAGATACCTAGACATTCTTCATTTCTTTTAGGGTCTAAGGTCGGTTTGGCTCTTGACAAATCAAACAAGGACCCACCTGACACCTGGGCAGTCTGTCGCATTTGAGCGTGACATTCGGAGGGGCCTAGTATTGCTATCAAGACCTGCTACTAGGATCCTCGAGGACTTCGGGACCCTTGAGTACCTAGGTATGTTCAAGTTCTGGAAACTCTGGTTCTCAATTGCTTTAAGTAGTGAATATCTATACAGGTCTACCTAGTATATGCCCCAAATGCAGAAACATGGGAATCCAGTATGAACATATAATCAGAATGATGAGAGCGACTCCATGGCTCATAATATCGCCACAATAACAGCAACAACAGCCCCCATTGGCCCAGCCGTGGCCAAAGCATTTCCGCGAGCAGCACCGCCAGTAGAAGTGGCTCCAGCATCAGAAGCCGCAGTCACAGTAGCCCCAGCCGTAGCGGCTTCAGTAGACGCAGCACCGGTAGTAGCCTCGGTGGCCGACCCAGAGGTGGTAGAAGTGAGTGCACCAACACCGGCCGTGACTTCAAGGTTGCGCCAGCTGATCGACTTCGGCTCAACACTCTTCGAATCCGTGTTGGAAGTCGAAATGGTCATATCTCCCGAGGAGATGGTGAAATCGACGCTCCACGAGCAAGAGGCTGATTCAGTGGAATGAGTAAAAGTGCAGGCCTCAACGTCGGTGATGATGCCTGTCGCGCCCATGGTCTCAATGCTGTATTCGCCTGAGAGGCTGTAGGTCGCAGAACCCTGGACTAGGGTTACGGGGTGAGGGAGAGCGCATTTTTCGGCGCCCTTCAAACAGGCGATTGCGTATGTGGTTGCGGTGCTATCGCTGCCGACCACGCTGGCAGCGGTGCTGGTGTAGGCACCGGGCTTTGCACCGTACGTATTGACATTGGCATCAAGTCCAAAGTAGCTGATGGTGGTTGTGCTGTCTGCAGCAGCCAGTGCGGCAAGGACCGAAGTGGCGAAGAGGATCGGGCGCATTTTGAAAAATTATGTATGTATATGTACAGGCGCTCTGCGAATTGACAATGATAAAACTTTTGACGGGCGCAAATCCCCTCCACGGTTCGGGGGCGAAAATTGTTAGCGCAATGGGGCCGAGTCTCGATCTGAGGCGGAACCAGCCGCCATAGAGAAGGACTTGCTTCCTAACAATTCATCGGCACCTGGGCATATTTGCATATTTGCATATCTGGATAGCTAGCACGTTCGTCGGATCACAAAGTCCGAAAAGCCGTTTTGCGCACAAAAATAGGACGGAGTTGCCCTGAGCAATATATTAGGCCTTTGAGTCAGTACTTTGGTTTTTACCCCTGCCCCTATTGCGTGAAATCCTTCGAATCAAAGTAAGACATGGAAAAAGGAGCGATGGAAAACCAAAAGAGGTTGGTTTTTGCATGAAGAGATGGCAGGAAATGCTTGTACATATTCAGGGCAAGATATTTACCTTCAAAGGTTGAAAACTTGGAAACCACCGGGTACCTGAGATCAGGTACCGGATACCCCGGCTCTTTGCGAAGTGCAGGGTTTAACCAAGGTACTGGGTACGACCCCTGTCGGTACAATTACTAAGTGCTGGGGAGAGCTGCGCTGTGGATCAAAGCCCACGCATGCGAAACGCTGGAGGGTGGACTGAAGGGTGGATCGACAATGAGATATCCCCAATGCAGTTAAGAATCTCTTTAAGATATTTTTTGTCCAGCGAATAGTTGTATTGTGTATTGTACGGACGTAGTATCCTTACTCCGTATACTCCATAGGCAATTGGACATATAACCTTGAACTTCTCATGATGTTTCTACTGTAAGTTGAGAGGCTGGACAGATCATGTCATATACTACAGTGCTCTGTACGGAGTACTAGGTACTCCGTAGTACTCCTATAGTACTGTACAATCGGAAACCTTGGATACTTTATCCTGCCAGGGCTGGGAACGCGAGAAACCTGCCTCACACGTGTCCGGAGCAAGGCGTAAGCAGTAAATGCTTGATTGCAGTGCCTTAGAAGCAGGTCTATCAAATCCTGTCAGTGCTGGGACCATTGGGTTCCAAGGCAACGGCAGACCAATTTTGATCCCTGAACAACATTGAGACAGTCCAACCTTGGAAGGCCTAAATTTTGAAAACATCCCTCCGCCTCCAAGACTGGGGTTGACCTCAAATGTCCGAGTCACTGCGCAGGATCATAAATTAGGTTCGCTGTTTGATCTGCAGTCGGCCATTTTGTAATGTCTCATTTCCCCGGTTTGATGGCAAACCCTATGTGTGTATGCAGCCTCACGGGAGGCAATTGACTCGCTGGCTCTTCTCAGCCCCGGATTATTGAGGGCTGGTTCTTCTCCCGAGCTGAGTCGATCACCAGTCGATTATCACTCAATAATTCAGGATTTCAATAAGGACTAATCTAGAATATTACTTTGTTTTTCTCCGCATGGACGGAGAACTTCGGTATCCGAGGAGCCCTCTACCCTACTAGTGCATGCAGTCTTCGGTATCATATCTAGCCCGTTTAGAATCAGCACGGTGCAGGCTGGAACGGCGCGGAGCCGATCTCCGGTAAAGGGGGTCACCACGCATGAAGAGCAGCCATAGCAGACCATTGGCCGGCGCGATCTGAACACCAAACAGGCATTGCGCGCGATTGATCTCGCCTGATCGTACTCCATCCTAGTACACGTACTGAGCAGTCGATATTCTGGGAAAGTCGCGCACCGAGAGTGGGATCATCGGCCAAAATTCCCGACTAGGTAACTCGCTAGTTCACAGCCCGAGGGAATGACGGGACGACAAGAGTGGGGTGCACAGAAACCGAGCATTGATCAAAACGACTTCGGAGCACGGAAGGATGCCAACGGGCTAGGGCTCAGTACAGTAGGGAATATGTCGCTCCGTGTGTACGGAGTGGGAGGTTCTAGTACTCAGGGGTACGGAAGTTCATGCAGCACACGGGCCAAGATCGAACATAAATCTCTTAGTGGAGTCCACCGGAGGGTCCACCACTCACGGGTATCCAGACGGGCCCTCGATCCTGTATGCGATCCCAGATCGGCGAGGGGAATTTGTCAATGTGGTTGGGAACCGGGCCTCCCCTCGCGGCCTGCATACGAGACACCTGTACGGAGTACATGAAAGCGTAATCACTGAGAGTAAGCATACTACGGAGTACTCAGTATGTAATCCGTAGTCGAGAAAGAGTGTAACGGTGAACGGTGAAACAGTTTAAGAGCTATCAGATGCACTTCGTGCAGTCGAAACGGCGCGGTGTCAGAGTAAGCTATCACAATGATCCATCAGTCGAAGCATCGAAGCCCTGCAGGTAATACAAAGATGAAACAAGCAAAAGAATGGGATTACTAGACTCTTACAATACACTAAAAGGCTTTAATTAAAGTGGACACCCCGACGAACCCCCTTTGGCCTTAGCTTCGGTGCTGCTCATTTCTCTCCTATTTGCCCCTAACCCTCCCCTCGCCTTTTACCCTGGTGACTTCCACTGCATGGCGGGTGCATAATCTGTCACTCTCTACTATCTACCGACTTTCCTTGATCTGGGCAAACCCTCTTTTCGACCTGCACTGAGTCAGTGCTTATATACCGACATTCCAGAGATCCCACTGCCGACTCGACTTCACAGAAAATCACAATGGGCCACTCTCTGCGAGATCACGCGTCCTTTGTCCGACCGACTACTCGGGATCGGCCTTCGACACGCGGTGAAGGGGAAAATTCGCTGGTCGTTCCTAGCCGCACATCGTCGTTGCACTCACGCATCACCCAACCGAGCCCATCCACACTCAACGTAAAGCCCGCTCAGCGGACACCGAAGACACTCACTCATGCGTACATGGTCTGCGGTGTGGGCCGCGAGCCCTCACAATGGGTGAAGGCGCCTGCCCCTGCTCAGGGTAAGATTGGCCACATGAAGGGCGCCGTGGGCCAGTTCTGGCTCCCCGAGATCCTGGGCAGCAGCCCTCGTCTCGAGCAGGACAACGAAATCGCCCGCGCCCTCCACTCAGCCATGAGGGCTTGCTTCCCCCACGACGTAGAGATCTGTACAGGCAAGAGCCAGCCTCACTGTGCCCACCATGCGTTCGTGTTGCAACAAGACTCCTCTCACACTCTGTACGGTATCGCGCTGCGCGTTTGGTCCCGTGCGGATGAAAAGCGCGCCGAGACGATTCGTGAGCTGCGCAAGAAAACGGAGCCGGACTTCTACGACAACCCCGATGAGACTTACTGGATTCCCTACTGTCTCAGCTTCCTTTCCCGATACCCACTGTACGACCTGCTGGGCGATTACCTCCGCGGCATGTGGATTCACTGGAACAAGGCTACCAACCTGTTCCACGCCGAGGAGGTCTCCCGCATCCTCAGCTTCCCTGCCCCGCGTCTGAACGACCTGGTTCGCATTGATATGAAGGATTACGCTCTTTGCTACCAGTTCCCCTCATCACCAACCGGCTTCCAGAACTTCGCCATGTGGCCGTTGTTCACCTGTCTGTCGATTCCCAACATTGTTGGTGTGATCGAGGCCGCCGTTTCGCCCACCCGCCGCATTATTTTCGTCAGCCACTACCCCGCCATGTTGACGGTTGCGGCCGAAACCATCCGCTACTGCGTTCGCGTCTACGAGTGGAGTGGTCTGTACGTGCCCGTCGTGCACGCCCGCCACATCAAGGAACTCGCTCAGGAGCCAGGTCCTTACATCCTGGGTGTCACCGCAGAGTGCCGTACTCTGTTCAACGCCCCCTCCGACGCCCTGGTTGTCGACTTGGACCGTAACTTCGTTCTGACTTCCAGCCCTCCCAATGTGCTGAACCAGGGCCAGCGCACCAAGTTCATTACCCGCATGACTCAATCTCTTAATGGCGATGTTTCGCCTTCTGGTGTGCCTGCGCACTTGCGCTCCGCATACGCTGGTGGCAAGCTCATTCCCGCCGGTCAGATCATTGTCATGCGAGGCGAGGTTGAGAGTGTCGAGGAACCTCAATGGTGGAACCAAGATGCCGTCATGGGCGTCATGGACCACGTCTGTGAGAAGCTGGTATGTCTTCAGTCCTCAATTTTGCTAACAATCCCACTAATCAATTCTCAATCTACAGGGCCGTAACACTGGTATGAAGGCGATCTTCGGTGGATCCGTCAAGAAGCCCTTGATGACCAAGGTTTCTATGCGCCACCTCAATGAGATTGTCCGTGAGCGCAACCAGTACTCTCGTGACGCCATGGAGGCGTGGCAGGACTTCATCAACCTCAAGGGACGAATGGACACCGAGCTCAGCAAGGTCAGCAAGCGCAACAACTTCCTCGTCGAGGAGCTTGAGACCTGGAAGCAGCAGTTCCTCAAGTTCCAGGCCTTCGCTGAGCAGCTCACCAAGGAGACCACCGAGCTCAAGGTCAAGATCGAGAACCACAAGCGCGAGAGCAGACGCCTCACTGGTCTCATTGACCAGCAGAAGGATGACGTGGCTCGTCTTACCCTGCGCCTGTCCGGCACCGAGAAGCAGCGTGACGACGCTCTTGAAGCCTTGGTTCTCCAACAGGAGATTGCCGAGGAGCTCGAGCGTGAGCGCAAGCGCAACCAGAAGGAGATCTCCGCCCTCTCCCACACTAACTCGACTCTGGCTCGTGAGCGCGAGGATGCTCAGCGTGTGGTCATGCACCTGCGCAGCCTTATCAACGGCCAGAGCCACCACATGGAGCACATTGTGCGCTCCATTGGCAGCCGGTCCGAGATTACTGAAATGGTCGAGCAGGGCTACGAAGACGCCCCCGAGGAGCCCAAGGAGGAGGAGTCAGTCGTTGAGTCGAAGGAGTCTGTCAAGTCTGTCAAAGAAGTCAACGGTCAAAAATCCTCGGTAAATGACATGACCCCCGAGCTCGAGCAGCATTTGCTGAACCTAGGCAAGGATCACAAGACCCTTGCTCGTCTGAGCATCACAGACGTTGCCGACCGGTACCTCCGGGACAAGACCGATGCCATCGCAGACATCATCCGCAGCATCAGCGACCAGTGTGCCGCCGCTGTCGAAGGCCTGCATCTCGCCCAAGATGCCGAAGACGAGGAGGAATCCGACGTCTCCAAGATTCACCCTTCTGATCGCCTCGAATCAGAATATGCCGCCTCCACTCGCGCCGCTAGCGAAATCAGCGATGCCGACAACAACTCCCTCCACCCTGACAACCGTCACTCCAGCATTCCTCCCACCCCGGATCTGGTCCACAACCGCTCCAGCACCTCCATGTCCATGGTGAGCAGCTCGACCTTCCCCGAACGGTCAAGTCAGCAATATGGACCCGGTGACATCCCCACCCGGATCGTCGAGGATGACTCCGAGCACGCCCACGATTCCGAGAACGTCGACGACCAGCAGACCGAGACTGGCACTCTGTCAAAGCAGGCTAGCGAGGACCTGATGCAGCCGTCTGCCGCTCGAGTCATCTAATTCTCTCATTTCGCTTGAGATGATTTAACGCTTGACTGAGACGAACTTGTTTGCTTTTTCTCTTCTCTGTCCATTCATTCCGAACCTGGTTCCCTCTCTCCTTCAGTGCTTTTCTACGCACATACGCTTGGGCTTTCTGGCGTCATTCTTCCTATTCGTCGTGTCGACTTTTTGATACTCCCTATATCCACCCATCTATCTCCTTTCTTGTCCGATAATTATGGTCATTTTTTGCCATCCCGGGATTTTCTCTTTTTCTTCACCATCTGCCTTGTTCCCCTCCCGAGGAATCCGTTGTCTATTTATATGTCGTGCCGTCTGCGATGGAACGGCTTGATTCGTTTTTGAAGCTCCTGTCTCGGCTACACGAGAGAGCTCTCCACTGTGCACCATCATCCGCTACATGAGCGGATATTTCCTTTTTTTTACCTCAACAATCCTTGATCTGGATTGAGATTCAGTCCACGAGTGTCTATTTAGTACAAAGAACGTACTCGAAAATGGATCCACTGAAATTTTAATCAAAAGTACCACAAGTAGCAAAGTCACAAGGGCTGATATCCCGAAATCTGAAACCCTAATTGAATTCAATCCTTGTAATGACCTATTAATCTCCATCACAATTAGTCCAATCTACACGCCGTGGACGGACCTAGGCAAGCTTCCCCGGCACGAATGGGTGTCCAGCACTCAATCCACCACAGACAGCCCAAGCCTGTCCATTGACATAGCTACTCTCATCACTTCCAAGGAACAACGCAACACGCGCCACCTCATCAGCAACAGCGCCCCTCTGCAACGGATTCAACTGTCCGACCTTACGCTCTGTGCCGCGCTCACGCGCGCGATCGAACACCGTCTGCGTCATCCCTGTCTCAATGAGACCAGGGCAAATCGCATTGATTCGAATCCCCGTTCCAGCAAGCTGATATGAAACCGTTTGCGCAATAGAGACCACCGCAGCCTTGGAGGCAGAGTAATCTGTTGACCCGGCATTGGAGCGAATTCCTGCCACAGAGGCGGTGCCGATGATTGAGCCGCCTGAGTATGGCTTCGAGGCAGAAGTGACCTTCATTGCTGGGGCCGCGTGCTTGGCCGCTAGGAATACGCTTGGGAGGGTTAGTAAGATAATTTGAATCCCTTGATAGGTGAGACTACTCACCCTAGTGCGTTGACGCGCATCGTCTCCAGGAACTCGTCACCGGCTACTTCGGTGAATACCTTGGGTTGGCCTACGATACCGGCATTTGCGAAGAAGATGTCGAGTCGGCCATATTTACTGAGTGCGTCGTCGATCACGGCGATGACGGCCTTTTCGTCTGCTGCGTCGAAGGAGCGGACGTGAACATCCACATTGGGATAGAGGGATTTCATCTCCCGCTTGTGGGTTTCTAGGTGGTTGCTGGCGAAGTCACAAATGTACACTGCTTTTGCGCCATTGTTGGCATATTGGTGTGCAGTAGCACGGCCAATTCCATTGGGAGAGTTGGCACCTGTAAGCTAGTTAGCTTGGGATGGGCTCTCGTTCCAATGCCGCTTTGTTATTCTGACCGGTGATAATCACCACCTTGTCCTTTGTTCGACTGCAAGCTGGTGTTAGCTGTATCCTGGTCCAATGCTAACGTCATATAAAGACGAATGTCTGTATGCAATTGGAAACCAATACCACTTACGGTCCTGCAGAGTCCCCGGCTACATGTCGGATCTTAGGGATGTCCTCAAAGGTGCCTTCAGAGGGGATTCCCTCTACCAGCTGTTTGCTAAGAGCTTGAAGACGTTGCTTTGCTGCTGACATAGTATGCAATTTGAACAAGAATTGGAAGTAGAATGAGATAGTATGCAAAGCATAGAACGCGTCCCCACTGCTGGGGCACTGCAGCTTATATCGTAGCCTCTTCCCCACTAAGTCGGTTATGCGGAGAGCCGAGGCTGCGAGGGCGGTCAGATTAAGCTACACGTGATCTCACGTGACCGCTTATCGGGCCAACGTCATGTGCACCAGAGTATCAAAGCTGCCTTTTTGTGTGTTTCAGACTGCCAAAGCTGAATTCTTTGTTCTTTAATGCTTTTCTTCGCTCCCAAGATAGCTCGGAACCAGGGTTGACATCCGCGATCGCCCCTGAAAATCTCGGCTGATCTCCCTTCATTCCAGATCCAGAGATAGCTACACAGGGATCGCCAAGGACCCAAGAGTATCGATATTTCCAAGACTTTTCTAGCTTCGAAGGGAAAAAAAAAATCTTGCAATCCCTGGATACCGGTCTGGACAGTGAGCAAAAGACTTCATGAAGTCGCTAAACAACATCATCACCGTCCACGCCTTTGCCCGGTTGTTGAGTCATGGCGGAATCCGAAGTTCACTCACCACGTCGCTCGTCTTCCCAGGCCTCGAGTGCCTCTAGCCGGAGCCGAAATGCTAAGACGGTCCGTGCAAAAATGCAGAAACGCCATTCAGGCTCCTCGAACACAACCACAGACCTGACTTCATTCCCGTCACTGTCACCGCCTGATAAATCGCCAACCCTTTCCCGCGGCTTAGCGAATACTATGTTCTCAGGAGAAGGCGGAGGGGACATGAATAGGACTGAGAATGGCCGTGGAAGAAAGGCAACGATCGCAAATTTGACGACGGGGCCCTCGCATAAGTCCGGTCGTGCCGCTCTCTTCGCCGATTCGGTCCCCAGAAACGATATTCCCGGCGCCCTGCACCTGGCGGACGACGCACATATCGAAAGGCTTATATCTGGCTCTGGGGCCACAAAACTGGTCAGGCAATTTGCTCGTGACCTGGCCCAACGAGATGCTGAAATATCGGCTCTGCGGCAACGCGCCGACGCAAGGGAGCGAGAGCTGAAACGAATGCTGCGGGAGGTTTCGGTCTCCAACCAGGATATTGAGCGCCGATTGTATCAATTGGAAAATCCCCCTGGTGATCGCGTCTCGGATGCGGAGAGTACGCACAGCCACAGCAGTGATCACACGGGCCAGTCCTCGTCTGGACTGAATGGGCTCATGTCCCAGGCGATGGAGGACGATGTAGGCTCTCGACCTTTCAAAGAAGCTGAGCCTCAGGCGACCATCCGTCCTCAGAGGTCAAACACCGATACGATAGGGAGCGGAAACACGGACAACCGGAAACGCCAGAGCTCGATTCGAGGTTGGCAGGAGTATCTTTTCGGCTCCACCAATACAAGCCGCAAGACTAGTCGTGCCAGTAGTATCATGAGCGATGTTGGGGAAACTGAGGAAGAGGAAGCCGAGCGCCTTCGCCTGCCCGTCAATCACGCAATGCGAAGGAAAGCCCTTGATGAACACCTTTTCCAACCACCTGATGCTCCGGCACGAAGTGGCCCAGCAAGACGCATTGCGAGCACGTCTACCAATGGCGACGATGCTAGCATCCATTCTCGCAAATCTTCGAAATCTCTTGGTTCTTGGACCATCAAGTTGTTCGCCGGTAATTCCCAGGCTGGAAAAGATGGGAGTGACTCGGAGTCTATCAACAACAAACCCCCACCTAAAAAGCCTGAGGGGGATAAGAGTGCCTCATCCACACTGTCTGGAAACTCCAAGGGTGGTTTGTCGGCCGTGGCTGCATTGAAGAGAATCAACAGCAATGCGAGTCTGCCAAACTCCATTGGACGCTCTACCAGCGGATCGAGCGCCCAAGGCAGAATAGGCCTACCGGGTCCACGACGCACTCCCACCGGCAGCGTGTCACAGGGTGCAGCCTCGGAGGCAACAGAGCAGAGCTCGACAAACCTTGGACCCGTTGAAATGGACGCCATTCTTCCCATGGAGTCAAAGCCTCCGACACTTACCCATATCTATAACAACGCTTATCCAGGCGAATTCCTCACCGACCGCTTCGGTTTCATATATGACCAGCGGAGGAAAAAGCGTCAAAGGGAAGCCACCGCCGCCAAGAGCAGTAATAACCGATTGAGTATTACTGAGACTCTTGGTACGCTTCGGACTGAGTCTTCAGATCTGGAGGATGAATTCGATATGCCACCACCTTCAGCTGTTCCAAATCCCTCAAACTCCCCCCCAGGCTCACCAGATGACCCTGATGGCGGAGCCGTTGCGATTCGTCGCTGGCAAGATTATTTGAGGATACCGACCCGTCCGACTGAGCTATTGTCCCATACTCCATCCGCAGGCCCAATCGTATCTTTGACCACTGCATCAGATACTCGCTCTCATAGCTCATCGATCTCAGTCGACAAGGATGGTGCACTGGCTGTTGGATCTAGCGCACAGCCATCGGCATCCACCTCTGCAGTCACTGCCAACAGACCTGAATTTGCCGGTCTATCATCGGACCAGCCCAGAGACATGGCCAACAGGTTCAATGCTGCGGACATCGAGCCAGTGAAATTGCTACTTGAGCAACTGACCGACCTTCACGATACATTGCAGCGCGACCGGACCGTGCGATGGAACGAATTCCTGCGAAAGGTCCGCGCCGAGCGAAGAAAAGAAGGCGAGGCGGCCGCTGCAAGTTCCGATCGCTCTGTTCCTGCTTTCGCCACGCCGGAAACCTCACTTGCCGATGGCGAGATCGTCGGCATTGCGGGTCTCGGTAACAAAGGCAAGGTCGGCCGGGCAAAGTGGCGGGAATTCAGATATCTTGTTCTTGGCGGAATCCCCGTTGCTCTTCGTTCTAAGATCTGGTCGGAGTGCAGTGGTGCATCGACGATGAGGATTCCTGGATACTATGATGGTCTCGTACATGGTACTGGTGGCATTGATCCGGATTCTTCTGTTGTGGCACAAATCGATATGGACATCCGTCGAACTCTCACCGACAATGTCTTCTTCCGCAAGGGGCCTGGTGTCGACAAATTGAAGGAGGTCCTCCTTGCGTACTCACGTCGCAATCCAGAGGTTGGCTACTGCCAAGGCATGAACTTGATTGCGGGATCTTTGCTGCTGACCTTGCCAACTGCCGAGGATGCGTTCTGGATTTTGACTTCCATGATCGAAATCATTTTGCCTGAGCACTATTACGATCATGGCTTGATGGCCTCTCGTGCCGACCAGGCGGTGCTGCGCCAGTATGTTGCTGAGCTGCTTCCAAAGCTCTCGGCTCACCTGGAGGATTTGGGCATCGAGTTGGAAGCCCTTACCTTCCAATGGTTCCTCTCTGTCTTTACAGACTGTCTCTCTGCTGAAGCCTTGTATCGTGTTTGGGATATCGTTTTGTGTCTAAATGTGACAACTGCAGTCAGCGGTCCGTCCAATGGCCCCGTCACCAAGGAGACAGACAGGGCTGCCAAGATCAAGGCTTCTGAGGATATTGCCTCTGGCAGTGGTGGAGGAAGCACGTTCCTTTTCCAGGTCGCTCTCGCGTTGCTCAAACTCAACGAGCAACAGTTATTGACGACGTGCTCGACGCCGGCAGCGCTGTACACATACATCAACCACCAAATGACCAATCATGCTATCAGCATCGATGGCCTCATCCAAGCCAGCGAAGCACTGCGCAATGTTGTTCGTCGCGAAGACGTTGTGGCTCGCCGAGCTGTCGCCCTCCAAGAAATGCGGGATTTGAGCAGCGGCGCAAGTATTTAGGTCCTTTTGCTTCATGCCACTCTTCAGATTTTACCCGACGCTCCTGCGCCCCGTTCATTTTTTTACCTTTCTTTTCTCGCACAATGCCGATACGACTTGAGCATATGGCAAGGAGTTTTGGCTTTTCTATTTTTCATTGCCTGGCGCCATCTTTTGTGATGTCTCGTTCTTTACACATTCCCACATAGCCCAGTTCCTTTTTGCCCTCATTCATCTGCCCCAGCCTTCGAGATACCCCTGGATTTTACACTTGGGTGGCCGCACTTTTAGAATCGTTATTGAATTTAACATCCTTCGCCAGTTATTTTTCCACCTCCCAGATCATATATTATTCACTCACATTAGGACTAACATTAGCCACCACTAACGGAGAAGCGGCTCCAGCTTCGAATCCGAGAGCCGTAAATGATGAAAAGAATAGGGGACGCCATGATCACCGTCGACAGGCCAGCCAGCAAGGTAGCCGACCAATTGATATCCAGTGTTTCATACATGGGACCTTCGAACAGCGGGAATGTCGCCGAGACCACGCTCCGAACCATCACATGGATGGAAGTTGCAGACACCGTATTGAGCAAGTACACGTCAACAATATACACAATCCCACAGATGAAAATTGTCTGCAATGCAAACCCAATAGCATAGCACGCAATCACCTGCGCAATCCAATGCGCACCACCCGACCACCCAAACCAAAGCAGAGCAGGCGGCAGCAAAACAGCACCAAGAACCATAGGCGGCAACCTATTCTCCGGCGCAATACGCGCAGGCATCGATTCACCTCTCGACCCCTTCTGCGCAGCCACCCACCGCCTCTTAAACCATGTCATGGTGAACGTCGAAAACAGCGCCAGTGCCGATATCACGCCCAGCCCAACAGAGAGAAACGGCAATGTCGCCGTAGGCCTACTCCACCCGCGACTGCGGAACGCGCGCGGGAAGAGCTGGTACGAGAGGTATAGAGAGCCGTACACGAGGGTCAGGTATGTTGTCATGACGATGAGGATTGGTTCTCGAACGAACATGCGGACCGGTTTGGTCGTGTATTTCCTCAGCAGGACCTTTGGGTCCAGGGAGGCCATTTCGGCCTGCGCGCGAAGACCATGGTTACCTGTTTCGCGGCGCAGGCGCGCTGCCCGATTCATCAGGATGCGGTTGTGCGAGGATTCGCGCAGGATCACGGTACATGCTAATCCGACGGTTGCGCAGAGGATGAGAGTTACCCATGCGGTCCAGCGCCAGCCATAGGCGTCGACGATGTATGCACCGACCACTGGGCCGACCAGACTCCCCATGTTCATGAAGGTTGCGGAAACGCCCACTGCGACTCCGCGGGTGACAGGGCCGAAGATATCGGCTAGGATTCCTGAGCCGACGGCTAGTCCGCCGGCGCCGAATGTGCCTGCTAGGAAACGGCTTAGGAGGATGGTTTGCACGTTCGAAGCTAGGGCGAGTGGGATCTGGAAAATGGCACAGCCTGTTAGAGCGACGGCCATTGGTGGTGCGTTGCCGACGACTTCGGCCATTGGAGCGAAGACGAGAGGGCCGACGGCGAAGCCTGCGACGAAGAGGGCTACGCCCAGACTCATGACTTCTTGTGAGACGCCATACTCTTGTGCTGTGATGTCGGAGGCGGCTCCGAAAATACTTGATGCGATGGATATCGAGAAGATTACCGCTAGCGGTGCTGCGGATCGGGCCAGCTTTATTGATCGAGGCCAATTCTGGGGGTTTTCGGGGTCGTTGGGTCCATCCCAGGTTACTAGGTTGATGGCCGGGGAAGTGCTTGTGCCGGGCGTTGAGGCGGGAATTGAGGTGAGATTGACGGTTAGATCGTCAGCTTTTTGCTTCTCTGACATTTCCTGTGCTGAATTCATGGTCTGAAATTGATTTCATCCCCTGGGCGAAAGGTCCAGTATTTGACACCGTCTGACAGGGCTAACGGTTCCAGGGCTGGATCGGCACTCTATGATCTTCCTCTAGTGTGATAATTCATACTCTGTCCACGCGGAGCATCGGCTCAGCACCCCTTATCACCTACAGCAAGGGGATACGGGGATTTACCTGTATTTACTTGGATTTACAGCATGCCCCAGAGCCGGGGTACGCGGATTTTGCGTCACTGACTGTTATCTTGCATGCACAATCCCTTGGGGTCGGCGAGATGTCCGAGATGTCCTTACTGAGCGCCTATCCATTCCGCATTACACGGACCTGGGGACGATCCTCTGTATATATGCATGTCGGCCCAGACCCTATCTGATGTGTATCTCACTCCAGGGCTTCTGCATCCACGGATATTCTCAGTGTCCAATTTCTACGGAATACACTTCGTTTTATATACGTCTGTTTCACATCCACTAAACATCTGCGCGACTGAATCGATTGACCTAAACTATGATATATAACAATTTCCCTAAATCAACACTTGAAACTTGAAAAATGAAAACGTAGGTCGCAAGTTGAAAGAGAGACATCACTTATAAGGATTCGTCTGCGGTCTATGCTCCCTCTTCGAAGCATTGAACTCCTCCAAACTCGGCGGATCAGCTCTGCCCAAGTAACGAATCACCTCCAACTGATGCAGTTTATACTCCATCGTCTGAGCATCCGAAACAGTCCCACACAGCTCCTTCTGATCCCGAATCGGACTCGTGAGAGGAATCGGCCCCGCCATCAACATCTTGGCCACTAGATGTTTTTGGAAATTCTTCCTCGCACCACGTACGATCTCAGAGAACGCTTTGTCAGTGTACGGCTCGAATGGGATGTTGTTCAAAGTCATGACTCCTGGTCGATATTAGTTCCATGCGTTGATTTCCATCCGTGGATAATCTCCAACTCACGTTCCATGTGTTTGATGAAAAGACAGATCCTGATGTGGGTGCGCTCGAACTCGCGTCGCTTGAGGCTCGCTCGCACGTTGATATCCAACATCCAGGCTATCATTGCACGTGTAAGACCTGTTGATGTTAGTGGGATCTCCAGGGCTCAAGAGAATGCGACTCACCGTCTACTCCATAATTGGATCTGGCAGGGAGGAATGGAGCCGGCACTTTCTCCATGCGAGAGATATACTCCGGGACAACCTCTTCTTGGGGCTTTGCTGTAGACATATTGTGTAGGTAGTTTGCGAAGTCAAGATCAAATTGCGGATGGTCTCTGGTATTTGGCGTCTTTTAGAATAGCAGAAGTAGCTTTTCTCTTTGTTCGCATGATTCTACTTTCTTTGTCCACCGCGGGGTCTTCAGTCTCACCTGCGCATGAAAGTGGTTGGGTTTCTTTGTCCGCCACCCGGGCAACTCAGAATATTAGTAGCTCAGTCCCGCTGCTCTCTGTTCACACTCTACACCATCTAAAGTTGAAGCACCGCCAAAATGAACTACGAGCGCATGTTAGACCAGATCCCCGAGCTCTACCAGGTGACAGGAAACAGCAAGGGTATGTACTCGAATGAAGTGACATCTCAAATCAATACTGAGGCAATCCAGAACTCGATCTTCTCCTGGGTCTCCTAGGATGGGCTCGCAACGAGGCATTTGGAAGAGTCGCCGAAACATGTGCATACTGGGGTGCACTCGTCCACGCGCATGCCCATCTTACCAACCTTGATGGTGAGATAAATGGTGTATCGGCTCTCCACTAATACTTTGCTAATTGAATATTCCAGCTGTCCTGATGTCGCGGAAAGTCGACCATGAACGCCTCAGCCTGGCTTCGTCCATCGATCTGGAGTTGGAGGAAGCGAGGAATTTGATGGAGAACCTGCCGGGAGGTAGACACTTGTTGACGTTGAAGGGCGATGCAGAGTTTAATCTTGCTCTGAAGCGTGTGCAATTCCTTCGCGAGTTCAATACGCACCAGGTTCGGTAGTCAGCACTATCTGCGTCCACGCGAGTCCTCCATAGTACAACACAAGTAATATACTTGTGCTACTAGTATAGCCTGACAATATTAACATACTACAGTATACTAGTTTATCTATTGTAGTGATACGGACTACTTATCCCTGAGTTCCCCAGACCCGACGTCATGCATGTAGATCTAAATCTCGATCATTGCTTGGCGCATGTGCGATGCATTCCGGATTCACAGTGCATTAGTCTGGATCCTGGGCTCAATACGATGGCTCTGATGCAGACACCCGGGCGTTTATGTACATATGTATGTTTGTTCCCAATATCCAATTACATCCCGGCTACTCCGTCGGTGTGTACGTAGTACTGGGCAAAGGCAGAGATCGTCCAGGCATTACCCAATCGGGTCAAATGGGGCATACCAGGTGGATTTATTGAATCCCCAGGGCTCACACGAACCGTGGGAGCCTGTGGACCTCGGAGCTCAGAATGGGTTTGTCGGTTGCTGTTCGGCTCAACATGATACGTCGTACCCCGTAATAGCACTTGGTGTCCCTCCGATCTTCCCCTGTCTTTTCTCTCTGGCCAGAGCTATTCAACACAATTGCATCCAAATCATGGCTTTATATAATACCCCAGAAGCTGTCTTGCAGCTCGGTGTCATCAACCCAGAAGTAGAGCAGGTGAGAGCAACCCCAGATTCCAAAAACGTCAACCTTGGAACGCCCTAACGTTGGCATATCTAGATATTCAAAGAGAACCCAGCTCCAGATCTTTCGTCAGACCCAGCACACATCCTCCGAGCAGGTGCAGACATCGGAGACAGGCTAGCATGCGAGAGAAAGCCCGCCTCACACGGGACCCATGAGTCGGTCATGAAGATTCCGATGCGCGATGGCTACGAAAGTGAGCTGCGCATCGTCAAACCACCAAACCCGCACCCCAAGTCTCCGCTCGTAGTGTTGATCTACGGCGGTGGATTTTTCACTGGATTGAATATCCAACTGTTGCCCTGGGCCAAGGCAACTGCGGCTCTTTACAATGCCACGGTCGTTCTGCCGTCATATCGTCTAGCTCCGGAATATAAATTCCCAACTTCATCCAATGATATATGGGATAGCGTCCAATGGCTCGCCGGTAATGCGTCCTCGCTGGGCGCTGACCTTTCGCAAGGCTTTGTGATCGGCGGATCCTCAGCTGGTGGTAATCTCGCTGCTGTGACTGCTCATCGCGCCATGAGAGAGAACCTCTCGCCTCCTCTGACGGGCGTGCTGGCCAGTATCCCCGTTTTGCTGGATGAGCAGATTGTGCCGGACCAATACAAGCATCTGTACCTGTCTCGAGAGCAGAATGCCAATGGCTCCGTATGCACAGCTAAAGATTTAAGGGTTTGGACAAGTTGGTGGATGCCAGATTACAAGTCTGTTGATTTCTCCCCGGTCAATTCGGAAGTTTCGCTTGCTGGCTTGCCGCCCCATGCCGTATTGGTTGATGGCATGGATACCCTGCGTGACGATGGGTTGATCTATGAGAAGCTGCTCCGTGATAATGGCGTTGCTACTCAGCTTGTTGCCTGGCCTGGCATGCCCCATGGCCATTGGGGCATGTGTCCTCAGCACTCGCTATCGGATGTGGCTCAGGTTGATACGCTGGCGAGCATTGGATGGTTGCTTGGGAATGAGGTCGAAAGGGAGAAGATTGAGACCCTTTGGAACGAGGAATAGGGACGAAAACTATTTCTCCAATGCAAATACATCTTCAATGATCCACAGAGATAAATGTTATAATCATTGGCTACTATCACACTTCAGGCATGTTGGGTAGACACCCAGTGCTGGACGCTTTGGGCTCGCGGCTGTCACACAATGCCGGATCATACAAGTCTGGTCGTCTGGGAGAAATCTTCAGAAGTCTCGAGACCAGTGTCGATACAACAATATCCCTAAGCCTTCGTCATATAGACTGAAGAAGTAGTACATATTTGTACCCAATGACTGACCAGAGCCCAACAGGGGTAGGGAGCGGGGCAGTCAGTGAGAACCAAAGTGCCAAAGGCACAATGTATCCTGGCCAGACTTTTGAAACCCCTGACGTGCGAAGCGTTGGGTAGAGAAAGAAAGGAAAAGGGTTACCAAAGCTGCTACTCATTCAGCTGGGGCCTTGATCCACCCAGAACTGACTATTGTCCAGAACGGTAGTCAGATCAAGCGAGTCCATCGTCGGTCGAAGACCGAGATCCATCACGTCCCGCGCAACGGCTTTGATCTGTCGCATAATCGACTGGGAGATGGCCCACGTGCGCGCTAGTGACTTGAACACACCAATTGTCAACGCCAGCCGATCACGGCTGGGGTCTGGAATTGAGCCAGCCTTGACAGAGCAAGAGGCTAACTGGACGATGGAGCTCAGCGTGAGCGCACAGATGAAGAACGGGGTGTGTTTGATAACTGGGAGACGGAAGGCAGCCAGCCGAGAGAGTTCCCGGGCTGCCTTGGATGCTTTCATCGCGTGCTCGTTGTGTGAGAAGGCAGGTACACTGATTGGGCCATGGTGGCCGCAAATCACCTCCGCGGCGACGGCAGGTGAGGAAAGCAGGTCGGATCGTGGGAAGTTCAGGTAGATGGCTGCCCCGTTCAAGATCATGGTCGCCTGGAACATGATCTCATCCACTGAGCCGTCGGGACGCAACAGCTCCTCCTTCGACTCTGGTAGGTGGTGGCCCCAACTGCCAATGCGTGCATCGATTGCCTCGACAAGATCCTGCTGGCCTTCGGTCATCTCCTGCATGGCAACCACACGTCCGAGAATTCTAATGGATTCGATTCGATAACAATAGGACGAAAAGTCACGGTCCTCATCGGCAAATACACGCCCATCGAATTGCGCAATGGTCGGTGAGGGCGGCGGTGCCAGACCCTCGTGATAGATGCGCTCCTCGCACGGGAGTGCCACCTCGAGCGGAACCATGTTGGTACGATACTCGCGTTGCACGCCAAGGGCAGTTAGCATTCCCTCAATGACAAACAGTTCCCACCAGGTACGCCTCAGCGACTCAGCGCGGATAGGGTCACCATTGCTAGCGATGGCCGCAAAGCTGCCTTGGTGCATGCCAAGCTCGAAGGCCGTGTCTACTGCAGCTGCTAAGCAAACACCAGCCTCCGCTCGCTCGTTATCTGAATGGAGCACAATCGCCAGCAGAAGCAATGCCTGGACCTTTTCCACCGCCGACACTTGGTCTCGGACCGCCGAGACGACCGTTGGTCGGTAGGTATCACTAGACGCGGCCGACGTGAAGTGGGCGCCGATGAATTTCATGACTTGCTCCAGGTAGGCGGGGTAGAAATTACGGCTGAGAAGCCGATGTGGGGGGAGAATCGGGTGGGCAGCGTGGAAATAATTATAATAGATATCGAGCAGGTAGCCATCTCCGCCCACAGCCGTCGAGGACTCCGGGGTCAGTGGTGCGCTCATCGGGCGTGCGGATGGCATAATCGGCGGGGAAAGTTCGTGGAATCCCGGACTTGTCGATTGAGAGGAAGGCAAAGGCACAGCTGGCGCATACTCGAAAGCAGATTGCAAGCCCCAATCTACCGGGTTCTCGAGCAAGCCGACGTTGGAAGCGACGAAATTGTCGGGAGAATTGGCGCGGCGCTTCTTCGACGGACCTTTGTAGCCTCTTCGTGACTTGGTATATTCGCATGGGGATTGAATCTGTTCACAACGGCTACAGATGGGAGTCCGGCCATCGCATTTGAGATGTTTATGGCGGCACTGGAGACACGCCAGTAGGGAGGGGGCCTTCGGAGGCCTAGCGGTCGGTTGTAACTCAGTCATGTTGGAAAAAGACACATCCAAACCGAATCGGTTCTTGTGGAATGGAGGGGAAAAGAGAGAAGAGAGAAGTGTCGAGGTGGGAATCCCACGGAATTGGCGTAACGCGAATTACCGAAGAATACTCCTCGCAATGCAGTAGCGCTGGTATCAGCCTTTGAATCCCTCCTAAGGCTCTTACCCTTTCGAAATAAGTGCAGGGATTACCTTTGTCCAGAGAGGAGTCCACCTTAATTTGACCGACGCAAAAATACCCGTTCAAACGCTTATTTTACGCGCATTACGCGGCGGTACACTGTGTACTGCCCGATAGCTCCAGGTGTCCCGTTGACCTCCTGCGCCATCACATCACTCTTTGTACACTACCCCGGCTCAATCCCAAGACTACCCTCCTAGCCTGCATCGCGGTAGTGCCACTCGAACCCATTTTCCTGTCCTCCAATCGCTTCGTCTCACCGGTCTTTCCCATTCGCGACCCGTCTACCATCCATCTCACAATGATCTCCGACGATGATCTCTACCGTCTCGCTATCTTCCTTGGCTCCTGCGCCATGATGATGATTGTTCTCTACCACTTCCTGGACGTCAATGCCAGTGAGGAGTCCGCCGACTCAGAGAGCGACAAGAGCTCCGCATCGCCCGCCTCCGCAGAGGTGTCCACTTCAGGGAACGGAAACTAAATTCGGACATACGCCAGGAACAGAAGGAACACGGGGAATCAAGATACCATTGCCTACATTTGATCGTTTATTTCATATCAGCGGGTCCGGAACACGTTTGTTGTACACTTAAAAGCCAATCAAGGATGCGTTGATTGCCAGACGCATCGCTCTACTTCATATCTCTACCCGATGCGTCCCAATCGAGTTGGTCGGAAAGCAATAGTCTAGTAAGAGGGCAGAAGAAGCCTAAATATCAGAAATGTAGTGTAAAATCTTGTGCACCGAGATGTGCAGCGAGTTGTGCAAATTTTGGGATATTTTTCTGTAGATTCGCTCAACGCCAATTTCCAATGCTTACAAGGCTTAAATGCAAGCCACGGTGGGACGAAAGTGTATCGTATGATCGTGTGCGACAGATCAATTGGGTGAAACGAAAGCAACTGCCTCGCAGTTGACCCTGGTCTGGCGGGGAGGTGTTGATAAACGGCGACCATCCTGGTCCAGAGCCGGTCCAATCTGCTGTTTCCAATAGCGTCCTGCATCAAGAACAGCCTCAGCTTTCTCGATTTCGGATTTGAGCCCATGCACTTGGCTGAAGGCTTGTATTTGGGTCAAATCAACTGGCAAGATCATGGTTGCCTTCGGGGCGTCTGGTTCTGCGGTTTTGAGTGGTTCGTCCAGTGTCATTTCCACTAAGGATTGATCCCATTAGAGGTTTGGTTCGAATATGAGAAAGAAACATGTGTGCATGCTTCCTGTAAGGGTGAGATTTATCGCTGGGTCTCACCATGTTCTGGTACTGCTGGTCCATCCCCGAGTTTCCAAGCAGCCTTGGAGATGTGCTCGTTCGAGACATGCGCATACATGTCCGCTGCTGCCATGGGGGTGGTGTTCTCACACCCCTTCCACTTGCAGAGTAGGTGATGGGGCACGTGGATCTTCACAATGTGTCCCCGAAGGACATCCAGATTGTGTAATTCTGCGCGACAGCCTTCCCACAGACACGCGAAAACCTGATAGTTGACAGGTGGCTTTGACGGTGGAACTCTCACTTCAACGACGGATGCTGCACTCTTAGGGGGCCGACCTGGTTTCTTCTTTTCAACCATTTTCTCTGGTGATGGAGGGATCACTACCAGTGGCGCTGGAAGACGCGTTGTGTCTGGGGTCTTGGAAACTTTCCTGGAATCGGGCTGAGTATTGGGCGTAGCCTGGAGAGATTTCCTCTTTGATGTGCCGCCTGGTGTCGATTTTGGAGTACTCTGCTTGGGTTCAGGCGGTGGCTTGGCGGGATCCTGAGCTTTTTGCGACTTGCGTTGCGGTGACGGTGGAATCGACACAATGGGAGCGGGGGGTGGACGGGGTTGGGGTGGCTGTGGAGTCGAGATATGAACACGCGGGGAAGTTTTTGGATTTGAAGTTTGAAGAGACCCAGAAGAAATTGGGGGCATGAAAGGTGAAGTCCTCCAGCTATTTGACCCATTCAGAGGCGCGCGCGCGTCGATCTTGCTGGGTGTGGGGCGCGGTGGCAGTGGGTCACGTGGTGTCTCTCGTGAAGCCACATTGGGACGAATGAAGTTTCCATGGTCCGGATGAGTTGGACCTTGTTGCCCAAGAGATCCCAAGTGAGGAAAAGTAGCCCAATCTGACCTAGGTGTCAAATATGAGGGAGGTCCAAAGGCTGGACCCATGCCAATAGGTCGAGAGCCTGGGGGAGATTTAGAGCCTGGAGCCATGGCAACAGGTTGAGGTACTGGGGAAGGACCATGGGCCTGTTTCGGCACCCCAGCCTTTGGTCGAGCTTGCAGCGACGGAGTATCAAGAAGCTTAGGTTGTTTGGCATCAACAAGGTCCCATCTGAATGTAACCAAATCCGCTTGCTGATCAATTTTCGCAAAATTGCGCCGCAATTGATCCAAGTGGTGATTGAGAGGCTTTTCAATTGGATGCTTTCCTGAGGCGATGAGGATATCTTGTGCAATTGTCTTGGGATCAAAGGTCACCTCCTTGACTGCGTTGGTTGCCGATATACGCATAACCAGATCATTGCGGTTCTTGAGTAACTTTCCTGTATGGTATTGTGGAGCCTGCTCTCCGGGAGTAGGAGCATGCTTCCATAAAGTATTTGCCGGGGGTAGCTGGCGGGGTGCACGTTTCTGCGAGGCTACAGGGTTTCGTGTCCCATTATCCAATCGCTGAACCTTGGCAGGCCGTGTAGAAGCCAGACGCCCATCGGACTCATGAACGCGCCGGGCTTGTTGAGGCCCGGTAAGCTGAGACTGCATCTGTGGAGGTCCCATTTTAGGGTTGTTTTCAGCACGTGGCTGAGCCGCTCTCGGGACAACGGTCGGTAGACTCGAGTCAGATTTGTGGGCCGACTCAGAGGCATTGGGGGGTCTGTTCACTGTAGATGCATTCTGGGCTGTTGGTACAGAGGGAGAGATAGCTGCTCCATTCTGCCGAGAACCATGCAGCTGCTGGTTTGTATGGTTTTGAGCCTGATGCTGAGAAAACGGTGACGGTGCAGATTTCCCATGATTATTTGTATGGACGAACATTCCCCCGTGCGTATCATGGTGCAAACCGGTGACCTTTCTAGATGCGAGTGAATTCTGGTTCATTCCTTGCGTGTCACCGGAGATAAACTTAGGATTGACTGATGTAGGCTGAGATCTAGCTTGATGCACCGCCTGGTGAGCATTTTGCTTCCCCGCGAACTCGGTAGACGCGGCTTTCGAATGAGAGGTGCCAAGAAGACTGGGAGGAAGACTGCCCCATTGCCTTGCTTGAGAGGAGCCTTGAGAAGATCCCTGAACTGGTGGAGTCGCATCCGATGTATTTCGGACAGGCGGTGCTGGCTGTCTGTCTCGCTGCGCAGTCGACGGAGACGGCCTCGAAACTTGATGCGCTGGAATCGTAGAGCGGCCTTGAGATGTCATTTGAGCCGCCGGCTGGTTGCTGCCCATGCCGGCCCGCGAAGCATTTTGGAAATAAACCGGTGGAATTGGAGGAAATTTGTGGGTCTGGTACGAATTCATCGCTATAATTTGATGCCGTCTTTGAATCTCCTCGTATGGATCCGAATAATGGGGCTGTGTCACGCGACCTTGGTCCACGCGGTGAGCTGGGGATGATCCGGGCTGTCGAAGTGAGCTGCTTGATCCTGATTGATCTCGCCGGACCGGCGTGTTTGTTTCCTCCGCAGCTTGGGCTGAATTCGAAAATCGCTGGCCGCTGGTGGAATCTCGAGCAGCGGCAGAATGGCCCTGCTCAGGGATGGATGCACTTGAATTCATGTTTATATGGCTGCCATTTGTCGAATTGTGGGCCATCGAAGGGTGGGCCGAATGTTGTAGTTGAGGATTGCTCAGATATTCTCGAAGTGAATCAGGGAGATCTAAACCATGATTTGCTTGAAACCCATTCGACTCAGGCTTCGGAGCGTTATCAGTCTGCCGCATTTGGTTCGAGTGAGGTTCGTTTCGAGATGTTGAGTGCGAAGCACCATGTGAGCCCTGGTTCGAGGGTCTGGACGTGGGCGAATTCCGCATTTGTGAGTACATGAAAGTTACATCATCCATGCTGTCCACATCTTGAAACGATTGATCCTCCAAGCCAGCCGTAATATCATAGTCGGGTTCATCGTCGGCCTGGCTTCCGGGTTGGAAAAAGCCCTGAAGCCAGTCGTACTCATCGGTCATGCCGCGGGGATTCAAGCTGCGAATTCACGGCTATCTCATCTCGATTCTTGAGATAAAAGCCAAAGAGAGCATGCAGCCAAGCGCTCTATACTCGAGTATGAACGCGCGACCGCTTGGCCTTGAACTTGTCGCGGGCAAAAGTCGCGGGTGGGTGCATCCGGCGCGTCGCGGTGGAGTTTCGATCGAAAGTTGATTCGTGGATCAACAATCACCACGTGATCTACTAGCGTCCTTTAGATAAATTCGTCAGGCGTCCACTTCGCTTCGCCGAACTCCGTTGTCAACTGCCCAACCCCGACAACTAGGGATGCCAGGGACTAAATGAAGTTCTGGATACATCCCCACGGTCGTCGACATAGAAGTCGACACTATATTATCTTATTCCCGCCCAATTATCTCCTCATCAATCCCGTTCACGGACACTATGGTTGATGAGGTATACAGGAGGCGAAGAGGAAATTGCAGAGCCACTGGGAAGCTGGTGGTCTCTGTCTGACCTGCAGACTCACTCTGATGCCCTAGGGCAAGGACGAAGTGAGTTTGATGGTGAGGTACATACTGCAAACCGTTTTCCGACGGTGCACAATCTGAACAGGAACCCACATACAAAATAGACTGGAGAATGCATTAATAGATGAGAAAAGCTTCAATAAAAGTACAATTTGGAACCAAGCACGCTTGCTGAAATGTTCAATTAGCTAGGCTCTAATGGCCAAAACACTTGCCCCATGCGGGCAGCCCACATCCCATCCCAATAAACAGATAAAGCAAGAAAATAACCACAACCACCATCAGGATCATCAACTTGGTATTCTTCCACCACATCCTCCTGCGAAGCCCACGGCTGCGCATCCGGAAGTCATGTGCACTCCCACCAAGCCGATCCGTCTTATCAACCAGTAGATCAATGCGCTCTCCGCGCTCAAGGACCCGCTCAATATTCTCAGTCATGATGTCGCGGACACTATCGATCTCACGACGTGCTGAGGCGAGTGAATCGGCAGGAGGGGCTGTGTTATATGTTTGGAGAAGGGAGCGGAGCTCGTTGTTGAAGGCTGCACAGCCGTAGGCGGGTAGAGAAGAAAAATCGGTGCTGGATGGTTGGTAGGTAGATAAGAACTTGCGCTTCATCTCAAGCAAGTAGGCAAAGGGGATACGGCGACCCTGCTCGGCCGATGCGACGACTATGAAGCTCAGGGGCGCATGCGAGTTAGGCTCGCTGTTGCTGCCATCGTCGGGGTTGCCGGTTGGCGAGTCGGCAATGTAGTGGACGAAGAGACGCTCATGGGTAAAGGTGAGTTTCTGGGCCTTTTCGTGTGTGATCTTTGGAAGGATGATGGATGCCAGCGATGAGGCAGAGGTTGATGAGGTGCCTGGTGAGGAGTGTTCGGCGAGGATGGTTGTTCGGTGCGCGATACAAGAGCTAGATACCAGGTCAGTTCACATGATGAGGCTGCTTTGCCTGGCTAAAGGATGAGCCTAGGGACACTTACTAGAGCAGAGAGCTCGTCTTTGACGATGAAGCCATGATATGATGTCACTGGAAGTGCCCGTGGGTATCAAGGATATTGAAGATAGAAGGGATACAGAGTAAAGGGTTATTTAGCCTGGATATGCGATCGTCCAAGACAGCGATCTGTATCTTGAAGCTCAATTATGCGGAGGCGGAGTATCGAAGCTCCCAGTCTCTGGACAACATTGGAAAGCCGAAAATCTGAGTCAGCTCCAGCACATGAGGTCTGATCTGATTGGTGCATCCGCAACTATACCCGTGGACATCCATGGATATTGCATCTATCGCCTTTGCAAGCATATACCATTACAGCTCTCAGCCCTGCAGGACTACAAGGAACTTGATTCTGCAGAAAATCTACATAGAATTGCTCTCTAAAATATAGGAAGATGACCTTCGTGCGGGCGCATTGACTCAAATGCCAACATTCCTGCATCAGCGTCCATTTCATTACGGTATAGGTTTGCCCAGCAAGTGTATTGAGAAACTCCATGCTGGCTTTTTACATACCATGAAATGAGTAGTATATCAAAGAAGGAGAAAGAGAGAGAGAGAGAGAGAGAGAAGAACAGAGAGCATGGGTAGTCATTTGTGATTTTAGACGCCTGAGGCCAGGCAAAGTTGATAAAAGGGCCAGACAATATTCATAGAATTGATCGCTAAAATGTAGGACAATGCTTTTTCTGAGGGTATGTTGACTCAAATGCCAATATACCAGTATTAGCGTCCATTTCCTCTTGGTATGATATTACACCAGCAAGTGCATTGAGAAACCCCATGCTGAACACCTAACATACCATGAAATGAGCCTGGCAGGACTACAAGGAAAACGTTGGGCTTAACATTCATATTCGCTGTGTTATCTGAGCTCACTATCCTTTTCCCATTTGGTTGGCCTTGCATGTCAAGATACAGTGCTTCAATCTTAAAGGTGGTAAATTATGCATGTGGGACAACTCTGAGGTCAGACGAATTCAAGTTCCTTAACAATGTCTCCAAGCGCTTCTACGTCGGGAGATGAGCAGGTGGGTGTAGCGCTTCCTGCATGCACATCAGATTCCGGTTCGAAGACCTCACGCGTTTCGGCGGAGGGAATATCGAGGTTCGAAAAAAGGTCGTCACTACCATAGTTGTTGCCGTCTGCCCATACAGGAAGTACTTGGTATTCACTCAATGTGAGACAGCTGATGGTATCCGTAATCTCGTCAGATGTGGTAGATGGATACGCCGTTTTCAACATCTCGGTTGCAAATTCAGCGATGAAGTTACTGGCGTTTTGCTTGAAGTTCTCCTCGCTGATAATGTAGTCCGTGAGATCTGGTTGCGTAACAGCCATAGCTCGAACACAGGGACATCGCACAGGGGCTGGAGTTGGGTCGTGCACTGGTTCATTGTAGCAGAGCGGGTTCTGTTTGGTTTCCGGCTGCTGTGGGCGAACATTGGTAGTCATTTCCATGACTCGGTTTTAACTCGCTACTTCCGCGGCTGCTGCGTCCCGCACTATGCGCTGCTGCAATCTCTCTGCAGACAAATGGTTGAAGATTCGAATTGCGGCGAAGATCTCTTCATCGTAAACTCTGCGAAGAACTGCGTCGGTCTCATTCACAATGGTCGATGAGCCTAGGCAGATGCTCGCAACCGTACCGGGGTGGGTAATGTGGAACGGAGATTCTTCATTTAGATCAAGCGATCTCAAGGATTTCCAGAAATCTTTGCCAATCAAACGCTGAACAACATACTTGAGGTCAGGACTCCTTCGGTCGAGATACCGGTGATACAAGTATGCGAATTTTCCCAATCTTGGATCCACTTGAAGAGCGCGATTTGTATCCCTCACATTTAGCAGGGTTCCGAAGATGCGATCACGAATATGCTCCTTGAATACCTGGATGATTGGGTTGATGAGATCACCATCGTCCGGATGAAGTTCAAGATGGCGAACGAGCTTCTGGAAGTCGCCGAGATGTCGTAGCCAGGCCATTTCTTGACCAGCCAAGCACACAAAGCAACAAAGAACGAAATCCGCGAAGGTCTTAATAGCATATTCGATGCGCTGCAACTCAGCATCATCTAAGACATCACGGGCAGGAGTTTCGATCAGCTTCGCCATGTGTGGCGCGGGCTTGAAGCCAGCCATCCGGAGGATTACCAGCAAGGCAGCGTCTACTACCAGCTCTGTGAATGCTTCGCGGCAAAGTCGAGATGATTTCGTGGCGCAGGCTACATGGTAAGCCACTTCGGGGTGGAGCTTTATGATTCGAACATTGTTGAGCTCATAGAACCACGATACAATGGGACCACTGATTGCTGGGACAGTGGCTATGTCGAAGAATTTAGCAAGTCCGACGAAAGTCCATAGCTTGCAGGGGGTGTCCAGGATGGGATCGAAGCCCATCAAAGCGTGAAGAATGTACTCGATGCCATCTCGGTGACGCTTGGGGGAGTACTCCAGTGGCAGCGGGTCGGGTATCAACTCTCGCAGTTGCGGATCGGTTGTGGAGAAATAATAGTCTGAGAAGTCATGATCCGTCAAGCAGTTCTCGCAATTCTGTTGGCATGGGCCAAACACTTGCTCTGACGTGGAAGACAAGCTATCGGTTTCCTCCGCCACGGGTTCCATTTCATCAACACCTCCCACACATGATTCTGGCAGATCCCATGCTTTCATTTGTGAAGCCCATTCTCGAATACCATCAGGGCAAGACAGATCGGTCATGAGAATGAGTGCATCGTCGCCTAGCAAGGGGGGTGTAAGGTCCAAGACATATTTGATACCAGGTGAGAGGTTGTCGGGTAGGCGCCGTTGCTTCTTGAATGCGGCCTGGTAGGGAGGGCTGAAGAGGCGCTCAAAGTATGTAGAGCCCGTGGCTAGAAGCTTCTCACTGTGCACGCGATGAGGCACCGTCGCAGTCCTGTGTGATAGTCGACTTCCATCTAATTGTAGAGGGAAATCGACGTAAACCAGTGTATCCGCGTCATCGAGAAGTAGTAAGAAGGGCTTGGTTGTAGGCCACTGCTTGAAGTAAACTGGGTCGGAGGGTCTTGGGGGTGTCTTAGGACGGGGCTTGGATGGAATAAACTGGTCGGTCTGAGACTGCACAAATGGTTCGGTTTGTGATGGTATCTCTGGGGGTAATCCCATCATCCTGGCATGTCCGTGTTCCATGGACATCCTCACCTTGGCAATCCAATGCAGGATTCTGGTCTTCATGACGAGAGCTGGGGCGATCGGAAGAGAATGAAAGAGAGAACGAGCTTGGGGAACTCGTCCTGGGCTTACAGATTAACGATCGACTTTGATCCTAAATTTTAAGGCGAACTTTTTGGTTGCAGATGTGAATTAGAATATCTCGATACAAAGGTCATTGAGGGCACATTGTTCAATACCTACATAGGTAGGTACAGACAGACCGCCACAGATCGAGTAGATATAATGGATAATACCATATTGAGATATCTGCGTGTATAGCCAGTTCGAAATTGTATTCAGAATGTTCGACGCTAGGAATTCCCGTGTTAAATAGGCGAAGTGAATTGAACCACCCATCATGGCGTGTTTGGATTTTCATTGATGGGATGGAAATGTGTCATGCAGGTACAGATAGATACCCTCACCGATACCAATCTAGAAAAACTGGAATTTGCAGAGCTTTGAAAGGGTTGAAGCAGTGCCACTGTCTTCAAAATGATGGATTTGCGTGGAGTTCTGTTCACACTGCCCAGGTGTGGAGAAACAGCAGTATGTAGCCTGAGGCATCAGCCTGAGCCGGGGTATTTCAGGTCAATCTACGGTCGGAGGCAAGCAATTTACACACTCTTTGATGGATTAGCTTCTATTTCCTATTGTGGCGCTGTAGGCCATAGACGTCATCCACACTGCCCGTAGGGTAATATTGATCCCATCGTCCTGTCTGCTTTAAACCGCCATCGTGGATGTAGATCATACGGGCCGGGCCCACCCGGACTTCCCGATGAGCTCGGAACGTGCCAAGCTACCTGCTCAGCTCTCCAGGGCTCTTTAGGGCTACACCTGGGCATGACCCTAGAAAGACCTAAATTTGAAAGAAAACAAAAATCAAATTCCACTGACGTTAAAAGGAGTGGCGATGTGCTCTGGCGATGTGCTCATGTCGATGTCATGTCGGTGGATCCATTGTATATATAGATGCACTCTCGACATCCATGGATACCTAGGTACTGCTTTCTACACATCAAACCCCCGAATTCGTCGCTGAACACTAGGCATCTCAATAAGAACTTTGGAATATACCTACCAACACCCGTGGACAGTTTCGACCATCTCATCTACAGCATGGCTACAATGGCAGCAGTGGCGGCCGAGCAAAGCCGCAAACCAATCCGGTCAGCTAGTATCGCCCCAGCAACCCTGAAAACTTTGGAAGGGCTTTCACATTGCTGACAAGGGAACATGTGGTCTAGGTCTCGTAATATGGCCATCTTTAGCATCTTCGGTGTACTGAGCGGAACCTGGCTGGTGTTCCGCTTCCTAGCTCCCCGGCGAGGAGCAATGCTGGCGAGTAACAATGAGCTGGCATCGTTCCGGGGTGGCGAGTCAAAGCAGACGGATCAAGGCAGCAAATTCGGGGAAACGGCACGCGCTCCTCGCAATGGACGGTAGGCTGGAGGTCTTGTATAAAGTGTCAGTGTCGCGAAACATCATGATAGTTGTTGGACTTCCGGTCCACGGTTGACTCTGGATGTGTTATTGTCTGTGTGTACGGAGCTTTGTAAGAAGAGCTCCGGTACGAATGATAATATGTACAGAATAAGACCTTTGAATCGTGACTCCATTGAGAACATGAATGTATTAGTTAATGGTAAAGACAGACCTCCCCTTCAAATGTATTTGTACATGGTGTTGGTATCACTGGGAGATGATTTAAACAGACGGCGAAGATCCCTTACCGGGACTATCTGGCTTGGAGGGACTCGCGTTCGACTTGACGCTCCGTTTCTTCGTATTCTTTTCGCGTCTCTTCTTCTCACGCGTACCACGAGGCTCATCGGAGTGGCTCGGACTGCGACTGGACTCGCTGCGACGGAGGTCCTTGACCTCCTTGATGACCTCGCGGAAACCTTCTTCGATATTGTTCATGCGTGCAAGAACCAACTTGCTCAGCATGTCTTGGGTCTGATTTGGAGCGTCGCGACGGAGGCCAGCTGCGGCGAAGCCCATTTGGGTTTGGAAGCTAGATGGAATGGCGCCTGCGAAGCCACCCGCCACTGCTCTGTTGTCGCCGAGATCAGAGCCGAGGTCGAAGAGGAGGGAAGCGCGGGGGCGTTTGCCAGCGGGTCGATCTGAAAGGTAAACGCTGTCCACTTCAGGAACGGACATGTGGTTCAGGCCGAGCTGGCTCCTCCGGGAGCGGGACATGCCTAGAACATGTCGCTTCATGGTACCCTGGTCTACCGAGGTAGATACGAGAGGGAGGTTGTCTCCGTCGGATGAGTCGGTATCTGGTCGAGTGGGTGTGGCTCGACCTTCTGTTTCCTCGTTTGGAGATCCTACGGGGTTGTACAGCATGGTGACACCGGAGGGATTGCGATTGTGCCTGGGGCGACGCGTTGGGCTGTTGCGACGCGAGATAACCCTGGCGGTAGATGGGCGAGAGCTGTAGAACCTGGGAGACCGCTTGTGTGAGCCTTCAGACTGGTCGGCTGTGTCGCTTGCAGACTCTGGAGCCGAGTTCTTCTCATCAGCTGACTCGCCATCGTTGCTGGTCAACTCGTCGTCACCCTCCATATCTGTATGATGTGACATTTGCCTTCTCTGATCCGGCGAGATAGAGAGTCGTGATCCCCGAGGCCGGACAGCAGGACTGACGACACGACTTGTCCGGTCTTCAGGGTTTGACGCCACCGAACGTGTGGTTTCTGTGAAATTGCGGGGGCGAGTCAATCTGGCCTTGAAAGGCAGACTTGGCCGGCGCAGTCGCATTTCGAGACGATCGACAACTGCGGAATCGTCATCGTCGGGACCATTGGCGGGCCCAGAGCCAACCTCCTGCATCCAGTCCTTGATGACATTGTTCGTTTGGTGCTCATGGATAGTGTCCGGTCGTCCTCGTGTCCGATCGTCAAATGGTCTTCGGAACACCTCTTCCAACGCTCGATCCTTCTGGTAAGTTGCCACGGATGGCTCGCGCACAAGGCGTGATGCCCTGGCGCTGAAGCCTCGTAGTCTACCAGCTGGCCATTGTTTGGCCCGGTCAAGGTCCTTGGTTGGAGAAGCGGACTCGATCAGATCCATTGGCTGAACAACACGAGCACTGAGAATGACTTTCTCATAGAGGCAGATTGTGAACAAGATGGGCAAGTGAGTGATCTTGATGATGGTGCGATTCAGGCGAATGAAATCACGGAAAGGCATTGCCCATCGGAATGGTGCAACGAGCCAGGCGATTACGTTCGTTGGTGCCACATATGAAAACAGGGCATCCGACTTCACCATTGAGATGGTGTTGACGGCGAATAAGAATTGGTGCTCTTGATCGGCATTCTGAACAATTCGCATGAACGAGTTGGTCAGGACAGTAATGAGGATGGTGACAACGACAAAGTGACAAATGAACAGGAAGACTGTCAGAATCGTCTTCCCCAGGAAATTGTACTCGTCCCACATCGACCATGCGGTTGGGGTAAAGCCCATCAGCATTTGGAACAAGCCATAAGCAATTTCCTTCGGGGATTTGTTGTCTCCAAAATTGAGGAATGCAACGAAAAAGCCGGAGCAGGAGATGACAATGAGGACAAAAACGGCGATGAGATCAGATGCCATGATTCGGAATGCAATCAATAGTTGGGAAAAGTAGCGGTAGTGATCTAAGATAGAGAACAGTCTCGGAAACAGCAAAGGTGCTGTGGCTGCAAGAACATCAAACTGCGAGGGGTTAGCATGGAAGTAAAGACGTGCATTCGGAGGGAGTGTACACTCACAGCTTTCTCGGAAACAAAATGACCTCGAGGGTAGGTCAAGAACGTGCCATAAATGCGCAAACAATAGTAGGCGAAAAGCAGCAGTAGAATTCCCAGATCGAAGAGATTCCAAAAACTCATCAAATAAAGGCTGAAGCCTTGTTCATTGAACCCGACCACTTCATCGAGCATGAACCCGGCACTCCAAAACCAGAACACGATCTCAAGAGTCGTGATTCTGCGACTGCGTTGATTCAAAACGGCCAAAAACAACCACAAAAGAACAGCAAACGAGAGGGTCGACAGGAATTGTCGATAGCGCGGCACCCTCAAGCGCGACAACTTGAATAATGATGCATCACGCGGATTGTAAAGTGTCACTGAGCGCCTGAGTGTGCCATTGCTGTGTTCCGTCGGAATGCTCCCATTCCGATCCATGGAAGTTCCGTAGTCGAGATTCCCCGATTGTGCTGCCGGCTCACGGCGATGCAGATTATCTGCTGCCGAATGGAACACCACCGTGCCGGCCCAGATAGCTTCCAACTGCTGCACTACCACAGGATGTGCCAAGAAGCGTTTTGCCTGCGCGCGAATTGCAACCTCCAGACACGAGACACGTGCCGTCACCACCTTTCTTGTTGGTCTCGTGGGCGTCGTGTCAGGGTCCTGGCCCTGCAATGGATGGAACTCGTAGGACAGCGCGTCGAGCAGTTCACGGGTCGAATATTCCCTCAGCACCTTGATAGCCAGTAATTCACTGACCATTGCGCGGGTCTGGTTTGCTCCGCTATTCCCCGGATTGGAATGCATCTCCTTCTCGAATTGTAGACAATTGGCCATCAGCGCATAGAGCGTCGCGCGCGAGAAGTGCGCGGACATGATCTTTTGCAGGATCGGCTTGATCAGGAACTGGGACACCTGGGGCGACCGGAGCTGGTCCCATGTTAATGTGGTTTCGCATCGAGAGGCAATCAGAGGACGAATCGCGTGGGTGATGTTGTAGACAGGCAGCGCGTCTGGAAACCGTTAGTGGCTGCCACGATGGAGGCCAGTCCCGTTGGGAATCCACCTACCCAGATGTGACGCGGAGAACATGGGTAGGAGTGGTGTCGACTCCATGGGCCCATCCTCTTCCTCCTCCCAGTCCTCGTCCATATCCTCGTCGATTCCTTGCAGCTCTGGCGCATCGTCGCTGCTCTCGTCGGCTTGTCGTCTTTGGTGTGCGCGAAACCAGGGCGACGCGGAGAACGGGGAGTGCTCCGTCTGGCCACGCCGCAGCTTCGGTCGAAGCAGGGAACCAAACATGGTGTACTTATGTTCTCATAACCGAGGTATGTGTCCGTGCGATCAGATCTTAGAGCATGTTGGGATGAAGGGATAGCGAGAAAAAAGCTGCCACACGACCAAAATTGGTGTGACGAGAAGGATCGGAAAGTCGAAAAATCGAAAAATCGCGAGACCAGAATGCAAGTGACCAAAGTCCGAAACAAGCCCTGGAGGCTGCTGGGGCGGGATTAATTTAGTCCAAGCAGGACTGCCGAGATCTGAGCTCCACGTCATGGTCTGTGTGACGCCAAACTGGTTTAGTCATTTCTGTGCATTTACAAGTATAAGTAGTATATGTATACCTACGGAGTAGTACCTAGGTATGTATATGCATGAAGCAAGGTAGAATTGCTTCTGTTTATTACTGTATACAAATACACTATATACTCCTATAGTGGAACGGCCCTGGTTCGCCACCGACGTGGGGTCACCAAAAGCGGTCGAAATAAATTAACGAGTAGTATGTTCTGATACAGTACTAAGGTACGGAGTATTTTCTACTATAGTACATCTTGCGAGTGAAACATCCTCGATCGTAGACTAAGTACACTACCATAGCTCCAGGGCTATACCGTTATCGGCATTGCGTCATATGCATGGCCGTGCATATCCAGCATCAATTGATCAGCCATTGAGCTTAATAAGAGATATGACCACCCTCTACTACTAGGCACAGTACGGAGTAGGTAGAATATTGAGTCATAGCCCAATTGCACTGGAAAATCTCTGCGGCGGTGAGGGGATGTACCGAAAACAGAAGTGGGTCTTGCGAAATGCACGAAAATATTTTCTGCCGAACTTCGTTTTCTTCTCTTCCTCCTCCACCAGCTGGTTGCAGCACTATACGATTTGCTTTTACCTATACTCCCTCTTGCGTTGTCCTTTCGTTTTCTCTTTATAAAATCTTCTCTCTCCATTGGCAGATGCTGAACTAGAGTGCTCTGCTCGCCTCATATCGTCCTCGAGAGGACCCCCTCCGATTCCAATTGCGATGTCCCAGCCTGCCACTTCGTCTGAACCCATCCTGCCTACTAGCCCTACCCTCGGTGGCTCAGTGGGTTTCCCAGAGACAATGCCTAACATGGATTCTGTTAGCGGCGTGATCAAGCCCGCCTCCATTCCCGTCCGAGGTGGTTCGGACCGGTTGGCGGCCCTTGAGCTCGCTGATGGCACCGTTTACCAGGGTTACAACTTTGGTGCGGAGAAGAGTGTGTCTGGTGAATTGGTCTTCCAGACTGGTATGGTCGGCTACCCCGAATCCGTCACCGACCCTTCATACCGAGGCCAGATTCTGGTGGTTACCTTCCCTCTCGTGGGTAACTACGGTGTGCCCTCGCACGATGAAATGTGTGAGCTCCTGAAGGACCTGCCCAAGCGCTTTGAGTCCAGTCAGATCCACATCTCGGCGCTGGTGGTGGCATCCTACGCCGGTGAGGATTACTCGCACTACTTGGCCAAGTCCTCGCTCGGAGAATGGCTCAAGTCCGAGGGCATTCCTGCCATGCACGGTGTGGATACCCGTGCTCTGACCAAGCGTCTGCGTCAGACCGGTAGCATGCTGGGTCGCATGCTGCTGCAAAAGCCCGGTGACACCGACAAGGTTGCCGCCGCCGGTGCCAACTGGAAGTCACACTTTGAGGAGACCGAATGGGTGGACCCTAACACAAAGAACCTCGTTGCTGAGGGTGAGTGAACCGCCAAAACTGAAGCTGCACCGCAGCAATTGAACTGGATCTGACAATTGTTCAACAGTCTCCATCCGTGAGCCCCGCCTCTTCACACCCCCCGCGAATGTCGCCCTCAAGCACCCCTCCGGCCGCGGAGTGCGTGTGCTCTGTTTGGATGTTGGTATGAAGTACAACCAGCTGCGTTGTCTGCTGGCTCGTGGTGTCGAGGTCTTGGTCGTTCCTTGGGACTACGACTTCCCCACCCTGGCTGGAAAGGATTACGATGGTCTGTTCGTGTCCAACGGCCCCGGTGATCCCGCCACTTTGACCGTCACCACCAACAACCTCACCAAGATGTTCCAGGACGCCCGTGTGCCTGTCTTCGGTATCTGTCTTGGTCACCAGCTGATTGCCCGCTCCGTCGGCGCCCAGACCACCAAGATGAAGTTCGGTAACCGCGGTCACAACATTCCCTGCACAAGCATGATCTCCGGAAAGTGCCACATCACATCCCAGAACCACGGTTACGCCGTTGATGCCACCAGCCTGGAGAACGGCTGGGAGGAGCTCTTCGTCAACGCCAACGACGGCAGTAACGAGGGTATCCGTCACACCAGCCGTCCCTTCTTCAGTGTTCAGTTCCACCCGGAGAGCACCCCCGGTCCCCGGGACACCGAGTACTTGTTTGATGTCTTCATCAACACCATCCAGTCCACCATTGCCTCCCCCGAGGCTCTCCACAAGGCCGTCTCTTTCCCCGGTGGCACCAAGGCTGAGAATGTCCTGGCTGCTCCCCGTGTTTCGGTCAAGAAGGTTCTGGTTCTCGGTTCCGGTGGTCTCAGCATTGGTCAGGCTGGTGAGTTCGATTACTCCGGTAGTCAAGCCATCAAGGCTCTGAAGGAAGAGGGTATCTACACCATTTTGATCAACCCCAACATTGCCACCATTCAGACCTCCAAGGGTCTGGCTGACAAGGTTTACTTCCTTCCCGTCAACGCCGACTTCGTCCGCAAGGTCATCAAGCACGAGCGCCCCGATGCTATCTACGTCACCTTCGGTGGACAGACTGCGCTCTCCGTCGGTATCCAGCTGAAGGACGAATTTGAGGGTCTCGGCGTTAAGGTGCTCGGAACTCCCATCGACACTATTATCACCACTGAGGATCGTGAGCTCTTTGCTCGCAGCATGGATTCCATCGAGGAGAAGTGTGCCAAGTCCGCCTCTGCTTCCACTCTGGAGGAGTCCCTGCAGGTTGTTGAGGCTATTGGCTTCCCCGTCATTGTTCGTGCCGCCTATGCTCTTGGTGGTCTCGGCAGTGGTTTCGCCGACAACATGGCGGAATTGAAGGATCTCTGCACCAAGGCCCTCGCTGTCAGTCCCCAGGTTCTGATCGAGCGCAGTATGAAGGGCTGGAAGGAAGTTGAGTACGAGGTTGTTCGTGACGCCCAGGACAACTGTATCACTGTCTGCAACATGGAGAACTTTGATCCCCTCGGTATCCACACTGGTGACTCTATCGTCGTCGCTCCTTCCCAGACCCTCTCCGACGAGGACTACAACATGCTGCGAACCACCGCTGTGAACGTCATTCGTCACCTCGGTGTTGTCGGTGAATGTAACATTCAGTATGCCCTCAACCCCTTCTCCAAGGAGTACTGCATTATTGAGGTCAACGCCCGTCTGTCTCGTTCCTCCGCTCTGGCCTCCAAGGCTACCGGATACCCACTCGCCTTCATTGCTGCTAAGTTGGGTCTCGGTATCCCCTTGAACGAGATCAAGAACTCGGTCACCAAGTCCACTTGTGCTTGCTTCGAACCTTCGCTTGATTACTGCGTTGTCAAGATCCCCCGCTGGGATCTCAAGAAGTTCACTCGTGTGTCCACTCAGCTTGGTTCTTCCATGAAGAGTGTCGGTGAGGTTATGAGCATTGGTCGAACCTTCGAGGAAGCCATCCAGAAGGCCATTCGTTCCGTTGATTTCCACAACCTTGGTTTCAGCGCCACCAATGCCCTGATGTCCATCGACAACGAGCTGCAGACTCCCTCTGACCAGCGTCTGTTCGCCATCGCCAACGCTATGGCTGCTGGTTACACTGTTGATGACATCTGGAAGCTCACCAACATTGACAAGTGGTTCCTGTCTCGCCTCAAGGGTCTGAACGACTTCGGCAAGCGCATGTCTGAGTTCAACCCCTCGACTGTGTCTTTGTCTATGATCCGCCAGGCTAAGGAGCTCGGTTTCTGCGATCGTCAACTTGCCAACTTCTTGGACTCCAACGAACTTGCTGTTCGCCGCATGCGTGTTGAGGCCGGTATCACTCCTATCGTCAAGCAGATCGATACCGTCGCTGCTGAGTTCCCAGCTGTGACCAACTACCTCTACCTGACCTACAATGCCACCGAGCACGACCTGACTTTCGATGATCACGGAATTATGGTCCTCGGTTCCGGTGTCTACCGTATCGGTTCCTCCGTCGAGTTCGATTGGTGTTCCGTGCGCACCATCCGTACGCTCCGCGAGCAGGGTCACAAGACCATCATGGTTAACTACAACCCCGAGACTGTCAGTACCGATTACGACGAGGCTGACCGCCTGTACTTCGAGAACATCAACCTTGAGACCGTTCTCGATATCTACCAGCTCGAGACCTCTAGCGGTGTGATCATGTCCATGGGTGGTCAGACCCCCAACAACATCGCTCTGCCGCTCCACCGCCTGAATGTTAACATCCTGGGTACCTCCCCCGAGATGATTGACGGCGCTGAGAACCGTTACAAGTTCTCTCGTATGTTGGACCGCATCGAGGTTGATCAGCCCGCTTGGAAGGAGTTGACCAGCACCGACGAGGCCCGTGACTTCTGCGACAAGGTCGGCTACCCTGTGCTGGTCCGTCCCTCTTACGTTCTCTCCGGTGCTGCTATGAACACTGTCTACTCCGAGCACGACTTGGCTAGCTACCTGAACCAGGCTGCCGATGTCTCCCGCGAGCACCCTGTCGTTATCACCAAGTACATTGAGAACGCTAAGGAAATTGAGATGGACGCTGTCGCCCTTAACGGTGTTATGGTTGGCCACTTCATCTCCGAGCACGTCGAGAACGCCGGTGTTCACTCTGGTGATGCTACTCTGATTCTGCCCCCTCAGGATCTGAGCGCCGAGACTGTCCGCCGCATTGAGGAGGCTACCCGCAAGATCGGTAACGCCCTCAATGTCACTGGTCCCTACAACATTCAGTTCATTGCCAAGGACAACGACATCAAGGTCATTGAGTGCAACGTGCGTGCCTCTCGCTCATTCCCCTTCGTGTCCAAGGTTATGGGTGTGGACCTGATCGAGATGGCCACCAAGGCCATGATCGGTAGCCCCTTCCAGGCTTACCCCCCTGTCTCCGTCCCCAAGGATTACGTCGGTGTCAAGGTTCCCCAGTTCTCCTTCTCTCGTCTGTCTGGCGCTGATCCCGTCCTGGGTGTCGAGATGGCTTCCACTGGTGAGGTCGCCTCATTCGGTCGTGATAAGTACGAAGCCTACCTCAAGGGTCTGCTCTCTACTGGCTTCAAGCTGCCCCGTCGCAACATCCTCTTCTCCATTGGTGCCTACAAGGAGAAGCTTGAGATGCTGCCCTCCATCCAGAAGCTTTCCCAGCTCGGCTACAACCTGTTCGCCACCGCTGGTACTGCTGATTTCCTGAAGGAGAACGGTGTTTCCGTCAAGTACCTCGAGCACCTTCCTGACCACGAGGAGGAGGACATGAAGTCTGAGTACTCTCTCACTCAGCACTTGTCCAACAACCTGATTGATCTCTACATCAACTTGCCTTCCAACAACCGCTTCCGTCGCCCCGCCAACTACATGTCTAAGGGTTACCGCACTCGTCGTATGGCTGTTGACTACCAGACTCCTCTTGTTACCAATGTCAAGAATGCGAAGATCCTCATCGAGGCTATCGCTCGCCACTTCCCTCTGGAGATCATCACCTCCGACTTCCAGACCAGCCACCGCACTGTTGTCCTTCCTGGCTTGATCAACATCGCTGCCTTCGTCCCCAACCTCGCCAAGCTTGGCTCCGATGACTTCAAGGCTGTGTCGCGCGCCTCCCTTTCCGGTGGTTTCAGCATGATCCGTGTCATGCCTGTCGGTGTCGACACCTCGGTCACCCAGGCCAGCGACCTGAAGATCGTTCAGCAGAACGCCCAGGGCAAGGCCCTGTGTGACTTCAACATCTCGGTTGCTGCCACTGCCAACAACTCCGACCAGATCATCCAGATGACCGGTGAGGTTGGCTCCTTGTTCATTCCCTTCAACCACCTGTCGGGCAACATCAACAAGGTCGCCACCGTCACCAACCACTTCAGCGCCTGGCCTTCCAGCAAGCCTCTGATCACTGATGCCAAGAGCACTGATCTGGCTTCCATCCTGCTGCTGGCCAGCCTCCACAGCCGTAACATTCACGTGATGAGTGTTACTTCCAAGGAGGACATCAGCCTCATTGCCCTGAGCAAGGAGAAGGGCCTGAACGTTACCTGCGATGTTTCGATCTTCTCCCTCTTCCTCACCCGGGATGACTACCCCGCCTGTAGCGCCCTGCCTACCGTTGAGGACCAGAAGGCCCTGTGGGACCACCTGAGCACCATCGACATCTTCTCCATTGGCAGCATTCCCTACCAGCTCGCTGGTAAGGAGGCCACCCCCGAGACTGGTATTGCTGAGTCGATTCCTCTGCTCTTCACTGCTGTCGCCGAGGGCCGCCTGACCGTCGAGGATGTTTCCACTCGCCTCTATGACAACCCTAAGAAGATCTTCGAGTTGCACGACCAGGCTGACAGCTCCCTCGAGGTTGAGGTTGACCGCCCCTACGTTTTCCAGAGCCCCAATGCCTGGTCTCCGTTCAATGGCAAGATGATGCGTGGCTCCGTTCAGCGTGTCGTCTTCCAGGGTAAGACTTCTTGCCTCGACGGTGAGATCACCAAGGATGCTACCAAGGGTAACGACATGTCTGCCCACCGCATTATCCCAACCTCTCCCCTGCAGAAGCCCACCACCCCTATGGTCCGCCCCGAGAGCTCCCTTGACCGTCACACCTCGGTCTCCGGTACCCCTGGTGCCGCCCGCCGTGTCCGGACTCTCGACAACGCCATCCCCTCCATCGGCGAGTTGGGCCCTCCCCTCTACGCTGCCGCCTCCTCGCAGGTCTCCCCCACTCTGGCCGACACTCTTGCCCGCTCTACCTTCCGCGGAAAGCACGTCCTGTCTGTGAACCAGTTCACCCGCGCGGATCTGCACACCCTCTTCACGGTCGCCCAGGAGATGCGCCTCGGTGTCCAGCGCCACGGTGTTCTTGACATCCTCAAGGGCCGTGTCCTGACCACTCTCTTCTACGAGCCCTCCACCCGCACCTCGGCCTCCTTCGACGCTGCTATGCAGCGCCTCGGTGGACGCACCATCCCCATTGCCACCGAGCACTCTTCTACCAAGAAGGGCGAGAGCCTCCAGGACACCATCCGCACTCTCGGCTGCTACGGTGACGCCGTTGTCCTCCGCCACCCCGAGGCCAGCAGCACCGAGATCGCCGCCAAGTTCTCCCAGGTTCCTGTCATCAACGGTGGTAACGGCTCGCTCGAGCACCCCACCCAGGCCTTCCTGGACCTCTTCACCATCCGTGAGGAGCTCGGCACCGTCACCGGCTTGACCATCACCTTCACCGGTGACCTCAAGTACGGCCGCCCCGTGCACTCCCTGATCAAGCTGCTCCAGTTCTACGATGTCCGCATCCAGCTCGTGGCCCCCAAGGCCCTCGCTCTCCCCGAGGAGGTCCGCCAGCAGATCGTCGCCTCCGGCCAGCTGGTCGTCGAGTCCGAGGAGCTGACTCCCGAGATCGTCGCCCGCTCCGACATCCTGTACTCCACCCGTGTGCAGAAGGAGCGCTTCGAGGACCTCTCCGAGTACGAGCGTCTCAAGAACAGCTTCGTCATCGACAACGCTCTTCTCAAGCACGCCAAGAGCCACATGGTTGTCATGCACCCTCTGCCTCGCAACGCCGAGATCTCCGAGGAAGTCGACTTCGACCAGCGGGCCGCTTACTTCCGCCAGGTATGTCCTCCCCCTTCCCAGACATTGAATGACCCTCTAACACCTCCCCAGATGCGTTATGGCCTCTACTGCCGCATGGCTCTCCTTGCTCTCGTCCTGGCGCCCTAAATATAGACGCTCTTCCAACTTCTACATATTTGGAAAAGGGAAAGGCGCTTTGGATTTGCTTGCATGGCCTTTGTCTCCTGTTTTTAAAAGTTATGCCCGTTCTGTTTCATTACTCTTGTAGGCAGCTGCGTGACCACCCACGAGCTGTATAGATTAGACGAATCTCCGTTTCATGAATTCGACGACCCCGTCCTGTGTATGTCCATATGTGTATTCTATGTGATTACCGTGTGTTACGTGTTACGTGTTATGTGTGTTATGTGTGTTGCGTGTGTTGCGTGTCGTGCGTTTAGCGTGTTTTTTGAGCGTTTTCTTTCTTTTTGGGTCTTTTGGGTCTTTTGGGGTGTTTTTGGGTCTTTTTCATATACCAGGGGCGTCAATTCGAATTCAATTCATTTCTATCAACATCTTCTCTTTTTTTCGTTGCTTAAGTGGCTTGCATTTTAAAGACTGCTTGGAAAATGTCCACGGGTGCTGATCGACACGCACATCCTGATACTGACGAACAGAGAAATGAAGCCCATAGAATCAGTATAGTATCTATTATAGCACTTGTCGCTTGAAGTTGCCAGCCCTGGAGGGTACGTCCATAGTAGATCAATTGTTCCAAGGTTGTCCTCCGACCCTTCCTTGTATCACACATCGGACCTTGAATCGAACTTTAACGACTTAGAAGGCCAAGAGAAAAGTAACACTGGGATGGAATTATCAAGGTCTATGCAATCTGCGAGAACTTCAATGCCTTGAAGCCCAGAGGCCAAAAAAAAACTATGTGAGGCCTCTGCCCAGCCAATCACAATTCAGCATTGCTCATCTACATCCATGCGCAGGTGCTCAGGTCGAGTAATGGATAAAGATCGGGGTAATACGTCTGAATGAAGCCCAATTAGATTTCACATAATAAAAAAGAGTATAGGTCCTTGAGTGGAGAGATGTAGCCTGGAGGAACAATAACCCTAAAAGTAGCCAAAACACCGATCTCGTCATCTCGGTGGAGAAATTGCTCATACTTCTGCTGTCCCGTCTCTGCTAAAATCCCTGACTTGCATGGTTATTACTCGGTCGAGAAAATGATGTAACTTTGCCCAACCTTGTTAATCGCGTGCAGCGGTTCACAGATGGTGTGCTACAGTCTCATATAAACCACAATCATGGCTATCCACTCCACGTTGCGTTTGTTTCAACGACATCCTCTCCAAGGTAGAACGATACCATGGCATCGCTAGCGGAAAAAGACGTCCGCACCGAGGTGGATTCCAATGAAACTACCGATTTCAAGGGCATCAATGAAAAGGCTCTACTCCGCAAGTTGGATTATCGCCTACTGCCGCCTCTGACAATATTGTACCTTTTGTCGTTTTTGGATCGCAGCAATGTGGGAAATGCACGTTTGGAGGGCATGGCAGATGATATCAATATGTGTAGGTTAGGGTTCCTGATTTCCATCCGATGAAGCTGAACTGTGTCGTGTAGCAGGAAATCAATACCTGACTGGTTTGACTTTATACTTCATTGGATATGTCCTTTTTGAAATTCCCTGCAACGTGAGATCTCTTGACAACCCCTCTAGGTCCATAAATGGACAAGATGCTGAAACCAGACAGATTGTGTTGAAGAAGACCACGCCCAGAATATGGCTACCCACATTGACTCTCGTTTGGGGAGTCGTTGCCACGCTACTGGGCATTGTACAGAATTACTCAGGATACCTATCATCCCGATTCTTCTTGGGTGTTGCAGAGAGCGGGCTGTTTCCTGGTGTTGTGTTCTATCTGTCCATGTGGTATAAACGCAATGAGCAGCACTACCGCGTGGCCCTTTTCTTCAGCGCTGCTTCACTGGCAGGCGCGTTTGGTGGAATCCTGGCTTGGGTATGTTTGATGCAGACCCAATTGATCAAAGCTGATAGACTTCCAGGCAATTTCGCACATGGACGGCGTGGGCAACTTGAAGGGCTGGAGATGGATTTTCATTCTTGTATGTTCCATGAAACCATTTCTCGATGTATACTGACCTGTCTTCTTCTTGCAGGAAGGTCTCTTGACTGTGCTCGTTTCAATCATCGCCTATCTCTGGGTATACAATTACCCAGCAACCGCAGAATTCCTCACCAAGGAGGAGCGTGAATTTATCCAATTCCGACTCAAGAATGACAACGACGCCACCCGCGACGAGGAGTTTTCCTGGACCGCTGTTCAAGAAGCTTTCAAAGATCCGAAAGTCTGGCTATACGGCCTGGGATTCCACACCATGTCGCTGCCATTATACACCTTGTCACTCTTCCTTCCAACAATCATCAAAGAGCTCGGGTATTCTGCCGCGAAGGCGCAGCTTCTGTCCGTGCCTCCATACGCAGTCGCTTTCTTCTTGACCATCGGTGTGGCGGTTGCATCCGAAAAGACTCACAGTCGGGCGCCTTTCATCATGGGCTCATCTGCTATCGGATGCATCGGGTATATTTTACTTCTATCGCAACATCGCCCGGGGGTATCTTACGTTGGGACCATCTTTGCTGCAGCGGGGATCTACCCAGCCGTCGCTATTGTGCTATCATGGCCAGCCAATAATGTTTCCGGCCAGACGAAGCGGTGCATTGCTAATGCGATGCAAATTTCCATCGGAAATCTTGGTGCCGTGCTTGGTACGCAGCTGTACCGCACTGAAAGTGCGCCAAGGTATTTCCTGGGTCATGGGTTTGCCCTAGGTTACCTGGTAGCCAATATTGCGGTCGTGGGTGTATTGTGGCAGGTTCTTAAGCGGGAGAATTCTGAGAAGGAGCGTATCAGAGATGTCCAAGGCCTGTCGCCGCTTATGGGAGATGTGGGAGATGCGGAAGGGGAGTTCCAAGGTGATAAGGATCCTCGCTGGGTGTTCCAAACATAACCTTGAATCCTTGGAGCCTTGGAAGCATGTAAAGATGGTTTTCACAGTTTCGAGGTTGATTTATACACTTGACCTACCCTCAGATAGTTGAAGTTAATAAGTGTTTCATTACAGCTCAAATTTTTTTTAGTGAACAACACTGGAACGATAAGAATGTGTCAGCTGTAACATTTGAAGTATTTAGAATCGCTGCAAGCTTTCAAGCGTTGTCGCTATACTCTCGATATGGACCTTGAGCTTCGATATCAGATCAATATCGGCTAGAGAAATCGGCAAGTGAAAAACAGTGCCTAGGCACAATTCACCGGCCCACATAATCGTCCAACTCCCTGCCAATCTTCAGGGGAACGACTTACTCCCCCGCAGATCCCCGACGTAATGGCGCCCTTAAATGCGGGGGACCGGCAGTTGGTCGGAATATCCGAAGTATTGCCGGACGACTATATAATTCTACAAACATCTCTAACGGTAATCAATTCAATACCTAAGTATTCAAGTCTCTTTCAAGATGTTGTCTCAATTTACTCAAGGATGGGCGGCTGGTTTGTTGGCCTTGACTGCCTGTTTCTCATGGGTCCCCAGTGCCGCAGCGAAGACCTCAGTCCCGACTGCTCCAGAGCTTTCATTTCTCTACACAGCCTATGTGGAATGTGACGGAAACTTGATGGACTCATCAGTTGGTCCACATGGACAGAGGAAAGCAATTCCCATCGTTGGTGGAAACTTCAGCGGTCCTCATCTTTCCGGTAGGAATATACCATTGGCAACATTCCCAGCCTGGTATACTCTGCGCTAACCCAGTATCTTCAGGCAAGATTCGGGATGTTGGGGCTGACTGGGGACTCGTTGATCCCCAGACCAACATCTTCTCTGCTGATACTCGATACAACTTCCGCACCGACGACGGGGCCGATATTTTCATTCAGACCGCTGGGCCTAAGGCTCCTGATGGGCATTTGCATCTTCGTCTGGTGTTTGAAACTGGAAGTCCCAAGTACTATTGGCTCAACAATATTGTTGGTGAGTTTCAAAGTCCAGTGGTGCCAATCTTGGAAGATATACAGTCGGGACTGACATTTTCAAAACTAGCCATTGGGGTCCTGACATCGGGACTTCCATCTGAAAATAATCTCAAAGTGCTGCGAATTGATGCCTGGAATGTAAGTTCTCCTCTTGGTGGTTGATATTCTATGCATGCACTGTCCACCCCAAGTTTCGATGGTATTGATACTTCTGCAGTTCGCTTCCGATTGGGACTCGACAAAGTTCGTGAATTCCACCTCGGCTTGAATATATACGAGCCTTGGAAACATCAGTGGCTAGAGACTCACTAGTTGACTACTGTCCAGGTGGGCAGTGAATGATTTCAAGTGGGAAATATTGTAATAGAACTAGCACAACCCTTCCCCCAGGTTTTAGGTAGGACTGCGATGCGACAATAAGAATAAATTAGATCCTAGAGCACTCCTGCCTACCTACCTACCTCAGCAGCCTCTGTTCAGCAAATCGCAATGAGCATCTAAAATGAGAATACCCTTAGAAGCGCACTGCCTTGGACGGACGTCTGTCTGGCGCACGACCACTTTCACATGCCTGTTGTGAAACTGACCAGGAATCTCTGAAATGTGAAAGCAAAGTGAATTCCGTGAATTCATATCTTTGCACCCCTGATATTCGGTGTTTACAGCGATCTCCGGGACTACCTTCGAAAGATACCATCTGGCAGACTATACAAAAGCAACATAGCAACATAGCAACGCGCGATGTAATTTGGTCTGCGTACTTGTGTCAAGATAACCGAAGCCAAAGCATATCAAGATCTCGTCTATCTACATGACATAGCTTTTCCATATCGCATCTTTTCATCCATCAGATCATAGGCAGTGAATGAACCGGCCGCCCAGAATAAATTATGTGATACTCCGTACAGATTTGAGAATTCCATGGGTCTAAAATACAAGGTGTGGAAGGGAAAAGGCAACGCTTTACTCGATGTTGTCGTCAGCACCAGCGCTGGCCTTGGAAGCGGAGGGAGCGCCAACGTCGAGGGCGATAAGCTCAGCAAGAACCTCCAGAATGTTTGCAGGCACTGTGCGCTCGTAGATGCCCATGAGGTCCTGTGAAGAAATTGAGTCAGAGGTGTCAAATCAAATCGAAGGGATACCGGCTTACCTGGGGCTGGGGGTAGACCTTCAATGCCTTCCAGAAGGAAATGGCGGCCTCGTTCTCGGCACCCTCGGAAGCGCAAAGAGACTCTCCCTTTGCGACCTGCTCCATGAAGTAGGCTTCCTTCTCCTCGAGACCTGTGGGAAGTTCACCACCCTTCTTCACTGACTCGAGCGCGCTCTTGAGGGCGGCAACTCGGGCCTCGCCCTCGGCTTCTTGTTGCTGCTTAACGCTGATCTCGACCTTCTTGTTGTTCTTCTTCAGGGACTTGCGGAAGTTAGGATCGCTCTGGCGCTTGTGATCGAAGTAGATGGCGTAAGCTGTGAAAACGTTAGCGACTGCCAAGGCTGTGCCGGGCAGCTCCAACGAGCAGGAAAAGGGTGCGTACCGAGGACTCCGGTCAGGACCGTGCCGGCAATGATAGCAGTGTTGCGGAAAGCCATTGTGAAGTATTAAAGATGAGATAAGTGTATGGAGATGAAGAGGTTTAATAAAAATGTTTTTGGGGTCCGCGAGAGTACCCGTGTCCACCGCCTTCACACGCGCATCGTCATCTCTCGGCAGACCTCACTGTCTAGGCACCTGCACGCATTGCAATCACAACATGGAAGGACGTGGTCTTACTTTAAGGAGCAAGTCTCGACGCCGGCGCCCTCAAATCAGCGCCCCCAAACCCATCTCCGGTCCTCTCCCTCAAAACACCAGATCGCCAGAAGAGCCGGTCCCCACCCGTGAGCGGGCGCCACAAAGCGATGCGACTTCGGACTTGGTCAAGCGGCGATATTCAACTCGATTTGCTGCCCCCGAGTTTGATGCTAGTGCTCCCCCTGTCCCGGCACTACCACCTCAAGTACCCGGCGGACCTGGTGGGCTAGCACCACCATCGGTTTCGGGGCAGCCATCACCGGCAGATTCCAAATCGCCAGCGCCGACAGTTGACCTCAACGCTCTGCGGGATCCTAGTCTCCCAGTTGATCGATGTAGGTGCTCAATTCCTCCATACCGAGGAAATTCAAGCTAAACAAAAGCTCCCAATCGCAGATGTGGCCAGCCTACTTGCCAACGCATCGGAGGAGGAGATCCAAAAGTACCAAGAGAGCCTTCGCAAGGTGAAGAATCGCACTTCCACCGACCTCCAACAGAATGTGTACCAGAACCGTACTCAATTCATTAAAATCAGTAAAGAGGCGGAGAAGCTCAAGGACGAGATGCGAACCCTTCGTACCCTCATGGCGGAACTCACCACGGCGCTCGGACAAACAAGTGTGGGCAATACGCCCAATCCTATGTCCCCGATGGAAGATTCTTTCCCGAAACGTAACGCCAATCGCAGCTCAGTGGCCAACTTGGAGAGCATGTGGAGTGTACAACTACAGACATTGTGGAAGACAGTGGAAGGCTCGCAGAAGTGGCTTCCAGCTGTTCCAGGACGACACATCGTTTTGGAAACTGGTAATTGGGTCGAGCTGGACTCGGCCACATGGAAGCCAAGACGTGTCGTTCACATCGTTTTGTTGAACGACCATCTACTTGTGGCTTCCAAGAAACGCATGCGTGTTGAACAGAGCAACAACAATCACCGAGGGCCTGTTCCGACCAGGCTAGTTGCAGAGTCCTGTTGGCCTCTAAGCGACATTGACATGATCGATCTGGCGGCTAACCTAGGGACTGGCGCGGCTCGCGAGGAAGCCATGGATCGGGGAATTGCGAGATCCCTCAGTATTCGTGTGGGATCCAAGCCTTTCACATACCGCCATGAAAGCACATCGGCTAAGCAGGAACTGCTGGCAACTTTCCGCAAGACTGTTGAAGACCTGCGCCGAAATATGCGATCGGAAACCGAGGCGGCGAGCAAGCCTTTGGAAACATACGGATATCTCGCCAACAGGCACCTTTCTCACACGAAGAATCGGGAGTCCTTAGATCTGAATGATACACCGCGCGACAAGTCCGATCTGCGCATTGACGTTGACGGGAAACAACAGAACCTTCGATGGGTCGAAGGGCAGGTTGACGAGCTTGATATCGACATCGCCCTGCAACGATTTGAAGCATCCGTGCATAGCATTGAACGGTTACGCAAATTGGCCAAGGGGCTGAAGGGGAACAGCATCGCACAGGATGTTATCAATGTCAAGGTTGATGGGCGCGCAACACGGCTGGCTGGGATCCTTTCGCGGGCACTGGTGGACAAACACTCATTTCCGGCAGCCACAAAGACTCACGTTACTTGGCTGGCTCGGCTAGGCTTTGAAGACCAGGCCCGTGAAACATACCTGAAGGCACGATCTGATGTGATTGCTCAACGCATCCGGTTTGTTTCACCTCAATCTTTCACGAATCTTAATACTAACCCCTCGCAGCGCCTGTATCTTCGAAGGCGATCTACCTCTTTACATCTTCCAGATCTCCTACGTCTATTTCACTCTGATCAAGAACACCATTGGAATATATCAACAATGTTTCCCCAGTGCGATGAGCAGTTCCTGCATTCGCTGGGCCAAGCACCATCTTGACGGATTCAATTCCCTGCTCAATCGGCAACTCAGCAGCGTGCAACGCGGTACATCTGTCTGGCAGAAATGTCTTGACATTGTGCATGAACATGCCGCTTTGCTGATGGAGGTTGGCGTGGACTTTACCGATTTGGTAGCTCGTGGGTTAGAAGAGAACGCCGATGGTTCCTTGGATGGGCCACGTACCGTCCAGCCCGGCGAGTTGGCACCAACCCCATCGCCGGCGGATATGCTGTGACTCGAATTGAATATTGATGGATCTAGCGCCTATTTATCATGCCAACTATGGTCTTATGAAATCATTCTGATCCTGCTGGGAAAGCTTTTCCACTTGCTAAAATGCCGTGTTTCTGAATGCAGCATGCCCAATAATCCTCCTTTCCTTCTATATTGGCAGGGGTATCCAGCTCATAGCCTCACTCCGCCTGGCTTGCCTAAAGATGATCCTCGTCGGGTCAATGGGGTTGGCTGACACGAGCTTCCGCGGTCTTGATTCTAGACTGGAACCATGGCCAGAATCAACGATCTTGGTGAAATTATAGTAGATCTGGCCGTCAATTGTGGCAATGGCATTGCTTTGGAGATTTTTGATATCCCGATTCAGCCGAGGGGCTGCCCTGCGTCGCATGAGGCGTGTGGGGGGGATTCCCTAACGATAGAAGTATGTCAGAGCACAATCATTGATTTTAATGGCATTACTCTTTTCCTAGGCTCTATAAACAGATGAAAACCACACAGTGAAGTTCAGATGAATTGAAGAGCATAAGCACATTGAAAGTTCTAAATCGTATTTTGGCAGTACTGCAGTACGGAGTACCACCACCCCCCTCAGTAGATATCGATTGCGGATATTCCTCAATTTTAAGTACTCCACACGGCATTGCGGGTAAAAGCAAGGGGCGTCTGAATCACCCCTCTTCCCAACTTCGGCCCTGCGACTCCCTATCATCCCAACAATGCCTATTCCCTCCCTCCCCCTCTTCGCTGCGGCGGAGCAGCACGCCCGCAACCCCGATAAGATCGCCGTCATCGACACCACCAAGCAACAATCATTCACATACGTCCAATTACTAGCAGACGCCGCGGGATTGAGGAAGCGCATACTCGAGGAACTCAGCCTAACAGCATCAGGAGATCTAGAGGACCGGCGCATTGCGTTCTTGGTGCCGAACGGCTACGATTATGTCGTCACGCAATGGGCCGTGTGGGCGGCAGGTGGCATCTGCGTACCACTGTGTACGTGAAACATGTTCACGCACCGGCTCATCCCCCCGCTGACATCTTGCGACAGGCACAAGTCACCCCGTGAAGGAATTGCTCTACACGGTGGGAGACTCAGACCCCGCGCTGATCATCGTCCACCCACACTTCGAGAAAATCGCCCCAGCGCTGCGCGATGCCTGTCCAGCCAATATCCCATTCATGGGCCTGGAGCCACTATCTCGCAATGATGCGCCAACCCTCCCTACGTTCTCGCCGCCCTTTGCCCTCACCCGCCCCGCCCTGATGATCTATACCTCCGGCACGACCTCGAACCCCAAAGGCTGCGTAACCACACACGAGAACATCACCTTCCAAGCAAGCTGTCTCGCCAAAGCCTGGGAATACAGTCCCTCAGACCACTTGATCCATGTCCTGCCCCTCCACCATGTCCACGGCATCATCAACGGCCTAGCGGCCAGCTTCCTCAGCGGCACGACGGTCGAAATGCACCCCAAATTCGACCCCAGCGTCATCTGGCAGCGGTGGCAGGATCGCGGCTCGACTATGTTCATGGCCGTCCCGACCATCTACTCCCGATTGAACGATTACTTCGAAGCACACCTCCGCGGCACGGAGCGCGAAGCTGCCGCGCGGGCTGGCGCGCGCGCTCTACGACTCGTCGTTAGCGGCTCTGCGGCACTGCCGACGCCGATTAAGTCGAAGTTTGCGGAAATCACCGGGCAGGTCCTGCTGGAGCGGTATGGGATGACGGAGATTGGCATGGCGCTTAGTTGTGGGCTGGATGTTCAGCAGCGGGTCGATGGTAGTGTTGGGTGGCCTTTGCCTGGGGTGGAGGTTCGGTTAACGGAGAAAGAAACAGGACGGGTTGTAGAGGACGTGGATGAGGATGGCATGATTGAGATCAAGGGTGGGAATGTCTTCCGTGAGTACTGGCGGAAGCCTGAGGCGACAGCATCGGAGTTTACGTCGGATGGATGGTTCAAGACGGGAGATGTGGCTCGGCGCGACTCGACTGGGGCGTACTTTATTCAAGGCCGTGCATCTGTCGATCTGATCAAGTCGGGTGGGTATAAGATCTCGGCATTGGAGGTTGAGCGGAAGATGTTGGCTCTGGATGCTGTGGAAGAAGTCGCTGTGGTGGGCTTGGCAGATCAGGAATGGGGCCAGCGAGTCGCGGCGGTCGTCAAGTTCCGGGATGGGGTTGGTGGCTTTCCTGCGTTGTTTGTTTCATGCTAATGGGTTTACAGGCTTCGCTCGAACTTCCTACTTTGCGTGCTGAGCTCAAGAATGAGATGGCGCCTTATAAGATCCCGACTGTTTTGAAGGTTGTCGACGGCATTGAACGCAATGCGATGGGTAAGGTGAACAAGAAGGTCATTGTACAGAAATACTGGCCCGAGGCTTGAGCGTATATGAGAGATGAGTGACGGAGATAGACTATGAATAGACTGGATCTATCCATGTACTCCATGTTCCATGTATTCATGCCCAGTTTTGCAGTCTCGGCATGGCGCTTGGGAAATGAGTCTTTGTTCAACACTGCCCCGTTGGCATTTTTTGCCAAGGAAGTTTCGATCTCGACTATTAGGGAGTAGTGTTAGTAGTACTGGTTCCTCCGAGGTTCGTAGCCCTGGAGTGGTGGAATTGGGTCAAAATAAGAGTGATGGATGGAGTGCCGCCAGAATCTTTCGGACATCGCGCTAGTGCGCTGTCTAACGGTCGGGTCTGAAGAAATTAACTGGGGACTGTGGACTCGCATAGCCCCTGAGCGCGAATTTGCAAATGTTAGGACATGGCAAAGGCGAAATAGTGCCAAACACTTGGACATTGGACAGGATTGACTTGGCCGACTTGGCGGTTGTACCCGCGAGTTCGTTGGGTCTTGGCGATTTAGGCGAAGGGATTATTTTATTATTCTATGTAGTACCTAGCACTGGTAGTAAAGGATTTACAGAAGGGATAGGTATGACTGATGTCAGATCTAAGTGAAACACGCGCAATTACGTCGAGGAATGCACCCTTCATAGAGCAAGTTGGTGTTAGTGTAGAATAAAGGGCTCTAAACCCACTAATCCCAAGACACCAAGGCCCAAGTCAAAGCCACTATCGTGGGACCCCTATTTGTGCATTTCCCTTGTTCTCCACAATATTGAGACACGATGATCTTGGTCCGGTTTTTCAATATTTGAACCATCTCGTCGCCGTTTTCTCTTCTGCACTTCTGTCGTTTCGTTCCTTCCGCGCCTGGCGCTGTCTTTCGTTAAATCTCTTCTTTATACCCAACACTCCGTCTTCATTATGATTGTATGTGGTTTCAGATAGAGTGGCCGTGCTCAACTAACACGATCCAGTCTTACGCCCGTCTGCTCACCTCCGTGTGTGCCCTGGTCAGCACCGCGGCCGCCTTGACTCCACTGGAGGTTAGCGGCAAGGACTTCGTCAACTCCGAGACGAAGGATCGCTTCCAGATCATCGGTGTGGAGTATGTTCCACGGCAATCTATATATCGATCTGGAGTACTGACAGATACATAGTTACCAGCCCGGTGGATCCTCTGGCTTCACCTCCAAGAAGGATCCTCTCAGCGATGCCGATGTTTGTCTGCGTGATGCGGCCCTCATGCAGCGCCTGGGTGTAGGTTATTTTCTGCTATCCGTCTCAGACAGCAGCTGATCCCATATAGATCAACACCATCCGTGTGTACAACCTGGAGCCTTCGCTCAACCACGACAAGTGTGCTTCTATCTTCAATGCTGCCGGTATCTACATGATCCTCGACGTCAGCAACCCTCTGGAGGGTGGCTACCTCGACCGCAGCGCTCCCTGGACCACCTACAGCGCCATTTACTACAAGCAGGTCTTTGGTATTATTGAGGGCTTCAAGAACTACGACAACCTGCTCGGTTTCTTTGCCGGAAACGAGGTCATCAACGAGGGTGCCACTTACCAGGCTCCCCGGTACATCCGTGCCGTCATCCGTGACATGAAGGACTACATCGCCAAGAACTCCAAGCGTGCCATCCCCGTCGGTTACTCCGCTGCTGACATCCGCAACATTCTGATGGACACCATTCACTACTTCGAGTGTGACCTCAAGAACTCGACCTCTTCCCGCGCCGACTTCTTCGGTCTCAACTCTTACTCCTGGTGCGGCGACTCCAGCTACAAGTCTGCTGGCTACGATGTCCTCACTGACGACTTCACCAACGCTACCATCCCCGTGTTCTTCTCCGAGTACGGCTGCAACGAGGTCCAGCCCCGTGTCTTCACCGAGGTGCAGGCCATCTACGGTGAGGAGATGACCCAGGCCTTCTCCGGCGGTCTCGTCTACGAGTGGACCCAGGAGGACAACGACTACGGCATGGTCAAGATCAACGACTCCAAGACTCTCACCACTCTGGTCGACTACGACAACTTCCAGAAGCAGCTGAACAAGCTCGACTTCGAGCGTATCACTTCCAGCAACGCTACCCAGGCCAACGTCAAGGCCGAGACCTGTGAGACCTCCCTCATCAAGCGCAAGTCCTTCTACAACTCCTGGGACCTGCCCGAGGTGCCCTCCAAGGTCTCCGACTACATCAAGAACGGTCTGCCCAACGCCCCCGTCGGCAAACTCGTCTCCGTCACCGGCACCACCATCCCCCAGAAGGTGTACGACCACACCGGAAAGGAGATCACCGGTATCAAGTTCGAGGTGAAGTCTTCTTACAACACTCCTTCCGCCTCATCCACCTCCTCTTCCGGCTCCGGTTCCGACAGCTCCAGCTCCTCCGACAGCACTTCTGGCTCCGGCTCCACCAGCTCTTCCTCATCTTCCACCACCCCCAACGCTGCTGCGTTCAACGGTGCCCCCTCCATTGCCCTCGGTGGTCTTGGTGGTTTCTTCATGCTTCTTGCATCCCTCGTCTAAATGCCCAGCGGGCTTTATATGACTTCACTTTTGGGAACTATATCATAGATCCAGGACAACAAGGTTGCCTCGATTATTTCATGCGGGATTAACTTTCACTTTCAGTGCCTGTTTCTTGACCCGACTGTTTCTTGCACATGATAATTTTTACCCTTGAACAATTCGTGCTCTTTCTTTTCTTCGTTGTTTTCATGCCGTCTTTGACATTTGCATACAGAAGTACACCACATTGGCAAGGAGTTACTAGATACAATGCATCGTGGCAAGAAAGCTCTCATTCTACCCATTCTTCAATACCCTTTCCACCATAAACATCATAGCTTAGAGGACCGGTCATCATAAATCGCCGCACCAATAGCCTTCCCTTCATCAACACCCTCAGCTCTCTTCCTCAAAGCCCGCTTCAAAATCTTCCCAGAAGGCCCTTTCGGAATCTCTCCAATCGGAATAATCCCACCCCGTAACCTCTTCTGAACACTCAATTTCTCAGCAACATACGCCAACAATTCCCCAGCAACCTGCTCAGGCTTCTGCGTCGTCTTCGCAAGAACCACATACGCAACCGGTACCTCCGAAGCGATCTTCGGAATGAAAACCCCCACAACAGCAGCATCGTGAACAAGCGGATGCTCATGCAAAACACCTTCTATCTCCGCTGGCGGGATCTGGAATCCCTTGAACTTGATCAAGTCCTTTAGGCGATCCGTGATATACAGATTCCCGTTTTCATCCTGATGTCCAATATCGCCGCTCATGAACCACCCGTCCGAAGAAATGGATTGCGACGTTGCTTCGTCGTTGTTGTGGTATCCGCGGAAGATGGTCGGTCCTCGGAGACAGAGCTCTCCTTCGCCTTGTTGGATTTGATTACCTTCCTCATTGATGAATTTGACTTCGACGCTTGGCATGGGTGGTCCATTTGAGCCCATGGCCTCTTTCCATAGGTTCCATCTCTGTGATGGATTAGTCTACGGATCTCTTTCCTGTTACTTCAGGGTTCATACCTGGATGTGAGCCACGGCCGTGGATTCCGTTAATCCGAATGCCTGACGGACTGGGACCCCGAGACGATCGTATACTGCCCGAATCAAATCAGGTGCTAGTGGAGCACCGCCAGATGTGATCATTCTCAGGGATGAGAGCTGGTCACGGGTCATCGAAGGATTTTTGGCCAGGTGTAATACAACAGGTGGAGCGACGTAGATGTGAGTGATGGAATCTGTCTTGACATTCTTTAAGAGCTCATTGACTGAGAACTTCTCCATGACGGTCGTCTGGAGGCCCATTAGGACCGGGAAATGGACTAGACATATCAAGCCTGTGTCTTTGTCAGTCTGCATGATCGTGGCGTGGTGCAAAGTGACGAACCGAAAATATGATACGTCGGTATCAGCGCGAGCAATCTATCTTTTCTCCAGTCGAGGAACTCGCCTTCAACATGCCTTTGGAGAATGATATCTGCCACAATGTTCCTATGCGTCACTATTGCCCCCTTGGGACTACCAGTCGTGCCGGAGGAGTACACCAAACAAGCCGCGTCAAAGGCAGGTTCGATGCTCGGACGCGGTCTACCAGTAGCTGTAACAGAGAGCATTGATTCGACATGCTGCAAGTCCGCAACTGGAGAATGAGCCCCGAGGACCCAGATATGGGAAGAAGGGAACCCGACGAGCTTGGAAGCCGCGAGGGCAGTTTCGAGGAGGTATACGTGCACAACTATTGCTTTTGCATTGCTGTCAATGATCTGGTACTTCAGTTCCTCTGCTGTGTATGTCGGGTTCGCAGGGGAGAAGATCCCTCCTGCCCAGTGACAGCCCCAGAATACAGATGGTGTGTCGATGTGGTTTGGTGATAATGTTAGGAGGACGTCTCCCTTGTTCCAGTTCCATGTGCTTTGTAGGTGAGTGCCGAAATTCAGGGCTCGGGAGCGGATATCGTTGTATGTTTGTACTCCTGAGGGCGATTTGAAGATGACTGTATCGAATGAGCGTGGCTTGTCGAGGTTGCTGATATATGTACTTACTGTGGTCATTTGGGAAGGGCTTTTCTGTTCTCTCGAACAGGCAATCCCATACGTCAATTGCGGGGATCTCGGGGGCTTGCATAGTTGCGAAGAAGAAGTTGGTGCCTCGTAGATTCAATGACGCAAAGCATCGCTCATAGCCGAGGTCGCCCCTCGTTGGGACTTTTGCTTTCGGTCTTCGTCACTTCGATACAACTTCAGTTGTCTTCTAGTATTCGTTCCGATTCCGTGTCTCTATGACATAGGGTGGATGTACACCTGGGCATGCATGCTGAATCGTACGCAAATTCCTTTAAGTGAATACCGCAACATATAACCCATAGGCAGTCCTCTTATGTCTATCGATGTCTTGTTGCAATGGATCGTTCCGGAAAAACCCTTTGCGAAACCTCGCAAGAAGCATTTCATTTTCTACAGGCCTGTTAAGAACGGAATAAAATAGATTAACCTTTGAGACGGGTTTAAGGGTCCAGGGTGAGCCTCACTCCAGGGCTTGGAAAACCTCGGATCTCCCGACTTATCTGACTCTTATCTAACGTTATCGATAAGGCACTCTTTCCAAACCCGAGGTTCAGCCGAGGAAGTGTTCCCTGAGGTAAAGGTAGCGAATTTGATCACCCACATAGCTTAATTGCCTCACTAAGAATAAGCAGTAGACCAAGAAAACCTTCATTGGTCATGGGAATGAGATCTGGCGACAAATATTTCGTCATTGGTGTCAGCTTCGGGGTCCAACGTCTTCCCGAGGTCAGCCCTGACCCACCCGCTGATTTCCCCGATGGCAAACAGCCATTTCTCCGATTCCTCCGATAAATCCGACTTCGCCGCTTCCACCGAAAACAATGGCCCGAGAAGTCAATTCCGACATTAGCAAACAAGAATTGACCAGAAGAGCAGCAAGTACTAGGTAACAATAAAAAAGCGTATATTCTTCAAGGGGTACCTCGAATAGCCTGACGCAGTAACTCACAATACATCTCAAGTCGGTCGGATCGGTTCTTTACAATCCTACACATACTCCCTAGGTCTCCATCCTCCCTCAGTCTCCAGGCTGTACTTCGACAAGATGGAAGACCAAGAAAAGCGACAAAGCAACCCATTACAGCCATCGATGTCACCACAATCATCCTATGAAGAGGAGAAGTACCCTGAAGGCGGCGTGCGAGCATGGCTTTGCGTTTTCGGAAGTTTCATGGGCCTGGTTGGTAGCCTGGGACTGATCAACTCAATTGGCACCTTTCAGGCGTACTTGGAAAGTCACCAACTGAAGGAGTACAGCTCGGGCAAAACAGGCTGGATCTTCGGCCTCTTCACATTTCTCACTTTCTTCGGCGGGATTCAAGTCGGACCCATATTCGATGCGCGGGGTCCTCGCGTTTTGGTCTGCATTGGATCAATACTTGTCATGGGTATGATGATCAGCATTGGATTCTGCAAGACCTTCTACCAGTTTCTTCTCTCTATCGGTGTTGCTGGGGGTCTTGGAACCTCGCTGATCTTCACACCTGCTCTGTCTGCGCTCGGGCATTTCTTCTTCGAAAAGCGCGGACTGGCGACTGGTATTGCGGCAGGAGGTGGATCTATCGGAGGGGTGATATTTCCTCTCGTGCTACAAAGCTTGTTTGACAAAGTGGGCTTTGCTTGGGCAACTCGCGTGATTGCCCTGATCTGCTTAATATCTCTTGCTATTGGCTGTCTTCTGATCACTTCCCGGCTGCCTACAAAGCCCTTGTCAAGGGAGACCATTTCCCCCGATCTCCGCATATTTCGGGACCCTAAATTTGCGCTGACGACTGCATCGGTGTTTTTCATCGAATGGGGGCTTTTCATTCCGATCTCATATATCTCTTCATATGCCTTGGCGCAAGGTCTTCCAGCTCGGATCTCTTACCAGCTACTTGCGATCCTGAACGCAGGGTCATTCTTCGGGCGGCTACTGCCTGGGTACTTCGCCGATCGCTTTGGTCGTTTCAACACGCTTATCATCACAGTTGCGCTTTGTCTCATCTGTAATTGTTGTTTTTGGTTACCTGCAAAGGATAATCTACCACTACTGATAGTCTACTGCTGCCTATTTGGCTTTTCAAGCGGAAGTAACATCAGTCTTACGCCAGTTTGCATTGGACAGCTATGCAAAACAGAGAACTATGGTCGCTATTACGCAACGGCTTATACCATCGTGAGCATAAGGTGAGTGTCTGGCCCGTGCATTGATAATGTTCATGTCGCTAATTCTAATCAACATCAGTACGCTTACTGGTGTTCCGATTGCCGGTGAAATATTGTCTCGCTGCAATGGCGACTACTGGGGGCTCATCACCTTCACCATTTGTTGCTATGCTGCCGGTCTGATGTGTGCTGTTGGTGTGAAAATCCTCCACTGCGGCTATGGCCGTCCGTGGGAAAAATTTTGAGCTCGATCGTATGTCCAGGCTTTCAACGTAAATTTCGATTTATTTCTGTGGCTGACCTTCCAGAAGTTTAGAAATGTGCTCGATCAGTTCAAGTGCCAATTCAACTATCTGACTACCGGAGGTAAAATTCTCGAGGTAGCGTCTGCCGCGAAGTGGTGAGTGTGATCAATGCACATTCCTGTGCATGAGTGGCCCTTAGTTAAATAGTCTCATTAGCGGAGAGCGATAGATTTGGACACCCTTGGTAGTCACAAGTATTCTGGCATCTGCATTAGTAGCCGCAAACAAGGGGAAAAGACTGTCTTACCTTGTAAACTGTCGTTCCCCACCAGCTGAACTTGTCCGACGCCCCCGTGTAGTAGACAGTGAAGAAGATGACAAGGCCGGCCAGGGAAACAGAGGAGTCCAAAGCACTGCCAAGGACGTAGTTGTAGCTGCGCCACCAAGAGTTGTAGTTTGTTCGGATGTAGAACCCGAAAAAGATACCAACAATAGCCCAACTGCCGTAGTTCATACCAGTCGCGGGAGGGATATAGTTGAGACCCCCAAGAAACAACGGCACATTCACAAATTTCCACACTGAGGTCGGATAGCGCTTTCTCAAGAAAAACACGATCACAGGAAGAACGCCGCCCAAAATCAGGAGTAGGAAGAGGTTTCTGTACCCGGATTCGGCGGAGAAAAACCGACGAGGGCCTATAGCTCCCCAAATGATACTGGTGTTGAAATCAGTCCGTGCAAACGGGCATGAGAAGCCATTGATCGCGTCGGTGGTGCATATTCCCTGGATATGCCCCAAAGCCCAATTCATGACAGAGACCTGGCCAATTGTTCCAATGATAATGCCTACACATTGGGCGATGAAGACTGATCCAGGTGAGATCTAATGGAATTAGTAAAGAAAAGCAATATTCGGCAGACCTGAGGCTACTCACATGATAGTAAGAGCACAACTTCATGTCCTGAGAGAACGAGAGGCCATTGAGGATAGTCGTATATCCCAGCCCAACGAACCAATTGTTCGCAAGTGGCTTACCACTCCACAAGAACCCACCGATGATTCGGCTGAAGATTTCCACGCCCACCTTCAGGTTCGCAGTGGCATAGATGAGCGTGACCTGCCGTATGTTAATTTCAATTCAAGTAAAGAAACCACGGGTGTTGGTCTTACCGGATAAAAGAAGATGGCGCCAATAAAAACCGAGAACAATACACCATACCACCGCAAGTCGAAGTCCCAAAATTCGATTGCAAAGATAGACAAGAACAATCCCAAGGCAAGGGAAATAACATACCACCACATTGCTACATCGTCGCTGGCTTCATGTACCTTCTGGCTTTTCTTTGGCGAAATCAAGGTTTGCACTGCATCCCAAGGCTTTCTCATCGCCGTCAAGACAACGCTCCCGTGCTCAAGAGAAACCCAGACGATGAGCGACCCTAATGTGGCGATAGACAACGCGGTATTGAGAGCGTACGTAATGGGCATATAGATCTAAGATGAAATTAGTATCTGAAAGTGCAAGCTCATTGGATGAAAAACGCCGATCGGGGGTAAGCTTGAAAGACACCTTACCGGGGAATAATTTTCATATTTCGCAACGTCCAGTTGGAAACCAGAACGTTCACCCAGAATCCTCGAAACATTATAGACGCTCCCAGTTTTATCAAAGACTGAGAGTCATGTAAGTATTTGGAATCTTCAAAGTTGTAAGACGAATCTGAAAGCTGCGTGACTCACTCTCAGAACTTTGAAAAGGCAGATAGCCGGTATTCAAAGCATTCATGTAGTAACAGGCAGTGGCAACAATATATATCCAAAACACCAGGCCAACAGCCACATTTGCGATGGCCCAGGGTGGAACGAGAAGGGGAGAAGTGACGTAGGCAACCTGGCTCCCTGAAGATAAAACAAACAAATCAGAGACCGATATATTCAAAACCGAAAGAGCCAATCTTGGAATGCTCACAGTCAAACGTGATGGGTAAGAGACCCATGCCGGAAGAGACCCCGAAAACCTGGTTCACCACGCGATTGGTCGGGTTTATCCAGCAAGGAAAGTTGAAGTAGCTCAAGGCTGGGAATAAAAAGTCAGGGAGCCAATACCAACAGAAGGATATGGAAAAGACAATGCAGAAGAAAGCAAAGCCGGAGAGCTTCCAGGTTCTGTATAGAAAGTCAGCAAGGGCCAATGCATGTGGTATAAGGGATTAGCGAACCCTGATATTTCAGGCCCTCGATGACTATGCAAAACTCCGGTCAACGCGGTCGTACTCAGCAACCCAGGCCAAACGATGCTTTTAGGCTCGATAAGGCTTGATCTTGTAAGCCCAGAGAAAGCGAATCCAATCAAGTATAGGGCCAGAATCATCATTATCTCAAAGCCCCAGGGGGTATCCCTTGCAAAAAACTTCTTTTGCTCTATAAGAAGATCAACAGTCATTCTTGTATAGAAGCTAATATTGGCCATGATGAATATAAGGGTGTGTTCCTGTTTTGGTGTTAACTCCGACCGAACGGGTCAAAAAAAGCGACATACCTTTTTGTTGAATGGATGTGGGTTGAGGGAAAACTTCCACCTCCATAACTTGACTTCGTAGTCTGGAACCCATTTATCCCACAGACGGGCGATTGGGAACGCCAGTAGCTGGGCTGTTGACTTGGCAATGCTAATCGATGGGCTGCGTAGCTCGAATATGGTGTTCAATCCGCATCCGATAATAGAGAAAACAACACCGATAACCCACATCCTGACTGTGAGGGCAAACTGTCCCTGCTCATCATCTTCCAAATTGATATGAGCCGCAGCAAGCTCCTCTTCGAAGTACGATGCCTCGCCCACTGCTCAACTTAGCATTGCAATCACCGATAAATGAAGGAGAGGGCAACAAACCCTTGAAGGCTTCAGTAACCTGGAGATTCTCTTTTTCTGAAGTCTCTCTCATTGTAGCAGCTCTTTTTGAACTTTGTGAAGGTCAGTATCACTGATGAGAGGAAAGAGTTTCGATCAGATAAGATTTCGGATATTTATACGCCCTGGAAATTTAGAAAGACCCACCCACAACATCATGTAGGCAAAAGCTATTAACAAACAGAAATCCAAAATGAGTGGGTCTTTATAAGAAGTGGGTGACATACTAGACTGGAACAAGTTACGCTATGCAGCATCAACTACAGCACGCTGGAGCTTCCTAGGCGCTACATATACCCAGAGATGTTTTGACCAGCGAGGGCTTTTGTCTCCCAAGCCAATAAGCAAGTTGGAAAGACCAGGTACATATCTAGTGTACATAGTATCGATTTATTCCTCATCATGAGCACCTATGTTTATTAAACAAGCACTTTACAAGCACCACGCAGGGAAGCTTTGCCCCTCCAGAGTTTCCATGGCGCTTCCGTGCTTTTCTGAGACAAATAGCCCGCTTATCTTGGCGAATCAAACCTTGCAGCCTCTAATGTATTAGCAAACCAAACAGTAGACAGAAATTCAAGCTCCACCCTATCTAGGATCTCGGAGAAATTATCTAATGCTTCGGAGATAGATTTTGGGTAGCATGTCCCTTCACTGTGATATAATTCCAACTAACAGAAACTTGACTTGATTCACTCCTCAAGGGACAAATAGATCCATGATATTTATATTGAGTCGAAATACAAGTATAAGAGGCAAAGTTTGAATTTTGAAGGTGTTGTTTACATTCAACCGAAGTGCCCTTATTGTATCTAAGGTTGACAGAAGCGTGCTAACTCCAAAGTCATGACACAGCCAAGTCGGAGATTTTGCGGTGAGTCAATTTTGTCCAACAAAATCTTGCAAGTCCTGGATCCAAAAGGAAAATGGATATTGATTGCGTGTGCACATTAGTTTATCCAAAAATGGATGTAGACCCGGACATAGTCCTTTTGAATAAGACCTCCACTCATCCCTGGCGTTGTGTTTCGTTTATCCACTTAAGGTATAATGTGCTATCCGAACAGAATTTCCGTACGCTAGATAATTCCACGGAGATGAGAGGTAAAAGATCATTCATGGATACGAGGAGAGATGAGGGCAAGACGGAATGCACTACTTGCTTTTTTGGGTTAAGCAGGGAACTTTTCTTCAAGACGGCTGATTGTGAATGGTAACTTCGTCCGAGATATCATGTCCGTTCCAAGGTTGCATGATATCCACAGTAGAATGAAAAAAAGCAGACACCGGGCCCGAGATAAGACATAACCAAACACCACGTGAGCAATGAGACCCGTGGAATGAATGCTAGATGGTGCATGAAATTAGGTCAAAGTTGTAGAGTGTCACAAGCTCTCTCCCCATATACCAAATCTCAAGTTCGAATTTCACCAGGACAAGTACTTGAAGTATGACAGGGAACATGGTAATTCTTTCTGGTCAGGTTTGGGCTCTCGGACGAGCGAGTTTGAGTTTGAAGGAACGCCATCTACAATAATGTACGTTCAATTTTCGCCGATGGTTTCTCGGACTTTTGGTATGGAGTACATTGAGCCGAAGGATCAGCGGCATAATACGAACGACAAGCAAATGATAGTTATTGGCAAGCTCCACTTGATTGATAAAAACCCCTCTTCAGGCCCCCGGATCAGTCTGGAATGCCCTAGAACGAGTTATAAATTCAATAAAGACTGTGTTACACCCTAGACTTCGGTAACTAAGTTCTGGACCCGCGGATACTCATCTCGTGAAGGCATTCACTACTTCGAACTCGGAGAGAATACACATTCGACATGGATTCTACCCAAGAGGCTACCAATATATGGTTTGGTGTAAGTAGTTGACCCCTAATCCTGAGCCTCAAACTAATTAGCTGTCAAGGATGGAAGAGAGAAAGCAGTTTTGCAGCACATACTCAACCTTCCACACCTAGACGACGTCCGGGGTCATCCAGATGCGATTCTTTCGGAGATCGAAAACTGGAGCAAGAATAATAAAATTCTGATGACAATCGGCCAAGAACGAGGGGATATTATCATCCAGCACATTGCACAGGCCCGCCCAAAAGTGATGGCCGAACTAGGATGCTACATTGGGTATTCCGCTATCAAGTTCGGAAGTGCAGTCCGGAACGCTGGTGGAACCCAGTATCTCAGCTTTGAGCAGAACGCTGAATGGGCAGATGTTGCTAGGCAGCTCATAAACCTAGCGGGCTTGGAGGACTTCGTTACTATTTCCCTCGGCAGCAGTTCCGAGTCTCTTGTGAAATATAGGAGTGAGGGAGAAGGCAAAATGTTTGATTTCCTCTTCATTGATCACGCAGAAAGCCTTTATCAAAAGGATCTCGAGATTTGTGAACGACTCAATATTTTGTCAACTGGCGCATATGTTGTCGCAGATAATGTCTCAAGCTCACGGGCGCAGGACTACGTCAACTGGGTCATGAAGGGTGACCAGAATGGTTCACAAGATGGTGCTAGAGGAAGATATGAGTCGCATATGTCCTCGCACGTTTTGCCAAATGGCCAGACTGTGGGTGTTCCAATGCATAGAAGTTTCAATGATGATTTTTACTGACGTTTGGTGTGAAGGATGGCATGATTATTTCTCGGTACACACCAGAATAGCAACCTCGGAACTCACAGGCCATATCACTCGGCGGCAGGCAAGACCATCTGGGCCTTTCAACGGGTAAGACCAAGGAGCAACAAGCTTGACAATTGATTAACGGACGATGGACATATAGTATGTTGTAAAATACTATGATATTCATGCGATATATCCGATTATATCTGAAATAATGACATTGGTTAAGTTGTCTAAGTTATACTAGACTTTACCATTTTATTAGAAGTATCAGGGCTCAAGCTGTACATGTGGTGTACAGAAAAACCAGGAATAATTAACTTGCCTGATACACTGCGATCTTACGATGAGCTTATTGAAAAGTGAAGATAGCGCATGTCCATGAAATTTCATCATGCAGCTTCCAAAAGAGCCACGGGCAAGACAAGGAATATCTACAAGTACATGCTACCTTCCCAATATTAAGAGGGGAATCTGGCGGAAATTATGTCGGATATCCCAGGATCCACAGCTAATTTGGAAAATTCATCAGCCCCAAAGTTTTGCAGGTTCCAATTTCACGGGTTGAGGTCATCCGAAAGGCCGATGCCTAGTGACAATATCTCGCCCTGCCAAGCCTGAAAAATCCGAGATCGACTCGGAGCGTAGCGGTGGCGTCGGAGTTTAAGGGAGGCGATTATTTCCGAAATCTCTTGGCACGAGCAAATCAGGCGAGATTCCCGCATCCAAAAGGGGATTGCAAAAAAGGAAGAAGAAAAGAAAAAGAGGAAGGGAAAGATTGAGCGGAGATGTAAATTCGTGACTTCTAGCTATAAGAGTCAGGCATCCATGAATGCATTCCAGGCACTTCACGTCCCTGCCTCGGCCCCGAAATAGCCTCTTTCTCGTGCATTTGTGGAATTGGTTTGCTTCTTCAGACCCTGCTCAAAACTCATTAATTGTGTTTCTATTCTCTCTCCCAAAATAATGGCTGAGAATATCGCTGCGCAGAGCGCAGTTTCGTCGCGAGGCCTCGGTCTTTCTACGAAGATGCCTGCTTTCTTTCATGTCCTCGAGGATCAATGGGACCCCACTTCAAACCCACAGGGGATTGTCAACATTGGCTTAGCTGAGAATGTGAGATAAAAGTTCAAGAATACGGTGCTAGGACCTGACTGACGAGAGCATATAGGCATTGATGCAGGAAGAAATGAAGGGATTCCTCAACTCCCACGTAAGCTTTACCGCTTCCGGGCTCCCGGAAGAGTGCTTTTGTTAACCTGTTAACCTCAATTCCAGCTAAATGTAGAGTCGCATGCGCTGACATACGGCGATGGATTCTCCGGATCTAAAAGGCTGAGGGAATCCCTGTGTCATTTTTTGAATCGTCATTTCCAGCCCCATGTTCCCCTTTCTCCATCCCACATGGTAGCCACCGCCGGCGCGAGTAATGCCCTCGAGTGCTGCGCATGGGCCCTGTGTGACCCCGGCGATTATATACTTATTGGACGTCCCTATTGGACCACTTTCAGAACGTTGCTTGGCAATCGTGCTAGGTGAGTCCACGATCAATACTCAGTCGATTGCAAATCAAATCTAACTTCATCTTCACAGTGTGAATGTGCTTGACGTCAATTTTGATGGGGTTGACCCATTCAGCTCTGATGCGGTTGAGCTTTACCGGGAAACCTACATGCAAGCCATCAAAAAAGGGAAGAAGATCACGGCCATACTCTTGTGCTCGCCAAATAACCCCCTGGGTTTGTTGCCTTCATGCGGGGCTTGAATTATTTCTGACAATTTATCCAGGTCGATGCTACTCTCCAGAGATCTTATGTTCCTACATGCGTCTCTGTGGTGAGCTTGACATACATTTGGTCTCCGACGAACTATACGCTCTGTCGGTCTGGGAGAACCCCACGATGGAAGACCCGGATCAATTCAAATCAGTTTTGTCTTTCCCATCCGAGAGTCTGATGAACCCCCAAAAGCTACATGTTATATGGGGAATGAGTAAAGTAAGTAAGATAATGTCGAAATTGAATTGCCCGCGCTGATATTTCCATTAGGACTTTGGGGCAACGGGCTTGAGGATCGGCTGTTTAATCAGTCAATTCAACACCCGATTTTTGAATGCCTGTGAAAGTATCTCGTATGCTGGCCCTGAATGACTTCCCTGATAAAGTGATACTGACACTGAACTAGGCTCTTTAGCTTTCCATCCAGCTTGGCAGACAATGCGGTTGCGAAACTCCTGGCAGATGACTATTTTACAGATCACTTTATTTCTCTTAACCGAGCCCGGCTGTCGGAGAACTACCGTCATGTAACAACAACTCTCAGTGACCACGGTATTCCATACACCCAGTCCAATGCTGCCCTTTTTGTGTGGGTTAATCTGGGAGCGATGACTAAAGGGCATGGGGCCACTGATGCTGATATTCTTGAGATTTTAAATCGAGAGAAGGTTTATGTTACTTCTGGCTTGACTTACGCAAGTGAACAGCCAGGATGGTTCAGGATTGTGATTGCACACCCTAAGCATGTGTTGGATGAAGGCCTAAAGCGCATTTTTGGCGCAATGTTATATTATGAGACAAGAATAACTAAATGACTTTTAGTATCTATGCAGTAACGAAGGGGGGGGGGGGGGGGGGGGGGGGGGGGAGGGGGGGGGGGGGGGGGGGGGGGGGGGAGAGGGGGGGGGGGGGGGAGGGGGGGGGGGGGGGGGAACTCAGTAAGGGAACTTTTGAATGGATATCTGCGCGCTCTCTTCTCGTGAAGTTTTTTTTTTTTTTCTCGGTTTTTTTT